TAAATTTTCTCGTTTTCTCCATTTTTTTTTAGATTTTTACATTTGATGAGGAAACTTCTGAGAAAATCGAAAAATAAGCACCCCGATTTCTTTTTAGAAAAGGTACTACACTTAAAAATTAGAGCAATATTTCTGGTAGAAAAGTTATGCATAGAGAAAAAAAGAAAAAACCATCTATGTAAAACCATAAGCTTCTACGCTCTATTCTGAATCTAAAATATATAAATAATTAATAATGACATAACAAGTTTATATTATTATTATTCATAGTTTATTAAAAATATTGAAACTATTTGTACATTATCTACTAGTTTTACTCAATTCAAGAAATAGAGAATTCACCTCTAGAATTTAATTTAATATATACTAGCTCGCCTGGCAAATGAATCCAACCAATAAATCAATAAAAATAATTTGATTTCTATACAAAAAATGTCAATAATGCTATGCATAGTTTTAGCTCAAATCGTTCAATAGTTTTGGTAATAACTAACGAACATCCATCCAAATGAACTATCACATTTACGATTACTGTGGTTTATCATTAGAAAATAGTCATATACTATTCCGGACTTTTCTGTAAACCTTTTAAAGGTACGCAATTCCTTAGTAGAAACATTATTTTGATTTATATCATAAGGTTTAGTCTGTATACCAAATAGCAATATAAACTCCTGAAAATACTTCTTTTTTACGACTTGTTCACAAAACATCGATTTTTCTCTAAAAGACTTTCTTCTTTATTTATATAAACTTTCTGGAATTCTCTAAATGATAGTAAAACTGTACCAAAATTCGTTGCGTAGTTTAGACGAACTAAGCGCACATGCAGACGTAGATAGCGACTTTGTTTTATACTATTTAGAGATATCATATTTGTACATAACATTAAGTAATAGTTAATACATCATTGATATTATAAAATCAATATTCAATGGACATTCAACTGTACGGCTGTACCTATTGGCTACTTACTATATTACTTAATTGTATCGATATGTGGTTTATAGAGTAGGTACCTATCTACTGGTTGTATAAAACATAATAATTAAAGTTTGTACCTATCTAAAGTGAAAAGTTCAAAATAACAAAACAACATTAATTCATACATTATTTTATTTGTAATACCTACGCATATTGTGTAACACAGAATGTTGCTTGTTTTTTTTTCGTTTAAATTTTATGACATGCGTAGGTAAGAATAAATTATAATAATCGGATAATACGTATGTGTTATAAATGTATAGTAATTATTTTTTTCATGTACTGGTGATAATATGATAATCGAGACCGGGTTCTTATCGTTTTACGAATATCTGTACTGCGTCATTTATTTTCATATAATCCGTTATTGTAAGTATTTTCAGTACGTCACACACAGGCCTGTAGCCATGGATGCAAGGGGAGACCCAGCTATCGCTCACTCGGACTATTTTAATCGAAAAATACCCCTCGATTTGTTGTGCAAACTTTTTTACCAGAAATCTTGCTACGATGAATCAAATGTAGTTATTTTCCGAAAGGAAATTTTATCTATATGTTCATTTTTTGATTTTTTAAGAGGTTTTCACTATATCTGGGAAAAACCGGGATAAAATGTTTGAAAAACAGAAAATGTATGAAATGTAGGTAATAGTATGGCCTTTTTTTTTGTGTTCAACTTTTTCACCAGCAATTTTGTTCCAATTTACAATGTTAGCATTTTTTCTAAAAAAAAAATCTGACTGGTGAGGTAATTTAAAGTGGTAATTTTCCATTATCCCAAATGTTTTCCAGCAAATGTGAAAAACCGGGAAAAAACATGATGAAATCGAGAAAATCGGTATAATATTAAACAAATATTATTAAAGAAAACATATAATCCACATGTAATTTTATTTTACCATAATACGACATGTATATTGTTGAAAAAGCAACACTATCAACTGAACTGCACTCAGAATAGTTTTTTAGTTAGCAATGGTTTATCGTTGCTTACAGATATACACTGAACTTTTAATTATCTATTGGCTATAACAGTATCTGCACCCGTCCCATTATCCTAGGACGTCTTTTTCAAACTTAATGTTCCAAATATTGTACTTTTAATTTATATACTTTATTTTAAAAAGTGAAACTTGTATATCATGTGTTACTAAACATTCAACATTTTCTTATAACCCAAAATATTCTTATAGTCATGATGACATTATGTTGATTAGACCAATGGATCATGAGAGTTTATATAGAGAAGAGTTTAAATAGCCCATGAATTATGCTGCATTTGAAATAAAAACAGCACATCGGTATTACGATATAATAACTCCATGTTCGTTCCATCTCTATTACCTGAAGATATATCCCAGAATTTTATTTATTAAGTGGGATTACAACCATACTGTATAAGACCTTGGTATACAAAAAAAGTGACGAACAATATAGAAACGACACTTAATTTTTGTTAACCTATTTTCTTAAGAATGAATCACGATTAAAGATATATCTTTAATGATAGTATGAATGCATCTTCACATTACACCACAGACATAATATGTCTATGCCACTATGCATTACTCACAACGCAATGCAACGTCGTCCATCGATAAAATCCATTGCAATATGCTGTGTTGGTAACGGACAATCAACCTGATACTATAAGTTTATTTACCGAGTTATGAAAAACGTTTATGCTCCGTTAGTATATCTATTATTCGTTGCCGTATCTAAAATTAAAACGTTAAAGGGTCTATTGTCTATGGTAAATATATATTAAATTTACTATGTCAACAAAATAAAGTCGGTTTTAGAGAATTTAATTTATTTATATGATTTACTATTATGTTATGTACAATTTAGGATATCTATATAATTATGTAAAAATTAAAATTTCTTTAAAGAGTAGGCCTGCTAGTAATATATAATTATAAAATTACTTATGATGTGAGATATTGACTTTTTAGATTCGGAGCGGTTAGGTTATAGGGATCTATTGATTATACTAAAATGATGATGTGTGCTTTTTATTATTATTTTCTGTTTGTGAACAAATTTTCTACAAGAAAACTTGCTCCAAAGTATAGACTATAGCATTTTTTCTGAAGGGTAATTTTCTCTCGTTGTTGCATTAAGAAGATCATTTTTTAGATTTTCTAAGAGGTTTTTAAAATAATTGGAAAAAACCGGTAATAGGTAAAACGAAAAATATTTACGGTGCGCCGCGGTATACCGTTTTCATTATTTTTATTATATTTACACGATGTTTTCTACCAGGAATATTGCTTAGGTCTAAAAATGTCATGAGGTAAATTCTGTTCCATTTAATATTTCACCACTGACAGATTAAGTCATTTTTCGATATCCAAAGTAGTTTTCCTAACAATTGGGAAAAACAAAAAAATTAAAATTGATTATTGATCAATATTTACGGTAACGTAGCGTCCCCGATTAATTATTCTAATAATTAATTATGTTCAATTTATGTTTTCTACCAGAAATATTATTCCAATCGAAAAATTATAAAATATTAATTTTGTTCCTTTTAACACATGATTTAGATAATAGTTTTGTGATATCTAAAGTATTTTTCATAATAAATGAGAAAAACCAAAAAATTCGAATTACACGATTTTTTTCAAATTACGGCACAACAATTTTATTATTTTAAATTGTTACGCCTTATGTTTTATACCATAAATATTGCTCCAATAGATAAACGATAAGAGACCTTTTTTGTTGAATTTTTAATTTAATTCATGAGTACAATATCTGTTTTTTTATTTTCTTCATAGTTTTATTAATATTTAAGAAAAATCGAAACATATTTAGAAAGAACGAGAATTTACAAAAATAATCCGTTTATTATTTTAAATTTTGTTTTTATGATGCAATTTAGATAAAAATATTCAATAGTGCTTTGAAATTTTGACAGAAAATTTTCATTTGTTTTTTCTAAATGTAGTAAAACTTTCAAAACATTTGCGTTATTTTGACCTTTTTATAGACATTTTAATTTGTGAGCTTTATTTACGTAATTTTTATTTAGTATTGTGCTCTGTAGATAAAATGGTTAGACTTAACAGAAATACTTGAAAATTCAACAGTAGGTCGTAGTAAGTCGTACTTGGTGATTAACGCTAAATAAACGTTCAGTTAAACTACGATAACTAATTTTTAAATTAAGTAATAAGTAAATTATTTAGGTTTAAATACAATTTCAGTGTATCAATTTAGTTTTAAAACATACCAAAAATCCAGTTATATTAAATATATACCTATATTTATTATCATTATATAATAGATACCTGTGTATCTTATATACGATAAGACAACACAAATAAATACTACTATATAAAAGCTCGCTAAATAAACGTTCAGTTAAACTAATATAAGGAAAATTCTGGTCCAAACAGGTCCTCACCCTTCCCAATTATACCCACCTAGAGCAGTTGCCACATTTGTTTCAAGTATCACCTCTTTTTAATTGTGTTTTTTAACAGTATTGTTTTAACTATACCATTTTCACCTTTCCAAACGACCAAACGTGGCCTGCCCACTCCAGTCTTACACGGTTGCACCTTTTAGAAAATTGGTCTATATTTCCTTCTTTGTGCAATTATTTCAGTTGTTCGTTTGTTCTTCGCTCCCTTAACTTAAGTATGAGGGTTATACATAGGTCTATACATTTTCTTTAACACTTTTCTCTCAAAAATATTTAATCTATTATCATTTCTCAATTATTTTCGTGGTGAAATTTTCACTAGTACACTTCATATTAAAAGTATCCGCTTATGATTTGATAATAGGAGAGTAGTTTTAATGTCAATAAATTAGGCTTGGTACCCTAAAAATTCCCCTCCATAGTTTGACACCATAAAATCCCTTCTAAGAGAATTAGCCTGGAATTCGTGCGATCACTGCCAAACTTTGGAAATAGTCCTCTCTATAGGTCATCTTTAATCCACAGTCACCAAATTTAGTATCAATCGGAAAAGATCGGAAGATCTAGGGGATTTCACTTCAAAATGGCCTGTAGGTCTCCTTTTCATTTTCTTGCTATTGATACTAAATTTGGTGAAAGTGGACTAGAGGTATCCAAGGGACCATTTCCAAAATTTGGCAGTGATCAAACGAATTCCAGGCTAGTTCCCTTGAAAGTGATTTTATGGTGTCAAACTATGGAGGGAACTTGTGTGGGGTGCTAAACCAATTTTTTTGATATTAAAATCACTCTCTTATTACCAGATCCCGCCGACATTTATTTGATTAAAAATCAGAAGGGGTTATTTTAACATGGAGTGTCCTTAACAGACCTATATGTACTGGGGAAGACCTCACCACGTACTAAAAAGAAAACCTAATTATAACGTTAGGTTTTAAACGAAAAAAAATTCTCGTGGCGAAAATTAGAATAACGGCGAGTCGGTAGCTGGTACAATAGTAAGTTTGTTGTAAGGAGTGTCGATAGCAGCAAGATGAATAGCGGCTAGACGACTGAGACGGTCGAAGCGAGATGACCTAGACCCCTTTATGGATTTATTTATACTCAAAATTATTTATTTCTATTTATTCTTTGATATTTACCAATTTAAAATATAGTTCATTTGTCTAGTGGTTATATAAATATAATGTAGTAGTATTGATTGATTATTTCGTTATGTAACGCGTAAATAGGAATATATTCAAATTTTTCTTTATTATACTATACGTACAAATTCTAGAAATTCATAGTGCTCTAGTAATAGGCCCATACTATATTATGTACGTATATTATTTTTGAAAGATTAAAAAAATAGCAGAATCAAACACAATTACTGCTGATCATGTAAAGAATTTAAATCATAAATTGTATAATGCATATTTTACAGTTTTTGATTTTTAGAGCATATTTTAGCAGACAGCAGATTGTAGCTTTTGAATGCTCTAAAAATTGTACAGTGAATTCTGCTTAATGTGATTACTGGTTTATAGAATCAACCGTTTATTAGAATCAAAAATAAAAATCCCAAACCAAATCTTATATTATTAATGTTAAATTAACCTTTTATTAGAATTACCAAGTACTGGATAATTGAATCACTTTTATGAACATTCTTATCGTTTTAATGGTATTATATGTTTTTATTATAGTTATATGTATTTTTTTATTGTATATTAATTGAATATTGATTTTAATTTCAGGTCAATATGAAAATTGAATTAATAGATTCTTAAAAATAGCCGAAAATAGATACCTAGCTTCTTTATTTTATTTTAAATGAATTTATCCTATTTTAAATTTACATATAAATATATAATCATTAAAAAGAAAAAAAAATGTTTTATGGAATCAAAATGGCCTGAATCAATGTGATCACATAAGCGGAACTCACTGTATTATAGTTGTATCTTTATCTTATTGTAAGCCACGTATTATACACACATTTATAGAATTAAATTGTTAAAATTTATACAAACTGCTGTTTGATAACATAATCGAATATATTATATAATATGTTATACATACGAGGGCTAATCAAAAAATATCGAAAGTACTCGGAAACCGAGCATTGAAAAGCAAAAGGATTGGTAATCCTGGTTTTTATGACTTCTTCTGAGCACATTTTTGTAGAATCTCTATACATTTTTTCGTTTTGACTTAAACATATTTTTCTAAAATACCTAGGTTTTTCATGTTTAATGGTTTTGTAATAAATCCATAAGAAGAGAAATATGATGCCACTGGACGGAGTATCTGCAGTTTTTCATTTAAAATTATTTGGCATAAATCATGAAATGTAATATCTCTCTGAAGTTAAAAAAAATAAATGCAGACAAATTCTCTAAAATTTCCAAAACTGTCAAGTTGATCTTCTTTTGAATTCATTATAAAATCGCCTAACTCGAAAAATATATTTTACAAAAAATCGAAGTTTTTAAGAAGTGTTTAAGAAGTTTATAGGGGATCTATAAAAACAAATGGGCTCAGAAGAAATCATAGAAACAAGTGATACCAATCCAACTGCTCTTCACCGCTCGGTTCCCGAATAATATTTTCAGTCTCAATACTTTTTGATTAGCCCTCGTATGTATATTGTGTAATGTTACAGTTAAAACCTGAAATCCACCATAACTAGTTGAAACTATTTGTAACATGCATATAATTTATTCACTATAGTTAATTTGGTTAAAATATTTATTAACAAGCATTGAGGTTAATCAATAACTTTTCTAATTATTCATCTCAAAACACAAAGTTTTTACGTATATAATACGTATTACAAATGGATTTGACAAGTAGTGAGTTTGTCGTGGCGAGTCAGTAGTGGTGTAGTGGTTAGTAACGAGTCGAATGGCAGCGAGAGACCTAGACTCTATTTTTTAGATATATGTTACTTGAGATAATTTTTTACTAAAAAGGGAGATCCAATTATCATAAACCAGTGATTTTCACGAAAGATTTTTAGTGCATTTTATATTTCTGTTTTTGTTTGTCAATCATTGTGGAATTGCTTAAACTTTTAAATTGTACTTTTATTTTTATATACATTACGGTTAGATACTCAGGATATAGATAATATACAAAAACAAAGCATAATTTTTCTATACAGTGATAGGTATATTTTAAAGTAAGCATATAAAACCGTTAAAGAGTAGAGGGGTTCTCATTTTATAAACTTATTGGTTAAGGTGGTTACGGCCATAGTTTATATTATTGAGAAAAACGAAAAAAGGATAGGAATGTCATTTGAACGATTCAGACTACAAAATGGCATATTTTGGGTTATCGAATTATTATATAAAAATAGATATGAAGTTTATTACTTTTCCATACTCCTCTGATCTAAACTTTAAACTGTTATAAGTTTATAACTAATAAACGGTAAATTCAATATTAGTATTGTGCTCGAATTTGTGGTTAAAAGAGGGGAGGCATCTCTATTTGAAAATCCAAAGTGTATAATTTTAGGTATAAGCAGAAGAGTAAAAATTGAAATTAATGTTTAAATAAAGAGTAAACGATTCCATAATGATTGGAAAAAAATAGAAATCAATAATATATTTAAAATCCTCCGAAGAAATTGCTGGTTCGTGATAAATAGATTACTCTGTATAGTTTATTTTTATTTTGAAGCTATACAATTTGGATCGTTATACACCCATACATAATATTCACGGTTATATAGTCCGTAGACGGAGATTTGATATTCGATTAGGATTCCATATATTTTAGTTTTTAGGTTTAGGTATAATAGTTACAACCACAGCCCGTGACTACAATTATTGTGTTCGTGATTGGTGCTATTATACTAATAATAAGACTAGTTATTAAATATTATACAATACCATTGATATTTGATACGACGGTAATATAATAGGTAGGAATTAAAAATTCGTTGTTGACCACTGTTGTAGGTGACGCAACGATTATTCTTTGATAACGAAAAACGATTCTGAGCGAAGTTCAGTTATACCTACATATTTTGAAAGACCGTAATCTTTCCGATTTTCGTCAAAATTCTTATATAAAAAAAAAAAAATACTATTGTAAGCTCAACTTTTTCTTATCGACCATTAAGTACGATTTATAATGAACCTCCTATTACATTTTCTAGCATTTCTCTTTGATTTAATAATTTTATTCACAGAGTATCTACCAAACTAAAATTAAGTAAAATCAAAATGTTATTAATAGCTCAAAAATGGCTCAAAAGTATTGAAAATTTTACCACATTTAAAAAAGACAAAAGCGTGTTTTTAGATCAAATTTTGACGGAAATCGTAAAAATTATGGAATTCCAAAATATATCTTGCCGAACTTAGCTCCGAATCGTTTTTTGTTAGTAGTGGTTTATCTTAGTATATAGATGTAAATTAAATAACATTGTATATCCTACCTTCCCGACTTCTCAACTACAACAGTGGTATATCCATTCTTAGTATTAGATTTTCTTTTATAATTAGGTGTTCATTTTAACATTCAATTTTAAATTGCAAACAAAAATTATCCAGCCATCAAACATCTTATTGAATTTTGTTTATTAGTAGAGTGTGAATTTAAATTCTTAAAAATTATAGTTAGTACCATATTAAAAAAGTACCTATATCCCGGATGTGTTCAAATTAATTCAAGTGGGTATTACATTTTTAATTTCTTTGCTGACATTGATATTTATGTAAACAGCATTTGCATTAGGTACCTTATTATATGTAGAATAATATGAAATTGTTAAACATGTAACGTAACGTGACAACTCACGTTTTTTAAATTATTATGGCATTTACGTTGAAATAAATGCCGATGACAAATGTTGAAGTATACATTATCCATGTATAATAATACATAGTAATAAATGTATCATGAATATAATTATTCACAAAATGATAAGGACAAATAATAACAGCTCAAAAGCGTAATTTCTATTCATTGGCGTATGTATAAAATTTGTAATATTTTAATAATAAATGTATTATTTAAAATTGCTTGTTTGTGAAGTACGGCAAGCGAATAGAGGAAATAAATTCCCAAAATTATTATAGTGACGTACATTTAATCTTACTCTGGGGGATGAGAAAGGTTAGAAAACTTAGGAACATTTTTTATGTTTATCCAAAATTTCCCTAACAAATTCCTAGCAAAATATTGATACTAGTTGTAGAGTTCTAGCATAATGTGCCAGAGTCAACTTGGTGGGCATACATTTTTTCCTAAAAATCAAACACGTACATGGACATTAGGTTTTCCCAATTCCATAGGGTGTCCGGCCATGTAAAAAGCGTAAAAAAAAGGCTGTCCTAGGATAATTCGGATGGGTGCAACCACTATTGTAGTTGGGAAGTCGGGATTTTTGTATTTATTTATTTATTTATTAATTGTTTTTTTTATTACTTTTTATTACTTATCTGTACCTACGTATATGGTATAGCTCTATAATACAAATAATAATAATAATACTAAGAACTGTAAAGGGCGCTGGTAGGACGCGACTTTTTGTCAGGTTTGATAAGAACATTCGTGGCCGCAATAGATAATATAAACTATAATAGGTATAGCCGGTATAGAGATTTTTTTATCTATGGCAGACTATATCCGCTAAGAAACACTTATTTCTGGATAAAGATTTTTAGCCTAAATTCAATTATATTTTTTTAATAAACTAGATAAGTCACTCTACTCTTTTTTTAATATAGAATTGACAATTAATATAGATATTAAGTGATATGAAATTTAGTTAGGTACTTGATACAATTTTACGAATTATGAATAAATTAGTTATGTATGTTAAGTGCGTATTAGCTGTTTTAAATAAATACACACTTCATTATCTTTATATAAATTGAAGGAATCGTAGAAAGCTTCAATCTAATACTCCTAACGTATTTATCAAAATGCAGAGCAAATAATCGATTTTTGGTTTTATAACATTCAAGTGAATGTTGCATTTGTGCTACATAAAATCTAACCATTTTTCTCGAATACTATTCTGTGGAAGACTATACCAAATTCATTATTCTTAAGTTATTTACTCTATAGCTAATTACATAAATGTCTGAAGTAATACTAGTAATTAAGTAGGTACTGATGAAATGTTATACTGCTGTTTTCGTTCTTTGGTTTTTGAATTCTTGCACACAAAATACAGCTGACCATAATGACAAAAGTACTCAAAAGACCAAAACAAAAATAACTAATTAGAACTTATTAGGACTAATTAGGAAAATATAGGAGTATTCATTTACTATTTACAACTTCACCAACTTAAATTACGTATATAAATATCTTATAAGAATTGAGAATGGATAATCAAGTACCTAGGTATTTATTATCATTTTATTGTACTGCCATCAATGCCATCTAGTGTTTTCTGTAGTGGTAAGAGGTCTATAATGGTGTTCAATTCTGCTTCACTATCATTCAAATTCATGCATAATGCCGTCACTATAGTTTTATTACTCAAAACTGTGATCCATTCATGAAGACTAGAATTCTATTCATGTTCATGGATCAATTACAGTCGTCGTGCAACCATAGTTATCTATTTCGTGGTTCATGTATGCAACCGACCCACGTTATCAAAAACAGTTCTTATCATTTTTTACTGTATCACATCGATAAATATCACGAACTGAACATAGACGTCGGACAATATGTATTAAATATTGGTTAATGAGATTGAATTTGATAGTTCAAAAAGAATACTAACATCAATAAATATAATTTAAAATATTATATAAATATTATTAAGCCATAAAATATGTGTTTTATATTTGTGATAGTGTGATCTAATCTCATATTATATTATCTATGATTATAAAGCCGTGCTAATTTGCTATCTACCGACCGGTTAATGGTTATCAGTACTATCAGTATAAATTCCAGGGAGATTTAAAGGGGAATCGATGGTACATACGTAACCTCAATTTCTAGAAACTTCCTTTCGTTGCGCCGAATTTCCGAATCAAGAACTGATGAAATTATTTTTAAAATAATAAATAATTTTAGTAATTTATAGTGTTTTGAGTGATTTAGTGATATTATTTTAATTTTTCTTTAATTATCAACGGTGTTTGTTTGGTTTCGATGTATTTGGGATCATAAATACTAAGTACTGAAGGTGAGTCATTTTTACATTATTTATTGATAAATAATGAAAGATATTGTAATTTACCGAATTTACTAATTTAATATTCTATTCTAATTATTTTTACCATTTAAAATGAAACAATCGATCACCGATTTTGTTATTTTCGTTGAACGCATTATCATATTAGGGACGTAGCCCGTCGCTTAAACAGCCAAAAGTTTCTGGCTACCATAGATTGTCTGTGTTGGCCGAAACAGCTAGAAAACTGCGTAGCATCTTTGATGGTCATAGACGTTATCAATTTCTAGTTTTTGCTGTGGATATTTGGCTGTTTTGGCAACCTAGTTTATACTTTATGCATTTATTTAACACAATGATTATCTTTTAATGCATATATTTAACTCTATTGAAATAGTGGATAATATTTGCTATAATTATTTGAATAAGCAATGACAAAATATGTGAAATTATAATAAGCAAGTAAATCTTTTATGTGGTATATATAGTAGAACAAATCCAATAATACTTATTTCAGTTAGGTATTATTTATATTTATTACATTTATTACCTAATTATGCAAGAACAAAACTTAATTAATCATATTTCTTCAATAATTATAGATTTAAAATTTGTTTAATCAACTTATAACCAAACTATAATAAATTATTTTATTTAATTCATTGAACTAATCAATTGTCACGGGTGAATTTTAGGGTACTATAAAAATTTATATTATTAATAGTTGATAATATACCTACATCACATAATATAATAATAATGATAAATACATTTCTTAATTGTTTATTCTAAATCTGAAGCTAAAATTACATTTTTTTCTTAAATGTAACAAATATTTCAACTAGTTACCTTGTTTAATTTTTTTTTATCTGATCATATATACATATAATAAATTGTGGCTATTATTACACCTGTATACTAATAATTTATTTATGTTATTTTATATTGTAGAAAATAGAGGTTAAGGTTTACAGGTTGATCTTCATTTTTCTAGTTTAATTTTAAGACATTTTCGTGTTATTATCAAATTTAAAAAAAAAAATGCCATCAGTACCTTTAACTTTTTAAAAGAACCTACAAAATTAAACTTAAACATTTATATTATTGCCATTAGTTTTATAAACATATAATTGATTGCAAGACATTTTAAAAAATGTGCCATTTTATTATTTATTATTAGTTAAGATATGAATTTTGAATTTATAAAAGTATTATTTTTAGTTCATAATACTTTTCCAAATGGTGAAATTAATTAGATTTTAATAATATTATGAATTAATCCAATTAATATTTACTATATCTTGTTATTTACCCTTTAAATAATTATAAAAGTTTCATTTAACAAGACATTAATTATACTAATTTTTAATAGATATATTTTACTTTGAAAAAAAAAAATGTGAATTTTTAAGAAAATTAAAAATTTCTCTTCATTTATTTCAATTTTCATATTATAAAGATATACAATTATTGTACTTATGACTTGTTTTTCATTTTATAACACCTTCTAAAAACCAATATTATCATAAAATTATATTTTGTTTGCTGAAATCTGAAATAAATATATTGTTTCACAGATTCTTGCTAGAAGTATAAATTAACTCTAGTTATTTCATAATTAATAGACGTACAATTAATTATAAATTATGCCTTCAAGTTTTTACAATTTAATTTCCTATGTACAATAATTGCATGTTTATAAGTATAATATTGCTTCTAAGAGCATACAAAAAATTAACTTAAACTTAATATTCATTATGACTATGGTAATTTGATCATTGTTTCATAATAATTGTTGACCATAAAAATTTAATTTTAACTATGAATTATACCTATTTTGAAAAAAAAAAAATGTTCAATATACCATTTAAAATAGTAACCTGTTTTATTTTATGTTATATATTATAATAATTTATGGTATTGTTTTTTGGTAATTATTCATGAACATAATATGAAAACTTTTTGTAATTATTTCTTTTTTTATTAGTTGACTTAAGTACCTATTAGTTATAGCATTTTGTATAATATCAATTATATTTTCAACCAACTTTTTTGTGTTGAAAACTGTATCAAATTAATTGTAAATTGATTTCTGGTTGGTTTAATCGTGAGACCGAAATAGTGAGAACATAATAGTAATATTAAGAAAACTGTATGTGTTATTTTTATGATGATGCAAAATATTCTATTACAATCCTAATAAATAATTAATTGAAAGCTTAGTTCTAACAACAATTTGAAATATTTTTTTATATAATTATAAATTAACAACCCTGATATATTAGGTACCTCTCTTTTAATGGGCAATACATTGCCTACTTATGTTGATTAAATAACAGAAAATACTGATTTTTTACGTTGTGAAAATTGATGTAGATAGTATTAAAAATTACATAATGCTTTTAAGTATTAATTATTATTGTATTAATGATAAATGATTCATGATATCCGTGTTAGTGTAGTAATGTTGCACGTTTCGACGTTTGAAATACGTAGGAAATCATCTACTCCCTTGGTCGAGAATAGTTGCTTTGCTTTTCATACACGTTTTTCCATCGTTGAACTCTATTGATGACCTGGCACCGTGTGGCTATTTTGTGGAGGGGAGACTGATTACGTCATGTCTTTTATCACGTTTTATCAAAAGGGGTCGTCCGTTAATTTTTCGTTTCCCATTCCCACCAATTTCCTAGTTAATTGCACTGTACATTATAAATATTGTTCGTCGTCCTTTTCAGTGCTCACCGTTCGTCTGCTTTGACGTTGCAGTTACTGTTTCATCCAGTGTTATTACAAGTTTTGAGTATTCTTTAACAATTTTATCGTATCGCGCATTTTTTTCATTTAGTGTGATTTTACAAACAATTGTTCACCTCTAGATTTAATATGTATTGTTTTCAGTCCTACGACCTTTACCATTCCGATTACGGACTATCTTAATATTACGAAGTACGAAAAAATCTGTTTCTTATAAATTGTTTTTGTAAACAAATATTCGGCATTCCTTTGAAATAACAGGTAAATAATTAATATTATTATATTTTAGTTAAATTTGTTTGCATTAATGGTCTAACATTTTTTGTTTAACATTATTCTGAATTTAGAATAATAAAAGTATTAAATTTGTATAGCTTAAATTAAAACAATTTAATTAAAATTATATGATCCACCTGTATTCTAGATTATTATATTATGAATTTGTAAATTCTTTGTTCTCGGGATTGGAATTATTGAGTGATGTATCTATAATATTATTTGCTTTTCAAATAGAATGATGATTATCTATAATATTATTTATCATTAGGTCAATTAGCCGAATTAAATACTTATCAGTTGACCCTTTTTATGTAAACATTTAATTGATTTGCTTATATTACAAACTTTCATTTTTTATTTTTTATTTTTTTTTATGTTGCTGGTTTGTGAGTTAAAATATTTAAATTTACTTATTTTGGTTAAATTATAATTTAATATTTATATTATGTATATTGAAATTTTATAAAAGAAGTACTTATGTATTTCTATAATGATAACATCAATAATTTATTTTAATATTCTATTTTTATAACTATCTATTGCTATTAACCATGTTTTATATTAGTTATTTTTGTTTAATATATGGCCATACTTATTTAAAGTATAAAATCAAAGATTTCTGGCTTAGAAAACCGCTTTTACAATAAGAAATAATTTTTGATCAGCTGACTTTCTTAATTATACCCTTGAAGGTTTTAACTATTTTTATACAAATTCTTTACTTATTATCCATTTAATTTGTAAATAGATACTTATAATAATAATAATAATAACACTTAATAAATATTATGGTATCATTTCTGTTATAATAATAAAAATAATCAAATATAAATGTTGATAGCTATGATTTGCTAATGTATTATGAAAGTATATTATGAGATTATTAGTTTATCAATTAAACATTCCTTCCTAGTTACTGGTTAATAATAAATACCTATTGGTGCATTTTGCCATTGAACTAAATACTACTATTTGTATTTTTATTTATAACCAATTTTTCAAATACTATAACATTCAAATAAACTAAATCTTAAGTACCTTATATTTGTATTTAAGTAGGTACTTTTGTTTGAAAATTTATTTTAGCTATGTTAATTTACATACTAATATATCTATTTGGCTTTAAGTATAAAATAATTTATCATTTATATATTATATAAAAGGCAATCTATGTAGGGATGTATAATTTGTATTCATATAACTTATATGCCAATATTTGTAATTCAATATTTTAAGTATTAGGTTTCGATATAATAATAAATAATATTTAATTACTTATGAATTATTAGTTTATATATATACACCTATATTCTATATTGTAGAATATTTTATACAAATAAATCAGCTTCTATTACCATTAAAAAATTAATCTAATTATGTATTTTAATTTTTCTCTAATCTGTCTTCATTGAACCCTTCAAGTTTGTGTACCGCTTGGTGGCAAATTCTAAGTTCTTAGTATAGCAGAAAGCAACATAATTGTATACTCACATCTCATTGATTGTATTTTGTACAAGAATCTGAATACATATCACATCAAATATAGAAAAATACTATCTATATAATATAACAGAAAAAAAAACTAACAATATTAATTGTTTGATGCTTGGTTAGGTTAGGTTAATATTTTTAAATCTATAAATGAAATATTAGGACCTAAGAATATTAAAAAAATAAAAATCTTTATTTTTGTTTCAAAAAATACTTAGCAAAAATCAAAAATTTTAATTCAAGTTTTCTATCAGAAATCTTGCTCCGACTTTTTGATTTAATACTTTTTCTGAAAGAAATTTTTATCTTGGTGGTACATTATGGAACACAATTTTCGATTTTTTCAAGTCATTTTCATTAAAATAGGGATATAACAGGAATATTTACCTACGTGTATAAATGAAACTTCGCTCCGAATTGTTAGCAATGATTAATCTTTGCGTACAGATTTACATTTAATTTTGCCTCTCATCCCATTTTCTTACTTACAGTAGTGACTCACCCATTGTGTGTCTGTTTACATAGAATTGATGAAGAATTTTAAATTAAGATGTGCTTCTATTTGAAGGGTGATACCTATCTATAAGTATTTTCCGATGAATTCTTTATAAGTGTTTTTTCTGAAAGTATTTGCTATTAGGTAGTATTAATAAGTATAGGTTTTTTTATATATATACAGAGTGATTCAAAATGTATGATACCTTTATTTTTTAAATTTATAAATAAAAATGTATTTATATTTTGTTTTATTAGTTTTGTCGGGGGAAGGATTTGATTTAGAGTCAACTTTCGGAATTCACATAGAAGCCATTTTTTTTGTGAAAATGTTTGTTTGATAAATGTTAGTGATTGAATAATTAATTTATTAGTTTATTCAAAACTGTGCTTGAGGGCGATTTAAAGTTTTTAAAATTTGTATTTTGACCACATGCCTGTAACATACATTTTGAATTACACTGTTGATATATATATATAAGTGTATAATATTTATCGGTTACAAATTTTTAATTTATAAGAAAATTGATAACTGATAAAAGTCAAGGTTAACTAGTTGATATTATATACTCTTGGAGGTGATTTAAACTTATACATTTTTGTAAATTTCTTTTAATATAAATATGACTAATAATTAATATGATAAGTTTTTCTATTTATTTTATCGTTATATATATATAATATTATAAAGTTTAGTCTATTACTTTTTTTTTATCCAATTGTTTGATATTAACAATTAATAATTAAAGACCCAAAATAGATGATTGTGTACCAGTTTTTGGGATGCTTTATTTTTTTTTTAACATTATTTTTGTTAATAACATTTATATCTAACTACTTATATGCATTTTTTTTATTTATCTACTAAATAGTAATTAATAATATTAAAAATTTAAAAAAAAAATGTTCATGATAATAAGGCAGTCATAACAAGTATTAAGTACTGCAAATATGTTTGCAGTTACATTATATTTTATTTCATAGGTAGTCCTTATATTATTTTTTTTCCACTTTATAGAATTTTCTGATTATAGCTTTTTGTTGAATCTGGTTATCCAATAATACCTACAGATTTTAATTATGATTTGAATGCATATTTATTCATAAATAATCTCTGGTTATTTTGTATTGTATATAAAAAAAAAAATTAGAAAAGAAACATTTACAATGGCTATATATGATTATTTTAATCATATGAAGTTACATGTGTATTATTTTGTAGTTCAAGGTATTTAATGTTGAATAAAATATAGTTGCTATTTTACCTAGTTTAATTATTGAAAATTAATGATGAACTGTTTATTGTTGTGCAATAAGCATTAAAAAAAAAATTTCTAAATATCATATGTAGTTTGTATTATTTGAAATGTTTTACAAAAGTAGATATTATGTCATTACTACATTATCTATATGATTTACGTGAATTCTGATAATATTATAAAGAGGAATAAAAATAAGTACCTTATATCATAATTTATTTTTAAATATAAATATTACTTACATTATCATTAATCAATACATAGATATAGTGTTTTTTTATAAAAAAAATATCAAAATATAACCATTTAAAAAAAATAGTTTATTTTATTGTTAGGATTGATATGAGGGCATGTAGAGGAGATTAAATAATGACTATACGGAGAATAAAAATAAAAGTAGCTGCGCTTGCAAGAGGAAGACCCTTAATTATATTCAATTATATATTATTCGAAAAAAAAATATTTTTTTTAAAATTTTTACCTGAGTTTTATATCATGTATTTTTTCTTACCTTCATACTACACTTTGTATGAGTAAGTACCGATTTAATCTTAAATAATAATAAAACTAATTGTCATAATAAAAATTAAAATATATTTTTACAGATTTGCACTCACATTGAAAAAAAAGACCCTTAAATTTGTACCCAAAAATAATAAAACTAAATAAATGGAAGTCCACCTTTACCTTTAAAAAATGTATTGTCCATTAGTATATTTAAATAATACCCTAAACCTTGCTATTTTTATTATAAAATATCTAATTATTTACTTACTCACTTTGGCCAACGTATAAAATAATCATTATATTAATTCTAAATTGTTAGCAAGAATTGCTATCTAGAATTCTACCAATGTAACTAAAAGAATTAGTTAGAAAACATATTTATATTTTCAAAAAAAATAGTTTTAAATATATTTGCATTCAATCACCATGTCTTTTTGTACTGTAACAGCAAGTAAATCTTCATTGTTTTTTCATAAAATTCTAAATAATTTGTATTAATTATCAGACAACTTTCTACAGTTTTCATATAAATTTGATAGTTGTAATCGAAAATACAAGTTCTATTGATGCATCTGATAACACTAATTTTCATACTGGTAATAATGATTACAACAAAAAATAAAAATCAAATTTTCTATTACCTAGTCCTAGTAAATTTAATTATCTGAATAGTTTTTATGTATATTTCATAATAATTCATACAATTTAAATCATGTTTCATGTTATTTTATTTAAATACATTACATTTTGAACTAATGCATTTAATTAGTACTTAATATTATGGTGTAGTAATAATATTCTACCAATTTTAGAGAAATTCTAATAATTGTCTGTATTATTTAAAATCTATTTTCTACTTAGTATTTATTTAGTACATGTGTTTTAGATTCTGATTGGAGCTATGAATGTATTGGTTTTACAATGATGTTTATTTTACTATTTTTATTTTTTCTGTATACAACTTTTCTAAAAGGTAATCTGACTGGGGTGAAAGTTGAGGGAGGTTATTTTTTGATTTTCCAAACTGTTTTCAAAAGAAATTGGATATGTAGTCAAATTGGTACAATATTAAACAAATATTTAAAAAAATATATATACCACATATGTAATTATTTTACTATAATATGACATATATATTTAACCGAATCACGCTCAGTAATGATTAATTGTTGCGTAAGATATACATTAAATTTCCCCTCTACTACTTTCCCAATTTCTCACCTACAACAGTGGCCCACCCATGTGTGAATTATGTTTGTCTTTCTATATTACACTTTATATCATTGCGTTTACTGCTTCCATGCTCTTGCATTTTTCAAATATATTTTTAGCAACCACTTCTTTCACTGTTAACTCATAGCGTTATCGCACATTATAAATTTATTATTTAATGAAAGGTGAAAGCAGATACTTTTGGTTGTACCTTGAAATTGAACACGTGACTACCTCGTGTTTCAACTTTTATCTTGTTTTCCTGCCTCCTGAATATTCTAGTTATATAACATAATTCTGTAACAAGTTGCAAATATATTGAATAGTTCTTTCATTTTAGTGCTTTCTCCTATTGATATTACTAAACATGAATTTAATATTAAATTGCACATAGGTAATAATTTTTTTTCTTACTGCTCTTGAGCTCAATTTGATTCTTATTTTAAAAGTTTTATAATAACTTAAGGTCAAATACGCACAGAAAAATATTTTGAAATTTAGACACCACTGTGCGGCTATTACCTAATTGACAATTTATTAATTTTATCATTCGGATTGGTGCAGGAAGAAGTTGTTTCTGATGTATATGACCTCTACAACCTTTGTTAAAATAACAATAATAATTATTATTATCATGTATCTAGACATTATTTTTTTTAGAATTTAAATAAGTAAAGATATTTTTCAGAGAAAGTTAATTTCGATGCAACATGCAACTTATTTTAAAGTACCTACTCATAATATTATACAACATTTGTGTGTAATTGATTTATTTTGTGCATATGTGTTTATAATACAACATTAATTAATATTTCATTAAATATTCCTTTGACTAAACACATTTGTGTTAAACGTGTACAAATTGTATGAATACAAAAATTAAAATTACAAATATTTCACATTAAAATAATATAATTTATTTATATATTTATTTGATTTAATTGTTGCATTTAAGTATTTTATATGAGAATAAAAATTTGTTTACTACCTATCTATAATTAAGTTTTAAATTAATAGTATTACCACTTGTATGATATTACCAATTAAAAATACATAATATACCTATATTATATTAATTTCAATTGTGACCTTGAATGAGGAAGGAAATGTCAATATTATTTTAGATTTTGAGTGTAGCGAGGTATGTATTGGGTTTACAATCATTTTTATTATTACTAATTTTTTTGGTGAACAACTTTTCTACCAGGAATTTTGATCCATTTTCTAGTATAGTGCTGCTTTAATGAGGTGATTTTCCCTAGGGTTTTCATAATAAATGGGATAAAACCTAAAAAAAAAAACAGAACATTTATGAAATGTAATATTTTAAAATTGTAAATATTGCGAAGTTTCAAAACATGTATAACTGAACTTTGCTCAGAATCATTTTTTGTTAGCAATGATTAGTCATTAATTACAATTAATATTAAATTTCTTTTCTACCTTCCTAACTCTCACCTACAACATTGGCCCACAGTGCAAAATATGTCCATTTATCTTTCATTTGTGCATGTGCATTTTATTTTATAAATTAGAATACCATAATTAACTATCAACTTTACTGTATCTTATTAACGACAATAAATATAAATGTATGAGTGTATGCCATTGTCATTTCTTTGAAATAAGTTATAAAACTCTAATAATATTTACATATCTTTTACCTGTTTGATTTTGTAGAGATTTTGTCAATGGAAATAAAAATAATAATGCGATTTTCTGTTCTTAATAATCAATAATTATATAAATAATTGATTAAATTGAAATAAGTTTTAATTCCAAAATTTTCTAAAAAATCGTTTTAATAACCTTGACTCAATGTTTTAGATAAATAAATATTATAATAATTGTTAATTTAATAGTATGTGTAAGTTATTTTTCTGGTTAATATTAAGTTCAGTATCAAACTATATTAATGTTAAATAGGTTTTTATTATTATTATTATTATTATTATTATTATTATTATTATTATTATTATTATTATATATAATATGTACTTTTTACAAGAAATATAAATGTGGCATTATTATACAACAGAAATTGAAAGTACATGTATTATATTTATATATTTATCAAAACAGATTATGTAAATAATATGTTTTTAAAAGTGCCTCGTCATGCTTCATAAAAAAATCATTTGATTGCCAGTAATAAATAATAATTGAAAACAACTGTATATTGTAGGATATAAAGTAAAGAGTTTAATATTATAATAATATTACTTTTTTTTAATATGTGTAATGAATACGGTTTTTAAATTATAAATAATATATTTTAGTATATCATTTTAATTTCATAATATAAAACATTACCACATTAATAGTTAATTGACATAATATGAAATTTAAAAATATGTAATACATTTTTCTACTGATAACTTTTGTCATACATTTTAATCAATCATCGAGTAGTTTTAAAACCAATTGCAATAATATTTACACATTCAAATTTATAATAATAATATTTCGTGTTGGCTGACTGTGAACACACTGAGTCGGCAAACAATGAAACAACTTTTTATTTATTCAAATATGTATAGTTGTAATACCTACACATATTGATTATATTTTAGGCATAAGATACTGTTAGTGTACAAACAATAGTACCATATTATGTATTAGCATTACTTATACCCTATATAGATTAAAATGCATTCATAAAATGTAAACTTATTGAATTAATAATACTATACCAATTATACAATTATATTTACATACAGAATCAATATCCACAACATTTTATTTAAATTAATTTTAATTTTATTAATAATGTAATTAAATACTAAAAATGTAAATCACTGTTTTATGTAAGAAACTTAAAAAAAAATAGTAATAAAATCCTAGGTTCTTTGGACTGACTTGTTTTAATTCAAATTTATTTATTTGTGTTTCAGATAATTTAACTTAAAATGGCACCAAATATGACCAAGCGCCCAGTTGGCGCACCCAGTGTTTTATTCAGTGAAGATGAGGATCCGTCAGTAGTTGATGATCAAAGTCAAATAGCAGAGGGTGAAACTATTGAAAATAACAAATATAAACCATGTAGATATCAAAGACAAATTGTATGGCGAAATGTTGCTCTGTTTGCATACTTACATATAGCTGCACTATATGGTGCATACCTAATGTTTGCGTCTGCAAAAATAGCAACATCAATATGGGGTAAATTTTAATGCTTTTGATTTTAACTCAATGTGTATGTGGTAATTATATTAATTTATTTTAGCTATTTTATTATACCAAATGTCTGGATTGGGAATTACTGCTGGAGCTCACAGATTATGGGCCCATCGATCATATAAAGCAAAATTTCCTTTGCGTATAATTTTAATGGTCTTCAATACAATTGCTTTTGAGGTAATTTGTTTGATGTATTTAAAAAAAAAATCAATTTAATATTAGTTTTAAATACATTACCTAACTATAATAATAATACATTGTAGACACATTTTTAAATACGTGTTCATCCATTTTTGTCTACAATCTGTCTCATACTAAATATAGCAATTTCCATTTCTCAAATTTAATATGTAAGAATGTAAAAAATATTTTTAATTGTATAAAAATTCCTAAATTAATTCAATAATTGCATTTTTATTACTGAATATTTATATTTTTTCTTTAACAACTGGATATGAATATTATCATTAAAATAAGCGTATGTATCCTGTATATAAATGTATTTTTAAAAATCTGTAGAATCACATTTATGAATGGGCACGAGATCATCGTATGCATCACAAGTACAGTGAAACTAATGCTGATCCTCATAATGCCAAACGTGGATTTTTCTTCTCTCATGTCGGATGGTTGTTGTGTCGTAAACACCCTGAAATTAAAGAAAAAGGACGTGGTATTGATATGAGTGATTTAGATCGTGATCCAGTTGTTGTCTTCCAAATGACGTAATTAAACAAATTAATTATAGATTTATCATAATATAACATATTGTTTTACATTTATAAATATTAAAAATATGTTTTTTTAGGTACTATTTATTATTGATGCCGGTTTTATGTTTCTTAATACCAACATGTGTGCCTGTCTTTATTTGGGGTGAAACATGGACAAATGCGTGGTTCGTGGCTACTATGTTCCGGTATACATTCACTTTAAATATGACATGGCTTGTAAATAGTGCTGCTCATATGTGGGGAGATAGACCATATGATAAGTGAGTATTCCAAATATAGTTTTGCTTTTATATTATATTTAAATATTTATGTATAACTAAGTACTAGGCAGTTATATGAGATGTATAGGGGTTATAAGAGAGTAACTATAATAATCAGATTTAAAATTAATATTATGCAATATTATATTTTAATGATTAGGAATGTACTTAATTAAATGATAGGTCATTGGGGTGTATTTATTGAATATGTTATTAGTTAAAATATAGTAAATAAGGAGTGGAAACTTTCCATTTTATTTTTTATCAAACATTAAATATAATAACATAAAATGAATAGTAGTTAACACATTTTATCTAAATTATTTTTGCCTACTATATATTCTTTTTCAAATGAGAACACACCACGTCGCTCATCGTTATCAGAGGCAAACCACAGGCCCTAACACAAAATTAGTAATTATAAGACTTGCGCGATTTTTGACCAGTTTTCGTCTGCCACCTGATACGCTCTTATTTGAATAAGAGTATAGTACTAAAGTAATAGAGGTAAAATCTGTTTACATAACTATATTTATGACACACAGACAACATATTAATTCGGTAACTAGTCTCATAAACTCAAAAACAAGTATTTGAATAATTTATTTTTGTATTTTATTTTGGCTCATTAAACCTTACTACGCACAAAAAAAATATATTATACATATTATAAAATGTTATATATGCGTTATCTTTTTTTGATATTAAATTATGAACTGGTAAAGTGCAGGTTCAATCATTATTTATTCTGGTCATCCAATTATTTGACCTTCATTATTTATAATAATTACATGTATTGTTGAAATAAATTTTAATTTAATACTTATATATTAATTTCTAGGTTTATCAATCCTTCAGAAAACATTGGTGTAGCATTAGGTGCTCTTGGTGAAGGATGGCATAATTACCATCATGTATTTCCATGGGATTATAAAGCAGCAGAACTGGGAAATTACCGTGCAAATTTAACAACGGGATTTATTGATTTCTTTTCTAAAGTGGGTTGGGCTTATGACTTGAAAACGGTTTCTATGGATATGATACGTAAACGTGTAGATCGGACTGGTGATGGAAGTCACATTTGGGGATGGGAAGATAAGGCCTTATCATCAGAAGATCGTAAAGAAGCAGTCATCATCAACAGGTCTCACGAAGAGTAGAAAATATAGTTTTTGGAAAATGTTCATACAAAAATATAAAATACAAAAAAAAAAACCATTTACAGTTTTTTTTTTCTAATTAATAAGAAGCAAGAATTTTAATGGAGGGGAGAAAACATAATTGACAGATCCATACAAATAAACTTTTAACAGTGTAAATAAAGATATATTTTAAAAAGTTTAAACAAAAAGTTAAAACCGTTTTCCTTAGTTATTATATTTTATGTATTAAAATATAAATATGTATAGTATTTTGTAATTTTAATTAATTTATTAATTTTTTTTTTTTATATACATTTTTTTGGAGCCATATAATTCAAAAAATATATATTTATGGTAAAGCCTGTTTTTTTTTTTTTTTTTTTTAGTTCCTAATCATCAACAATCATTTAAACGATTATAAAAAAAAAATAGGTATTATAATATTTTATAATTTAGTATACTTGTTTTGTTGAACTATCTGTTATTTCACCACTAGATTAAGCTTGCTCCACTTAAATGTTAACAAGTCACAATTCATTATATTATTTTTTTATTAAAATAATAAAACAAATGTTTTTATATAAATTTATAAATTTAAAACGTGTATGAATTTTAAAAACGGCTCCATTTCACACACACTCTATATTTTGTGTTTTCCGGGTTTTTTTTTAATACAAAATATTTTATTTATAAATCTTCAATTTTTTGTTTTCTAAAATATGTAACATATTCCAAATAATATATTACAAGTTTAAGCCCTCATCCCAATTTGGTAGATACAAATAATTTGATATGTACCTACTTCAGTAAAAAAAAAAAAAATACATTGTAGTAATTTTACCACTATATATTATTTAATAAACAATATCCTTGGTTATAAAATGTTTTATTTATTTTTTTGTTTGTGTATTCAAATTTTATTTGCTTTCTATAAAGCAATAAAATTATAAAAATAAAAAGTAAATTGTGTGTTGGTCATTTGAAAGACCCAATTATATTTTATTATATTATTAAATACTAATATAAATAATAAATTACTATTGTAACTTGAAAGTTACAATAAATAAAATAAAATTTACAATAAAAAAAATAAATAATAAATAATAAAATTATGTATAATTATTTAAGCTCAAAGATATTATTTCCATAGTTATTCTATGTGATACCTACTACTTATAGCCACTGTACAATGTCAGTGGGTTTTTCTCGAATGACAAACCATCAAGTCATATTTTTCATTATTTATAATTTTAATTTTATGTATTTATTCAAATCATTATTACAACGGTGAAGTATTATAATTTTGATGTTTTTTTTTTGGAGTGTAGTGGCATTAATACACATTTTCTACTGTTGGTTAGTAAAGAAATATAATACTATATAATTTAAGATTAAGCAATTTTTTGTATTAATGAGATACATTTAATTTATACGCCAGTGAAAAAAAAACAAAACAAAATATATTAGACTGGCACAAATTGTTATGCTAATTTAGCAACCAACACATGTGTAAGTTAAGGCCAATGACAGTTTTTTGGGTTAAAATTTGACGTCATACTACTACTGTAGAATAATTATTTTTTTATTTGTATTAGTTGTTGGTAAATATTTTTTAAATGTTTTATTTTAATTCTAAATTGATGAAACATCAAAAATGATCAATATAGATCATTTTTTTTTTCATTTTTTGTTTTACTTATCAACAATAATTTTAATTAAAAACAGCTGTTTTGATAAGTACTTAGCTTAATCCATTTTAAATTTACACAGTTAAATAGTTTATTTTTTAAGAAACCCATTATTATTAATGTATAGTAGTACAGAATGTATCTGAATTTTTACCTAGGTATAATTAAACAAATTAAAGTAGGCCAACGATTTAAAAATTTGAGGGAGTTGTGTGAACACTTGTAGTATTCCAATCCCGAGGAATTATAATATAATATTGCGTCGAAATGTGTAATTATTGTGAAATAATATCACTAACAAATACGTCACAATGTACCTTGAACTGTTTATATGCCATAGAAAAGTACTGAACCAATAAGATGAATTCAACAATCAAAATGAACTATAATTAACATAAACAGTGTTTGAATTGCGTGGGTAGGTCCTCTCAGTGGCAGATCTAGGATATTTTTATGGAGGATGCTATTATGCTATCATATTCTGTATAGTCCATCCTGATTGTATGGCCTTTTTAAGTCCTAAAAAATGAATATGCTTAATATTCAAAATGATAATCATAAGTGAAAACTAAAAACACATCTAAAACAAATTCCTTTATTTTAAAAAAAAAAATAATCTACAATAATAAAAAAATAAATTTAAACGAAAAATTAAAATAATAATTGATAAACAAAAAATATTATATAAATTAATGAATTATGAATATCAATTATGTATAATTGATGAACAAAATGTCAATAAAAATTATTTGGTCATTTCGACTAATCTTCCAACTCCAACTTTCTCATTTTTTCGCTCAAATGTGACAATAACTTGGTTTATATCTATTACTATCTGTTTGTGTATGTTAATATGGCCAAACCGTTCAGACGTAATTCAGGCTTAGTGGATCTTAAGTAAATTTTAACCTTTTTAAAGTTTAGAGAGATTTCTCCGCTGTGGTTGTAAAAACTAGTAACCTTGTAAAAAAGTATTTTGATTTTGAGAAAAAATTCACTGCAGTGTTCTAGCTTTCACAGTGTTAATACTTCAACCACAATTTATGGATTGTTTTAAATTTTAGCCCATTTATTTATCCACAAATTTATTTCTGCTTTTAAATTCTAAATTCGAACCCTTATATCATCTTCACAATAAAATTTGGCAGATTCATAGAAACATGCCAGGCCTTCTAAAAATGCATGTGTGTATTGTGTATACGTACAGTATTTGTTTTAACCATATAGCAACAAGCCAAGGGGGGTACTATAGCACCCTAGTACCCACCTCTAGATCCACGCTTGGGTCCTCTACCAAGAATAAGTTCACACGGGAAACAGAAAAGGGCATTTTTACAAGAAGAATAACTAAGTTCTACGATTTGTTTATCCATTAATTGATTTTTTAAAAAATCAGTCAGATGTGCAGAACTTCCATTCCTTTCAGTTTTTTCAAATAAAAATTTCCATTATAATTTATTCTTGATTTTACAATATGTAATCGATGTGGGATTGTAAAAACTATACTATGAATTTGGATCTTTAAAGTCCAATGAAAATTGAAAGCCTTTAATGACTTCCTCCAAATTACTAATATTTTCTTTAATGTCACAAGTTATATCATTCCGGTCTGGCAATATGTTAATATCAAATAATAACTATAGTTAACTAAACACGTAAGTATATGAATGTATTTACTAAATAAGTAATACTATAGTAACCGACTCGTACAAAAAAATAAAAAACTATCGGCCATCACGTTTAGCTTAAAACTGTCGCTGTATGTTTTTATTGTTTCTGGTCAGATCTTAATCACGTAGGTACAATATGTTAATTAAATACTATGTATTTACAATTTCTAATTCAAATTTATGAAAATGAGAAACTAATTTATTCAAAATTATATTAGGTAGGTACATAGGTACATATAAATTAAATACCTACTTAATGATAATGCCTATACATCGAATAAATAAATTCATAGTATCTAACTACTTATACGGAACGCGGAAGTATTAATGTATGTTGTTTTTTCTTGTAAACTAGGTACTAATGCAAATCGTATCACGGGTTAGATTGAGTTCAATAATTAAAAACCATGGTAATTATTTTTAAGTCCTTTTTCTTCAATTTTTTTCAATTCGAACACTGAATATAATATAGTAAATAACCCAACCTATTATTATTAATATTATTCCTATCAAATTATTATATCCAGTCGGATGAACAACCAGTTATTAAGTACCTACATATGGTTATAGATTACAATAGTGTATAGTACCTATAAAGCATGACCGGTTTCCACCAAAAATGTACTTTTGAAGCAAGAAGCATCCTGACTTTCTCCTTTTCCGCCGAATCATAAAATTGGTCTAATGTTCAAATATTAATGAATAATTGTATACAATACAATATTATTAATTAGACAAATAAATACATTTTAAAGATTTTCTTGGATAATGAGGATGGGTGCAGCCACTGTTGGGCCCTCTTTACACGATGATACTCAAAAGAAACTTTAGTCGCTTGAATACTATATATGGGACTAGGGGTCTAGGCAGCTAGGCGACTGAACATATGTGTTTAAATGGCGTCGTTCAGACGATGCTACAGAAATCAACGCGACTGAGCAACTGACGCGAGTACGCGACTAGATTGTCTCCTCGCTATTCTAGTTGCCCGAGTTTTTAATAAGATATTTTGTGTAATACAATTTTAATTTTATGATGTAATTTTATCTTTGCATTATGGAGCAATATTTTAATATAAATTTCGGCAATGAAATAGAAAAGCATCCCAAGCTATACAATTACACTTACACGTTAAAAAGCTATTTGAGGAAAAACATGACGGATAAAGCTTGAAGTGAAGTAAACACTGAAGTTAAACTCACAAGTTTATAATAATGATAAAGAATAATATCTTCATCGCTATTAGAATCACTACTTAAAGACATTACCAATATTAAAAAATAATAAAAACAAATCAACTATGGGAAATACTAAAAACATTAATTTTAATCTCGAGTCGACACTAATTTGATAAACGGTGTGTGAGGATAACTGGAAACTTCAATAGTCTACTTGCCTAATCTCATAGTATCCAAGCGACTACAGTTTCTTATGAGTATCGTCGTGTAAGAAGGGCCTTATAGATAATTTAATGTATACCTATAAGCAACAATAAACCATTGTTTACGAAAAAAACGATTCTGAGCGGAGTTCAGTTGATAGTGATGCTTTGTCAATAATATATGACATTTTGAAGTAAAACAAAATTAAATAGGTTCTATATATTTTCTTTAATAATGTTTAATGTTGTATCGATTTTTCCATGTTTTATCCCAGTTTTTCACATCTGCTGGGAAAACTCTTGAGAAAATTGAAAAATGACTTCTATAAAGTACCTCGTTAGTGAAATTTCCTATTAGAAACAAGGCTATCATTAAACGTTGGAGCAAAATTGCTGGTAGAAAAGTTATGCACAGAAAAAAAGAAAGCAGTAATATATTTTATTTTTATTCTATACACTAGATTGTGTTAGTAGCTTTGCTAAAAGTGAGAATGTTCGAGCTTAATTTATCATTAATTCGTTCAGTACCCTGTATAATATCTTAATTCGTGGTACTGTGATTGTGATATAAACCTAGACCTTATAATAATCACAGATTTATAAAACATGTTTGTTTTATGTATGTATGTAAAACATGTTGCTTTATATATCTATGATACTAATAGACACGAAATGATTATACACTGGGTGAGGAAAGATAGAAGACATTTTTCCTTGACTGATTGACTATAAATTATCATGCACACCATAAAAGCACAATAAAAATAAGCCATTACCTATATTCCCAATATTCAAATACCAAGTATACTTAACTGCCCAATGCCCCAATATAATATTACGAGTACCTACGAATTATTTATTAGCACAAAATACAATGATTTAATTATAATAGGTAATACACGACAAGAAGTAACGACAAAAACGTATGATTTGATTAAAGCAACAAAGTCAATGGGCCTGAAAGTAAACCAGAACAAACAAAATATTTTTCATGACTGAGGAAGCAAGAGATAACCTGGACCTGATAGTAGGGAACTATTTCTTCCAACAAGTTGAAGATTTCAAATATATTGGGGTGAACATAAACCAGAATAGTAATATGCATAACAAAATCAAACTGAAGATATTTGCTGCTAACAAGGGCTACTATGCTTTGGGAAAACTGTTCAGATCAAAACTTCTCTCTAAACAATCAAAGGAATTCCTATACTCAAGTTTCCTACATCCAGTTTTAACATACGCATATGAAACATGGTCAAATACTAAAGGAGATGAAGAAAAAATGGCTTGTTTTGAAAGAAGAGTGCTTAGAAGGATATATGGACCTATCTTGGAAAATTAAGTTTACAGAAGAAGAACTAATAGGGAATTGCAGCAAATCTATCAAAAATCAAGTATTAATACGTACCTCATGAGTAAGCGAATTGAGTGGGTAGGCCATTTATGGAGATCAAACTGTATTTTAAGGAAAGTCCTGAAAGAAAAGATGAATGGGAAAAGACCAAAGGATCGCCCTAGGCAGCGCTGGGCAGACAGAGTCAATGATGATCTAATCAAATGCACTCAGGGTGTAAAAATAGCAGACAGTATGGATAGGAAAGAATAGAGAAATGTAGTGGTAGAAACGAAAGTTCTTCAAGGACTGTAAAAGCTTAAGAAGAAGATGTAGTTAACTTATTTATGAAAAGTTATGCCTTCGCTTTTTACTTTAGCTACTTGCCATCTACCGTAAAAACAAAAACTTGACATTTTATTTATATTAAATATATTAAATAGAATTATATTCACTCGCAGTAATAGTAATTAATAATGAACTATTGAACTCAGAGTAATGACACAGAGTAATAATAACAATAAATTAGAAATTAATTGAATTTGTTGTTATAAAAACAGCGCCATCTAACGGTGCAGTTTATTGTGAGCTGTGTTTGTATAATAAAAGACATAATTAGGTGTTATGAATTAAAAAAATATATATGAAAAGAATGTGATCGATAAATTTTACCTACAAATAAAAAATGATGTTTAAAGGTCTGTTTTTAATAGTAGTATAATGGATACTTAAATATCAGGTCAAATATTATTCACCAACCATAAGGATTAACTCATGTCAATAATAATAAATACATACATTACATTAAGGTTAAGAAGTATAGAAAAAGAAAACTGAAAATTCAAAAATTAGGATTTGGAAAAAGTTGACTAAATTAATAACATTTAGAAATTAATAAAATGTTTATGGTTCTCTGTTCTGTATCATATAACTAGATATATTAAATTTTGTTAAATATGTTTTTTGTCTGTTTATTTTTTTATGCCTATTATATAGCCATTAGGTGTTAATATTTAAAAGTTGTCATATTTTTAATGGTATTTTTTAACTATTTTATTATATTTTAAAGTTTATATTTAAAAGACTACAAATTAAGTTATTACAGTTTGTCATAAAATTTTAATCAATAAAGTTAATTAGTTGTACAGGAAGTTATACTCTAAACAGATAATATTTAGGTATATCTAAAACCTACCTAGTCTATTAACATATTATTCATCATATTGAAAATAACACACATAAGTACCAAACATACCTAACTGTCCGATGACCAACATAATGTATAAATAATATGAAGAGATATGCTTCAGGGTTAATGCATTTCTTTTTCCGAAAAATGACCTTCTTAAAGTACTACTCCAAAAAAAATTCCTTTTAGAAAAGAGTCTCTATCGTATACATCGGAGGAAGATTTCTGGTAGAATTTTTGTACACAGTATAAAAAAATTAAATTAATAAACATATTTGTAAAACCAATACATTCTTCGTTATGCTCAGAATCTAATAAAAACCGTGGTTATAAATATTATCACATGCCGATTATAACTCTAAGGTTATAATACTATGGTTATAATGAAAGTTTATAACAAACAACTGTTATATTTATTTACAAGTCTATTATTTGATTTCTCACGCATTTTCAAAATTGAAAGAGACATAATATATTGCCATGATATTTTTACATATTATCTTGAAAAAAATAGTGGAGGTACGCTAAAGTTTTTTAAAAAATAGTTGAGGTTAATTTTTTTTAGTATCTCAAACGTACAGGTTTTTAAACCATTATTAAAGCAAATAGATAAACACAACACGACATGATTTTTCATGTAAAACACAATACCTACCTATTATAATGTAAAAATACTTTTGAACGTGCATAAATATTTTTTTTTTTAAAACACTAAAAATAATTATTACACCCTAGGTTCGCATATGATTGTATCTTTAGTCGTGATCGTAATGGTTGTGTGTTTTTAAATTAGGCGGGAATATAATAAATTCACATAATTTTGTAGTACATTATTTTTACGGATGGATAGCGTACTAAGTTAGTTAGCGGCTGTTCCTAAGAGCAATTTCAATTGCCATGTGATAACGCTTATAACATAGCCCATTGAGCAATCAGTATATTATCTTTAATCGTAGATCTAATATAGTTGCTGCTAATGGTCATGATCTATCTATATCCGTGATTATCAACCATCAAAAAAGTGAATACGTAATACGAGAACCACGATTTAAGATAAGATAATATTATCTAAAATCTTGCTGAGAACTAATACCATAAAACATTTTGATATTTGGTTCACGTTAAGGAGAAAACGGGGTTTAAGTATTTAGTAATTGTCTTAACAGTTTGGCAATTCTGCATATTGTTTGTACACGTTGGCCTTGGAAATGTGGCAACACTGCTAGCTATTGATATTTTCTTTTCTCCATCATGTAAATTTTGCTAAATTTTTTTTTTTTTTTTTTTTGTATTATATTATTAATATTAATAACAAATATTAGTTTTTAGTGTGTAGATTTTAAGTAATTATAATTAATTTATTAAACCGATTTCGATGTATTTTTAATTCAGTGTCGTATGATTAGGGTTTGACGGTCTATTTTGTGGCCGTTAAGCATAGACCTATTAGCTAAAAGGTCTATGCTGTTAAGGCCATAATTGCTTTCTATTCTTCCTCATCTAATAAAGGTAAAGTAAAATATTTCTATAGTATTAATGTAAAATGCCTACACAAAATATCATAACACTCTTTTCCGCCCTCCTGTGCTTGTTTGATATTTTATATTTTGCATGTATTTATTGTTTATGAATTGTGTCTAGGGTAAACATTGATAGTTAATATGTAGTGTACTCTGTTTAAATCTAAACTGTTTGATATGAATTTAATGCAAATTAAAAGATATTGTTATTGTAATTTACCTATTGCTTTCTATTTGTGAATGCTGTTGATTGATATTAATTGTATTTATTAATAAACATAATTTTTAAATATATTGTACCTATTTGATATGTATTATAAATAATACATAATTAGAATTATGTATGCATATAATATATTAGTATGATATTAGTATGAAATAATGGTATATAACATGGGTGTTAGTTTTGTTAATAGTTTAATATAGATTTCGTTCATTGTTTGTATATCAAGTTATAGGTAATTTGATTTTACACTAAATATAACTAGACAGTGATATATAATGTCATCTGCTAGTAATTGTAAATTATAAGTTTTTTTCATTATTATTTTTAAAATTACTTTTTTGTTGTGTTATAGACTGAAATTTACTGGTGACAAATTATGAATCAAGAGTCTCAGTCATGTTGTCCAGTTTGCACTTTGTACTTACGTCCTGGAATATCTCTTCCTGCTCATTTGAATACACATCCAAAAAAACACGTCATAAAAGCTCTGTTGTCACTAACGAATCAAATACCAGAAAATCTATCCAAATCTGTAGTAATAGAACAATCAGGAGAAAACCAATCAGATGACAGTAGTTCAACATCTGTATCTTCATGTCATTCTGCTACCTTTAATACACAAGATGTGGTTAATAACATCGATAGAAACAGTCCAAATAATTGTCTATCTCCTAAAAGTCAAAATAGTCTGGTCCTATCTGAACTCAGAAATGATCTCGAAAATAATGAGGAGGAAGAGTATGTGGATGTTGGAGATGTTGAAGATAACAATGTTAATTTTGAAAATAACTATAGACATGAATTTGAAGAAGATCAACCGGATGATAGTTTTCAAGGAGAATCAAATGAGTCATCTCACCATCATGAAGAAACTGGTTCGTCCATGACAGCAAATTATTATCATGATCCATATCAGTCAAATGGTCATCTAATTGAAGATGAAGAATATATGTCACGTTATTTTTACACTAGTGAAAATGCACGCATTTCACATACCGATCCAGATCCCCAACTTAATCCTCCCCAATACAGTACTCTTACTACAATGGATCTACATCAAGAATATTTATCATCAAATCATCAAGAACATCAATTAACACTAGATATACAAACTGATGAACTTATGCCAGCCCATGGAGAATTATCTGGTCAAGAAAGTTTGGAACCTCCTGAACCGATACTTGCATCTATTTGGACAATGAAAAGCCACAATGAGTCTCAGCCACACACAAGTACTGCGTGGGATGATAGTGTACATGAAGTTAGTACAGCTGCTAGAAATTTAATGTGTTTAAAAAATAGAGAAGAGATTCCTAAAGAAGAGATCATCGAGAACAAAGAAGTGAAACCATTATTAGGAAAACTAATTTGTCCTTATTGCAAATTAAAATTTGATGGGGTTAAGGCACGTAAAGCACATTTAGATGAAGAACATAGAAAGGAAGAAGGTGTGAAGAAAGGGTTAATGTACATAAAACCGGTGGCTAAAATAGAGGAAGGTGTTGATGAATCTGAGCAACCATCTGTAAAAGTAGAATGTAGCATTTGTGGTGAATCTTTTGAAGATTATACACAGATGACATTGCATTTCATGGATATTCATAAAGGTACAAAATATGTAATAATATATTAATTAGATTAAGTTACACATTAATATTATCCAAATCAATGACTTTGGAAACTCAGTTTCTATTTTCATACACATTATTTGACTATCAACCTCTAGCTGTCGAGTACATGTTGGAAATTAGAGCATATTTAAGAGAAATAGTCTCCCCTATAGTCATACATATTAAATATTGGGTATCTTTAAATTACTCAATTTCAAAATAATATTATTAATTGTGTTAATTTGTCAATACAAATTACTTAATATTTATAAGATTGAAAATTGTTTAATACTATTACTCTTTGATCAGAACTAGATGCACTTATTGCTATGTGTGGTAAACAATTTTACCCCTAACATGCATATGCTAATAACAATATTTTGTATGTTGCCTGTATTCACTGCAACTTATTTACTTATTAACATTTTTAACGGAACAAGCCCTTTAAATACAGAAACATAATAATAATCTAGAACCAAACAGAAAATAAATTTACAGTAAAAGAATTTTACTTGGATAAAAAAATAGGCACTGAACTATAATAATGTGACACATATATTAATGGATTTTAGTTTATAAATATAAATAAAGATTTCATTCTAAAACATTTATTGGACATAAAAAAGAAATTATTATCATTACAAATTTGATTACATAAAACATAAGAGCTTTCGGAAAAAAAGAATTGGAGCTAATTTTTTTTTTTTTTAAATAGGTACAAAAATTAAATTTGAATTCCTAATCGAATAATTATGCGTACAAATACCGATCTTCCTCAATAAATCTGGACATTCAATATTGTTATTAAGAAGATCATAAATTAATAATATGTCAGATAACTTACGTCTACCACACATGGCTAAATATATAGAATCAGCTACTAAAGAAAATGAGTCTCAGGAAATAGGTAATTTTAAATGGTAAGCAATTGACTTTTAGAATATATACTGAACATTATTATCAACCAGTTTAAAAGCCGTTTTTGATTCCATTCAATGATACAAATTCAAAGTTAGATTTAACAACAGGGTAATAGAGCATTTATAGTGCATGAACAGTTTTAAATTCTTTAGTATTCCTTAATATGAAACCTAATATTTTAAATGATTTTTTTTATAACTATATTTGTATTAAAAGAGAAAGATAAATTAAAAGTTAGGTTAGGTTAGGTTAGGTTTACTCATAGTAATACAAATACATTTTAGTATTCAAACACCGAAAATTATACCTACGTTTTTAGGAGTTAGTTATCATTGCTGTACGCGTCTGACAATGCTATGTATGCATAAGTGTGTATACAAATATGGTTGTTTCATTTTCGACATTCAAATATGGTGCCTATTCATAAAAAAACACTTGGGGGTCTTTAAAATTGAAAAAATCTTAAATTTGTCTTTAACAATAAAAAAAATGATAATAAAAAAACATCCATTTTTGTAGAGTAAAACAATTAAAATAATAAGTAAAATAAATAAATTTATAAATAAAAATAAAATAAAAAAATGAATGAATGCGTCAAATTTTACATGTTGACTGTGACATACCTGATAATTCATTTTATTTTTATATATACATTTTTTATTTATATATTTATTTATGAGTATCAAAATTTTTAATAATTTTGTTTCTACTGTATTATTTTATTATTTAAAATAATAGATACTTGCTCACGGTTAAATTTTATATTTATTTAAATATATTTTATTTACATTATATTGATATTGTATTGTATATTATTTGGTATAAATGAGTATTACACAACTTAAAATATATCAATTGTATTTTATAATTATTTTCAGATAAGAATAATTTATGTCCAACATGTGATACAGTTTTTCCTATGGTATCAGATTTTCGAGACCATATTCAAAATGTTCATCCATTGGCATGTAATTTTTGTTCAAAGAAATTTTATTCTCAATTTACTTTGACTACACATTTAAAACGTCATCTTCAAATCAGGCCATATGCTTGTGATCAATGTCATAAGTGTTTTGTCAGTCGAATTAAACTCCAAGATCATATGAATGGCCATCTCAATATAAAACCATATAGTTGTACTCACTGTGATCTTAGCTTTAGATGTAAAGCTAATTTATATAGCCATACACGCAAAACACATCAGACTATTGGAATTCCTAAAGATTTTTACTGTCATTGTGGAGAGGTAAATAAATAAAAATAAATAAATAAAATTATTATTATATATTCAAGTTATTGTTAATCTTTATTTTTAGGTATTCACATCATTAAAAAAGCTCGATTGGCACAAAGAAACTCATGAAGTGAAACCCAAACAATGTCAATGGTGTTCAGAACGTTTTGTACATTTAACATCATTAACCAGGCATATACGGCGTGCACATGATTCATCATATTTACCTACAAAAGATCGTGATATTGAAAATATGACCTGTGACATATGCAATAGTACATTTTTACGTAAATCTTATGCTACCCATATGTTAATTCACAAAGATTTAAGGCCTTATAGTTGTAATATATGCAATCGAACATTTCGAACCAAGTGGAATTTAAGAATGCATCAATGGACTCATATGTCAAGAACACATAAACCTTTTAAGTGTACCCAGTGCAAAAGTGCATTTTATCTTAAACACGAATGGGAGGCTCATATCCGTGCCCACACCGGGGTTCGTCCATTCACGTGTAATGAATGTGGTAAACAATTTATAAGGAAAAAACATTGTATGAGACACATGGCAGAACATGATAAGACAAATAGACAATTTGAATGTAAAGAGTGTGGCAAAAAGTAAGTACATTTCACACATAAACATTAATTTGTGTTTTAGATGTTAAAATATAAATAATCAATTTACTATCATTGTTAAATTAAACTATATATAACTAACTATTATATTTTAATATAATTGTAATAGTAATTTACTTTTTCTTCTTTCACATTGTTGGATATTGTCTGTGCTATTTTTATGTATATAATTTGTTACATATTTATTTTTTATTTTTTTATTTTAACTATGATTTAAAAATAAAATTGTTTTAGAGATAAATACTCAATGTAATTAATGTAAAAAAAGACGGATATACTTCGCACAATGGGTGGACCAATATTGTAGGTGAGAAGTTCGGGGGTAGAAAGGAAAGTTTAATGTATATCTGTACGCAACAATTAATCATTGCTAATGAAAAACAATTTTAATATATTATATGTTATATTATGGTAAAATAATTACTTATGTATTTTATTATATTTTCTTTAATAATATTTTTACTAAATGATTTTCGTCAAAATTTGATATTAAAATTCTTATATAAAAAAAATTCTACATTGCTCAATTTTTTTTTTTGACCACAAAATACTTCTTATAATGAACCTCTTGTAATAATTTCTAGTATTTTTGTTTAGTCTAACAGAGTATCTACAGAATACAAATTATATATAAAAAAAACCCTCTTAAATTAAAATTTATAAATACCTCGAAAATGGTTACAATGTTTTGAAAATTTTACCATGTCTAGAAAAGGCAAATGTAAGTTTTCTGTCCAAACTTTAAATCTCTACAAATATTTTTAACTAAATTAAAACAAGACATTTTGTAAATTTTCCCATTTATTGGGAAAATTCCTGAGAAAGTACTTCCTTATAGCACTATTCTAGTCGGATTTCCTTTCAGAAAAAGCGCTATTCTTGAAAATCGGAGCTAAATTTCTAGTAGAAAAGTCGTTCACAGAAAGAAAAAAAAACAACACAAACATCACTGTTAAACCAATACATTCCTTGCTCCATTCAGAATTTAAAAGATGGACATACTTCGCACGATGTGTGGGCTACTGTTGTAAGTTAGAAATTGGGAAGGTAGGATATAGAGAGGAATTTAATTTATATCTGTATGTACTGATTAACTATTGTTAACCAAAAAATGATTCGGAGTGAAGTTTGGTTATACATATTTTGAAAGCATGTAATAATTACGATTTTCTTCAAAATTTGATACAATTTTTATAAAAAATATACTGCATTGAACTAATTTTTTTTTACATTAAAGTATGGCCCATTATGAAACTCCTGTTCAGTTTTCATGCATTCTCTTTAGTCTAAGAATTTTATCCATAGAGTACCTACCGAATACAATTTACATAAACAACTTAACATTACAATGTCTATAAAAAGCACAAATGTTCTGAAAATTTGGTTGTATCTAGAGAAGGCAAATATATGTTTTTATCCAAATTTCAAGTCCATGAAGATTTTTAATTTAATTACAACATCAAAATAAAATTGCAAATAATAAAAGCATTTGGTATTTTCATAAATTTTGCAGTTTTTTTCCCCGGTTTTTCTCAATTATTAAAACCGCTTGAAAAAAAATTGAAAAATGAGTAAAATTTATCTACTTTAACTATAAAGTTGCCTTTGAGAATAGGTGCTATACTTGATAAATTGGAGGAAGATTTCTGGTAGCAAGGTTTTTCATAAAAAAATAAAAATCTAAAAACATAAACATCATTATAAAACCAATACATTCCTTGCTTTACTCTGAATCAAAATATATATACACTATTGGTGGTCCATATTTTTGAACATTATTATTTTTGATGTCCGGTCCTCCCTATTTTGTTCCTCACCATGTAAAAGTAAACTATGTGAATTTTGTTCATAATAACTTGCCTTTTCCCGTGCTCCAAGAGTGTTGAAAATCAGAAAATAGGGTAGGTTTGTGGTTTTTCGCCAATAATTCAATAAATATATCACTGATCATAAAATTATATAAGAATTTTTGGTAGCTCTTCTTAATATCTATATAATTTATTAGTATACAATCTACTGTAAAATTTGTCTTTCCCAAGAAAAATGAAAAACACAAAATATTTCATGTATTTAGCAAAACTGATTTTTTTTAAGGTTATTTATATGTATTTGTCAAATGACTGAAGATATGAAACAATATTTAATATAAAAATGATATAGAATTTAATTTTCTAAAAAAATATGTTATTAATAAAAACTTAAGTAGAACTATTGATTTAATGTTACACTAGGATTCATGTTGATATATTAGTGGATAATGAATATATTATCACTTATTATCTTACTGAAAAAAAAAAATGAATTTGATGTTTTTTTTTATTTGAATTTGAATTTGTTTACAACAAAAATGGATCCTTTAATTATTGTTTCGAGCATCCTGGATAGGTTTTTTTATTTTTACATAACCTAAGGCAATTAAAGACCATTAGAATACATAGAAAAACATTAAATATTTTTATTTAGGAATTATAAAACAGTTTTTTTTTTTTTTAAATAACTGGTATTATAAATTGCTTTTGGTGAACTTATTATTATATTCTTCCGTAAATTTTGCATCTCTAAATAAATTATCTAGACAAAATAAATTTGTATTAAAGCTAGAAAATCTTAGAGACTTGTTGAATTCTGCTCAGCACACTTCTTTCTGTCTTAGTCACTTTAGATTTTGATCTTAATAAAAATATCTTCAAATAATGAATCCTCTTAGCCATCCATCTATCTCACTTAATGGTACATACCAGGCTGTCGGATTCCTGAACTTTGTGAAATACAAATCATTTTTCAAGCGTCAAATACGGTAAATGACATTTTTAAATAAAAATGTTTAATGGTTTTCGATGTATTCTAATCTGCAATCTCCAAACTTATTTAAAAGATTCGAGTTAAATATGAAATTTAGGGAAATGAATCCAACTGAATGGAAGAATAATACCTTTTTATAGGAAATTAAATTCTATATCATTTTTATATTAAACATTAATTCATATTTTCAGCCATTTGACAGATATAATTAAATAACTTTAAAAAAATTGGTTAACTAAATACGTGAACTATTTTGTATTTTAAATTTTGCTTGGGAAAAACAAATTTTACAGTAAATTATAATGGTGTAATAGTAAATTATATAGACATTAAAAAGAGCTACTAAAGTCTTATATCATTTTATGATTAGTGATGATATAGTTATTGAATTATTTTGCGAAAATCCATAAAACTACGCTATTTCCTCATTTTCAACCCTTGGGGCATGAGAAGGAGGTGAGTTATCATGACCAAATTTCACATAAATTACTTTTACACTGTAATGAACAAAATAGGGAGGGATCCATTATTAAAAATAAGGGCCACCATACAGGCTATCTTTTTATCATTAAATACTCATTAATAATTTTGGCAGTAGTGGGATAGCAATGAGAAAAACTGATCTCCCACTACTGTTGATTAACCAGAAAAAAAAAACAAAAATACTCATTATTTAAAAAAAAAATGTTTTAAATAACTCAGGTAGTTTAACTTTAAATGTATAGATTTATATACACATTTTATTATTTGATTTTATGAACACTTGATTGATAAAATAATATTTTAGTAGAATTTTGTTTTTTTAAGTTAAATATATTTCTTAAATTAACTGTATAATTTTATAATTTTGTATGAATGACATACAATAAAAAAAAAAAAGATACATTTGTATTTATTTATTTTTTATATATATTTTTAGGTTTTTTCGGAGTTATTATCTGGCAGATCACATAAAAACACACTCTGGATATAAGCCTCACACGTGTCATATATGTGGGAAAACTACTAGTTCCAAGTCAAATCATAACAAACATGTTCGTACCCACCATGCAAGAGAATCAGTGAACACTGAAGGTTAATATCAAATAGGTATTTTCTTTAGGTTAGGTTTTAATTTAAAATTTGTATTAAGGCTTATATTACGAAAACAATTTTTGTATGGTGTTTTTTTTTATTGTTATTGTCTGGTCAAAAATATTTCTTATTTCATACATCTATTTTTTATGTTTTTTTTATTTGTTTTTGTATTACCAATTGATTTGATTATTTATTCTTGAGTTTATATGATAAACTTTGACTTTATTCTATACTCTAACAATTTTAAATTAAATTAAGTACCAACTTAATTCATGTACCCTATTAGATAATAATACTGATTTAAATGTACAACTGGGTTGAAGCAATTCTTGTGAACAAATGTGTGTGTGTGTTCTTCAGTTGTGTACCATTATCAAAGCACTGTGTTAATTTATTTGCCTAATGTATTAGTTTTAATTTATTTTTATTTACCTATGCAATATATTTAATTAGTGAAATATTAGTTATTTTTGTTTGTTTGTTTTTGTTTTTTTTTTTTTATTATAAAACTGCTATTATATATTTACCATTTGTAATATTATTGATTTTGTAAATCTTAGATTCCATTTAAAACAAAAAATTAAAATTATCTTGTAAATAAAACTACATTGATTTTAAACTCTTACTCTTTGTCAAAATCTCAAAGTGTACAATTTGAATGCAAAGAATGTTTTTAACCTATATTACCTAAATTTGTTAAAGAAATAAAAATATTATTTTTGTAGCTTTAGTTTTAAAGTACATGTTTAATAATATAACTATGTATTTAAGTAAATATAGTAAAAGTATTTTAAATATGTATTTTCAGAATGTATTTTAGTCTAATATTTTGGGCGCATTGAAAAATATTTTACCTATTTGTGGTTTTATTTTATAATAATTTATTACATTAATAGTACCTATTCATCTATCATATAGAGATCACATTTATTAATGCAATTTAAGAATTTATTAAGTTTTATAATTTATCATTTGGTTTAAAATAAAAACAAAATGTATCAAATTATAGTTAAGATTATTATTTTTTAATAATAATAATAAAACATTACGATTGTAAATTATTATTTTTATTAATGTTATAAAATAACATTTATTATGGTGCAATACATGTAATCGTTAAAGAAAACGTATTAAATAAATAAAATAAGAGATTATCTAATTTTCTGATGCAAAATTAACTTAATAATTAAGATTTATGTGATATTTTTAATCCTTAATTAAATAATAAATATTAATTATTAGTAATAATTATAGAATATAAACATTTAAATTTTAAATAATACTTAGATTACCTTTATATACATATTATAATATATAGGTACTGTAAATTTATAATTTGTAAATAAGTAGGGATATTTTGTTTTAACAATCTTAAAAATCATTGTCTAATAAATTATTATGTTCTTTCCGAGCATTTATTTAATTCAAGAGTTATACACTTGTCAATCATTTCCATTTACAGTACCAAAACCGTACATGGGAAAGTAGATATGGAAGAAAAAGAATTCAAAAGGAACATATTTCCCCGTCATGGTTAGGAGGATACTATTATAGATTAACTAATAAAGTTAAATGATAAATAGAAAAACTATATTCTAATTTAATGCTTTTAACTTTTCATAAACTTTTTTTATGTCCAAGTATCCATTCCATATTTTAGCAAAAATGTGCACTGGTCTAGTGATAGATTTCAATTTGAAAAGATTTTTCTCATTTTAAAGACTGATGTCCTGGCAATCTCTACCCTATAAGGCTACATCTTATTTCTTTGGAAATGTCACCATTACCTATTGTTTATTTTTCCCAGGTAGGTACTTTTAAGAATACACTCTTTCTGCCTCTGTATTGTTTAAGGTCAGTTTTTTGTCTGATCCGGTTAATAACCAGATGGTAATACCATGAATTTTGTTTTAGATTCTGAATGGAGTGATAAGAAGCTTATGGATTTACAATGATCTTATTTTTTTAATTTTATTTGTGAACAATTTTTCTACCAGAAATATTGCTTCGATTTACTAGTGTAGCACTTTTTCTGAAATAAAATTTGATTGTGGAGGTACTTTAGGAGATAATTTTTTAATTTTTGTATGAATTTTCCCAATAAATGAAAAAAACATGTTAAAACCGAGAGATCGGGAAAATAGGTACAATGTTAAAGAAAATGTTTAATGCATATGTAATTTTTTTACTATAATATCACATAAATATTGTTGATAAAGCAACGCTATCAACTGAACTCTGTTCAAAATTATTTTTTTTTCATCAATGGTTAATCGATTCTTACAGATATACATTAAATTACCGTCTGTATCCTATCTACCCAACTTACCACTTACAACAGTGGCCCACTCACTTGCGAAGTATGTCAGTCTTTTTTTGAAATTTATTTCCAACCCATACCGATATTATGTTTGGGAAAGCTTGTCCGTGGGCCTTTGAAAATCATAATGTGTTTCTACTGCCAAAGAGAATAACAGTGTCGTCAGCATACCTTAAATTATTGACAAATTTCCCATTTATTATTTTTCCCATATATTCATGTAAGATGGCATCTTCAAATATAGCGTCACTGTAGATATTAAATAGTGATGGAGACAGTATCTTTGTCGGACATCTTTCATAATTTTTGTTTGTGCCAACTAGACAAAATTTGTTACCCACAACAGAACCGGATTTTTATTAGAAAAGTTGTCCACAGACTGAAAAAAGAATGCACATGTATACAGTAAAATCAATATACCATTCCTCACTACACTCAGAATATAAAGTTATGTATTTTCGATATTTAAATTATAATATAATAAGGGATCCCTCGTATTCAATATTCCTGCCTAGTAGGTTTCATAGATATAGTAGTGTAGTTTTAGCGTATAGTGTACGTATTGTAGATATATACTGTAGCCCATTGGTAAGGTACTTACTTATACAAAGAATTAAAAACTGTATGAAATTTTGTAAAACCGAGGTTTTTTTTTGTATGTCTAGCTTAAATGTTTGAATACCCATAGCAACACACTAGCCATGAGTATCCTTATTGAATTTGGGAGAACAAAGAACTATAGGTAGGTACCTAACTATTTTTAATATGGTGGGCGGGACGGGAAGCTATGGACGTTTTACAAATATTATTTATTATATAAATACGCTCGACCGCATTCGAACACGCTTTCAACTTAATACTCAGGTGATCGCTAAAATTAAAATAGATACGATTTTTACGAATGAAAATATAACTTTGATTTACATTTTTTCGACTATTTTTTTTTGTCTGACATAAGGTATAGAGTTATGCTTGTTAAAAAGTTTTAAAGGACAAGTTGACTATTTTGGTTGCAAAAACATCGAAAATCTTATAAAAAAAAATTAAAAAAATAGGTTGACAAGTGTTAAATGAAACCAATCAAAAAATCCTGGGATAGGTTGGAGGTTTCCATTTGTTTCCAAAATTTTAATACTTGTAGCTATAGAAACTTGGGACATTGAGTTGAAGCTACAAGATAAACCTTACTTTACTTTGGAGAAAAGTTTCAATTTTATTTATTGAGTTAAAAATATTATTATCTTGTTCCAATTGTTAAGTGTAGAACTTTTTCTAAAAGGAAATCTGATAGGGAGGTACTATAAAGAGGAAATTTTTCGATTTTCTTAGGAGTTTCCTCAAAAAACGAGAAAATGTACAAAATGTAGGTATTGAAAATATTTCGGCCCTTTTTTTCCTGTGAACACAACTTTTTTTTAAGTAATATATTTTATATATGGGATAATAAATCTATGATAAGACACTCATTATCTCAGAAATTCTTTTTTCAGAATTTGTTTTCTAGAACGTTAAAGAAATAAGCTGCTCTACATTTTTATATTTATGTTATTTTTTGTCACATTTTTGGGGGTAAAGCTACTATCTACTTTTGATTTACAAATGGCAATCTATATTAAAAATGACTTAAATAAATGGAGTATTAGTTCAAATAAATTTTGGTGTTTAAGTTTTTGATTTCCGTCATGCCTTGACTGAGATATTCCACTTTTAAGTTTGGTTTGGAGGAGAGTAGTGGAGTATCATTTGTGTATTGATACGGCACTTGGCCTGTTAATACTGCATCACCACTTTCCTCCAACCTAAACTTCTGAAAGGAAATCTGATTGGGAAGGTACTTTAAAGAGGTCATTTTTTGATTTTCCCAGGATTTTTCTCAATAAATGTGAAAAACAAGGAAAAAAAATGTTGAACAACGGGAAAAACGTTGAAAAAACAAGAAATATTAATAAAGAAATATTATTTATTTAATGACTTTACCATAATATGACATACATATTGTTGACAAAGCATCACTTTCAACTGAATTCCGCTCAGAATCGTTTTTAGTAAACAATGGTATATTGTTGCTTATAGTTACAGATACAAATTAATTTCCCTTCTATATCCTATATTCCTAACTTCTCACCAACAAGAGTAGCTGCATGTTGTGCGATGTATGTCTTTTAAAATTTTAAATGGTTTTTTTTATCTAAATACTAAATTAGATACCACAAATCCCTATAATTAGTATAACTGTTTTAAGTCCGTCTTTTTTTCTTTCCAATCATTAGTATTAATTTTAGTTATTCCCCCCTCCCTCATAGTCAAGGTCTGGAGACGCTCCTGTCGTGCATTGATCGCAGTATATTACACGAGACGGCCAACTCCTTTTCAACCCATGTAATTTTATGGAAAATGATCCGACCTCTCTGTAGCCTAAACTAATGGACTGATCGTTTTGAAATTTACACAGATTGATCAATATTTTATTTAGATGATACTTTTTAAATTTCAAGTTGATCGGATGATAACAGTCTGACTAATACGCAAACGTATTAGCATAGTTTTTACTGGAAACGCAATTTTTTTCAACAATTCAAAAATGTATATTATGTACGCGTTGTTACCACCTGTTTGCGACGGTAGCTGTTCGCGGCAAATAAAAACAATTTTTTTATTGCTGTAATATAGTACTACTAGCGTTTCCAGCAACATTCTTAAGCTATATTGATAGCCATACATCATATATTCATTTACTCAATCCATAAAACAACAAAGATATCTTGTTTCCATAATTTTTCATTCGTTGAAAAAAAAAAAACTTAGATTAATTGTATCCAAATTTTAATAAAAAAATGACTGATATCCCAACAAAAACCCTCCGTTAACTACGTGTAGAAACCTCGCTAAGAGAAAAAAAACTCAAGTTAGAAAAGTTGCGATATCAAAAAAGCGCTAATAAGTAATTTCTTAAATTCATTAGTATAGATATTAGAAATTGTTTATAATTGTTTGTATTTGACGAAGTGCGATAATTTAATACAAATAATTTAACATATAGCTTGGCGGCTACTCATAGCATGTACTTAAATAGCGTTACGGTAGTATTAATAAATTATAAAATGGGGATGTAAATATTCATGTCGGCATTGTATCTTTATTTGTAGTCGTAAATGTTAGTTACCTACCCAACCAAACATTGCATGCTGTTTTATGTGCCTTTCCATTTCACTGCTTATAACAGTAATTATTATCCTATTCACCGCATACTTCGTAATTTATTATAATATGTCAAATTGTTGGTTTTAGCCACACTTTTTCTTTTACGTGTTCCCGCTGTATCAATAACAGGTATTCTATATTTGTAATTGTTCTACCATATATTCTTGTAACTTAATTGCACCGTTGGTATTAATAAATAAATATTGATAATAATAATAATAAATGGTTATGTTGTGTGTGGTATTTGATTCCACTAGGCCGGTTTTTTAAAATTTCAGTTGCAAGATGTGGTTCGTTTCTACGCATCACAGTGGGTTTGGTCCACTTTGAACAAATTTTTAGCAACGCTGAAATATCCGGTGTATTTTATGGTTTCCGGTTCCGTGTCATTGTGATAGTGTCCTCCTTGGTTGTTGTGATCAGTGTACATGTGAAAATGGTGAGGCCTCAAATTCAAACCCTAAAATCGAACATAAAGTATCATTGTTTTAACGGTTGAAGAGCATACCTATACTGAGTGAGACGTGGATCCAAAGGGGAGCAAGAGATTATTAGGGCAAATTAATCGTGAATCCGATAATGCGATACCTACTCTCGCCTGTAAAGAATTTTATGATTGAGTTTCTATAATAAGAAAAAATATGATAAAAATGAAATTACTGGGTCGTAAGATACGATACATCCGAGACCCACAGACGGAGGAGTTACTTCGATAAAATGTATCATAATTTTTTCAAAGTCTTGTTCCGATTGTAATGGTTTTTTCGCCAGGTTCGGCTTGAACACGTGGACTTTGGCTTTTCCTTTTTCCACGAACATTACTCCACCCAACGCTACATGCAAATATAATAATAATATAGTAATATTACTATACGACCTTCAAAAACGTACCTATTTAGGTATTTAACAGTTGATGATTAAATCTAATCATTATTATTAATGTATTCGAGTTACCAATTATCTCGGAACCGAAACTTTTCGCCAATGCTTCTTGTACGCACGCGGTAAAACTCAACGGACCTTTTCTCACTTCGCATACAATTTTCAAAACCTACCGAAACACGTATTTTTGGTCAATTTACACACGGTAGGTAAATTATTTATGTTACCTATTATAATTAATCTGATATCAAATCTAAATAAGAGTGATGCATACAGTAACAATACGATTTTGTGTACCTTTCCTGTTTGACCGTTACAAGTAAAAAAATTGGCCATAAGAGAAAATCTCGTTTCATCGTCGGGCATAGACACGTGGACACACTCTCCGGTAGACTCGTTCATCGTAAAAGTTTTCGAACGGTTTTCAATACAATCACCTGCAGCAGTCATTTTCACTCTTACGACGTTCTATAATAATACAAAATTAATATATTTGCACTGCATATACATACATATTATACATATAGACTGTTCCACGAAGACATCGCAGGGATGAAGACTACAAATATTTATTTTATTATTTTCGGAAAATTTTAAGATAGCCATTCTGTAGAGTTTATTATCTTGAAATTTTTAATGGATCACACATGTATATCCGATGAGTAGTTTTTAAGTAACGGCCGTTTTAAATTTCTATTAATCCGTGTGAAAACTGACGTTATCGCTTAATGCGGTTAGGTTGTTCCCTAGATAACATCGGTATTCACACGGTTAGTAGAATTTAAAACGGCTGTTACTTAGAAACTATTCATCGGATACAAAATATGTGTGAATATATGTGAATGAAAATTTTCAGAAAAATAAACTCTTCAGAATTAATGAGTTATTTTTTTTTACTGAAAAAAAAAAAAAAAATTTAATTCAAATATAAATATTTGTAGTTCTCATCCCAGTGAGTAAATTGTCTTTATTATCTCCGGAGATATTTAAGGGGTATATCTCCGCGGAACAGCCTGTATACATATATAACCTACAGTTTTATAAATAATTTCAATATTTAGTTGGTAGGTATGTATATGTAAACATTTTTTAAGGGGTTTTCATAATAGTTCGGAAAAATCGGGGAAAATTCTTTTATTGAAAACTGCAAATATTTACGGCACACCGCGGCGTAACTGATTTTATTTATTGTTTTTAATTTTTAATTTAACAATATTATTATAATACTCGCTTCGCTGTCCACTCCGATTGAAGGATAAGGTCCGGCACATGGTCCGATGACATGTAACGGATCGGAAGCGATGATCTTTTTTAAATCCTTCATGTCGTATATTTTTTCTCTTTTCATTGCGGGCACTACATTGACAAGATCGCCGATGTCGAATACGTTTTCGTCACCACTTAATCCTGTAGTAGTAATACTGATATATTTTTGATTATATATAATATTGTAGTCAAATAGTTATTGTTAAATAATTATTACAAACACTTGGTTTGTAAACACTTCACTTGGTTAACATTCGTAAAATAACGGCGAGGTAGCGATAAAAAAGTTTCAAAAGCTTGATCGTTTAACGAGCATCACTAATAAACTCACTTCGCATCATTTCCCATCGATTTATATTATATTAACTATTCGTATAATTATCTGCAGTTATCGCAAATTTACAAATTATATTTCAAACATTTTTTAGAACCCACTCCCGCAGAAAAAAATGTTACAAATTCGCCATCACTAATCATTACTATGTCATACAAAACGCATAGATGCAAGCACACTGTGATTATAAAATATTATGAGTATATAATGCAGGCATAAAGGCATAATACTAAACCTATACCTAAAGTATCTTCTTCTTTTACTTCGCCTTCATCCCGACTATTCGAGGTCGGCCACTCTCGTCTTAAACTTTCACTTGACCCGATCCCTCATACCGTTCTCGCACAAATTTATTTTCATTATAGTTCTTAATAACGCTAGAGTATTGTAATTAATTACCTTCTGAAAACAAATTGAATGGCGATAAAGTCAAATTTGGACATTGAACCACTTCGGCACTCGCCCGTTCAAAATTCTTCGACAATTCCGGTAATATGGCTGAAATTAATTAAGGCACGTTTATACGTAAGTACGATTCTCTATTTACGACATTTGTTATCGTCTCATCAATTGTCAATTAATCGATTTAATATTTACGTCAATAAATACGCGATAGTGACGCAAGGACATTCTAAATCTCTAGCGTGGCAGTGTACCTTGCCGAATAGGTACCAAATAAAGGATTAGATAAGTTTCTAGATAAGTTTTAAGAACATTTTTTTCAAGTACAAATTGGCGAATCAATTGATTGTATTATTTTTAGTATTAGTGATAATGAAAAAAATTTAAATCATCGTAAACTTGTAAACAAATTGTAGAAAATTAACATCCATCATTAGTAAATATTTGTAATAATATTTCGTTTCAAACTATATTTTTATAAAATTCCCCTCTTGGATTTTTTAATTGTTTTATTTTCAGTTTTTAAAAAAATTGTATATAGAATCTATATTCTATAGAAAAACATAGCTTTAGTATAATTATTACGAGAAAAAACAACTTAAAAATATCGAGCAAAACAAGTTATTTTAGATGTCTGACCACCTTACAGACATGATGTTACAGCCTGCAGTATACATATACTTAAATTATGAACCGTTGAATCATTATTGTATTGATTATTAATTATAATTTATTAACGATTTCGCGTTATTTTACTCAAATTACATTATCTATGTTAACGTAACGCAATTAAGCTGTTGTCGAAGAGTTTTCCTGAGGACGTTCGCCGCCGTCTAACGACCATACAGCCACACAGTAACGACGTGAGTACATAGGTACTCGAAGAAAACGATTATATTATTTCGAAATACAAAGATTTAAATGATAAATGGTATTTAACCGACGACAATATTTCAACGCACACAAACATAGTTCGTAAATCTTGGAATATTAATCTAAATGTAAATATTGCGACACGTATCTCTTATAACTACAGTAGTTATCAGTTAACGTCTCACGATATTTTGTTTTGAATGTAAAAATTTAGCGATCCATTTGTTTACCAATTTTGCCAACACGAATACAGTGATTTATTTTTATTTCGAACAAGCACCTATTTCGGAGGATTTTAAGTGAATTTTATTTCTTTTTTTTTTTTTATTCATTGTGGAATCATTTAAGATTTATTTTAAAATAATTTTTAAATTCTTACTCCTACTCCATATACCTTAAAATATAAATACAATATACCATACTTTTGTTTTTCAAACAGGAACCCCTTTATTTGAACACAGATTTAAATAGAGAATATTTGTTTTAGAAATTTTGGTATGCATAGTACTATAACATTAAATTAACCGTTTATGATAGTTAAAATCATTTAAAGTTTAGTAATAGGATATTAGGAGGAATAGAGAAGAGTTATCATTCAAAAAAATATATGCGATTATTATTATTAGTTATTACCTTTATAAAGTTATAACATATTAGTGTTTTGAAAATCAAAATTTCTAGAAAAATATTCTTTGTTCAAATCTGTTTTCAAAAAGGGGGGGTTCCTATTTTAAAAACTTTAGTACACACTTATTTAAGGAGTAGGGATAAAAAACTAAAAATCCTCTGTGAAAATTGCTGGTTGATGTTGAAAAAAAAACAAAAAAAAACACTGTATTATTATTGTGCTACCGTGACATAACAATATAATATATTGTATAATGCAGTGACTTGCAGCGCGGGTTATCGAGGTTAAGGGTCATATCCCTCTTCCTGACCCGTTGGCTTAAAATTACAAAACTATGAGTACCAATTTATGAATTTTATTTAGTAATTATATATTTTAGTCAAATTATAGGAGAAAAAAAAATCAATTTATTGAATATAATTTGGCTTTTGTTGCATCTGACTTTTAATTTATCATTGTCGGGTCAGGTGTAAGTGGTATAACTGAAAAAAATTCTACAATTTATTCACAAATCATGATTATTATTGATTGCATCCCCTCCCAATGAAAATTCCCGGGCACGCCACTGATTCAATGTATTTATTATTGTATTATGTCCGAAAGTCAAGTTAAATATACAAAAACAAATTTAAATTAATTGTTAAACATATATTTTAAATTTGAAAATCTAAAAAAAACAAAAGCTAAAACATTTCGCATCGAAACGCATAAAACAATATATAAATTAACGACAACAAATTCTAATATTTCGGTGTATTTTACTTTTTCGTGTTCGATCGTCCGAAGCACGTTACAATAGCCGGTAGATATCAATAAAAAATCGATAATTTAATTTTTTTCATTTACAAATTACATTCAGCTGAATATATATATATATTAATACACGTAATATTTTATATAATAAAAGGTTATAGAGGCGAGACAAGTGACCCCGGTGACAAGTGATGGAGACATATAGTGGCAAAACTACAAAAGCGTCAGGTTATAGGACTGAACGCGATGTTTTTCCGTCTCGTTTTATACATTTCCAACACATGAATTTAGAAGAGTTCCAACACGCTGATTGGTTTGGTGAAGCAATAAGAATTATGAAAACAGATTTGAGATTCGGAATGTGGCGAGGATGAATGTATTGGTTTTACTATGTTTATTTTTTTGTTTAATTTTTTATATCTGTGAACAACTTTTCACCAGAAATATTGCTCCGATGTTCAAGTTTAGTACCTTTTTTTGAATGTAAATTTTATCTGAGTAGTACTTTAAGAGGGTCATTTTTTGATTTTCAGTACGGTATTTCATAATAATCGGAAATAACGGGAAAATGTACGTACACGTATAAAAGGAATTTCGCTCTAAATCGTTTTAAGTTAGTCACGGCTTATAGTTGCGTACAGATATAAATTAAATGCCCCTCTACATCCTACCTTCCCGACTATTCATCTATACAACAGCGGCCCACCCATCATCCGAAGTATGTCCCATTTTTTTAGGATTTTAATTTCTTTGGAAATTAAAATTTTTGTTTTCAGAATTCGTATCGTAGACCAATCAAGTACGTTGGGAATAGAACGCGTCTAAATTGTTATGGTGCGCGCGCGACAAAGACTGAAGAAAATCGCCGCTCCCAATTCCATTAATATTACCGTAGATGTATTGCTTGTATTACGTAGGTATACTGTATAGGTATGTTTTAAGTATACGTACCTTCGGCGATTCGGCTCAAAGGCGGCGCGGTGAGGTCGACGCGGACGACGGACAGTTCGTTCATGTGCAGGGTGCCCGGAAATAGGATTTCGGCGGCCGTCATTTTGAAACGACAGTAAGGTACACGGGGGAACAAAAAATGTACTTACGGCAGCAGGCGGTCCGGACGACTGGCCCGAGGCGATCGGTTCAACTTCATTAATCGCCCGTTTTGCCTATCGGTTTTTTACGGACGGTCTTATCGCGCGATGACCTTTCACGTAACCGTCGCGATTGTTTTTCTGATTCCACATCGAAAAACGTTGTAGTTATTTCCCGTCCCTCCAATTTTATTAACCCGAAATTTCAACAAGGTTTACATTGTTTAGCTACAGATTTTATTTATTTATTTTTTATCTATAAATCGGTAGGTCGAATAACGCGGTTTTTCGTCTTGCGCGTGATATTTTAAGTTCGCACAGTAGCTCGATGAGCGTCATTTCGAATGGACTATTTTATAAGTCCCCACCGTTAAATAAGTTCGAAACCATACTGTTATACAGGGTGATTATTTTGTCGTTGAACACTTGTTATTTTGGTAAGTATTGACGTTTTTCAAAAACAATTTGTTTGGAAATTTAAGAAAAAAACAGCTCTAAAATGTTACATTTCTATAATCTTTTGGGTGAAACGATTTTTTAATTTTTTGTTTTGAACATGTGTACCTGGAGAACAATGATGAAGTAAGAATTGAATGAACTGACATAGTTTCGAAATTATAGCTTTATGAAGTTCTGATATTATGCGGATATTATATGTTACGTTAATTAACTATATATTGTCTTTTTAAAGTATGTTTGTCATAGTCTGGTGGTAATACATTCCTATTGACATCTTAGGGACTGTAAATTTTGAAATAAATAGTTTGTATTTTTTTCCCTTTTACCTAAACAAGGAAATAAAAGTCCATTTTGGGTGTACCTAGGGTCCCAAGCCATCGCTCGAACTATTTCAATCACAAAATATCCCTTGATTTGTTGTGCAAACTTTTCTACCAGACATTTTGCTCCGATGTATCAAGTGTAGCTTATTTTCTAAAAGTAAATTTTAGCTACATGGTACTTAAAGGTTATTTTTTGATTTTTCAAGCGATTTTCATAATATCTGGAAAAAAAACATGGTTAAAATGTTGGAAAATGTACGAAATGTAGATATTAGTAAATTATTATTATGGCCTTTCTTTTTTCTGTGTACAACTTTTCTACCAGCAAGTTTTCTCCGATTTACAATAATACCACTTTTTCTGAAAGAAAATCTAATTGGGAAGGTACTTTAGAGAGGTCATTTTTCGATTTTCCCAAGTTTTCTCAGCAAATGTGAAAAAACCGGAAAAAATAGGAAAATCGATACAATATTAAACAAATATTATTAAAGAAAATATATAATGCCTATTTAATCATTTTAACATAATATGTCATATATATATATTGTTGACAAAGCATCAATATTAACTGAACCGCGGTCATAATCGTTTTTTAGTTTGCTATGGTTTATGGTTGCTTACAAATATAAATTAAATTTTGTCTGTATCCTACCTAACCACCTACAATAGTGGCTGCACCCACGTGTGAAGTATGTCAGTCTTTTTTTGGTTAAATTTTGGATAAATTCAATAAAGACCATTTAGTTAAAATGTTTAATAGAGGGAAGGGGTTGTGGAACTACATTCTCACCCTTAATAAACAAGAAAATATATTAAAATTATGAATACCAAAATTCCCAATAAAGAAATACAATTTAAAATATCGACCAGCAAAGTACATTTAAATAAAATAGAATTGTTTTTTTATAAATGCACGTTTCTATCTTTTTCTGCGAATTGGTTAAGAATATAATCATTTTTAATTGTGTTTGATAATTTTCGCTCAATGTTAAGAATAGTTAAATTTTTGTAAATCTGTTTTGCGTCATATTTGACTTTAAATAAGTATTAATTCTTCTCATTGAGGAGAATGATCGTTCACACAATCATTAAATTCATTTTATTGTACGTAGTATTGAGAGGCTGAAGGATGGACTAAGCCCACCCAAGCACCTCTCCCCTTATTTACGTCTATGAAAGGCCCTAAAATTGAGTATAAGTATATTGTCGAAATAAAAATAATGAACGTCTATTTCTGGAAAATTATTGTATATCGTATTTAATTATTAATAATTCAACAGTTTCTTATATAGTTAAAATAGTTCAATTTCGCTTCTTAAAGTTATTATACAAATTAATAATTAATTTAATTAGAAAACTCAGAGAAATCAGTTGGTTATTGTTATTGTAATATTATTTTGTTTCCAAGTTCTAGAAAGGTAGAAGGCCCTCTAAACATTCTCTGCATTCTCCTATATTTACACCACTGATAATAATTCATAATTAGATATTATTAATGCTAATACATCATTGCAAAAAAAAAACCATTGATATTTATAATGTTATATACAGTATAATACGGTGACCAGACGTTTTCTTTTCAAGAGTACCTACCATTTCCAAATATTGGTATCATATTAAACAACTAACAAGTATACAATTTCCGAGGTAATTTGACATTTACATTTAATTTTAACTAAGTAAATACTATAGTTAACTAATGAATACATGATAAACTTGAGAACTTAACATTATAATATAATATTTTAGTAAATGAAACGGCTTACCTCATAGGATAGCTTGCTTATGTTTTGTCTTCCCATATAAAAATATACTTAATATTTATTGACATAAAATAATAGAAGACAAATAAATATTACACATTTTTCAAAGTTCGTCTACAGCTGCTTTAAAACTTACTGAACGTCAATTGCATCAAAAAATTACACCACTCACATTTTATTTTTCTTTATCGAACCTCTTATCGTTTTTATCATAAAAGTTATATTCAGGTAACAGAAAAATACTATAAGTATATGATTACCAACAAACTATTAATGACTAAAATATATAGACCTATTCCACTGGTTATATAAAAACAAACAAAACTAAATCAATATTAGAAAACAAAGTATATACAACCCCTTTGTCTATTTTTAAATTGAATATATTTTGTAAAACTGGTTGTAAAAATTAAAATATAATATTTAAATGATTCTTTTGGATTTTTATTATATTATTCATGTATTCATTGACTATTATATCGATACTTAGACAGAGTACTAAACCTTTCTATTTATAATTAAACCTACCATTTACTTTTTCCAACAGTCAAATTATAGTAAGATCATTATTATATTTATTATTTAAAGTACATATTTATATAAATACATATTGTTAATACAATATAATGAACAATAATTGTAGTATTATTAAAGATTATTATCTTTAATTACATTACATTAATCTAGTAAGAAACATCAAAATAATAAATTATTTATTAAAGAAAAATAATAATGTAATAAATGTGCCAATTTTATTGTAAAAAACTGAAAGGAACATTAATGCTTAAATAAACAAAATATAATAGTCATTAAATAAAAATTAAATCATTCTTATATTAATTATCAACAACATAATAGTATAGTAATATTACAATGAAACACTAATAACATAAATATACTAATGATTTTCTATGTTGACATTTTCAGAAGTTTAAAATTTAGAAACAATTTTGTATTTTATTATAACAATACATAAATTTAATTTAAATGAAAAAAGGCTTTAATTAAATTTTATTCTATTTTTTAAATAATATAAAGTTTATAATCACATTTGGCCATTTAACAGTACAAAATAAATGATTTTGAAGAAAAAAAAATTTTCCAACATTTAAAAAATGTACTTACTTCTCATAATAAAATTACTATATAGGTATTTTTTTTAATTTACCCTCACCAAATAGCCATAAACATATTCTGTCAACTGCAAAAGAACCAAAACAATCCAATACGAGTACACTAAGTAGAACTAAACGAAATTCATAAGGGAATTGAATAATTTCAAATTGCACATTTAGTACATCAATTGTACCCATACTTAAACACAATATAACCAAAATTTGTATAATTGTACTGTACAGCAATGGTTTATTTTCTGATAAATTTTCCATAAATGGTCTTCCTCGATAGTTCACAGAAAAAGTACTTATTTGTAATGCCATGGAGATAATAAATACTGCGCTATTTACTATGTTTGGAGTAAATTCTTCTACAATATCTTGTTCTGGAGAACTTGTCACAGTGGATAGACTATCGTTTAAAATCAGTGAAGAATTTGTAATTGTCTCGTTAAATGTTTCAGTAAATGTAGTAGTATTTTCACTCTTAAGTTCAACATATGTACCAGCTTTCTGGACTAAGAATACTAAGCTAAAAAAGTGAATTATAAATTGGAACATCACAGTCAGTATTGTATAAATGTTGAATATATTTGGCAGAGGTCGTTGTTTGGATAGAATCTTTAAAGGATTTGACCTTGAAATGAATAAAAATGAAACAGCCAACAACAATCCTTGCAGAGTAGCTTGAGAGTCACTAAACTTTATTCCTTTAACATAAAGTACAGACTGACTATAAGCAGCAATAATTGCATTTAACGCTAATATTTTAAACATTTGTAATGTTGTAACTAATGTACAACGACCTTGTTTGATAACATGGCATACACATGCCACGGATGAATATTTACTAGTAAATGGAGCAGCAATACTGGCATCCCCGGATTTCACTACGGTCACAGATTCTTCATCCATTTCTTTCATTAAACGTTTCATTTGATCGCTAACATTTTCTCCGGATTTTCTTATTTTGGATAACGAACTTTTTTTAGGTTTCAATTTTTCAAAGCTTCTAGCGAGTATAGCTATACCAACATGAGCGTGCTTTAAAGCGCCAACATCATTAGTACCATCTCCGCACATCAAAGTACAATACCCTAACGCCTTCAACATTATAATGATAAATTCCTTTTCCTTTGGAGCAACTCTAGCAAATACACATACATGTGGTAAAATTTTTTTCAATACATCCTTATGATTTTTATTCAAATAAGCAAGACTGTCTCCTGTTAAACATAAATCATATGACTCAACTAGTTTCTTAATATTTTCAATCAATGGAAATTGAACTTTGTTTCTATCATTTACCCAATACCACATGTTGCTGACTTCAGTTAGTGTCAAAATTATGGAACTCTGAGATCTTGTAAAATTTAATTCATTAGCTACATAGCACGCAGTTAATGGATTGTCTCCAGTTATCATAGTTACCATGTGCGATGACTCTTGAAGTTCTTTAATAACGTTTTTTGAATCGGGTTTTAAAGGACAAGAAACTACTACAAAGCCAACAAAATCTAAATCGCACTCCAAGGTCTCTCTTTTTAAATTTTTCACATCATCTGGATCAAATTTCATTTCTTTTCTAGCTAGTGCCAATACTCTAGCTCCTCTTCCGGCCAGTTCTTGATATGTACAATCATAATTACTTGGAATGCTTTTTAGCATTGACTTTAGTACTTCAGGTGCACCTTTCACACTAGCTATGTACACAACCTTATTCTGTGTTTTTGGACATTTATAAGAAGCTAAAACAGACATTCTCTTTAGAGATGAAGAAAAATAAAATCTACTCATTATTTTTAATGGTGGCATCTTTGAATTTTTTGACACAATAAGATCATTTTTGCACAGTAACCAATTTATAGCATCCAATGAGGCTTTTTCAATGGGATCACCTACTAAGGTGTCATCTAGTTGAACCAATGAGTGACAAGATGCTAAAACTTGAATAGTATGTTCAGGAGCAAGTACCATTGGCATCATTTCATTGTTAATACCAGCAATACCTTCAACAATTAAATCGTCTTTGGTTAATGTGCCAGTTTTATCAAAACAACATATTTCTACTTTGCCAGCAAAGGGAATTCTAAATGCTTCAGTACAATATATTCCGACTTTTGAAAGTGACAAAATCGACGAATTCACGGCCAATGACAATTCCACAGGTAACTCTGGTGGTATAACAGAAGTTAGTATGAGAGAACATTCAAGGAATAATTTATAACGGCTTCGGTTTGGATCTTCTGTTCCTTTAATCCATAAATATGTTGCTGCAGCAATGGCAAAAATTAATAAAAATAAAATAAACGCTAAAGTTTCCAGATTATTTGCTGTTACATGCTTAACACCAAATAATATTGTTTGGAGTAAATTACCTTGTGATGTATTAAAACCTGTTCGTAAAACAAAAGCAATACATCCATTGTCGGGAGAAGCACGTATACTTGATGTTGATTTTATAGGTGAAGTATGTTGAACTACTCTAGTGCCACTAAATAAAATGTGCAATTTTTTATCAGTTTCAAAATCTAAATTTCTACTATAGTCGCTAATGTTTTCAATAGGTTCTTTCATCTGTGGAATGGATTCACCGGTCAATAAACTTTCATCTACAATACATGAGCCCCTTAATAGTAATAAATCACAAGGAACAGTTTGGTCATCATGACCTCGGGTAATAGAAACAATATCACCGGGCGTTAGGTCATCGCTTAATATGAGTTGCCACTTTTTATTACGGTATACAAACAAATCAATTGAGTTATTGCCCATTTTTCTGATTTCATCCATGTTACGTAACTGTTGTTTGACCAAAGTAAATTCAAATAGTACTAACATTGCCAATGTAAATATAGAATAGTACCAATATTTATCAAAGCACCACAGCGTAATACAAAATACTTGGAAAACAAAAAAAGGAGCAGTAGCTTTTTCAATGAATAAATCATTGAACTTTGGCAATTGTATATAAAGCTCATTTAGACCATATAATCGTATAGATTTTGCCAATTGCTCGTCACTAGTGTATCCCTTACAATTAATATATTGTTCAATTGTATTAGAAATTGGAAATTGTAAAGAATGAAAACATTTCTTATCATCATTCCACAAATATTTGATTTCATGGTATCTAAACCATGTAACAGTCTGTAGGTCTTGATCTTTGAACCTTTTTAATACCACTAATTCTGTAAATCCATTATTCGGTATTGGGATTACTTTGACCAAGGAAGCTGTCTTTGGAGAAGTGACACGTCGACATGACAGCAGACATCTGAACGATACAGACCAGTAACAGCAGAGTGAGCATAATACTTGGGCGATAGCAACAGCGAAAATACCAATAAAATAAATATCCCCAATATCATTTAAAGAAAAACAAATGTACGACCATAAGAAATAGAGAACAACAAACGGAAAAATTGCCCCATGAAAAGCAATGTGACGAGGCACATAAAGTGACACCGAATCAATAAGATTGTCTAAGGCCATTTTTGTTTCTTGTGTATATACATAAAGGTAAAAAGTCCACAATTAGCAGTATTAATATAGACTAGTAAACGATACCTTAGTTGATTTCGTACAGAGATGGTGTATTAAGGAGGAAGTTATTCGACAGAATTGATTTTTAGTTGTTTCAAATCTGCAATCGCTGTTCTACTTTTGGCCATCATGTTATTATCACAGTAAAATTATACATACTCGTAGTTAATGACGTTAATCAAAATTGTCGACGATCATGTTCAGCAGTGGCAACGGGCGTTTTTGTTTTATTAGCTGGCTGCAGTAGTGCGTCGTCTCAGTTGTACAGGTGGCAATGAGTTGTGTTATGTGTAAACTACAGGTAGGTTCGACGATCATCTGTGCGCCATGTCTACACGGGAAGTTGAATTAAACCTATAACAGTAATAATATAATATACCCGTTCAATCTTGAATCATATTGCGTGTTCAATAAACATTCGAGTTACCAAGTATTTGAGTAGTCGGCATCGGCAGTTATCAAATAACTTTTAGGTTCAGTAGGTATGGTCCCGTAGGTCCATAATCATAGATAAAAAAAATAGATAGGTACTCGGCGTGGCCGGATTAAAACAACGCTCTCTGACGACATTTGTTTGTAACTATTTTAAATAAATCATCCATACAAAAATGTCCTCCTCCATCCTGGTCGTCATGAACCTAGGAGCCATTTCGTCTTCTTGGATTGTGATACAAACACGATAAAAGACGTCTTTGATCACAGATATAGATAATAAACTAAATTTCTAACTATTTTTTTATAGTAAAAATTCACAAGCAAGCCGGGCGACACCGCTTTTCCACCATATTAGTTAAAGGTTATGGTAATTTATCAATTTTTATATTGTGATTATACACAGATAAATTTTATCATAATTCATAAACACAGTTATATTTTCAAGAATAATTAACGTAATGATTTATATTACATTATATTATATTATATTTATTATTTTATAATATTTGGCCGTTGAACAAAATCATTGTTAGTGAAATGAATATTACACATCCTGTGATATGTTGGAATAAAATTTTGCCTTTTATATAGTAGCTATCCATTTTTCTTTAGCTATATTATTATTTGGAAATCTATACAAAAAAGATTTGATAAAATAATTGTTACACTGCAATAAAATTGTATGCATAGATGATTATATTGAAAATTACTGACACATATACATACTTGAAAAAAAACCACTATATCATGACATAGCTATTAGCATATCCAAGCACAAGTTAGTGGCATTTTACATACACTACTTACACTTTTGCAAACAAAAGTCAAGACACTAGGTTAAAATATCATAACATTTAAAATGCATTTGCTCATTTGTTTATTGTATTGTTTTTTTAAGGGTGTTGGATATAATTTATTTTTAGATCATATTTAAATCAGATTTGTTTTATTTTAATTGTTACTTATCAAATATTGTTTATTATTAATTAATAATTATAAATGTTCTTATTTTTTTATACTATCATTTTGATTAATGATTTACGTGCATAATTTATTTTTCATTGTAATATGTTTTTATGTATGTAGGTAATAAAATTTAGTCTATGTTTATTAACTATATCTGTGGTAATTGGTACGATTTGATTTGAAATACGTCCCGCTAAATGATAGATTAGGTATTACGTAGTTATGATAACACTGAAGAGCCTAAAACCAACATGGCTTTTTTTGGCATCTGCTGTTATCACCAGTTAGTAATCTAGATTATTATCTATATCAGTGATCATAATATAATTAACTCAGGATATAATTAAAAATATCATGATCTAAGGTCCAGTGGGATATAACCATAGACAATATAATCAGTTTGGTTACCTCTCCTCTAGTGGATTAAAGAAACAGTGAATTTAAGAACACAATTCTAGCGGCTGAACAGTCTGAATAGTCTAACGCCCTGGGCTGAACCAACCCGGCATCTGCTGAATTTAAGAAAATAACGAGATTGGTTAGGTTAACTAGCTAATCTGGTCTGAGACATACAGTAGAAAAAATTATTAATTAAAAATTTAGCTATAACCACGGAATGTAAGCCATGGTACAACTACAGATATACATTATCTATGGCTCCAACCAAGGTGGATAATACAAATAATAAATAATCCTCCTTTGGCTACAAACCAGAGTTAAATTATTTAATCATAATTCTGTGCTGCAACCCATATTTATAATACATAGTACTATAAGCTATCTTGAATCGTGGGTGAGATTAAAATGTGAAACACTGGTTAATACCATTACTATTATCACCAACACCACATAATATATAAGTTTCTGACTCACACGGAATGAAACATTTTTTTTGCCGCATTATCTACTAACACTGTCATCCAAGATGGGCGCCGATTGGCCGAAATTCAATTTAACGGTTTTGACAACGGCTTGGCTGTACTCGAAAAAAAATACTGTCCTGGTCGCAAGCGCCTAATATCTATTGTTATTTTGTTTTGATCTTCAATAGTTGAATGTGTTTTACCTATTAGTTTTTTTGGCGTCGGACGTTGTTGCCTTTTTCTCAACGTAATGTGAACGCCATTTATAAAATTATATTATCAACGTAATTTTTATAATAGGTATTAACATTTTTTTTGATTTCCGTTTGTCGATTGTATACGTTGCTACGTTGTTTTATAACTCCTTTTGTTACCTTAGTGCTCGTACTTTCTCAGAATGACTGCGAAAAAGTAAGTTTTTATTACGAAAAATAATTATATTTTATGTATATTTAATCGACTGTATTTTTAAGTGCCTGTATTTGTACATAGAATTCAAAACATTTCATTAGTAGATAAAAAAAGAAATCTTGGTATATTGACCTTTCGGTTATGGAAAAGTTTTATGTGGTATCTAATACCTATTTGGTTCTTTTTAAATTAATCAAAAAACTGTCTAGATTTTACATTACAGGTTGCCAATTAATTAAGTATTTAATTAATATTTATTTTTCTAACCAATATTTGGATAAATTATTTCAGAATAAATGTACCTATCTAAGTAAATGTAGGTAACCTTGTAGATGTGTTAATGAAAATATAAAAAATAACATTTTGTACTGTGTTTATATCGACCATTGTATGCCATGTGTTGATCTCCATAAAGTAGGTAGGTATCCTGGTAGGTACAGAATGTTTATAAAATAAATTTATTATCTATTCCTAACTCATAAATACCAACATAGATATGCATTATAAATTAGTTGTTTAATAGGTGTTTAATTCAAATATATTGGGTAAGTACCGACCATAACATTTAATCACATTTATTTGATATGATCACTGAGAATATAACCAATATTATTGCTTACATTTATTTATTTTAATATTGGTAAAACGATTTTAACAAAAAAAGTTAATTTGTGTCAAGAAGACACTTTACTCAAATTGACTGTCTCAGTCAAGCAACAAAGCATTATTACTTAGAACATAAATTGTGGAAATCTAGAAATTTTGAAATTTAGAGAAAAGTATTTTTAAAGGTTGTAGGTGTGTAAATTTTTTTTAAAAAAATGTTCTTCAATAAAGTTAAACCATGCTAGTTTTTAATTTTGACATTTTAAATTTTATTGTACAGTAAGTCCTAACATCAAGGTTAGGTTCCTGGAAAACGATGTTAACCAAAAAAACTTCAAGTGAAACACTTTTTACATTCACTGTATTATAATAGGTTCCTACCAAAAAATAATACACATAATTTATGTACGTATTATAATTATTTTAGTTGCACAATTTTATTATTAATTAGATTTACTTACGTATTAATATTTATTTTTTAAAGAATGAGTCTAGTGTTGACAGTTGAGCTGCATTTTTCTTATTGCGATACAATTCTCGGTAACACGTTGAGCTCTTCAAAACATTTCCCTTGACAAAACACACATACATACATCTAACAAAATTTGATTTATAGAAGTTTTCGATTTACTGAATTTTGGAGGAAAAAAAACAATTATTTCGGATTAAAGAGGGGTGATAAATTTTATGTGTTATATTGATTTCAACAACTGTTTACCTATTTCAGAGGTTTATTTTGATAAAATGATATAATTAAGATTTATTATGAAAGTGATTATGATGAAGTCAAAGAATTAATTTAAATTTATTGATTTAAGACAAACTGCAATATTTTATCATCGTCATTATTAGTTTGATTATGAGTGTCTATTAAATTATTTATATGGTACTGTATTGTAACATAATCGTTACAATGAATTTATTTGAGTTTATACATATGTATGTACATAATAAAGAAATTCAAATTATAGAGGCTTTGGCAAAAAAAAATTTGAATTGTACAGTATCTACACTCACCGGCAGATATTTTGAATTATCTAGAAAACTGAAATACATGTATTTTATTCTAAATATAGAAGTTTTCTCAGGGGACCAGGCATTTAGTTCGATTTATGGAATTTTTCGAATTATCGGGTGACTACTGTATATGTTTTGTTATATATTTAACATTGTATTAAACATTAAAATGATTTTAATATTTTGTTAATAAAATTTAGACAATTATAAAGAACAAATTCATGTTAATTATCTAATACCTAGTTTAAAACAAATATGTTTTATTTTACTGTTAATATAGACCTCATTATAACATGAAAGAAAACAGAATTCCTATTGGGAAAAAAAGAGAGAATTTAGAGAAAATTGGAGATGTAATCAAAAGTAAGTTAAACTTAATGTTCAAGTAATATGTTATTTTAATTGTACCTGTATAATATTTGGTATATATTATATCTAGATGTTAATAATTTTGTTTTAATTTTTAGACCAAGAGTTAGAAGTAGTTGTTAATCAAGGAGTGAAAAAAAAGACATCTAAAATAAACCAAAAAAATGAATCTAAAGCTCTCAAAGTGAGTAACTTAAACAGTGTTCCTGCTGATACATCCTTAATGAAACCTGCTGAGAAATTGCGAGTAAAACTTAGTACAATTAAAGAAATAAAAGAATTAGAAGAAAAGGCATGCTACATCAATACTCAGTTAAATAATGATCCATCATCTAATAAATTAAAACAGTCAACGGTAATGATTAGAAATTTACAAGGAGAAAATGGTGTCGAAGATTTAGATAATACAATGGACCAATTATTACCTAGACCTCCAATCCCAGAAGTTGTCATAAGTCCCTATGTTTGCACGACTCGTGGACAAAAGTGGAAACCAATCGCAGTTAAACCACCAAAATTATCTGAGCTTTATAACAAATATGACCTTAATAATGTCGCAGATGTCTACAGGTATTTAATTGTTTTTAATACATATAGTTTTATTTTTGTACGGATTAGAATGTATATACCTATTTATTATAACACTTACTTTGTTTAGTATTCATTTATTAATAATATTGTATTTGTTATGTTATAGGAAAAAATTGGATGAAAAAACTACTGAATTACATAATAAAATAGAATACTGGACCAAGATATCTTTTGAAAATGGCAGCAATATTCCAGAAGTATTTTTAACTTAAATAAATATTTTAGGATATGCAATGTTAGTGTGTAAATTTTTTAGGAATGTTTAGATAAATATTTAATTATGGTAATCTCCCCAATTTGTGGATGATATAACTATTTTTAAATGATTTTATACAAGTTAATATTCATCAATTTAAAAGAAATTTCAAATGTATTTATAGATTAACATAGAACATTTGATGTGTTAAAACCATTTTTGTATTTAAATAAAATTTGGTTTTGATTTGATATTATATTTAACCTAGAAAATATTTGTATTCATATTTTGTCATGGTTTTAATACATTTATATTGCTGAATAAATACTAATTTACTTAATTTACAAAAAAAAAAAAAAATAATAATAATAATAAATTACTTACATTTTATTTTAGATTTTAATAAAAATAATTTTTAGTTTATATATTTTACTAATCTTTAACAATTGTTTTAGTCTGTCAAAGATGAAATAGATGTTGTTTGTGGACAAACAAAACTTTTAACAACTGACAAATTTATGCAAATGCGTTCGCTGATAGAAGAGTTTGATAATAATTCTGGAACAATGCCTATAAACACAGATGATTTGGATGGTTTTTGGGATATGTTATTATTGCAGGTAATTAGTGTCTAGTGACTTTTATTGTAACACAAATATTATTTTATGTACTATATTGCTTATGGTACCTATGTCTAATTTTAGGTTAAAAAAGTAGAAGGCCAATTCAATGAACTTGCTATACTAAAAAACAACAAGTGGGTCCCCATACAACCAGTTGCGAAACAAATTATCAATAGAGTGTCCAAAGTGAAACGTCCCCTTGGCAGTTCTTCATGTGTTAATTTACTTAAGTCTAAAAGTAAGTTTGGATTAATTTCTTTTATGGTTTATGTCTATATAATATTATTCTTAATACATATAATATACATCTACCATAGTTATTTATACATATTTATGAACTTAATATTTAAAATTATACTGTTAATTTGTGACCGAATGAAGTATACTAATATTATCATACATCTTTTCTTATTAAACACAGACAAAAAGCCATATGATAAGAATATAAATAATTTTGAGACAAAAGATAAAGATTCAAATCACTCAAAGTTTTATGAAATGAAATCGTCCAATAACACTTGTCGTATGTTTTTTTTTTTTTTAATTATTACATTATTTTGATTTTTCTAGTGAAATATCCTCTTTATCTCCATCCTTTTTTTTTAGCTCTATTTATTTATCTTTTATCTCTACTTTATTTGGTTTCCCACATCATTAATACATCTTATCTGACAGTTCTCACACCAATCTTAATTGTATCACACAATCTTTAGTTTTACATTTTACTCCTTCACTCCTTCAATCCACCTACATTCCAGTAAAAATAGTAATGTAATTAAAACCAACACATTTACAGTATTTGATACATTCATTTTTAATAATGATTCAATATTTAGTTATTTCTAGTACACCAACTTCTTCAAATAAAAAACCTGTTCGTTTTACTCCTATGCTATTGAAGACCATGGAATTATCATATGTTGCTCGTAGGTCGGGAATGACACCATTAGTTCTTGGTGATCAGCAAGCCTCCCCATTAAAACCTGCACTTAAAGATCCTATAATACAAAAACCCTTAAAGCGTAAAAATATACATTTTAAAACTCCTGAAAATACATCCAATAATGGATTTATCACACCAAAAAACTCAAACAATGGTAAGTTGTACAAATAATATTATAATAATAATGTCTGAAAAATTATTTTCCAATTAAATTGTAGACCATAATGTAAGCCATAAGAAAAGTGTCCAGAATAGAGTTGTCACTCCGTATACAGTAAAAGTATCTAAATTAAACCAAAAAGACCTGGCTGTCAAAACTCAGAAAAATACTAGTGATACGACAAATAAGATTAATAATCATACAAACATTGAGAAAACAAAGTCCAAGGAAAAGATTTCTGCAACTGTAAAATCTGCAATTGTTGAACATGTAGATTCCACAGTTAGACGTTCCAAGAGACTGGCGAAAAAACCTACAAAGAATTATAAATGTTAATTTACAAGGAGTTAATAGTGTTATAACTTTTTTTAGATTATTAACTATTTTTTTTTTTAAGTTTATTAAGTTAACATAATGTATGATGTAAAATAACATTAACAGTATGTAAAATACCTCTTATTCATGATTCATGACTATAATATTGGTAGATGTAAATTATAAAACCACAGTACAAATATTTATTTATCTTGTATTTTATTCGAGGTTTTATTATAACAATAATTTTGTTTTATTTTATTTGTTCAAACATTTTTGAAACTAATGTATGATTTATATACAAAAATTTATTATTTTAATATACATTGTACTTTACTGAAGAAAATATACTTTGTTCTCATGAATTTTTCGACATTATTTCCCTGTACATTTGCTGATTCTTTAGCATTTCCAAGTAAACCATGTATTTTTTGTTGTGATACCTGTAAAAATAATGTTTCTTATTATGTAGTTCTGAAATTTAAGGATAGGTTTGTTTGTGTTAAAAATATTATGTTTTCTTCTTGCAGTATTTATTTTAAAACAAACATTTTTGTTTTAGAAACAAATTCAAGAATATTAAAATATTAAAACCATACACTTTTACTATTTCTCAAGCTTGTGATTTATTTACACCCGCTATACAGTATTTATTATAATATTTTGTCTGTAAACTTATAAATGTTTGTTTTCTTTAGGACAGTTATTTTCTAGTAATTAAAATACTGTATAATATGTTTATTAAATAGCAAATAGTAAAAATAATGAGTCATCTCTTAACGTGTCTCGTATGTATTATACAAATTAAATGTACAATGCTGTAAAATATACTAAAATTTGTTGTGTATTTTATTTTCATAGGTATTAATTATAATTGTTTTTTTTTTCTTGGGCTATTAAAATAGAACTGAAATTACAAGATTTTTTTTAAAATTATTTGTTGTTATTATATGTTATTAAATTAAAAAATATGTATATGCAGTGGGCGGCAACCCACCCCTTGTTCCCAAAAAAAAAAAAAAAAATAGAAGACCCTGTTTTTAGTTTTTGACAAAATTACTCCAAGGGTAGGGAAATTTTAAATTACCAAACAAGCTTAACTAATTTGTGTGAAAAATAACCCCCAAAAAAATATATGTATGTAATTTGTGACATATTTAAAAATTAATTTTAGTAATTCGCATCATTTTTTAAGGTTGCGATTTGTGCCACATAAAATTAAATGAAAGGACTTTATGTAATCTGCACCATCTTGTACCCACACAAATTGAAATTTGCGCCATTGTTCACCTTCTTAAGATTGTAATTCGCGCCACTTTAAGATAACTAAACAATTTTTTTTAACCAGATTAACATATTGTATTTTTAATCATTAATCAATCAAGTTCATTTTAATAGTTAGTACTTTATGTATATTAAATAGCTAATACAATTTCGGTTAGTAATAAAACATAAGAAAAGTCAGTAATATTATCATTATAATTAAATGTATATAAGTATACATACTTTATGTATAATTTGTATTAGATTAGACGTAATCGATTTCGTCTCTATTTATTATTAGTAGAATACAACAATATATAATATGGATGCAATATCAGTAAATTATTATCATCTGGTAAATTCCAACAATTTAAGTTGAAATCCCAGTTAATCTGTGGTGCAGATTACATATTCTATTCGTTTCCTGTACTGGCGCAAATCGCCAAAATTAATTTTTAGATGTGACGCAAAATACGTTATATTTATGTATTTTTAAATTACCATCTCCCGGATTCAAAGGGGAAATTAATGTACACCTGTATGCTACAATTAATCATTGCTAACACGAACATTCTACAATACATTAATTTTTTTTTAAAATCAAAGTATGACTTATAATAATCCCTCTTAAATTTCCAACTATTTCTGTTTGGTCTTTAGAACACTTTTATTCAAAAACTGCCCTTTGATAATCATTGAAGAATTATAAGTGACTCAATAAAAGATAAAACGAAAAGAATAAAAACGAATTTAGACAAGGAAATGGATCGAGATTGCAGTTTGGTCTTAAGGGCGGGCGCATATCACAAGCGTTTTATCGCACAACTATTTAGTCTTCGACGATTTGTAGATTTTTATAAAAAGCCAACATAAATCGAACGTGATTCTATAGATAATTTTTGAATGCAAAATAGTTTTTTTTTATTATTTGTTTTGTATTTAACACGACTAATGGGAGGGCCCCTCCATTGCTCAAGCTCCTTATCCCGGATATGCCACTGACAGTGGTAATTCATTGATAAGATATTATGATCGAGATTTTACTAATCTGCAACGCCAGTGATGCCTTCGTCGGTTTACTAGGTATACGAGAACAAGACGTATAATATCATGTCAAACTCAGCCGTGAGAACAGAACCGTTTTCTAGTGGCTCAACGAAAATCGCCGCATTGAACAAAATTAACGACACAATAAACGGGAACAAATTAGCAACTTGCTTTGGTAACACGGCCGAGTGGCGAGTACTATCTAGTATCCTAGTGTGAACCCGACCACGAGTTTTCGCTGCCACTGCAGTTACCGTTATTACCGCTCTGATCTGACTGAGCCTTTTAGTATACGTACGTGTTGAGACGCTGCGACGGTTGTACTGTGCGCGAATCGCCGGCCATCGTGATAGCGGCTTCGTTAAGCTTTTGACGGCGTCCGGCGGCCGCGGCCAACATGGCCGCGCCGACCAGCACCGGGTCTTCGCCGGTGGACGAGCGCACCGGAAGGCCCGCGACATTGGCCTGTGTCCGCACGAATATCGGGTTACGACTGAGCCCGCCGCACATCAAGATTTCCCGCACCTCCACGGAGTCGCACTTTTCCACGGACTCTATAATGTGTTTGGTACCGTACTGAAACGCGGTACCGATAAATAAGACGCAGTGTCGTGTGCACGTGGTTTCATAGGGGTTTTGGAAGGGGGATAAAAGAGACTTAGCTGAGGGGAGTTAACCTCCCGAGAAAAACTCTCGCCATTCTCTCGCCTCCCCAGATATTTTGATAATTTATCGGATCTAACAGTTCTAATTTTTTTTGTTTAGTATAATGTTACTATTGGTCGTTTAATTTTCGATCGATTTTATTCAGTCTAAACAAAAAACACTTTGATGGCGGTTAAAATTTTAAGAATTTATATTATAATAAAAAACAATATTATCAATTTAAAATCGAATTTTGTATGTATGCATGCGACACATATGTATAGGCTAATAATATTGAAGTCAATTATTTGTAATGTGTCATTTTTCTAACATCTATCTATGAAGAAAAAGACTCGTCTATACATTCCTAAATCATAGTATAGTTTAGGTACATAATAGTATTATTGGAATAGTAATAATAAATAAGGGAATGGATCTATAATAATTGATATGTAGTTGCATAAGTTATTACGTTTATTAGAACAAATTATTTGAAATCGAATAGAAAAATATGCACAATTAAAAATAATATCAATCATATTAATATAAAACATCAATCATTTTAGTTTGCTTATTTTTAAAATAATATTTTTTGCAATTGTATAGACAATAAAAATGAAATCGAAAAAATGTCGTTAAAAAATGTTAAAGGGATTAGGTTATAGTATAATCTATTGTTCACATAAATACATCAAGCCATATACAGTTGCCATTTTCATCATAACGTTTCTTAAAGTAAGAAAATCTTCGTGTGAAAGTTGAGAATACAATTTTAAAATATCGTTTTTTCATTTTATGAAATTCATCACAGTAAAATTAATTTGTTTTAATAAGTTCAAGTTGAAGAGAATTAGCAACATAATTTTCATCAATATTAAGTGGATTTTCAAATAAACGCAACGATTTTTCCTGTAGTTTAACGTCTGAAAATCGAGATGAAAAATCGGTTTGCAATTTGTTTAACATTTCTATAAATCGATTTGTTGAACAAAACGATTTTGTTTTATTTTTAAATATTTGGCAGCTTTCAAAATAATTGAAGTCACTTCGCTAAATTTGATTATTAAATAATTTTAATTTTGCATCAAATGCTTTAAAAGAATTATGTATGTCAAATATGAGTTTTCCAGGTCTTTGTAATTTTAAATGTGTTATTATATCTATAAGAAATGTTAAATTCCACAGTCAATTATCATCTTTAAGTTCAAAATTTTTTTCCCCTTGTTAATCATGAACATTTTAATTTCCTCTCGTTGATTAAACATTTTTTTCAAAACCTTTCCTCGACTTAACCATCGAACATGATTATGGTATGCCTCATCACTGTACTCTGCTTCTATTTCAAAAAGAAAACTCTGAAATTGTCTATGAGTAAGGCCATAAGATTTTAAAAAATTAACAGCTTTTATTACAACAGACATAACATTTTCGAGACCTATAACTTTTCCATTAAGAGCTTGCTGATGAATAATACAATGAATATACATAGGAGGTTCAATATTTTTCAATTCTACAAGTTTATTTGCCCTATCAATGAAACCTATAGGTCCAATAGGTTCTGTAAAATATAGTATAAATATTAAGCATACTTATATTGTCTATATTACTAATGGTGCTGTAGGTATCTAATGAATTTCTATTATATGTTACTCGCATGTAACTCAAAACAAGACTGAATTAAAGAAGACATATTTTGCATATTTTGTGGTATTTAAACTTTTTTTTTTTTATTCTATTTGAATTTATTGAGGAGGAAAAGTACTTACACACAAGGCTTGTATAGTGGCCAAATAGATCAGTGCCAAGTTCTCTCGGTCAGCGGATAGCGTTAACCCGACCATCTGAAAAATACCTGCACATATTATACAATATAAAACCTATAAGTTTATTGATTTCAAGTGAAAAACTAGAAAAATAAGTATCCACATCGGAGAGGGATTATAGAGAATGAAGGCAAAACTATATAAACTTAAACTACCCGTATCAGCCAAATTGTAAAATATAGAAAACAAAATGGAATGACCTGCAATATCAATATAAATAAATATATATATTTATTTATCATTATTGTATTAAAATTAGGAAAATTGGAAATAATTTTTTTTGCCAGCCACCTCCTTATCAATCTGGTCTTTTTACCATGGATACCAATTGACACTCTCCCAATGGACCTATTATACAGTAACTCTATACAATTTCTTACAGGTCTGGTGTTTCTATATTAATCTATTAAATTAATGTAAACAATAGTCTTTAAATATGTGTTTGGAAACAAGTTCCAATTTGTTTCTCCCCTGAAAATGATTTTATGGGTGCCCGTGCCTTCCACTAAACTTTGTTTAAACTAGTCCAACTGTTTTTTGTATAGGTACCCATTACTAGTTGTGTTATATTTTGAAATTTGTAATGATATATTTTTAATATTATAATAGTTTATCCGCCGACTAATAAAACGTAGCCATTGCGTATTACCGATCCTCTAAGCGTGGGATCGGCCACGGGTGATCGATTTCCGTGAAAATCAGGATACACGTGAAATTCTTCTGTTAGCATGTCAATTGAATCCAGTCCCCTGTCCGTGGCCATTTTATTAAGCAACTCATTGAGAAATTCTTCCACTCTCCTATTCAATAGGTACAAACAAATAAAAAGGTTTATGAACAAAAAAATAAATACGATACTCACGAGCCGTCCGGAACGTCCAGATTTCCCGCGGCCGGGTGTGTGCTAATGACGTGGTCAATGAGCTTGCCCGTGGCGGACTGGCCTCCTTCCAACAGCCACATATCTGGTAACACAGCCCCGAAGTAAGGTCCCCAGATACCTTCCGCGAATATCATCCTGTCAGTGAGTAATAAATGACATGTGGACGTGCCTCCGATCATCACTGTATTATATATAACACACAATAATAATAGTTAGAATTTAAAAAAAAATAGCTGATACTGGGGACGGGTGCAGCCACTGTTGTAGGTGGGAAGTTGGGAAGGTAGAACATAGAGAATAATTAAATTTATATCTGTACGCAACGATAAACTAATGCTAACAAAAAACGATTGTGAAACAAAGCGAAGTAAAACATATTTTGAAATTTTCGTCAAAATTTGATCTTAAAACAATTTAATTTTAAATTTGTTTTTTAGATCACTAAATACAACATTGTACCTTGTGTTAAATTTTCAAGCATTTTTCTCAAGTCATATAAAATCACGAAAATACCTATGAATAATCTAAAAATAGTTAAAATGTTTTGAATACTTTACAACGTAAACAAAAGGCTATTTTGTAAAAGCTACGGGTCTCAGCAGGTTAGGTCAGGTTAGGTTGACACCGAAATTTATTTAAAGTAATACTCCGCCTATTAATTATGATGACATTTTTAATATAAGTTCTCATTTGAAAAATCAAAATTGGTATCACCATAGAATACTCCTTAAATTCTGTGCAAAATAAGTATTCGAAAATATTGGCTTTAATTACAATTAAAAGTTCCAAAAATCAGAATTTGAATACATGAACAATTTATCCAAACAAATGGGGTAAGCACGCTTAGTAAATCACTCTGTATAACCAATATTATAATTTAAAAGAGTTTAAGATCAGCAATATTTGCGATTATAGTTCTACAGTCTAATATAATATTATTACGTTATAAATTACCATCATTAACTGAATAACTATTATTATAAATTATTACGTTTTATCTCTCTGTTTGACCGTCTATACTCTGTAGAGTGTTCTGAATTTCACTTTTGAACTGAACCACGGTGCATTTTCGATTCGAATGTTCGTGTCGGTTATGTTATCTTAGATAACTTATTTACAATAAATTTACAATAATAATATTATTCTGTAGCGAGATATGATCAATTTTGGAAATTTCTTACCATCACATCGATGCTTTTTGTTTTGTTTTTCCATTGTACCTACACATCTTATTAAATATAATACTCATTTTACGATTATCCACAATTTATTTTATACATTAAAAAAAACAAATCTCATTTAAATATCCGATAGGTAAAAAACGTATATTCTGTTCACGTATTTACGTAACTTTTTTTTACACAATTCCGGATATCCGATATTAAACTATTACTCCGAACCATAAGTTCATTGACATAAAAAACGTCCATAAAAACGAAATTTGAGCAGAACAATAAAAATAAAATGTCCTTCGCCGAGCAAGCATACTATAAATTAGGTACGTACCTATATATAAGAAAAAAGCGATTTCTTCGAAACAAATTGTTTATTTATTCATCACCACGAGCACAAACGAATTGCATTCAAATATAAAATAAAAACAAATCCCAAACTACTTAAATATTAGGAAATAAATGAAATGTGTTTTTTGGTTGAATAAACGTTCCGCAAGTTAAATCATTAAAATTAAATTATTATTGATTGCAAATGAAGAGGCAAATGTATATGCTCCGTTAGAGTGTTAAATTTAATCAGTTCTCCCAATTGGTGGTGTGTGGATCTGTCATTATTGGTCCACGGGAATTTTTTTAAAATTTTTTTGTTGTTTACACGAAAAAAAAAATCAAATTCAGTGAAGTAAAAGATCACACTTTAAGCAATATTACATATTTAATTCCGGGGAATATTTCAGCTTTTATACGATATCTTCTTATATTTTCTACAATATATTTGGGCGAGCAAGGATTTTCGAGTATTTCCATAATGGCAAAAAAATAATCAGAGGAATAGGATTGGATGCAAGTAACGACAGTTCTGAGCAACACTATCCGTCTTAGAATCATTTAAAACCTCGATGAGAAAAGTCTAGCACGAAAATTGCACTAAGTTAACATTATAAATTATAATAGTAATCTATAGTAAATGTGAATCCGCGAATAAAAGTAATAATTTTTGTTTACATAAATCAAAACGAAAAAGTCGTCACTCAAATCAAGTTGGTCGGTGACTTTTCGAAAGTTGTCTACACTATCAAAAGGGTTAAGAAACACTGAGTTGAATGAACAATCGTAGTTTTAATTCCTTTAGATTTTTGTCCGAATTTGTTTTATGTGAAATTGATTGATTTTAATCAACAAGAATAATCGTAATATTTATAATTGGATTCCAGCAACCGATAACAAAATTATATATTTATATATTTTTAGTTGGAAAAATGATTTTTTTTTTCCGTTGTAAACATGTAATAATAACTTACTTAACTTAGTTTACTATTATCTAAATGTTACTACCTTTTTATTAGTCTGAATTAATTTTATCAGGTTTTTACATTTCATAAAGAAATGTCCTCTTTATGAAATTCGTTAAAATTTGGTCGATATATTTTTATCATATTAAAACATCTTATAACAACTTATTATACTTAGGAATGAATTTAACCAGCTCACCTAATCGGTTTTTGAAGTCTACTGGGTTTTTCAGACCTATTCCGATCATTCCCAAACATCCGGCGTGCGCATCTATCAAAGCTGTGCCCACCGGTGTCCCGACGGCCAGTCCCATCTCTTGTGCCGCTCTGGCGGTTAGCCCTGTGCCACACGGCTGCCCGGGTTCTAAAATTTGGTTGCCTTCGGAGGAAAACATTTAGTTTTTTATTAAAAAAATTACTATATACCTTATTTCGACATGCAATCACTATGTAATAATAAATACCTATACTATAGTTTATAATATATTACTCACCTATTGTGGTCCAGTCGTTTCGACTTAGGTCACCGAGGCCGATTTCCTCGAAGTACGTGTTATCCCAACCATCCGTCACATTTCCCTTGTTGCAGAACGTCCATTTACAGTCAACCGTACAAAGCGACCTGTCAAAATAAAAAACAATTTTATCCACATTAAATCAAATAAAAATTTTAAATGCTTATAAATAGCTCAAAAATCGCGAGAATATTTTGAAAATTTTACCCCGTCTATAAAAGACTAATGTAAGTTTTCGGTGAAAATTCCAGATCTCTAAATACAATTATTTTTAATCACACAAAAACAAAAAACAAAAAAACAAAAACAAATAGACATACTTCGCACAATGAGTAGGATACTGTAATAGGTGCGAAGTTGAAAAGGTAGAGGGGAATTTAATGTATATCACAATGATTAATTAGATTAATTATTTTAAATGAAAAACGATTCTGAGCGGAGTTTGGTTATACATATGTCTGGAAAGGCTGTAATATTATCGATTTTAAAATAATACATTTTGTACATTTTCCCGTTTTTCCTACGTTTTTTCCCATTTATTATGAAAACCACTGAGAAAATCAAAACATGACCTTCTTAAAGTACTACTTAAGTTTTATAGTAAATGTGTTACACTTGTAAATCAGAACAAAATTTCTGGCAGAAAAGTTGTTCACAGAAAAAAAAATCATCATTGTAAAATCATGAAATTTACTTAGCTCAGAATCTAAACAAAATCAAAAATAATGAAGTAGTTATTTCCAATTATTAAGAAAACTACAAGGAAAATCGATAAATAATTTCTTCAATGCACCAATTATAGATAAAATTTGTTTTCAGAAAAGATGCTAAATTGATGTCAATCAAAGCAATATTTATGCTAGAAATTTCTTAACAGACACACACAAAAAAAAAAAAAAATTAAAAACGAAAAACATAGGTACATTATACTAAAATCGATACATCCCTCGCTGAGTTCAAAATCCAAAACTATATTTTATTTTATGATTTTTTTAAAATGTCGTATGTTACAATTCTTATGATTTATAAGGATACATTATTTTTTTTTATGTGGATCAGTGATCTAAGATTAAAATTCATAACATAAAACAATATAATATTTTTATTTTAGATATACAGTATATGCATAACCAGGTTTATACTAACCTGCTTGAGGAGCCCGTGGCTCTCCACGTCAGGAAGTCGGGTAAGTCGAAAAACTGACCGACTCTGTGCCAAAACGTTTCTTTTGGCAGGTTATTTTTCAACCAAAGCAGTTTGGGCGTTTCCATTTCCAATGATATTTTACCGCCCACAAACTTCAAAACCCGGTGGTTTGTAGAATTAATGAATTCCGTTTCTTTATGAGCTCTATGGTCCATCCACAGTATTATGTTTTGTTCTTGTTCTTCTATATATTATATATTATTATTACTTTATACGTCGACGCCTAAAAAAAAGATGTCACCGACAACAGATGATAATATTCTTACCATTTTTGCTCACCGATATCGGAAGTCCGTTTGCGTCCACAGCGACCAGAGAACACGTGCCGTCGAATCCAACACCTCCGATTGCCGACGAAGGTACATCACCGGTGACTTCCTGAGTAAACGACGGAAAAACAATAACAATAAAAACAAATCTTTAAGCTCTTATACTACTGCGGTTTTTTTCTATATATCATGTAATTTAAAATATTAATACGCTTCTAACCCGTATGACTTTACAGCAACATCGCCATATGTCATCGGACGATTGTTGATAGAAATCTGGTTCAGGATTCCACGTTTTTATGTCACTAGTTGATTTTTTTAAAATTCTTCCCGTATCGTCTACCAACGCCGCCCGAACGCTTCCCGTCCCGACGTCCACACCAACGAAATACATTGTATCTAAATAAAAAAGGAGAATACAAATATACAACGTCGGACGAGAAAAAAAACCTAATCCCTGTTATTCAATCGTATAAATAATCTCAACACGCCAACGATCGTATCGATCGTGCTACGTGTCGAAAGACAAACCGGAATTATGCAGGTCAGGTATATTATTAGGTACCTATATACTTGAACTCGTGCAATAATAACCGGCTGATGCAGTGTTTTCGCGGTTCTTCCGGGAAGTAGTAAACTGTGTACAAGTTTCCTTTTTTGTACAAGTCGACATGTGAACTGCGGCAAAAACAAATTTAACTCTATACAACCTATGGCCAAACCGATAAGGTACATTATACAAACCGCGGCAATTTATTTTTTATACTTATTAGTTATTATTAATTATGAGTATATAAATATAAGTTTATATATAATTAACTATTATATATACCGATACGATAAACGAAAATGTATTAAATTAGTATATTATGTAATTTATTTTTTTTGGATTATATGATAACAGTTTTTAATATTAGTTAAATGATAAAGTTTTTTTTTATTTCATAATTTTAAAATTGTTTTTTTATTTTTATATTCACCCATTTGTTCAAAAAACTCAATTGACTATGTGCGCACCGATAAAATGAAAATGTGTGTCGTTACTTCGTTAGTCATTATTCGGTTTTATATGTGACGATAGGGAACCTACATAATAATACGTACATGTTACAAGGTAGCGTAAAAACGTTATCGATCAATGATTATCTTATCGGTATGTATATAGGTGTATACCTAATAAGTAAATGAAATAAATTGCTGCAGTTTGTATAATGTTAAATGTGTTTTTGCCGCAGTTTACATACAGCTGGTTTTTTTTCCAGCCTCGGGATCCGAGGGAAGGAGATACCTACCTACTTGTTCGTTCTTCAAGTGGATACTAACTACCGGTCTCAATAATATCTAATTGTTCCTCGCTCGAGTAAATTATATTATGACCTGACCCGTGGTATAGCACCCACCTGTCCAGAGTAATTCTCTGAATGTTCCGTACTTGCATATTGACATAAAAAATTAAGAAGGTAGGATATTATACAGGATAATTTATTTTGTATACTTTATGCAACGATAAACCATTGTAAACCAAAAAAAAGATAGTTCTGAACGGAGTGGTGTTAGTTGTATTAGCCGAGTTTTTACTAGGCGAAAATTTTTTTTCCGAGAAGAAAATATTAATACACTTATAATCTAAAATAATACATTGCTTATCTCTCCCCTTGGATTATTGAATAGAATCCCTTGCACGATTTCACATGACGTCAATATTTAATAATAATATATACTGTACGAGTACTTATATTGGGACTTATAGTTTTGTAATCAGACACTTGTATACCTAACGGCTAATTTACTCGCGCAGTTATGCGTGTTACAAGCCGATAGGTATTTAAATATTATTGTTATAATTGTAATATATATGCCTAATTACACAATGCGCATGCGATCGTGTTATCGTCATTTTACTACCTATAGGTATATATGTTTTACTTCCGTCAAAAAATAAATTTCAACAGTTATTAAACCCGTGTATTTTATATTTTAAACTATTGTTTTTTTTTTTTTATATATTATTTACACTGTTAATAGTTGACCTATAAATTACCACTCCGACACGGCGTATGCACGCAGAACCACGTACTCCTAAGTAGTAACTAACCGCGTGAACCGCATTATATTATTATTATAATCTTAATAATTTGCTAGGTGTATACCGAAATCGCGGTTCGACCCAATTCGGAGTTCGGTATGGAGATGAACTCGTCGCTGACTATTATAATTATTATGTTAAATTTGTATTCGTTTATAATACATCATATGTATGTTGAATAAAATACACCAAAATTGGATTTACAAAAAAAACTTAAAAAAACTGAATATTCAGTAGCGCTGGAGTAGGGGCCAGGAACGGCAAACTATTAGGTAAAATATAAGAATATGGTTACATTATTTTTTCCCTCCCTCCAATCAAATTTACATGAAACTTTTTGTTTAGGTAACATACAAGAATAATTTAAATTCAATTTTTATTCATATTATTTATTAATCTTCTAAGAAAAAGAAATATTCGATATTGACATTTCAAATAAATAAAGTCGTTTCATTATTTTATGATATAACTGATTATAATCACTGACTAATGTTGATATTAAAAAACAAATTATAAAGGTAGAATACATGAAGTTAAACTATTGGCTGTACAAGGTATAAAAATTGCTAACTCATTTAGTTTATGTTTAGTTATGTTTGCCTGAACGCCTATAATTTCCTCTGTCATATTTGCTCCGTTATCAAAACCCTGACCTCAACAATTATTTATATCCAAGCCAGCCACAAGTAAATTAATACAAATATAAATACATATTAATATAATTTAATGAATATAAATAAATTTAATAACTTAATAATAATATTAAATCAATATAAATATAAATTGATCGATAATATTTAAAGCCAAACTAGTTTCAACTTTTTCTTATGTTTCTATAAAATCCATACAACTTTCTTAAAATATTAGGTACTTCATTAGTTTTATTACTTCATTATTTTTATACATATCTTATAATTTGTGATAAAGGTTTGTAAAAAATCCAGAGTATCAAATAATATAGCATAATATTTACTTTTTTTTTTTTTAATTTTTCTAGAATTTTAGTTTTATCATATAAATAATTAATTTTGTATAGTTGTTGGGTAGTAATTGATTTTAGATATCCACTTATTAAGTGATGTTAAATGTTCTTTTAAAATCGGATTACAATGAATAATAAGTAAAATCAGATCAAAGATTTTTTTTAAAAGTGAGATATTTTCTTAATTACTTCTAAGAGCAAGATTTTTTTTCTGAAAACCATAGTCGTATCTACAATTAATTTTAAAATTTTGTACCATTTTTCTTTTTAATTTTTTAACATTTTCAGTACATGCTCTTTGTTCTAGTTCCTTCCATTTAATGTAATTTTATTTATGCTGTAAGTTAATTTTGGTTAATTTCCGTGTATTCTGATTATTATTTTCGCGTGATAAAAAATGGTATTATACGATAATTATTAGAATACAAATTTAAAAAACTAATATAACATGCTCGTTTATGAAATTTGTGGGTGGAACTTTCGATCGTTAACAGTATATAATAAGTACATTATACCGGCACCATTAAGGGTAGGTAATATGTAAGTGTTATTTTTCAAATGGGCCTCGGTTTATCTACATGTTAAAATGCTACTCAATTTACTCAAATGTAGGTTGAATATTTGAACCTGAATATCATTTAGGCTTTCCTATACATATAATAGGTTTATTATGTCAGCGTTATCGTTTTAGAATGTGAAAATGGTCTTATAAAACAGTTACAATGAAACAAAAAGTCGTTCTCTTATTTTTAATAAGAATACCAATACACAATACAGTAAAAAAGAGCTGATACAACTGATAGGTGTGCTCCAATCAAGGGCGCCCATAGGGGGTAGGGGGTAAAAGGGGCATCGCCCCCCTGGATTTTAAAATTTTGACTATTAAATAATTTATATAATTTATTGATATTTGATTTTATTATGCCCCTCTTCTTATTTAGGGTTATAAGTAAAAAAAAAAAAATATGGTCATTTGAAACTTTACTAAGACACTGCCACTGCCCTTCCCTAATAATTTTCCTGCGGGCGTCTATGGTCACTATATTAGGTGGGAAGTAGGCAACGATAAACCATTGCCAATGAAAAACTATTCTGAGTGGAATTTAGTTATACATGTTTTGAAAGGTCGTGATATTTACAATTTTCGTCAAAATTTGATATTAAAAATCTTATAAAACATTTTTACATCACATTGAATTTTTTTTGTCCTCAAAGTAGATATGACTTATCCTGAACCTTGTATTAAATTTTGAAGCATTTCTGTTTGGTCTAACAATTTAATCCCCAAATACCTATCCAATAAAAATTACGAGAAAAAACTAGAAAAATTAGAATATCTATAAATAGCTCAAAAATGGCTAATATGCTTTGAACATTTTACCACGTCTAGAAAAAATAAATATAAATTTCAAGTCCTTTCGAATATTTTCACTGAATCGCAACAAATAACAAAATTGAAAATAATGTATTTCATACATTTTCCTGTTTTTCCTATACGTTTTTTCCTGGATTTTCCTAACATTATTATGAAAACAGCCCAAATAAAATTTCCTTTCAGAAAAGGTACTACACTTGAAAGTTAGAGCAAGGTACCTAATACCAATTGATAATAAGTAAGTATTACTTAAGTATACCTATAGACATGTGTTTATTATTTGATACGCATGACTGAACAATATTCGTCTTGTTGCACCACCGAATATAAAAATATATATACGAGTGAGTTATGTAAAACTACGTATAAAAATATTTTGTTTTTGTAAAATTAATGAAAATTACAAAAACAAATATATTATAATTTATGTGGTTTTTTTTTCCAATGCGATACAAAACATATGGCGGATAGTAATTAAAATTTGTGTAACATTGCAAATAAATGAAAAGAATTATGAATTAGGTATAGGTATCGCAAAAACCCTAACAAATTTTGTTTAACTTATTTACTACTATTGTAAAATTTGTACAAATGATTATAATATATAAATAAAAAAAAAAGCTCATATTGAGGACTGGAAACTACTGTTTTAGGTGGGAAGTTAGGAAAGGAGGATACATAAAGTTATTTAATTTATATCTGGAAGTAATGATAAATCGGTAATGAACGACGATTTGTAAAAGTTCAATTATACATGTTTTGAAAAAACCATAAATATTTACGATTTTCGTTAAAATTTGTTCTAAAGTTTTATAAAAAAATAAAAATACTAGATTACACTCATTTTTATTTTTGACCACCAAGTATGGTGCATAATAAACTTTCTGTTAAATTTTCAATCATTCTTATTTAGTTTAATCATTCTATTCACGGAGTAATTACCAAGTAAAAATTACGTAAAAAACTTTCAAAATTAAAATGTCTTATAACAGTTCAAACATTTTACCACGTCTAGAAAGAAACACAAATTTTTTGTCAAAACTAAATTGAATTACATTAAAAACAAAATTTAAAATAATAAAAGTACTATTTTGTGAATTTTCCCGTTTTTTCTACGATTTTTTTCGGTTTTGCTCAATTATTAAAAAAACTACTAGGGAAATCAAAAAACGACTTTATGCCGACAGTTTATACGATATAGTGTCTATCATGGTTGCAAATTTTGCAGTTTTCTCGAAAGTGACTATATATAATCAGCAGGTCGAACCTTTATTTATATAATGTTTAGTCAAATGCGCATTTTAAAAATAATTTACGAAATATACTTTTAAAATTCTTAAGTTATTTAAAAACACGCATTTAGTTTCAAAAATATGCAAAAAAAATTATTTACTATTTAATTTTTGTTTTAAATATTTACATATTTTTAAGCTGGACAATAGGTATCTAAAATTGTATAGGCATGAATGCGCGATTCAATAATACTTGACTTGGGCAATTTATCTGACTGTAAAAATGGAACGGTTTCGTCGAAACTATAAAAGTGTTATACTTTAAACTAAAACGAAAAGAAAAAAACACGCAAGTACATTAAATTCATAATCCCAATTATAATAATAATAATATATTAAACTGGGGAACAGAATACGATACGATAATAATCGAAAAATATAATATTAGTCTCGTGTCGCGTTTATTTATCGGGGATATTATCAATAATCCGTTTCAAGTGAACAAAAACTTATGTGATGTGGTCTTAAAAACACGCGAACGATGATAAAATAAAACAATATTATTGTATAATTTAACGGCAGGTATACACAGTATTTTCGGTTTTCGGCTTCGTCAAAATCGCGATGAATAGGTGTTGGTATTTATTTCGTCTAATAATTTCGCGTAACTATAATACACTTATATACCTACTACGTTATTACCCGCAGATGTGCGGAGCAATATTTTTCCAATTTTCCCAATAATATATTTAGGTTTTTTTTTTTTTTCAAAAAAACGCGTAATAATAAAGCATTTAAATGCCGCAGGTTGACGCTTATTTGTTTAAAATACGTACAGGTAATAATTTTATTTTTTTTTCTCCAATATAATTTGTCCGCCGAAACATATGTTCGGAACACTTGCGGCGATACCGTTTTTGCAAGATGGGTATAAAACTGAGTAATTTTTTCATCTGAATTTGTTATATTTCTCGTCGTACCTGTGAGTGTAAATATTATATAAATAGAGTTATAAGATATAATTTAATTTTTTTAATTTTTTTTTATATAAATACACACCATGAGAGGTTTCAAACTTTACGCTATCATCGTGGTAATATTGTGCTTGACATTACAGGTAAATGATAATAATAAAAAAAAAACTATTGTATAATAATAATGCGTACAGCCGTGAAGTATGAATGACAATTTGGGCAACTGCGCATTTATCCATTGATATAAAAGTAAATGTTTTTGTGCTTGTGCTTGATCTATGACCGAATCAATCACGTGCGAAGGTCTGACAATATTTACATCCCTAGAAGCGAATGAACAGGTCCGACGGTCCGTGTACTACATATATTGAAGTCGGATTTCCGAAATTTAATTCCTAAACCCTTTTTAGGATCGCACTTGATAATTTGAGAACAAAAATCTCACTAGATGGTGACACGGATGAATAAAAAGATGGTTATTTTAGTTTTGAAGGGCCGAGAAAATGGGGAGAAAACAGGGGTACACCACGTAAAATTGAATTTATTTTATCTATTTAATTTCGCTTTTAGAAAGTAGAAAGTAAGACAAAAGGGAATTTACGGAAATAACAGTTTAATTATTTTCAATTTTAGATTCGGAAGCGTAGCTAGGAAGGTTCATTATAAGTCGCACTTAGTGATCAGCAAAAAAATTGATTGTAATGTAGGTAATATATTTGGATATTTTTATAAGAGTTAAAATCAAATTTTGACAAAAATTGTCAATATTATTTTTCACATTTATGTTTTCGGTAGAATAATAATATAATTTGCATTTATGGTATTTTTAAATGTATTCTGTAAAAACGTTTGTGTAATTTGTTTTCCAAATTGCATAACCACCTCATATTTTTTTTGTGTGTTTCACTAGTAAATATTGTCACCATCCCTTAATATTCAATGAGGATTAAATCCACTCCTGTCTGGAATATACATTACAGCCTGCTAGTTAAGATTAACAGTAAATGTATCGAATATTTTTCTTCTTTCAGTTTTTGGGCCATTTAGGTCCAAGGCTGCATCACACTTCGTTCCATTTGTCTCTTACCAATATCAATTTTTTGTAGTTTCTTACTCATAAGCTTCCCACATATTTTTCAACTTTGTCAGGTACCATATATTATTATGTTATATAATATGGAACCAATAATAACCGTAAGTCACGTGTGCACAGGAAGCGAGTTGCAAAAAGTCCAAGCCCATCCCGAAGACGGTATCCGATTCCGATGTGGAAGATAAGATGTACGAAGACTTGAAAAGTGTCCAGCAGTCGGTATCCGAAGAGGAGGAGACAGGGGTACTTTACAACTGCGAAGAATATAAGTCAAATATCTGGGAGAAGGCGCTCAGTTCCCAGGATGCAATGCCTTTAGTGGAAAATACGTTGGCAACGGCCAAGGTGATGGGCACGGATGAGGTATGCTCGGACACGACTCGGGCATTATTCAACTTTATTGATGTGATCGGTACCAACGATTTCGCGTTCTACTCGATGCGCATGATATACAAGATGATTACGGTTATCATACGGGACACCAATACCTCGTCATTGATATACAAAGAGACGCAAAAAGTGTTCAACAAGATTCTCACGGACCCGGCCATCCGGGAGCTCACTTTGTTGTCGCTCCTCCGCCCCCTAGAAATGGTGAAGGATGAGGTCATCAGAAAACGAGCACTCAGGACGTTGATAGCTATAACCAAAATGGTCAAACCGCCCAATACCGAGGAAAACACCAATCCTTCCAATCCAAAAGAGACGGCTAATTAATGTGTTTTATGAGAAGGTAAAATACTAATGCGGTCGATACCCTACACTTATATTTAGGTGATTTTCATAAAACATAAAACCAAAAAATAATAAAAAAATATCGGAAAATATCAAATACCATTGTGAGAAATAAAGACCTATAATCGCTACCACGGTTGGATCACAATGATCTATAATATACATCATACCTAGTATATTATACTAAAGATATTAATATTGTTTAAACTATGATTGTTATTCCTAAATACATACAAATATTTAATAATTTGTAAATATTGTTTTATACGTGAGTCATATATTCTATTATAGTTTATGTGTAGGAAATATGATTTATCGAACTTCTTAGGAATAAATTAATATAGCATAATAGGTATCTCTTAAATTTTGATTGTGATATTGATTCTAACAATATACTTTAATAATTCTAAAAACGTAGAATTGTCAGAATTATATAATATTATTATAACATAACAAGACATGTTATTATCAAAAAACTAATAAGTATGCGAAAGACATTTTCTCTGGTAATGGTTTTTGTTGGCAGCGTTGTTCGAATTCGAATTGTTTCAATTTCGAATATTTAAACAAGATCACATTTATACGCAGATGATGGACGAGGTAAGGAAATTAATACTTCATCAAAACTTCAACGGTTTGATTAAATTTAATAGTTTTCAGTATTGCATACATTTAACTTATAAAAAAGACGTCCTAGGATAATGGGGACGGGTTCAGCCACTGTTATAGATAATTTAATATACACCTGTAAGCAACGATAAATCATTGCTTACAAAAAAAGTTCAGTTGATGCTTAGTCAACAACATATTATGTCATTTTTTAGTAAAATAATTAAATAGGCGTTATATATTATCTTTAATAATATTTGTTTAATGTTATACCGATTTTCCCAATTTTCCCACGTTTTTCCCATGTTTTGTCATATTTACTGGGAAATCTGAAAAAATTGAAAAATTACCTCTCTAAAATACCTCTCTAGTGAAATTTCCTTTTAGAAACATTACTACCATTAAAATTTAAAGCAAAATTGCTGGTTGATAAGTTGATCACAGAAAAAAAGAAGGCCGTAATATATTTTAACTAATACCTACATTTCTTATATTTTCCCGTTTTTTTTTCTACGGTTTTTTAAATTTGATGAGAAAACCCCTAAGAAATTCGAAAAATGTTTAAAATAAAAAAATTTCTTAGTTATAGCCATTTTAATTTATAGAAAATAGGCGAGAAAACAATTAATATTCAATAGAAAGTAAAGAATTACTGTGCCGATTGGAATTCCTTATCGCATAACGTGTTATTTTACTGAAAATTAATTGTTTTCACGCCTAATTAAAAAGGCTATAACTAAGAAATTATTCATCGGATACGAATGTATGATACATTGAAAATTTTCTCAAGTGAATAAATAGTTATTTTTTTTTTTGTGTTTAGGGGATGAAAATAAAAATTAAATTTTTCTTCAAATCGATGACCCCCTCGAAGACAAATCGATTGAAAAAATAATGGACATACTTCGCACGTGGGTGCAGCTACTTTTGTAGGTGGAAAGTTGGGAAGGTAGGATACAGACGGGAATTTAATATATATCTGTAAGCAACAATAAACCACTGTTAACGAAAAAACAATTCTGAGCGAAGTTCAGTTGATAGTGTTGCTTTGTCAACAATATATATATATTATGTCATATTATAATAAAATGGGGCATGTATCAGTTACCCTCAAAAGTACCTATTTTTATATCAATTTCCCTCAATCAACCTAAAGGAAAATGTACCAGTTGCTCGGGTTTTTAAAGTGGATATAGTAATTCCGTCCCGAATGTACGAGTTCCGCGTCTTGTTTTGCATTTTATACACTATATTAATATAGTATACAATTTACGACTACGGTAACAATTTAATATTATTTAGAAATAAAGATAATATTGCTTTCAGTTATTGCACTAAATAATCGAATTTGTATACATTAATACGTTAATATTAATTGAATTTTTTCTATATTTTAACATTGATAAGAAAAATGTCTGTATAAATTTAATCCAATAACAAATATTTATTTATGAAGGTATATACTACGTTTGAATTTTTTTTATTTAATATTTATGTATTTTAATATTGATAAGAACAATTTTATTTGGAACGGAATTGGTAAATACACATTTTTAATCGGAACGGAATTGGTATATACTTATTTTTCACTCTGGACGGAAATGGTATATAAAAAGGTTATTGGGACGGAACTCGGATGCAGTTGTTGCTCTGAACCTAATCTACCCGATGCCCTCAACATATTATCTACACAAAAATAATACCACAATTGGCATAAAATAGGGGAGGTACATGTGACGAAAAAAACAAAAAATTAATACAAATACTTATAGTAAATAAATATATAAATAAAAAATGTATATGTTTATTTACTATATTTATTTAAGAGTATTAACCATTTTGATAATTTTGTTTTTATTTTATTATTTTATTAAAAATAGTTAACCAACTATAGAGAATCATTACTTATTAAAAGAGTAAAATTGTCCTATTTTTACGTGCTATTTTATACGTTGAGATTTTTTTAGGGGCAACAGGTATATTTGATTGGGAGCAACTGATATATTTTGTTGAGGGTAACTGCTATATTTTTTTAATGCCAAAAATATTCGACAGGGCTACCGATATTTTTCGATATCGAACTGGTAAACACCCGATAAAATGATAAATAAAGGTTATTTTTTTCTGATTAAATTTATCTAGTACTTGAAAAATGAAGCTTTCTGGTTAATGGAGATTTTTTTTTAAAAATAATTTAAGTATACAATTTTGATAAAAATCGTAAATAATAAGGCCTTTCAAAATATGTATAATCGAACTCTGTTAAGAATTGATTTTTGTTAAAAATGATTAATCGTTGCTTACATATATATTATTTAATTCCTAAATTCTTACTATCAACCGTGGAACGAAATATGTCTGTATTTTTATTTGGTTAAAAATATTCGTAAATACTTGAAATTTTCACAGAATACTTATATTGGCCTATTCTAGACGTAGTTAATATTTCCAAACATTCATTGTTGAGCTGTTTATAGCTATTTTATATATTTTTTAGTTTTTATTCGGTAATCTTTGTGGATAAAATTATTTAAACTAGGAAAAATGCTTGGAAATCTCAAACAAGGTTCATTATAAGTTGTATTTAGTGGTTAAAAAAAAGTTGAGCATAATGTAGTACTTAGTTTTTATTTTAAACAAGTTGGAAGAAAATTTTGTTAAATTTTAACGAAAACTGTAAAAATTAGGGCATTTTAAAATATTTACAATTGTACAACCGAACTTCATTCAGAATCGTACTTCGTTAGCAATAGTTCACCGTTGTTTATAGGTATAAATTACTTATGTATCCTACCTTCCCAACTTTTCACCTAATATAGTGGCACATTTATCAGCAAAATTAGCTTTTTTTATATTTACTCTTAAAATATTTGTGCATAATAAATTGTTGTGTACAATTAGCACATTTAATTTTCATGTATATCCTACCTTCCTAACTTCTCACCTACGACAGTGGCTCCCCCATCGTGCGAAGTATGTACGTATTTTTTTAAAAATTTGTTTAATTGTTGCATTCATATTAGACGTTTATTATATTAATTTCAAAAGCGCACACTTGGATGTATTGTTAGTAGATATGATAATACGAGTAATATTATGTTTTGTATTACTCGCATAATTGTTAATAAAATAAATAAGCGCGTGGACGGGTACAATCAACACGTGATGCATTACCGTTAGTGAGTTTTACTTGTGTACCTTAAATGAAGATGACTGAAAATGGTTTTATTAAAAATATAACTTTGAACGGCTTAATGATATTTAATCTAAACCTTTAGAGCTATGGAAAAAAATTAAAACATTCAAATTGTCAACGTAATCGTGTTTGTAGTGTCTGAAACATTTAAAAGCCCTTTATAAACACGTAAAACGATCGATAAAAAAGAGAGAAAGACCAGTATAATTTATGGACAAAAGATTTTGGGGTTGTTTTCAAAATAATATAATTAATTATTTCCGTCTATATACGATTGAGCAATAAGCCGGAATTGTATTATTTTATTAATTGATATGGCGGCAGTAAACGATCGATAAACCAATATTATATAAGTAAGTATAGACAATTATTAAAACCGAGAATAAAAAAGAAAAAAAAACCGGTGAATTAGTTTCAATCCCATTTATACAGTAAAGTTATATTGCTTTCGAATCATTTCCCCCGTTTAATCGTTTAATCGAGTCGTTGTCGTATTAAATTAGTATTTATTGTTATTGTGTACTGGAATTATCGAATGGTAAAAATAAAACAAAATAATAGTTGTAAACAAGCTAGAAAAAAAAAAATAAATATATATTGGATGCAAAAGTGTTTATATCGGGGGACTTAAGAGGTTATCAACTATAAGCAGTATTCAACACTTGATACTTATATACAATGGCGTATCCAGGAGGCCTCCCCCTCGAAATTTCAGAAAGAATGAAATAATTGTTTTAATTAGGTATTTTTTTCTTTAAATACTCAATTTACAGTCATGGTTTTTTGTAATGTGATGTGTAATTGATCAGTCCCTCCCCCTCCCCAACAATATCCCTGGATATATGTCACTGCGGCTATAGGTAAAATAATTTCTAAAAATTAAAACTTTGGGCGCTGATTGACTGACTGATAGAATATCATTAACCTAGGGTATTTCCAATCGAGTTAGACCTTTAAAATTTCGAACAAATAGATAGTGTTAAAGTTGATAATTGGGTACGAGAAAAATTATTAAGAAACTGTCTTGAATGATGGGAAAGTGTATTAACGTAAGTACACTATTTATTTCACTACTACAACCACTTGCAAGACAAATTGATGAATGATGTAATAATAACTAAATATTATTTTATTTTAAAGGTTCGTAAACAAAAATTATGAAATCTTACCAAAAAACTCAATGTGAAAAATGTGTTAAGTTTGGGGCAAAGAAAAATTGAGTTTGTCAGTTTTACCGAAAAAAAAAACACTTGATATCTGAGTGGATACCAAAAATTAAAAAAAACAAAATATTTCTTTCTTATTACTACTAAGTTTTTGAATTGGGAAGTTTTAAGTTTTATTTATAATATTGTATCATTGAAATGATATATTTATAAATGATTCATTAGTATAAACTCATTTATTATCAAGTATTTTTTTTTTAATTTCTTAAACTTAGCACCCATTTAGATATCAATTTTTTATTCGGCGAAGCTGACAAATTCTTTTTCGTACCAAAATTAGCCTCTTTTTTACGAGACATACATACTTTGGGGGAGGGGGATTATATTATTAAGTATTATGATCAAACTCTCTGCATAAAAGAATATTATTTTAAATAAATCGTTATACAAGTAGAATGTAGATAGACTGCAGAAAACAATAATATCACTATATTTGGCATTTTATGATATTTAATCGTAAAAATTTCAATACAAAAAACCGTTTATTGGCCACCCAAACACGAAATGCTTATAAAAAGTTCTAGATATAGTCATTCGATGAAATATGTCTGATCGAAAACTGTATCAAAATATTCTTCTGCATTTAAGATTTAAGAATTAGTCTTTCATTTTGATTTTTTTTATATTCAAGCCACGAGTTCGTCAAAAACACAATTCAACAATAAGTATTTGAAACAAATATTGTTCGATTTATTTAAGACACACATGCAATAACATACAAATAATATACCTAATCGAAAATATTAAATAAATATATTATCATATTGTTTTATAGGTAGGTAAGTACTTAACTCGAATACCTCTTAATATTTGTTCCAAGTACTTATAATAATTTTACATTTACGTTCTACTGGTAAATGTTTTAAAATTTCCGTGACCAATTGACGATTATTTTACATGTTATTGTGTCGAATTATGTATGTATTTTTAAAATTTTTAAACAAACACTGAACATAGTATGCTCTTAATAAATAGTTGTGCAAGAGTGTACTATTATATAGCACCAATCGACTGCACTCAAACGTTATCAATGTTATCATATTATTAGGTAAGAGTACGAGTGAATTCGACAAATTAACGAATTATTATTGACACTCAATCGGTACCATACAACTCGTATAAACAAATTATTATTTAGTTTATTAGAATCAATACATTTTTGTAATAACGAGTATGAGCCTTTCGTAATATAGATAACACAATAATCATATTATACTTACGAAAATAATACAAAAGCTTAAAAGGTAATCTCGATTTCTTTTCACACAGGTATCCAAAATAAGTTGTTGTTATTAATTGTTATTGAAGATCGACGCGTATAGCTCTAAACAAATGTTATATTGCAATAAAATCAAGAGGTTATGTATTAATAAAACAGAATAGAAATAACTGACTGTAGGTACAGACTTTCAATCGAACTAGGTACGGCTGACCAATATTGAAAAAAAAAACGAAAAATGTGCTATCTTGTTTGATAAAAGCTATTATAATTGACACTTATTAATAATAATAATTATTTATTATGTGTTTTAATTAACAATATACTATGTCTATATACGCTATGATTATGATAGTGTGTATTATTATTAAACAGGTTCAACGTCAGATAAGAACTACGGAAATTATACGAGTAGGTATTTAGTTTAATTTGATTTATATATTATTATTTTTGATTACCTCTCCTCCCATCCGTGCAAGACGCCAACAACAATAATGGTTGTTATAAACGTTTTACGCAGTGTCATAAAATGTATACAAAAAACCTGTGTAAATTCGTATCGTCGTTGTTGACTATAAATATCACTGTACGCAGTTACTTAAAAATATAATTTAAAAATTCTTAGTAGGGAAGAACCGAAAAAAAAATCATTTATTCTAAAAATCGAAAGTTTTTCGAGTGATCCAAACTATTTGGTATCACTGGTATCAAATAAATTTTGATTTTCAAATAGTTTGGCTACCTATACATTTGTTTATAAGTTATCTGAATAAATGGTATATCGATATAAATAATTTGATACGTAGAAACAGTGGCGCCGAACTTATTGTTTGTTATGTGTGGCATTCATTTATACCCAACTACTTCTACGCGGTATTAAACTTAATACCCTAACACAAAGTACCAATTTTTTAAACTATAAAATATTATTTTCATGTAGTATATTATTTCTTGAACACAATTTTGCATCATTTAATATTTTAATGCGTAAATAAATACTTTCATTTTTAATTAACATAGGTAGAAATTATACACATGATCATTAGAAATCGATATATTGAAATTTGACATAGACAGGAATATATTGGTTTTATTATGACGTATGTTTTTATATTATTATTAATATTTTTGTCTACGACTGTGAATAAATTTCCTACTAAAACTTTCCTCTTGTTCCGAAGTATAAAGTATTGAACCTTTTCTAAAGAGTAATTTTGTTTAATTAGTGTATCAAAAACATTAATTTTTTATTTTCTTAGGGGCTTTCGAAATAAATATGAAAAACCCAATAGAAAATAATAAGGAAAACGGCATATATTTACTACACGCCATGGCGTTACCAAATTCATTATTTGAAGTTTGTATAAACGATATTTTCTACCAGAAATAATGCATCATCAACAAAAAATTCATATTTGTTAAATTCTTAATTTGATTGGTGAATTAGAAAGAAGGTTTTTGATTTTTGTGTAGTTTTTTTTTAATAATTCAGCAAAACCAAAAAAAAAAAAGTAGAAAGAACGGGCAAATTTACAAAAATAATTTTTTTATTATTTGAAATTTTGTTTTTTTGTTCCGATTCAATTAAAATATTCATATACTTGAAATTTAGACAGAGAACTTATATTTATTTTCTCTAGAAGAAGTAAAATTTTCAAAATAATTGAGCCATTCATGAGCTATTTATAAACATTATAATTTTGGAAGTTTTTACATAATTTATATTCGGTAGGTACTCTTTGAACGAAATTGTTAAACCAAACAGAAATTTTTGAAAAGAGAGTTTCATTATATTAGTTGTACTATATAATATACTATATAAGTTGCCAACAAGGAAAAGTTGAGTTTAATGTAGTATTTTTTTTTTAAGAATTTTAATATCACATTTTGACGAAAATCGGAAATATTACCTACGGTCTTTCTAAACATGTATAACCGAACTCTGACTAGAATAGTTTTTTGTTAGCAATGATTAATCGTTGCGTACAGATATACATCAAATAAATATATGTTCACTGTTTTTCGTTTAATTAGCATAATATTTTAGATTCTGAGTGGAGAGTATTTTGGTTTTATAAAGATGTTTTTTTTTTCTTGTATGAACTTTTTATACTAGAAATTTTGCTTCGATTTACAATGATAAAACTTTTTCTGAGGAAAATTTGATTGGGAAGGTACTATAAGTAGGTAATTTTTCGATTTTTCCAAGAGTTGTCCCAGAAAACGTAAAAAAACATAGAGAAACGGGAAAATCGGTACTATATTAAACAAATATTAAACTCACTGATTTTTATGAAGTATTTAAATTTATAATTAAAACTTTCTTTTCGCTAGTCTAGAAATTAAGATAAATTAACAGGTAAATATTGTAATTATACGGTTGAAAAGCGATCTACGCTTCAATTTTAACTTTTTAATTTTTAAATAATATTATGTTTTTTAAATAAACATTCATAGCTATTTTTCTTATATATAGGTACATTATTTATGTACATTTTTCCCCGTTGTATATAGGAACGATATTAAAATCTTGTACAAAATATTATTGTCTGCCAGTAAAATGGATTCCGTGGTCTTGTTTGTACTTAGGTTGAATATTTTTACTTGGTATTTTCAATATAATCGTACGAAAACACTTATACTGAAAAATGTCGAAAAACCGGTTGAACGTTTTGGCAAACTCGTTTTCAATAAAATTAATTTTAAGTCACTTTTCGCCGACCATAATATTCTACTGCTGTATATGTCTTGTACACTGTAGGTAAGTATAAAATTGAAAATAATATCGTATAGGTGTAACATACATAACACAGACTATAATAAAAATTCGCAAAGGAATTTCACGAATACCATGTGAAATCTTAATACTACTTATAATTTATACAGAGAAATAGACGGAATATTACAAAAGAACTGATACCGATATAATATCTATTAAATAAAAACTAAAAATCTATCGAACATTTTAAATACCTATAAATAGCTCATAAATCTAAAGTACATTTTAAACATTTTACCACGTCTAGAAAAGGCCATATAAGTATTCTGTGACAGTTTCAGGTTTTTAAGAAACATTTTTACTAAATTAGAAACAAATAAAAAAACAAAATTGAAAACTATGAAACTATGTTATTTCAGTATTTCTTACGTTTTTCCGGTTTATTGCATAATCATTTAGAAACCGGAATTAAAATAAACAAATAACATTATTACACGTCAACTAAATAACATATTATTTATAAAAGGTATACTACACTTTAATTTTGGTGCAATATTTCTGGTAGAAAAACTAAATCGAACAAATTTAAAATAATGAAATCGTTAACGCCGTTAATTTGTCCGTTTTTTTTGCATTTTTCAAATTATTATGAAAATTGCTTGAAAAACAAAAAAAATGAATAAATATGCCAACTATATTTAAAATTTAACAAAAATGTCCTTTTTTGATTGGAACAAGATTCTCGGTAGAGAACTTGTGAACAAACAGAATAAAAAATTTAAAAAAAAAAAACCACACATTATAGTGAAATCAATACGTTTTTCGCTTCGCTCACCAGTGAAGGATTTGTTTCGTCTTCTAGTGGGGGGAGGTGATATCCTTTTGGTCCAAAAATTATATTTTAACTAACATGACCAGACGTCCGTCGGTCAATATGACCCCTGACCGTTTAATGTGATAGCGCAACTATTTGCAAAAGCCGTGATTATAATTTATTAACACTCTGAACTTCTATACAGATTTCTGAAATAAATTATTATTTATAAGTAGTTTAATGTTTAGGGGTGCTATGGCCTTATGGTCTCCCTAAACGCCGCGTCTGCCGCTCACAGTCTAAAATTATGTTCACTTATTTTTCCGATAATATTTTTGACTTTTTTCATCCCAAATTTCATGGATTATTGTTTTTTTTTTTTTTTTGACGATTTTCGGCGATTTGATATTGTATTAGTAACAAAATTGACTGAAATGACAAATTGTCAAATATCAAATACTCGTTCGAGAATTTTGGATAATGTTTTTAAATTAAATTATTTCGTTTTGATATGGCAATAGTTATTTTTTTAAATTTATACTTAAAATTATCCTTGTTATACTCCAATATACCCTGTGCTTGGACCACGAATTTAACGTTTAGTCCATTCTTTAAAACAATGTAATGATTTCTTCTATATCAAGTAACGAACTAAAAGATCAATTAATTTCATTAATCAAATCCGCTAAATTATGACATAGTGCATCACATCATAAGTTGATCGTTTGTTCACCCACGACAAATTTCGTATTTTTTAAATTTACATTTAAAAAAATATTATTGACAGTGTATACAAACAATTTACGGCATAAGCAGTTTTATATGATATAATATATAGTAAAACGGGAATGCATTCGCGTGGGTGTAGAAAAACTTCGTACGTTGACAGAATTTGGACGGTATTTAAGTATTTTAATTTTTGAAAAAAAAATACATTAAATAAGAATTTTGATCGTGATAAGTTTTATTGTGATACATTATGTTGGCTCATCTAATAAATTGTCACGGTTGATGAATACGATGGCATCAGGTTTTAAAAATGATAATATGACACTTGTTTACTTCAGACAATTATTGCATAATATCGCAATCAAAAAAAAAAAAAAAAAAGAGAGAATTCAACAATGGACTTTTAGCTTGTAAACAAAAAAAAACAGTATTATTTGCATTGCGCGGTTTGGAACTTTAATTAGTGTATTTTATATGCATAATTTATTAATGTGTACAATGTAATAGTGCAATATAATATATAATCGGCTAGATTTTAGATCTTCTGATAAAAATCGAAAAAAATTCATCCTAATTCACCAATATATTATAAAAGCCAAATACCTGCCAGGTTTCGATGTATAATTTACTAATGTAAAATAAAAAAAAAACAAAATTATAATCGATTATATTTATACATTTTACAGTAAGTATGAATAAAATATGAAATATTGGGGAACAAAACAGTTTGGTCAAACCTTGAATGATATTTATAGATCGGAATTTGACAAACGACATTTGTCGAATCTTAGAATAAAAAATTTAGTGTTGGTAAAAGTCCGAAATATTATTTTTTTTCCCTAGGTACTAATCGTTTGATTTTTTCCCCTCGCTTTATACTCGCATATTATTACAATATTATAAGCTTATATATTATTATTATTAAATATGACTACAAAAATTGATAAAAATAACTTTTGTACAATAGGATGTATATTTTTATTCCAAAAACTGATATTTCTTAGGGTAGGCTTGGCAACTGTGGGGTCTCGAGTTGCATATTATGTTGTGTGCCGTTTGGAAAAACTACAGCCTTTGAGTGAGGCGAACAAATAATGGTGTATTATGCTCTAATAACGAATGTATATGTTATAAAATTTTCAATAATTTTTTAAAATTGTACCAATGATTAAAACAAAACGACGCACTGCCATCAGACTCGGGTTAGATCAGACGTATATTGCATATAGAGAATGTGTACTTTGAAATTGCCGAACACGGACTGGCACGGTGTTCTCGGCGGCAACTATGTTTTCGTGGATTGTACTTTTAGCTCGATTGCTCAATTCCTGAATGCCTTTTGGGCTGGGTTCTTTTCATACACCGCTCCTCCGTATGGAAGTGACCGGTGCTTCTGACGTCTACCATAACCTTGTCGGCCGGGTCGGGCAAGTCAATACGTGACGTCCGCTCTTGCGCGAGAACGCTTTTGTGAAAGTCAAACGGTTTTGTCCTCACATTAATGGCCCTTACGTGTTTAAACTTAATTTAACGACCGATTTGCCTGCGTCGATTTAATTATATTACGACGTTACACATGTATCGATTGACTTAATACATTATTTGCGAAACACAGAGTACGCAACATACAGTGCATTTTTTGATCGACGTTTACACCGATTTGTTATACGATTTTTTTCACAAAACAGTCACACCTTATAAACACCTAGTTCACCATTTAAGGATAGTAGCTAGTGATAGTGATACCGCTTGACAAATATCAATTTCGTTTCGTGGAATTATTGCCGATTCTAAAACATTATCTTCGCATTAGGGTACCGCGCGTGGTACTACGTACGTAGTATTGTAATATTATTTTAATGTTAATTTTAAAATATTGATTATTGATTTATTATTACATTACCACGGTTTACGTTAAAATAACCCTAAATAAACATTGAAACACCATTTTTTTTTTTAAATAATAAATGTTTACAAACGTTTAATAATTAACAAAAACAAATTTTGGGTTCAATGCGATTAAAACTGGCATTTTCGTCCCCCTTTTTTTTTACGAGATTGAACCGACATCAGTGGAGGACCTGTTTTCACAATACATCCCCATTGCTGCCGTCGTTATTATTGTTTAATCATACAACTAAAATGTACAATCCTGTTTATCCCTTCGTGGGGTAGGCTCGCATATCAGTTAATAACTAATAAACTACATAATACGATTAACAATTAGTAATTCTATTTTAACGTGATCGGAGATGACTCGTTAAGTAAAAATAATATTCGGAGAACACATTATGGTCTTTTGAATAAATTTAACCGTAGCTCTACAGCGTGGATGGTTTATATAAGATCTTAGTATTAAAAATAAATGTAGATTGGTTTAGTTAATTATTAATTTATAATATTTTATTTAAACTCACTAATGGTTCTTACGTCATTCAACAAAGTTTATATACGCGAGATGGTATAGCAGTGCAGAACTACGATATCTTACATAGTGGCCGAAGGCCTTACAATGGTAATGTGCATTAGGGGAGAACATAATGACTAGTCAGCTTATATACCTATTTTGCGTATGTATACAAATATAATAGTAAACTGATCGTTAAACTATGAAAGCTTAACTAATTTAACTACCAAAGTTACCCGTGTTCCGAGTTTTCACGGTCCGGTTCGTGGATTCGTCGGCCTGGAGGTATGTCCCTGTCCTTCCTATTCACGACCCGCAAGTCTTAGACCGAAAGTTGTATCCCACCTTTGTGACTTCTAACCAACGCCTATAACCTATCTGCCATTGAAATATATACTTAATCATTTTGCAGTTATATATTATATAGTATAATATTTAAGGATCTAATGCATGATAATAACAAACATTAGCTGAAATTCAACGTTCATTTAACTGGTATTTAACGTTGCAGAATATGTTCTCGTTTTTGCACCGAACTGATAAAAATCTCCAGTTACAACTTGTAATAATACAGCAATGTACGTTTATAAAAATCTGAACTGTAAAATCATTCAAAGTTTGACTAAATTATATGGTAAAGCCTAAATTTAACTAGCGTTCATACTTTTACCATAACAATCGTAACATATATGCAATATATATGTATATGAAGAGTACTGTACTGAGTAGGTATATAATATTTTTTACTATTCATACACAAGTGTATCAACAAGTCGTCTATCGGCCTATTGATATACTATATGACTATATATAATATTGACAAAATGTCAACGACTAGAACTGTATAGGTAGGAGCATACATCACTTTACTCCCGGGCCTGCGTATTAAAACCAATAATATACTTTCAATGTATACAATATATTATGAACTATAGAGTTACTAATACAAGATACGTTTTTTTGCACAAAATAGTACATTTCGAAATATCGAGTATTCCCAAAAACGACTCGAAACGCCCGAAACGTTTAGTTATTATTGTATTAATTTATTTTATTCAAATTTTTTGATCACGTTAGTTAATCACGACAAGTCGACAACGACAGTCTTATCACAAAACATTATTTTCATAGACAATTTTATCGAAAAGTATTTTGTTTATTGTGCCGACCTCGAGCCAGATAACTCGGTATAGTTAAACAAGAATTTACTAGCTAACGTCAGCGAATTGTTTCATTATCGTCAATCGGAATTATAATTTCAATAATAAATATCAAATTATATGTATAATATAATGGTGTTGGTGTAGGTTAAAATCGAACGGTGTAATTATTATTATTTTTATAGAAGTACTTAATATTATTCTAGATGGACTTATAAATTATTTCAGATATGCGTGAGTGATAAGAAAAGTGCAGTAGATTGTGTAGAGCGAATTTACAGTCTAGTAGTTATTTTATTTAAATATGAGCTTTATGCATTGTATAGTTGCTTGATAATTAAAAAAGACACTGCTTTTTTTTCTGCGTCAATCGATATCTAAAGACTAAAGGTAAGCGTGTCTACTATTTATTATAATATAAAACAATTAATTGTTATTAGAATAAATAATTATACCTATTGCTATCCGGTTAGAATTTTATTTTTAAAAAAAGTCTCCAATTCGTAATAATCGATATTATATAAATATAATTACGATACGGTTATACCAATTCCTAATAACGACTGCAACTAAAGCAGCTGCTGGAAAATGAAAATTGATTTTATTATTAAGTGAACGCCTGGACTCTAGACATTAATTTTGTTGTCTCCGTCTTATAAACGCATGATACAGAAAATTGTAGTACAAATTGTTTGCTGTTAGTTTTAGAACGATTATTAGAATGAATTTACCCATTACCGAATTAGGTAAGAATCTAACATCTGAACATCTGTGTTTGCACGTTAGTTTTTTGTTAAGTATTTAAATTTTTAAGTGAGATATAAGCATCTTTAAATTGTGATATCTCAATTAAAATTAAAGTATCAAGAAAAAATCGACGTAAAATACATATTAAAACTAACATCGCAAAATAAATTCTAATTGCTATCGAATTTGTTATGTCGTTCGTTTGTAAGATGCAGAAAACAAAATATGTATCGTGTGTACCGTTCTCCTAAGATTAATTAAAAAATAATAAAATAAAGATACATAGTAACTAATATTTAAATATCTTATTTATATTTTTATGTTAGTTGTTCTGTAGTCTAGTCGTGTTATGGTCGTCATCATTTGTTGTTAATACATTATTATTTATCATGAATGAAACATTCGATTATAAATGCACAAATGTGTCATTTTTTTTTTTTAAATTTCATTATGCAACATTATTGTTTATATAATAATTAATAACCGCCCGTAAATAGGTAAAATTATAGGGTTGAGGTTTCAATGCACTTATCGTTTACCTACAATGTTCATTTTGTTACACTATATTTTTGAACGAGAATAAAACATTTTATTATTCATTTTGTTTCAATAATCATTTTTTTGGAATATTATATAAGTGCATTATTGTGAATAATATTGGGCATAATAGCCTATTTCTTTAAGGAATTGTTGAGGTTTATTTTTATTTTTTTATAATATTTAAATAATTATTGGAAAAGTAATTAATTGCGTCATCTCATCCAGATGTCGAAAATCGTTTTACCCCACGAAATCAAAGATATTTTGTCGAAAAAAAATTGCTATTAGGTATTTGTTGTTGTTATAATAGTAATTTTCAAATTTAAGGAATATCAATAACCAACAGGTATGGTAAATGTTTTCAATTTGTATTTACATTTTACATATTTGTTTTCTTTGCGTTTTGTTTAATCTTTAATAACATATTTCCCAATATTATGTAATACAATACACAGTGACTTATGTTTTACTTATTATTATTATGAGTTTGTATCCAATCATTCTATGGCGACGTTTTATAATTTTATCGCCTTTAAATTACATTTGGCCAGAACCCGTTTTCGGTAAAAAATGAGTATATACAGGACGATTCATTAAACTATCAACTAACTCATAAATGAAAAATCCTATAATATCATGATGTGCATATGATGAAAAGATTTAGAAAAATATTATTTTTTCGTATCTGGATTAAAAATGAGCAGTGGAGTATTACCGCTTAAAAATCAAAAGTTATTAATACTCATTTTGGGTATACAAAGCGCATAGAAAATACAAATATGAACATTACGTTAAAATAAAGCTTAAACGATTCTATAATGATTGAAAAAAGACAAATTTACTTAAAATTCTCTGTAAGAAAATCGCTGGATCATAATAAAAGAACCACCCTGTATGTATACTGAGTATAGGGCATTGCACACAAAGGAAACGCGGTTTCAATGCAGTTGTATATATAATATACATATATTATTATGTATATTTATTATTTATGTGCATTACACACATACGAATACACTCGCTCGTCTCGAAGTCACCTGGACAACAGGCGTGTGTTTGATTAATGAACTGTAACATCCCCTATATAAACACGTGTTGAAATTGAAGGGTTAAAATCCGACGACGACGTCTGGTTTTTTCCCCTATTCGATAAAATGAAATTCGTCGAAATTCTATAACCGGTGGTGATGACGGCGGGGTGGTCGCTGGCATTTATTATTATCATCGTCTTAGTCGTGATGTGTCGACACGATTTTAATAAAACATTCACACGCTTCTATATAAACCGAGAAACAGAGATAATGCTAGATAATGGCATCATTATTATTTATACAATAATAATGTTTTAAAAAGAAATTTACAGACGGATCGATTTTTTTTTATGGTATAAAAGAAATCATAACGCGTGAAGATCATTGTAAAAAAAAAAAAAAATACTTTTTGAAGATCCAATAATATAGTATTAGTTGTCACCATATCATGAAAAAATGTATAATAATAACTAATAGATTTTTTTAAACAAAAGCATAATAATTAATATATAGGTACAGTATTCGTTTCAAATTAACTGAATTAATCAAAAATTCATTCAATATCATGAAAATATCATTTCATTGTTAAAACAATCTCTAAAATCAATAGACGCATAACGGAATACTATTATACATACTGTATAAACGTATTTAATCATAGAGACGGAAATATCATAATATTTCCGTTGCATATTATTACCATTACTTATGTAAATTTGAATGCAATTTTTTTCGTTATTAGTTGTTTAATTGAAAATACGAGTAAAGTCCATATTTTGATATATTAGAATTCACGAACTACATGTAATATAATTTAAAAAGAATTGACGCTGCTGATGTGTGCACCACTGTTATAGATAAGAATTTGGATACATAATTTAGGATACATTAGGATACATAATAAAGTTATTTAAATTATATCTGTAAGTAACAATAAACGATTCTTACCGAAGTTCGTATGTGTATGATTCGAAAGATCGTATATTTAAATATCGTAATATTTACGATTTTCATAAAAATTCACGAATCAGATCCAAAATACAACAATGAAGATCTCTTGTTATTTTTTTTCGGAGCAAGATTTATAGTAGAAAAGATGCTCACAGATAAAAAAAAAAAAAAAACCCGCTTTGAATTTATAAATGCATGCGATGACAAATCGTCGCTAATGAAAATCGATTCCGAGCGAAGTTCGGTTAAACATTTTGGAACGCCGCGATTTTTACGATTTTCTTATAAATTTGAATTTAAACCAACGCTTAAAAAAAATATTCGATTGAGAAATCAACAAAAATAAAACGTATATACGAGTATCGACATTTGTTGTTAGTTTTTTAAATTGTATAGACAAATTGTTGGAAAACTAGAAATAATTTTCATATAAATTACCATCCGCATCTTTTAAGGTATGAAATCAAAACAAATTAGAAGATTTCTACTAATAGGTAAAGTGTTTTCCGAAAAAAAATACATCTTAATAAAACTAATAACTTTTCGCTATACTCAGAATTTGAAAGGCCAAAGGCAAAGGAGGACTGTGAACCCTCATTCCCCCCTATAACACCAACGCCACTAGTTTACGTTATCATCAGATTGTTACCGTATCGTAACAAATATTTACCCAGAGATAAAATAATAATTTAACAATGCATGTTTCAATTAACAAACTCTAGCCGTTGCACAAATGCAATTTAAATGTTGACTAAAGCAATTAAATTGTAATGTTTAAAAGAATAGTTAAATAGTTAAATTAAAAAGTCCATTTTATCGTCGTGTAAAACTCATTCAATGAATTACAATTAAATTTTGTTGTCAATTTATTATAGTTATAAATTATGTGTAGTTATACGGTATTATAATAATTTACATAGCGTGTATACACTACGTATTTTCTTTTTATTGCAATACTATTATGTTTTATTATAAAATTCAATTGCAAAATTATAATATGAACGATTACGCAAACTCGGTTATAGGACGTAACCTATGTTATATTTTAATTTCGTGTATACAATAATTACAATAAAAAATAATACAATGGTGGGCATTTTAATGAGAATAATTAACTCAATTAAATCAAGTGAAATTAACAAAAAATCCATCAGATAAAAGTTAACAAAAAATAAATTGAACTAATTGAGTTAAAAACTGAAATACAAAAACATGTTAACGAAGTAATTTTTTTTTTTGCTTTAACTTTCTGATAAAAAAAAATCAACATTAAAAGTATTCAATATTAAGTTGCTTTTATATAAAAATACCTAAGGTAAATCAAACTATCACAGTAAATTGTAATGCTGATACAAACATATTGTAATAATGCAGCACTGCATGAGAACAGTCGATCAAAATTTAGTTTCAAACAAAATCATTTGTTTTCCAGTTTTAACTCATCAACTTAATTGGATGTCTGGTCGAACACTTAAACTAGTTTAGTTACAAGTCAATAGCCAGCAAATAATTGTGGGGGAGGGGTTAGAGTATAAATATGATTTATTATTTTAAAAAATTAACGCGTCACGTGCGTATTTAATTAAAAAATGCACGAACACGAAATTACGTTTATTGCGGCAAAGCGACCAGGCACGAAAAAATAGCAAACGTGTGTATAATATGACGGTTGAAGGCGATGCCGTGTTTAATGGCGATAGCGTTAAACAAAATTCAACATACCTACTGCTCGGCTAGCCATCGATTACCAAAATGATTAAGATTAATTAGATATACCGTACTATGTGTGTTTTAAATTCGGTTAGGTTATAAAAAGGGTTAAAAAAGAAAATTTAGGTACACAGTATCAATAATACTACTAATAATAAACAGTACCTATATCGACCAGGAATGTAGTAACTAAATGTTTCGCCCCACGTAAAACTTTAAAATGTGTCCTTATGAATTGTAATTTATAATTAATTCTAATTCTCGCTTTATGCGCGTTCTTACCTCGGATCCTTCCTTTAACCTGTAACCTGTCTACTTATTTACTTGTATTATTTTGGGCTTGTCCTGTATATTGAATAAAATAAAAAATAAATAATGAAAACTCAAAGCTAAATGACTTGTATAAACTAGAATCAAACGCATGTTTGAATTATATTGTTTTATCTCACTATTGGATTTTATAAATTTTAAATTTTTTGTATTGCAATATTTCTTTTTAACGTAATGTTTATAGGTTTTTGGGGTTTTATTAGGTCCTCCCAGGTATTGCGCCCGGGGCGTAAGTAATGCTCACCTCTCTTGCTACCGCCCTAATATTGATATCAATAAATGCTCATCATTGTGCGAAATTTGAACGTACGATATTTAAGATTCTGAGTGGAGCGAGAAATGTATTGATTTTACAATGATGTTTATTATTATTATTATTTTTTTTTTATATAAACATTTTTTCTACCAGAAAGATTATTCCGACTATCAAGTATAGCAACATTTCTAAAAGGAAATGTTTTCTGGGTGGAAGAGGTCATTTTTTGAAATTCTCATTATTATTCGAGATAACGAAGAAAACTTGGTTTTTTAGGTTAAAAAGATTGAAAGATTAAAAATAAGATTGTCATTGGCAACCGTTTTTATTTATTTTTTGTTATTATTAAGATTTTATTATTTTACTTTTTAAACAAATTCCTAATCATTTTTGTATACAATTTAAAAAAACTAACAACAAATGCTGATGATTTAGTTTTTGTTGATTTTTAGGTTTTCGCAAGCAAGGATTCTTCGTTGTATATATAAAATAAATTACTTTGTAGTGTATCCTACTTTTACTTACATATAACAGTGGCCTATCCGTAAGTAGAAACGACTTCCTCACCCATACAAAAGTCAAGAACATAGTTTAAGTGCTTATTTTCCTCGGACAAAAAATTGTAATACATAATAGTCTAGGCAAATTAAAAAAAATAGCGGAAAAAATTAGGAAAGCTAAATTTTGGTATACACCTTTATTGAAAGGTACTTAGTAACAAACTAAAAGTTCCCTAAGATTTGATAACTAATTTCTCAATTTTCAACCACATATTTGAATAAGATGGTAAACTCGAAATTAATTTCTCGCGCAGCTGCTTCAAAAGGTGGAAGAGTTAATAAGATATTTTTACTGCTGGATACATTTTTTGCGAAACATTGATAACGGTAGTTAATGAGGTTAGTTTTTTTTTCACTGGCATTATACAATGCAAGAATAGACATTTCACCTGCTTTACATATACTATCTTTACTTGCAATAGGATCGTAAAATGTTTCTATTGAGTGTAATAAATTAGGGCGCTTCTCAACAATTTTAAAATACTGTACTTTACCTTTTCTAAAAAATGAGGAAGTCGTGTCACAATTAAAAAATGTATGTATGAATAAAATTGGTTTTTTTGTATCTTTTTGTGATTGTAAGCGTTAGATGAATAAATTCTTCTTTCAATTGTACCTTTTCTTAGTTTAATGAAAAAAATGTTATTGGTTATAGGGGCCAGGCCTATAAGAATAATTAATAAGTTAATATATTCACCAACTATTACAACTGTTTCATTAGTTAATTATATTATTAGTAAATCAATGGCAGTATTAACAACCAAAGAATCTGCATCGTCTAAGGCTTGATTCACAGTTATATTGGATTTTTAGTAAGAATAATAGTATCTATGATATTTCATATGCGATTATCGAGGTAAATATAATTCCCAGAAAATATGTTGTAAATATATTTTTTATAGGTAATTTTATAGGTACCTCTTCTATAATACAGTATGTAGGTATTATTCTTATAATCTTAAAAATAACCGAGTTATTTGAGAACAACTGATTTTTCTTACACAAAGCGCGCTTTAGCGGAGGTAGCGGTAATCAAATCTTAGGGGACTTTTAGTATGTTACTAAGTACTTTTCAATAAAGTTGTATACCAAAATTCAGCTTTCCTGCTTTTTTTCCTGCTATTTGTCAAAATTGAGTCTAATTTACCTGGACTATAATGTACAATAGTACAACATCTCGCATAAAAAAAAAAAACCCAAAAAAGACGGTATTGACCGTTTCGTCTCTATTACAATCCGATTTCTTTCACAGAAAACATACTCAGACTTATCATAACTACGGAGGGAAAATGTAAAAATAAAAATAAAAAACAGAACACGGCAGAGATCCCGTAATCGAAAATTACAAAACACGTTCTTCCCTTTTGCCGTTGAGCTAATACGACACCGGTGATAAGACTGCAGTTAGTACTGCACTAGTGCCGTAGGACTACACTTTGTTTTATAGAATATCACGAAAAGTGAAAAATTTTGCTTTTGAGGGGAGATGGGGGGGAGGGTCCTGCAAAAATAAGCGATTCGACGCGAAACATCCCCCCGACTGGAATAATTTTCCGGAAACTCACTCTACACACATCCGTGTACTGGTATATTAAGTGACCGGCCGCTATTGTACATACGTACCATATTATTATACGTACCTGTAGGCCGCGTAGGCGAAGGCGTGGGCGGAGTGGCGGTGTCGTCGCGACCTTGGTGTGAAATTAAAGGAAGTCGCGTCGGGACGGGTTGAGCGCGTATATAATATTATAATAATAATAATAGTAATATGTAATACCGACCACGAGTGTGGAGGGGAAAAAGAAGAATGCGCTAGTGTTGTACATAATAATATCATAATGATACATTATATACAATAATAAAATAATAAAGTAAAAACAAATTTATTAAAATGGTTAATACTCGTAAACAAATAAAGTAAATAAATATACAAATCAAAAATTTATATGTAAAAATAAAATAAATAAACGAATCAATGCGTCGCCTGGAGTATTATGATAAGCGCATTGTACGACCGGTTTCGAATTAAAAATTCGTCATCAGGTGTATCACAGTCAAAATGTCTGTGACTGTTTTATGTTTTATGACTGTGATATACCCGATGATGAATTTTTAATTCGAAACCGGTCGTACAATGCGCTTATCGTAACACTCCAGGCGACGCATTGATTCGTTTATTTATTTTATTTATATATTTATTTACTTTATGCATAATATAATAATAATAATATATATATATATAATGTACAAGTGTCCGCAATGAACACCGGACCATCACTGTATACCTAATAATATTATTATAACATCGTACCTGTACACTCGTGCGCGTATAATAATGATGCCTACGAACATCACGGACGACATCGCGCGAGCGCGCGCGCCCGAGCGGTTCTCCAGACTGTTAAGTGTCCGTCGTGGTCGGTTAACTATAACAATATAATACTATCACCGCGTTTATATTATAATATATGTGTATATATGTATATACGTATATATATATATATATACATATATGTGTATAATATGATAGGTGTTAACCTATCATCGTTGTGACCGCCGCCGCCGCCGCCGCAGCCGCCGCCGCAGCCGCCGCCGCGGCCGTCGTCTGACAGTACGCCGCACGCGTGTGCCGGACCAGAGACTGCCGCCGCGCGGGCAGACACAACGTTCCGACGGAGCCCGCGAAGAACACGCGCGCCGCCGTATACACGCTCGTCCGCACGGCTTCCGATGGGTTCTGATAGCGCGCACCGCCGCCGTCGCGTACCCAGCGGTTCGAATTTCCGCCGCCGTCGTTGACTTTTGTCGACTTGCCGTCCGTTGTTTTTGTTCACGCGCGAACGTCAGCGAATCCCGGCACACACGCGGTGAGTACCTACCACCTACACCTACACCACCTACACTGCCTATGCCATATCCCACGCCCGTCGTAAATTCACCATGAAATCGTAACGAAATATATTACGGGATTCACGCGGAGTTTTTAAATGAACGGCATCCCTCCCCTCCCCATTCCCCCGTCGGTCACCCGGATTTCTTTCGATTTCGCGAAATTCGACAACAATCGTGTTTTCAGTATACGTCTGTAGACTTTTACACCTCAATCTACCGCCCCCTCACCCATTCGCACATCCGTCTAAAGGGATACGGGGTACGTCGTTTTTACAGACGAATACGTGACTTCTTCACGGGAATATTTATTAGTCATAACATAGATCTTTTTTAATCGACATACGACCACGTTCTATATTACAGTCCGCATTGAACTCCGGTTTTTCTTTTTCTTTTTTTTACAAAGACCCCAAATAGCTGAGATGAAAGTAAAAGAGAACAGAAGAATACGAATTTCAAATAACGGTCGGTACACGAAAATTTACGCGCGGAAAAAAGCCTAAAATGTAATTTTTGTAAAGACATATTTTTCAGAATGAATTTTCACTAGCAATTAGTCGTTACGTACGCGTTAAAATTTTAATAACCACCTTAAATATAAGACTTCGACACTAATTTATACTGTCCGATAATACCTATTTAGGGGAAAGCAGAATGGCCGTTTTTACGGACGAACATGACTTCGTGTGGGAATATTGTTAATTTAACACTATTTATTTCTTGGTAAACAACGACATTCAACAGCCAATACAATTTGGTAGCTTAACATTTTAAAGATATATTATAAAGATTGGGTTTACAATATTAAAAAAACGGAAGTTCAATGCGGGCTGTAAAAATAAGTCTTCCTATTTTTAACGAAAAAATAATCGTCAACATCGGACCACTCTATGAGAGTTTTGAGAGTTTTTCCAGTGAGACATGTTTTTTTAATAATAAAATGCAAAAGTGCTCTTAATAAGACGGCTACATCTAATCGAAACATATAGTTTCTATATAATATATAGGCATTTATCGACTTGTAGTAATCATAAACAGTGTATACACTTAGTTCAATTTCGTTAGGTACACTGTATCCCTCAAAAACGAAATATGTCATTCGAATATAGTCCTGTAATGAATTCATAATAAAATTATTGGAATACATTTTGTAAAACGAATCGGACAGGTGGTTGCGCAGATTTTCAAAAAAATTATAATTTATCGTCCGACCGGAACTTTGTCGTAAACCGTAAGTGCGTTATGGTTTTAAGATCGATTTTACGATATTACAGGACACGTGGTTTTCGATTGTTGTCTTTTCGTGGTTGCCTAGCCGTCGAATAGTTTTTTACACAAAAATTCGCTACTGTACGACCGACCACCGTATCTCGTTATTTTATTTTTCCTGTTCAAAAAGTATATACGTTTTATAAATTAATGTAAAAAAAAAAAAGGTCTATCAAACCATTTTAAGACTTTTTTTTTTTAATTCACGAATTTAGCGAATTTTATGTTAACATTCAAAGTTGACTTTATGAAATATTCGAAATCAAGGTTCACAAAGCGGCGGATTTATTGAAATATACCGAAACGATCAAGATAGGCACAAGTTCTATATTATGACGTCTACGAAATCAACAAACAAATAAAGCTTATAAAAAAGCTTTTGGGTTAATACATAGATCAAATAGATTCATAAATACGCTCGTGTGCCGTAACAATCATAAATTTCGGGGGGGAGGGGGGTTGAACCTCCAAAATCTTCCTTTTTTTACTCCACTGTTTGTGCACATAAGGGATACACGGTGAATAGAGCAGATTGTTTTTAAGTAAAATATAAATTTACGAAATTGTATAATATAAACTATATTTTTATAAAACGACAGACACGGAGTGATGATTTTTGACCAAGCGATGTATTTTGGCGTTTGTTTTTTCTCGGCAGTGTTTAAGGGCCCATATCGTCACTAAAATTTATTTTCTGCGTCTTTTTCGGTTTGGGGTGGACCAAATTTAATTTTGAAAACAGATTTCGATCGATTAACAATAATTTACCATATTGACAAAGTACCGTTTAAATTTTGAACTTATATTATTTATTATTATTTTTACGTGTACGTGAACCAAATTTGAATAGTTTTATATACCACAACGCAATTTTTATTGGGGATAAATTTATACACATTTCCCCCCCCCTCCTGTAATCGCGAAATCCGTAGTTCTCGTCATAATAACACGGATCGAAAATAGTACGGTCAGTCCCGGTCGATACCGCATTAAACCACCGATTAAACCACAGTTTACAATAATTATTTTACGTTCGCGACGTCGTAAACGTCTGAAGGTCGTGCGCACGCGTACAAAGGTGCGCGCTTAGACTAAGGTCCGAACCAATGTGAATGGTCTGGCCGAACGAACAATTCTGGGACGTCATCTCGTCGCTAAAAATAAAATCGCGTTCGGAATATGTCACTGGATCATGGTGGCCAGATTTTTGTATCGATCGGTTCTATACACGCGCCGCAAACATAAACGACCAGACTATTACGATTGACAGTATAAGTATAGTTACTAATAATATCATTGATTTCGTGTTAGTTTTAAATTTATGTTTTGAAAATTCGCTCGACCATAAATGGAGTACACTATATATACATTAACTTTGGAAATATATGCACTTATGCAATCTAGATAAAAAAAACCGCTAAAAATTTACTTTCTCCTTAAGTCCTTTTTTCCCGCAAACAAATAAATATATATCAAGATAATTTTATGTTTTTGATTATAAATCGATGTATTTCGTGGTGTTTTTGAATCTTTGTGATACGATCTGTACACAACTCAATATACAATACATACATTATTTTAGAAAGTTCTTAAAAAAAATACAATCTGTATTTGTATTTTGTTTTAGCGTATGACTTTTATATAAGAGTTGAATGATAGTTACTGTGATGATTATTTTTTGTACCAATTGAATATCCACTAATGTTTATTTATGAGGAAAAAATCACACATATTGCCGCGTCGCCGCGGTCGTTTGTTTTCACCATGTTGGCAGTATACCTGTTATTAAAAAAAAAAAAAAAAAAAAAAAAAAAAAAAAAAAAATAGCAAAACATACAAGTAGAACGCATATAGTAGGAAAACAAAAAAGTAAATTGCACTTTTTAACCATCTCGTCCTGTATAAATACGATTGCGCGGTCGTAGGAAGAAATAAAAGCTCAATAATCCATCAGTTGTCCGTATATATTTATACTGAGGACCGGCGTGAAATGTTTATACGATCTATACTATAGCGTAACGTGTGTGTAAACTCGAAATGTGAGACGGAATATTTTCCGTGACGGAGTTAAAAAACGATTTACGAACCCGTCTGGTCTTGGACAAAACCATAAACATTTCAATCGTACGCGTTTCGATATGTGAAATTACGTGCATGCGAGCAGTCGATGTTGTGCGAAGGTATATTTATCGACTCTTTCATTTACCAATATCCTTAATAATAAAATTACTAAATAATAATATTTGATGACTATTTTGCTGCCCTTAGCTTGTTTGACTTTAGAGCTTATAACCACAACATTCGTAATAATAATAGTTTTATATTTTATATTCCTCGCGTTTATTCCAAGACTACGCGCCAGTAAATCACCCCATTATAATATTATTCTAACGTTTCTTATAGTTATAATTTAATTTTTGATGATGGTTATAATACACACTTGTTATATATATTTTATACATTTGATTACTTGCATTCGGGTATAGATCTTAGAATTATATAAGTGAGAGGAGTGGGTGAGGGCTAAACAAAATTCGCTTTGCGTTAAAAATTTACTTTTAATTTTAGTTATAATTTTTATACATATATGATATAGTATACCTAAGTTCTATTTTTAAAGTACCTGCATGTTAAGGGATGGAGGTCTTCAACCCTTAATGGCTCTCCTTGAATCCACCCCTATTTGTAATTAATGTTATTATGCACCTACTGAAATCGAAACTGGATCCAGTCAGTAAAATAAAATAAACTAAATGTCGCAATTGATTACTTTAATATTGTAAATATAAACATTATAACAATAAACGTCCTGACCTGACCTAATCAAAACGTTTGCGTAACGATATAATATGAATACTAAATGTAATTTAAAAAAAAAATAAAATGAATATAATAATGAATGTAATTAATGTAACATAAATTATCTAGCCATAAGAATACAATGTTTAATGCAAATTGGGTTGTTCCGTATTAAATAAATAAATATTAAATAACAAAAATCGTTAATGTCATACATATTTTATCCTTCGTTTGTCATACGGTTTTTCCAACTATTAAAAAAATCATAAAAAGTAATCAAAAAACAACACTATGAATGTACCAACTAGATCCACAATGCTATACAAAAGCTTTCATGTTATTTTTTGAATGGAGCGAAGTTTCTGGTAGAAAAGTTGTTAACGGATAGACAAATTAAAAAACACACATCATACTAAAACCAATTCCTCGTTGTATCCAAAATCTAAAAAATTACTTCTAAACAAATATTATTATTTTCTATACTTATTATCTAAGGAATTACGGACAACATCTGATGATGTTTTTTTGTTTTTATCTTGATATTAATAAGTTGATATTAATTACGTGATTTAATAATAATTATTGGAGAATAATAATAATAATGATGTGAACTTTAAAATACCATACATGTCACCATATACGGTAATGATAAATGTAATTAAAAACGTATGATTCACAGTTTAAAAAAAAAAAACCTATTAAAGATCGATTGCGAACATTGCAAAGTTATTATGTATTTTTATGTAATAAAAATAAACAAAGATACTAGAAATTATTAATAAAATTCTATTATCATGATACTTATAAATTATAAGTAAGATAATATTATAAGTAATAACAAGATTATTTAAAAATCTTTACATAATAGTATATTCCACCCGGCGCTCAATGGAATTTTATCCTGATTACGAGTGTCTCGATCTTTTTTCAAACAATAATGGTGAGTATAACAATGTTATCGAGATCTCGAGTATAAAAATCATTTAGTTTTGCGCGGCAGTTATAAACGTGAACCGCATAATTTTATTATTTTGCTTACATTTTAGTAACACGTTATGTGCACATTAAACATACTTCAATTGAGTATAAATACTATATAATACTAAATATATTAGACTTAGTCCAGAACTCGACTGTTTAATTTGAAAAAAATAATTCTAACCTCTACGTATAAATATCTTCAAATGCAGATATTTCTAATAATATTGCTATGTTAATAGTTTGAATACGCAAAAATAGATTGTTATATTAATACTACAGTATTATTAGGGTTACTACATTTATGTTTAATTTAGAGTTGGTCGATAAATCGACTCGACAAATTTTGATTTAGTACTCGTTAATTCGAGTATAAGTAAAAAATCTAACGAACGAAAAATGAGCCGATAAAAAGATAAGAGTAAATAAGAATAAATGATAATAAGGGCGTTTTAAAAATCTAATTTTACTCATGTTCAAGAAATATTATCGTCACGCGTAATTTGACGTTAATAATAAATAAATATTAATACATAATGTAGTTAAATACTTAGTTGATAATTAACAAAAAAAAAAAAAAAATAAAACAAAAGTCGAAAATTACAGAAATTCTTACCGTGTAAATTTCCCAGTTTTTCTGTTGTTTTTTCTCCGGTTTTTCAACTATTATGAAGAAAACTATATGAAAAATAAAAACAAAAATGACTTCCCCGACTCATTGGCTACAATTTTGACTAGACAAACATTTGTTAACAGAAACCACCCACGAAGTCGATAGATTTTTAGTATTGTTTACAGACAGAAAAAAAACAAAAAAAACGCATCATAATAATAAACCTAATATTAAACTAATAAATTCGTCGTTTCGCTCAGAAAACAAAAAAAAAAAAAAAATTATGTCCATAAGCGAATAATAATCACGCGGTCATCCTTATCGTACATTAAAATTTCGTATCAATCCACTAACCTGTCCTGCTAGAATAAGTTCCGTATCTGACGTGTATGCGTGTGTGTTTTTTCCCCTCGTCGGTTTTCGTCCCGACACATTATTTTAATCGAATATTATTTTACACCCGCGCAGTCGCCGCCGCCCGTTCTTTTCAATAACACGAATTATACACCGCACGTCGTTTTTTCTTTCTTTCGCTCTTTTTCAAATTCTCAAATCGTCGTCATTTTTCACGGTTGCAGGTATGGAGCAACAGAAGAAATATTGGAACAAAATCGAAAACGCCTGTTGCCAACTGATCACGTGTATTACCGCTCTCATACGACTCGTGTCCAAGTACGTTATCGGAACGTATATGCATCATATCGAATACCGGCCCGGTAAGTACATTATAATAATATTTACTGATAGTACCTACACAATCAGTTTTTGTTTTAATTGCATAATTAGACCGTTGTTTATCGCGGCGTGTAATGAGCAGAAAATTTGAATTACGAATTTTTTTCTCAATTATAGAAACATTTTAATTTAAAACGATCGGTATAAAAGAGTACCCGTAGCTGTACCAAAAACCTTTTTGTTATTTGTTTACCGCGTGCATAATTTCCTTGTTTATTGTTTGTTCGCTCACGTATTATTTTCGACGGTTTTTGATATTGAAAGCATTTTACGATGATGTCGCCGTAGAGTCCAAAAACTCTGTACAAACAAATATTATGATATAATCCCCTTATTGTATACTATACAAATAAACCGGGAAACGAGTCACGAACTCTTAAAACTTTTCTAAAATCGTAGCGATTTGTATAAATACCTGAGATCAGCGCAACGTGGATTTTTTTGAACGGGGCTGTTGCATGTTTACGTATTTAAAAGAAAAAACATGATTTTAACGCATTTTAGTAAAATTATATTACATAAATAAGGATGGAAGGGGGTGTCCAGATACTCAAAATATCAATCCCTTCTAGTCGTGCCACTATCTGAGTCCCATTATATCGAAGATTCATTTTCGGTTTGATGAAAGTGATGTACGCGTATATTTTTCAATGGAGGGGTATATCGAAATTTTCCCAAATTGGTTCAAAATATTTTACCTATAGTTAGGTATTAATATGAATTCTCTATATTATGTTTAAAAAAGACTTAAATTTTGAGAATGACTTCAATAATTTCAACTAGGTATATTATAATAGACTGATACCACTGATCGATGTATCACTTTGTTCAGGCACGGATCCAGAGCTAAGATCTGGGGAGGGCCCAACAATTTTTTTACAACATGAATACAATTAAAATATAATATAATACATAATGTATATTATTTTCTCACGCAAAAATCAGAGAAAAAATTTGGAGGGGCTGGGCCCTGAATCCGTCTCTGGCTATGTTTAAAGAGAGAGAAATTTAATTCATATTTGTATGCAATTATAAACCATATTGTTAACAAACAAAAATTCTGAGCAGAATATTATTAATCCTATTTTTCCCGAATAGTTTCCAAGGTAACCCAGATATCATCAAAAATTATGCCAGTTTTTCTCATTAATTAAGAAAATTACGAGAGAAATCAAAAAATGATTCCCTCAAAGAACCAAATAAGGCTACAAGAGAGTTTTTGACTGTAGCAAAATCTCATATACATACACATAAATACATAATAAAAAACCAATACATTCACCTTCGCTTGAAATCTAAAATTTCAAAAAAAAATTCAATTTTAAACAAAATTCAACAATATACGCTAACTTTTATTGGATTAGTGATAAATATGATTTGTATAATCGTATACGTTTTATATTTTTTTCAATTCGAACATTACACTTGAAAATATAAATATGGACCACTATACTACACCGAATGAAATTTTATTGGTTTTTTTTTTTCTATATTTAATATAAGTAAATGTGTATATAAAAATAATGTACAACGTTAGTATGACGTTCGAATGAAAAAAAACACGTGTTCGACTATGAGAAAAGTTGATTTTTTAAATTTATTTGACTTTTGTTTATTATTATTACGTTATCATAGTTCGCCAGAAAATTAAATGCAAAACTAGTTGATTAAAATATCATTAAATATTACCACTAAAAAGAAAAAAATTAGTTTTCTAACTTTAAACCAGCGATTCTCAAACTGTGGTACGCGGTACGTCACATGGTAGTACGCAGAAAGCCAAATTTTTATAATGTCAATTATATTGTAGTAATTTACTGTCCTATGCTCATAATTTTGAAATAAATGTATAAACATTATGAAAAGTTAAATTTTTATTCATAAGTGGTAGGTGACGTATAATACATATAAGGGGTACGCGAAAAAAAAGGAACTTTTTCTGCAAACCACACTTTCTTCTTTGACGAATATAAATATTAATAATAAAAATTAAAGTAATGTATTTAGTATACCCATTTTAATAACTTTGGAGATAATAAAAGTAATCAAATTCCGTTTTTTTAAATATTATTTACAGAGATATGGACTAAAAGTATTGTTATTGCAATTCATTTTTATGTTTTGGTAAAAAATTTAAAAAAAATTATTTTATTTTATTATTTTTGATAACAATTATCAGGGAGTTTAGGGAAGTACCTATAATTATACAGCAGGCTTTAATCCCATTCGCTAATGAATTATTATTTTCATGACTGTAGACTTTTTTTTTCTCAACTTTAAAAAATTATTAAAAATCACGAATTTAATGGAAAAAAAAATTTAATACGTCAGAATTTTCAGAAAAATAAACTCTATAACATGACTATCTTCAAATTTGTCGAAAATAATAAAATAAACATTTTTTTTTTTAGTTGTGTTACCAAAATTTAATTCAAATATAAATATTCACGCGAGTAATGTAAAAAAAAGTAAAGTTTTATTATCTTTATTATATCAAGAGATATAGCAGTGGTTAAATCTTCGTGGGACACGCCCTGTATAATGTACATTGTTTATAAAATAGCTATAGCACTCGTAATGAGTATATAAAGTAAATGGGCAGTTGGGAAGGTTCGATAATATATAGAATAATTTAATAATATAATTTCCAATATAAAACTAATCTGAGTATATTCGGTTGAACGTATTTCTAAATGCTGCAATTATTATTATTTTCATAAAAATTTTAATGCTTTATTATTTATTTATTTATTTTTTTTAAGAAACTTATAGGTATTATAAAATGAGACTTCATTAATTTTTGGTTAAAAATTTAAGGAGCTATATTATGAAATTGACAAGTTTAAAAAATCTTGAAAATAAAACTGAAACCTTCAAAATTCTTAAAGTTTATATAGTTGCCTTTTGTATAACGACCCAGAAAAATGACTAATTTAAAATATAATGTTTAAAACTCGTGTATACTCATTGCTTAAATAATTCAATTCCATAGTATTATGCATTTAGTTGTTTATTCATAATATTGTTCAATTTAGGTTTTGAAGCACTTTAATTTCTGAGTAAGTCTCTATATATTAATAAGACTTTCGGCCAAACTAAATAAAAGTAAAAAGTCTTGTAAATTATTACAAGAGTTAGGATGTTTACGCATTACAAAGTTAATAAATATGTATATACATATATCTACATTAAATTAAGTTAAAAAACAAAAAAAGCTGATACTGCTAATGGGTGTGATGGAATTGTTGTAGGTCGAAAGTTAGGAAGTTAGGATAGATGAGGTTCTGTCTACAACGATAAATCATTGCTAACGAAAAACAAATTTGGACGAAGTTCAGTTATACATATATTATAAAATGCCTCATTTTGTACAATTTTTACGATTTTCGTAAATAAAAAAAAGACCTAATTAATTACGCTCAACTTTTTATTTTTTATTTTTTTACCAATAAGAAAAACACTATGATGATCCTTATGTTTAATTTTAACATCTTTCATTTTAGATGACGAGGGAACTATTGGTTGTTTATTTTTTTTCTTCTAGTCTATGGACACGTCTTTTCCTAGTAAACTTGTTCTGATTTTTACGTGTAGCAACTTTTCTGAAAGCTCAAGTTATCTAAATGGTACCTTTAACATGTCATTTTTTGATTTTATATGCTATTTTTGAAATAAAAGCACTTAGTAAGAGAAAACGTAGGAAAACGTACAATTTTATGATTTCATTATTTTATAAAAACACGTTTTCTATCAGAAAAATTGATTTAATCGAAAAATCACAAAATACCTTTTTGATAAACTTTCTTACGGTATCATTGTCAAAACTTTTGAGCCACTTTTGATCTTTTAATGAATTTTAATTTTTGGGAGTTTTTTGCTGTAATTCGGTAATAAATACACGTAGGTACATGAAATTTGGTAATAATACTTATATTGAACTTACCTAAAAGTGGTAAAATTTCCAAAATCACATGATGACTTTTTTTTTAAAAATAAGCGTTTAGAAATCAAATTTAAACAAAATCTTAAAAATTATGTATTACCGAACTGCGTTTGGAATCATCTTTCATTAAGCAATGGTTTATCGTTACTTATAGATATGAATAAAATAACCTTATGTATCCTACCTTCCCAACTTCTCAACTACAACAGTGGCCACTCTCATTCTCAGTATCAGCTCTTTTTTTTAATATTTTATAAGTTTTTTAATTATTTGCTGATATCTATGTGCCTAATACCGTGGTTTTTCTGGTTGAAAAAGTATTTTTAGTGGTTTGCAATGAATACTGTTTTAAGCCCGTTATAACGGTACTATTACCGTAATTGTTAGCATTATGTGCGTACACGTAAATTCCATAAACTTGACATTTACACAGTATAGGCATCAGGTCGAAGAATATTTTCGTACTATCCTACGTGTTCGATTTTCTCAACCATGAATAATTTGTTACTATAATATTGACGTATTACCGGAACGTTGAAGAATACCTCCTTATACATATTTTTTTTCTTCTAACGGTAAATACCTAACACATAACAATAAGTGAATAAAGGCCTACGCTATTCGAACGTCATCCTAATTTCCTTATTTGTAATATAGTATACTTATGGTTTTTTTTTTTAAATAATTACATTAATTTATTATTTTAAAATATGATACATAAAAAAAAAAATATTCCATAATTCTACCTATGTAGAATATACATACATTCCAATGTTTCATTGTAATATAGGTACCTATCTAAGTAATTCTTGAATTATTTATCTGCACGTTGCTATATATATTAATATATGTTAATACAATTATTTGCATAATATTGTATCTAATATGTTATTTGTTAATTATATTTCAATGACGTATAATATATCATATTATTGAAAATAATATTAAATATTGTTTATAACAACATTTAACAGATATAATGTATATATATATAATTATGTGTTATAAAATGTATATATTATATGTATAGGTACCCAGATATATTATATAGTTATCGAGTAATTTAGTTTACCTATAGATAAAATGGTAAAGGTTATACACTAAAACGAATGCCGAGAAGAAGACGATATAGTAATAATGTCATTTGGTCAACCAGACGAAAACACAATGGAATTGGTTTTAAATTAATATTCTTGATCTTTTGAATGTTGGGCATATAGAACCTTAGTCAATTTCTTTGTAATTGATAGGTTTTGTTATCTCAAGGCCAAGTTAAACCTTGATGGGTAATCAATGACGTATATAAAATTATAATAGTATTACTGCTTTGATTTCGTTTCAGACGCTCAACCGAAAACATGTAAAACCTTGGCAGATATTCCAGGGCCAAGGTCCTTGCCTATATTCGGTACAAGATGGATCTATTGGAAATTCTGTTTATACAAACTGAATGCGGTACATTTGGCGTACAAAGGTAAATAATTTTGTTGTTTTTTATTTATGGATTAGTTTAGTCACACAGTGATAACAAAAAATAGTTATCCATACTTAATTTAGTTGATACGGGTTTAATAGTCCCTCTCTATAAGTAAATAAATAGTATATTTTCTTTCATTACTATACACAGGCAATCAATTCCAATTTCTAAGACATTATATTTAAAATACAAACCATTATTAATATATTTCAATCCACTCGAAAAATTGAATCCAAACTACTCTCCCCCTACCTAAACATAAAAGTGTAATATCTTGTCAACGGAAGATCAAACATTTCATCACCGAAATGTATTTAAACTAACACGCCAGCTATTTATGCAATTTTTAATATAGGTTGTTATTTTAAAATCAAAAGTTGATTAGTTGTTTCATTCTTAAGAATGATCAATAATAATGTTAATGTAATATTTTTGAGCTGCTTATTTTTAAATTATTTAAAAAAAATAATAAATACTTTTCGAGATAACGAATGTCTTACCGTGATCTTATTGCAGATCACCTTATATACGGATTAATCGTCTATGACTGTACCTAAATATTTGGATATTATGTAAATATTGGATTATTCATAATCTGTTAATACTTACACAGACATGTTCATCCGGTACGGAAATATAATTCGTGAAGAAGCATTGTGGAATATACCAATTATCAGTGTCAAAGACCGAGATTTTATTGAACGGGTACTCAGGCACAGTGGAAAATATCCCATCCGACCCCCGAATGAAGTAACGGCCAACTACAGAAAATCCAGGCCAGATCGCTACACTAACACCGGGCTCGTTAACGAGTGAGTACGAGTACTTATAGAAGGATAATATTATGAATAATTATATTTTGTTTGTGTAATTCGAATACACTGCAGTACTTATTATAATATTATTAAGCCTATTCGGGATTAAAATACAACATAATTGCATAAGAAGAGGGTTCTTGAACATTTGTAGTATGTGAAAAAAAAATGATTACGTTACGAGTGCTTTATAAAATTTGAATTTAACGGTGTGGCAATTATATTTTGTGCAATTATGTGTACAAAATAAATAACGTGCTACAGATATAATATTTTAGATGATATTTTTTTAAAAAAAAAAACTAAATAATATACTGTATATAATTTACATTCCACAATGATGATAATACTTGTTCATTAATAATAATTAAAATAAAAATAGTTAAAAATTTGACACAAGGGTAGCAAAGGCGTGTTTACGATAGGGAGGGATGTGGATGTCATGTCCGCCCCCATTGACCTTTAAATCTGTTCTAATTTTATAATTCTCAATTATATTTTATTATAATCTATTATCAGTGATGTACCCAGGAAAGACCTAAAGGGGCTTCGATCCTCCCCATTGGTCATGTTAAATTTAAAAAAACAAAAGAAGAGCTGATACTGCTATAGGTGCGCCATTGTTGTATGTGGGAAGTTATGTGGGAAGGATTCAAAAAGTTATTAAATTATTAAACCTGTAAGCAATGGAAAAACCATCGCGAACGAAAAACTGAAGCGAGCGAATCTGAGCGAAGTTTGTTTATACATGATTTGAACCTTTGAATATTTATGATTTTTATGAAAACTTGATCTTAAAATGATTATATAAAAAAAAAAATTCATTACGCTCAACTTTTTTTCATCGCTAAGTTCAATTTATAATGAACCTGTTAAATTTTCAAGCATTTCTGTTTGGTCACACATAGTAACTATCAAGTTAAATCTACATAAAAAAACTCATAACAAACATTTTATGCTTATAAATAGCTCAAAAATATTTTCAGAAGATTTTGAACATTTTGACACGTTTAGAAAAAGCATAAATACATTTTCTGTCAAAATTTAAAGTTTCTTCGATTATTTTAAACTAAATTGCAACAAAAAAAAATCTTTCCCGTTATTTCTACGTTTTTTCTAGTTTTGCTCAGGAATTACGAAAACTACACTGAAAGTCAAAAACGACTTCTGTATTGACCAATTAAATTAAAAATGCAACAAAAAACCTCTCTTGTCATTTTTTATTGAAGCAACATTTTCGATAGAAAACATACATTTGTCTTTTCCTGGTTTTCCCTAATTATTATGAAAACATACTTAACCTACTTTCGCAGTAACTAGATACAAAATGCAATAAAAAAGATCTCGTGTCATATGAATTTTTAAATTAAAATTAAAATTCATATTAAAACATAGAAAAACCAATACATCCCTCGATCCGCTTCGAATTAAAAATTGTACTAACGATTTAGCATTAATAAATTATTACTTATAAGATAATATTCATTGCACATTTGTATTACTTATTCAGCTGAATACAAATAATACTCATACTTGTATTACATAATTATTTATTTTGTAAAACATTTTTATTTTATTTTCTAATGTGTATTATTTCGTTATGTCGATTGTCCTTTTCTCTTATTATCATTAATAAAACTTCTGCACATATATCTATTTATAATGAACGCTCTCGCATCCCTTTATCTTAATTCCATTCTCTGCTTCTAATGACTCTGATTTTTCTCTATTATTTGCACCATAAGGTATGAAATAATGAAGTCCCCTTCCTTTATATATCCAGCCAATAAGTAATCATTTTCTGATTTTAAAACTATATATTTTTCGTATTAATTTGTTGTGATGTTAGTTTTAGTTTTATTTATGATATTACCTATAACTAGGGCCCGGATTTCAATGAAAAATGCATCTTTTTTTGAGTGATATTATACAATGCTTTCCAAATATATAATTTGATTCATGTGACAGACTTCAAAGGTGAAAAACTTTTATTTTGCATTTTTCAATGTTATTTCATTTTTAGAACATTTTTATCTTTTTTTTATTATTATTATATATTTATATACAATACTATATACCATGCTTCATATATTTAATCTATGATATGATTTAATAATTTAAATTTAGCTTATTCAAAATATTACTCATACTGTTCAGTTTTTTCAGTCAATCAGTCCAAACAGCTCCTCAATTAATACTATCGTCGCTATAGTCACAAGTCAAATTTTTCAATTTGCTGTTGTTTTTTTAAATAAAATAAAAGTATTATAATTTACCCAATAAAATAATAAATTTAAAAAATGATATGCTATTTTTTAAAGACATTTTTAGCTTTTTTTAGAGTATTCTACGATGATTTTTAGTGCATTAAATCCAGACCCTACTTATTATATATTATTGTTATAGTACACAACCTGTATTACTGGGTTCTTTCAATTATCTGTTCAAATGCAATTACCGTATTTCAGACAAGGTGAAGTATGGGCCAAATTGAGGAACAAACTAACTCCGGAACTTACTAGTCCTAGGACAATTCGACGTTTCTTACCGGAAGTAAACCAATTGGCGGACGATTTCAATACTCTGATCGGCTTGGCGAGAGACGGCAACAACGTAGTAAAAGGATTCGAATCGTACTGTAACCGAATGGGGTTGGAAAGTACGTGTGAAATCATTTATTTAGTATAAAAAATGTCACGATAAAAAAATAAAACATCTGCCTGATGATAAATGTATTATTACACGTCGAATCAACGATATTATAGTATAATATAATTACAAAATACATCAGGAAATTGAATTATATCACCTATAAAAAGTACTTGTATACAATTTTTGAACCTGGGCAAAATTAATCAATCATTTTTATCAACCGATATTATTTTTAATTGACATATAATCATGCCAAAAGTACTTTAAACGTAAAGACTCTCGTTAGTTAGAAGTCATTTTTCGAACGACAATGTTATGAATTTTAGATGGTTAGTGTTGATACAAATAGAAAATGAAATTGTCAGTTTAATGAACAAAAAACAAATTATATACAAGATGTCCCATGGAGATATTATTATTATTATTATATACCCATTGTAATATCTCTGGAGATAATAAACATAATAAAATTCTGTTTTTTTTATATTATTCACAGGGTTTAAGACTATAAATGTTAATATTCCAATTAATTTTATGTTTTTGTTAAAAAACTTAAAAAATAACTTTATTTTGTTATTTTTGAAAAATTTAAAAATAGCTATTATATAGAGTAAACTGTTTATTATTCAGAAAATGCTAATGTATCAACTTATTTTCATTAAATTCGTGATTTTAAGTTCAGAGGAAAAAAGACGGATACACTTTGCACGTTGGTCTACTGTTGTAGACAAGCAGTCGGGAAGGTAGTAGAGGAGAAATTTAATTTATATCCATATAGTTTTTCACCAATAGTCGAAAGTTATGCTTCCATCAATAATATTTCAACGTTCTCATATTATGATTAATGTAGAATACTAAGCTGGAAAATGGTTTGAATATTTAGTATTACACAATGGAATAATTTAATGGTTGTGTGTTGCGAATTTAAATCATAGTTACATTTAAGTATTTAACAGTAATCAATATTTTTTTCATTGAATTAGTTACAACAAACGAAACAAGTATTATTTGATAAATCTACTCAAAGTTACGGGAAACCTTGTATAAGAATCGAACAAATTAAAACGGTTTAAAGTCATGAAATATGTTTGTTAGACTACTGAAAAAAGGAATAACAAATACAATTGATTTTATTTGAATAATTGTGATCCACAATTATTGTTGAAAATTAATGTAAACGTGTTAGCGATTTCCCCCTTGAACCCTTGAATCCTTAATGCGGGCTTATAGTCACACAGCATTACAAACTAAAAAATTAGATTTCATCACGTTAATTTTAAATATTAATCGTATTATACCTATATTTTTATTAATCGGCAGGTACATGTACGCTGATTTTGGGCAAGAGATTCGGGTTTCTAGATGGAGAGGTCAGCGACACAGCCACGCGGCTGGCAGACTCGGTAACGAGCCAATTTCGCGCGTCGCAGGAAGCGTTCTACGGACTTCCTTTGTGGAAACTGTTCCCGACGAGAGCGTACAAGGACTTCGTAGCGAGCGAGGACGCCCTATACGAGCAAGTACAACTTCTAAAAAACCGTTAAATAAACGAAATGAGTAAACGTTTCGATTTCTAACGGTGTTTCACTTTAGCATCGTATCCGAAATCGTCGACTCAGCGCTAATAGATGAGCAGCTGTCCTGCACAGACGTGCGCAGTGTTTTCGTATCCATACTGCAAGCTCCCGGACTGGACAACCGGGACAAGAAAGCCGCGATCATCGACTACATCGCCGCTGGAATTAAAACCGTACGATATAATATTGTAGACCTATTTATTTTAGGTTTTTGTACGCTATTATAATATAATGTGATTAGATATTTATTATTTCATCACGTCTACCGACCAATAGATAAACACCAGTAAAACAAAAAAAAAACGTAAGTTAAATTCCATAAATACTGAGGGGGTAGAAGGCAAAAAAGTATAAATACACACTCTGTATACAAGTATACGACTATTAAAAAACAAAATATGTGCAATTTTGTGCGGTAATTCACGAACACGGATTATTTTACAATCTCGAGATACTTTTTTTATACACACCAACCATCCACTGCAATTTGTTACTCCCTTCAGAAAAAAATGCGGTTTTCCCGAAAGGAAACTATATTTACACGTCGCGTCGTCGTCGTCGTTGTTATAAACAAACTAATAGCTCCATCGTTTATTGTTTCTTTTTTGTTGTTTTTTTCATCCTCACGTACATGTATATCGCAGCTGGGAAACACACTGGTTTTTTTGTTGTATTTGGTGGCCAAACATCCGGACGTCCAGGAAAAAATATATAACGAAGTGTTGCGACTAGCTCCGGCGGGTACAGCAATAACGGCCGAACATTTGCATAATGCCACGTATTTGCATGCCTGTATAACCGAAGCTCACAGGTATAAACACCCCGCGTTATTGACGGCCATCAGTTATTTTCCTGAAAATACTTATCAATTTATTGTGTTTTCGTGTCCTACATTTATATATATTTATAGACTTTTGCCCACGGCTCCGTGTATCGCAAGAGTGTTGGAATCCGATTTCGAATACGAAAATTATCAATTGCCAACAGGGGTAATATTATATTAAGTTATTATATTTTATTAGTATTATAATCACACTCAGTGGCGACTATCCTATAATGGAAGTGTGGAAATATAGAGACTGTTACACCTCCAATTAATAAGGGGGAGAGTTCATTGTAAACTTCCGATAGCATTTGACGGTATAACAAAACACTATTATTATATCAGTAGATGGAAAGCATTACTTTGAATATAGACAATATAGTACACTACCACATCGCTACATTTCTAAAAAGAAAATGTGGTATTTTGCCATCTGGTTTACCTTTTATAATTCATTTCGTTATTTTATTAGATCTCTATGATATGTAACCTAGCTGGTCACGTTTCTGCATTCTTAAGACTGATTTTTTATCCGGTTCTTTAAATAACTACTGTCGTAATTCCACATTTTTGATCCATATATGCTCCTTAGAATTCTTCTTTAAACTTGTACGAATTATTATTATTATTATTATTTTATTTTTCTTATATGAAGAGTGTTGTTTTGCTGCATACGTGGTTGGCGTGTTTGGACGACAATAATTTCGTTGATGCATCCTCGTACAAACCTGAAAGGTGGTTGGACGAGTTAACGAGAAAGTCACCGTTTCTCGTAGTGCCGTTCGGATGCGGAAAAAGGATGTGTCCGGGCAAACGTTTCGTCGAATTGGAGCTACAGATCGTCTTGGCAAAAGTACGTAGCTTAGCACCTTTAATATCAAATAAACGAACGAACCTGCGTCATATTAATTCAAACAATTTTTGCTCTTTTTACGTAGATGGTCAAACAATTTCACATCGACTTCGATGGACAACTGAACACCGAATTTGAATTCCTTTTGACGCCCAGCAATGCGGATTTGATCTTAAGAGACAGAAATTGTTGATATATTTATAAATATTAATGATGTTTTTCTATATCTCTTTAAATCTAACAACATTCGTTAAAATTCGATGTGACCAGATAATATGCTATATCTATACTACAAAACGTTAGCTATTGTATTTTTATTAGGATTTTTGAAGTATCTATTTTAATTTAATACAAACCACCACATAAATATACGAGTATATACTATGTATTTATAATAATATAATATTATAAGTATATATTTTTTAAATTATAATTATAATATTATAAATATATACATGTATCTACTCGTGTAATTATTATTATTTTTATTTTTTTTTTCGTTTTCTCCTTATAATACGTGATGTATACACATATTAAATATTTTGTTTTAATAATATCATATATTATATAATATCTAAGTGTTATTTATTAATTATATTTATACATGTTTTCTATATTATATACCAAAAAAATTTATTGTTATAATTATTAAATATATATAATTATTATAATAATTAATCAAGCATTATATTCTTTTCGCTATGTGCTCAGCGATTATATGTAGTATAATATATTATACTACATATACTACACCTATATATTATGAATATATAGGTGTAATAATAGGCATAAACTAGTTAAAAAGTTAAAGTTAAATAATAATAATTATTTTTATTTAACTTTTTAAACTTATTTAATTTAACTTTTTACAGTTAATATTCAATTAAAATACATTTATGTTAACGAGTTAAAGACAAATGATTTTTTTTTGAAATTCAGTTGTAATAATTAGTTGTTCTCAATACTGCGATTTTTGGATTACTATTTAGTGTTTGCTAAAATAGTTTGATTTAGTTTATTTTTAACTACATAAATGAAAACAAATATAAATAATTATGATTTAATACTGAATACTTTTAATGTTGATTTTTTACAACGAAAAATAACTTTTTAACTGTGTTAAATTATTTCTTTGTTAAATTTTAACGTTTAACTGACGACTTTATTGATTTAATTAACTTAACTTAATCAATTAATTATTTTTATTAACTTGCCAACCATCGCATATATTATATATATAAGTATATATCAGGGGGTCTAGGAGCCTAGCCCCCCAAACATATTATGGTAGGAGGTAGGATACATAAAGTTACGTTAAGTACCTATATAAAGTATCTGTAGGCTAATCGGTAAGCCGTTGCTAATGAAAAACGATTCTAAGCAATGTTCAACTATACATACCAGGTGATTCATTACAGCGGGTACACTCATTATCTCGGAAAAATTAACTTTCTTCGGAATCTGTTTTCTAGAAAATTTAAGAAACAACTAGATCTACAATTTTATATTTATGTTATTTTTTGGGGTAAAACAACTACCTAATTTTGATTTTCTTATAGCAACTTATATTAACACTTCCATAAATAGATGGAGTGTTAGTTAAAATAAATTGAGTGTTAACATTTTTTATTTCTATCAAGTTGTTGATGAGATATTCCACTTTTAATTTTAGTTTGGAGGAGAGTAGTGGTGCATTAATAACACATTGCACGCCGCACCGCTACACAAATGACACTCCACTACTCTCTTCCAACCCAAACTTAAAAGTGAAATATCTCGTCAACGGATCAACGGAAATCAAAAATTTCATCACTCAAATTTATTTCAACAAATACTCCATCTATTTATGGAATTTTTAATATAGGTTGCCATTTGAAAATCAAAATTAGGTATAGTGGTTTTACCCCCCGAAATATGGGTGGCAAAAAATAACATTAGTATACAATTATAGAGGAGCTTATTTCTTTAATATTCTAGAAAACAAATTCGGGAAAATGTTAATACTTTCCAAGATAATGAATGTACCCACTTAAATGAATTACCTGGTATTTTTAATAAAAAACCGTAATTTTTAAGATTTTTGTCAACAATTTTAATTTTAAATAGGCATAAAAAATATATAATATTAAGTTTGAACATTTTTTTTTGAACCACTGAACACAAATTTCGAAGGGATAAAAAAAAGAAAATAAACATTTTTCATTTTTTAAATTATATTTTTCTATAAGAAATCTTGCTTCGAATTACAATCATAGCATATTTTTTGAAAAGAAAATATTGTTTAGTGCGTATAAAGAAGGGCGTCTTTTGTCGTTTTCTTCATAATTGGGAAAACGTAAAAAAAAAACGGAAAAGTTAACGGAAATAATAATGCTTTTAATATTTTCAAATTTGTTTTTAGATTATGAGGGCAGTGACGAATGTATTGGTTTTACAATGATTTATTTATTTAAAATAATAAGCTTGCACCACACATGAATATAATTACAAGTTATTAAAATTACATTAACACCATGTATGATGTATATAGCATTATGTTTATTTTATTTGTCTTATCTATGAACAACTTTTCTTAGTATTTTATTCTATAATATGATAATATATTTGCACCTACATCATGTATTTTAATTTTTACATTTCACATTAGCATTACGTAGTCAAATTACTGTAATTGGAGTTTTCGTGCGTATTTTCGAACATTTTATGTAATAGTTAATTTTTCGGTAACACCCTAACACGCTTAAATGGATCTATATTTGTTTATGAAATGAACCGTATTCAATTACACTTAGATATTGTCCAAATATTATTTATATTTTATACATATACGTCTACGGAAATATAAAATATAAAGAATATCCGGCTACGATAACTTGACAATGTGTACGCATCGGACATAATTCTTTGACCCTAGGCAAGAAGGACTTATCAATTGTTGGTATTGTAGAAATGCATGTTAGTAATGTATTGGTTTTACAATGATGTTTTATTTTTAATTTTTTTATACCGTGTACAAAACGTCTACCAGAAATTATCCTTCGATTTTTAAGTGTAGCACTTTTTCTGAATGGAAATCTGACTGGGGTGGTACTTTGAGGAGGTTATTTTTTGATTTTCTTAGGAGTTTTTATAATTAGTGAAGAAAACCGGAAAAACGTAGGAAAAACAGTAAAATCGTTTTTTGTTAGCAATAGTTTTTCTTACGAAGTAAGACAAATACTAAGGTAGATATTCTATGAGAGATTGTTGTTTGGTTGTGGATATGATAGTTTGTTTTGAATCTTTCTAAAATAATTCAGCAATTCAGTCGATTAATAGTTAATGAGGGTGAGAGGGGGCACGTATGTTCTACAAACGCATCATATTATACTATTGGGAATTGTTTTCAACTCTAGACGTTCGTTAGACCGTGATTTAGGGTGGGTGTATGTTTGTATCCCATCACGTAGCTTGCATTTAACATAATATATTATACACCTAAAGTACTTTTTCCCCAATTGTCACCATAAAGAGAATAAAAATCAAAAATAAGTATAGTTTTTTATATATACATATATAATATACAAGGTAATTTCTTTACCATTAACCAGCAATTATCTCAAAAGATTTTAAGTGAATTTGATTTTGTTTTTTCTAATCATTATGGAATCGTTTAAGCTTTATTTAAAAACCATTTTTAATTGTTTACCTCTACTCCATGTACCTTAAATAGATGCATACTTTTGAATACAGATCTATATAATGTTATCTGTGTAATAAATTGCCCATCTATGACACTTCCCTACTCCTCCGGTCTAAACTTTAAACTGTTATAACTCATAAACGGTAAATCTGATATTAGTGTTATGCATATCAAAACTTTTAGACAAATATTCTCTATTCAAATTTGTGTTCAAAAGGGGGGGAGGGTTTAATATTTGAAAATCAAAAGTTTGCACTTATTTAAGGTATATGGAGTGGGAGTAAAAATTAAAAATGGTTTTAAAATAAACCTTAAACGATTCCAAAATAATTAAAAAAAATAGAAATCAAATTCACTTAAAATTCTTTGAGATAATTGCTGATTTATGATAAAAAAAAATCACCCTCTTTATATATGTGTATACGTATGTGTGTGTGTGTGTGTATGCGTGTAGTGTATGCAACAGACGAGGGGTGCAGCGAATATTTCAATAGCGAACGAGCATTTTCTGTAACACTCGTATTATATGGCAGTGTTCTCGTGTTGGTTCTATTTAATATGCTGTTTACAAAAACGAAAACGAAATAATAGTATCCAAATATTATTATTCTGAATAATATTGTAAACCATCAGTCTTACATTATTATATTCAAAGGATACACGTATGCTGAAACTGTAATCAAATGCCTAGAACTTGTCAATTTCTTTCAAATACAGAGCGTCTGTACTATATAATATCGTTTAAAAAAAACAACCAAAACAAAATAAAACATTAAATTTTTATAGGTACCCACTTACCGAAATAAACTGACTTTCATTATATTTTTTATTCGCCATGCGTGTAATAACATAGTTAACAAACGGTATAATATGTAATGTATGTATATATATATAAAGGTATGTCAAACGTTTAGAGAAAGAGCATGTAACCAGGTAATTTATTGCGTGTATAAGATTAATAAAACGAGTTTCAAAAAGAACTTCTGGTTTTAAACTACTAAAAAACAAATTTATTTCTCATTAAAAACATAAAAAACCTATCATTCTCTTAAGCAAAAGTTTAGATTTAAACGCAAAAAACAATATCGGGCATATGAACCCCCCTACACTAGCCCTACAGACTATTATTTTTTCCATCAAATTTACCATCACCCGATCACACACTGCCCCATCAAATTCGTCGAGGACATATCAAATTTCTTATTTAAGGTCCAAGTCGTTCCGTGCCTTCTTTATTCTGGTAAACTAGTAACTTAATGTATATATCCCCACAAGAAAAACTCACACAGTTTCAAAATAAAGCTTAAATGATTCCCTAAATCACTAAAAAAACAGAAATCATATTCACTTGAAATCCTCCAAGAAAATTTCCGGTTCGTAATAAAAAAATTACTCTGTATGAAAAAAAAATATACATACAGTGTTTATCAATAGCGGGATTTTGTTTAAGTATTAATTAAGTGCATTAAATTTAAAAATACCGACATGAAAATAATTAGGCAGTCATTTATAATGTATTAAGTATAATTGATATTGACTAGATCAGTGGGGATTTTGGAAATTTAGCATCGTCATCCCTACGAATCAAGTCCTTATCAGGTGAATATTAAACTTACAGTATCTTATATATACTTATACACGTAAATTAACATAGTAAACATTATGAAGGCTTAAGACGGAAAAAAATATATTCACATTATTTTTGGGACTATTTTGTTTTTAAATTCGAAACACGATTATAAAGTATAGCGTAAAACAACTTACCTTAAATTTGTACAATCATAGACGAGTTTCTGGCAAATTTCAATCAATAAAAAAGCAGAATTTATCTTTTGGCAAAATTGGATTGGCGATTCTCCAAGTCTGATTGAAAAATATGAACCAACGATGAACGACCGAAGAGCAGCTCTCCTTCTCTCTCATATCTGCCATACACATAAAGACATTAGAATAATATAAATTAAAAACCGCTTATTTTTAATGAAAATTAGCTATAAGAAATTACGGTTTTCAATTCGATTTGCAAAGTATAATATTATCGATAATAATTAATAATACGCTACCGCGGGATGGTTTCGCGCATAAACCGTATGAAAACATAAAAATAATTATGGTTCCAATCTGGTTCGGGGATTCCTGCCTACACGCAAAATAATATTACGCGGGAAATTTGGAAAGGGGAGACTGGGTAAAAATTGAATGTCCCGGGGGACTCGGTTCGCGTTTACCCGTTTTGTTAAAACGAAATAATATCGAACGACGGTACGAAAAAATTAAATCCATGGATATATTTTTAAAAATATCGCTCGTACGTAAACATCTTATCATACGAGTTGTCTGTTAAATATTACAGTTTCGAACAGTATTATAATTAATTTATAGATTATAATATAGTAAACATACGAATGTATTTGAATCGAAAATAGTATGTGTAGGCGGGTATAATAATACGCGCCTACACTTACAAAGTTAATCTTTTTACTAAAACTTTTTTTTTTTGTTTGTTTACGTTGGTATTTAAAACTTTTTTTAAACACACGGGCGTTTAGAACGTATCCATTACACGTGTGTACGTAAACAAAGGAGAATATTTAAAACCTTCGAATACTGCTGCAGACTACAAACGTAATGTGTGTACCTATTTAATATTTTCGTCTGCATGCAAGTGAAAAAATAAGTGGCCATATTGCCCGCGCACGAACCGAGTGCGAATTTCGACTATTCAACATTTGTTTATTTTATTTTTTCAACTAAGTTTTTAACAAATGTGCCAATTGTCTTGAATATTATACGCCTACGCAAACTATATAACGCTATAACTATCGTTATTTATAAACGTGAAACTTTTGCCCGCGGAGCACACACGTGTATACGACACGCTATCGCAGCGCACCGTAATTATTATTATTATACACAACGATGGAAAAATATTTATTCCGTTTTGGTAAGTGTATTTTGTACTTAAAAAAATCAACTACGAACGGGGAGGGGACATTAAAATTGGAAGAGTATATATATGTATATACTTCTTGTGGCTTTTACCCATTCAATATTTTATAATAATATTATTAATATCAATAAATTTACAAACGAACAAATTATCTATATTAATATCTATAAATATTTTAAAAAAATCAACCCCGTGTTCTCCTTCATACATGACAAAATAATTCAACTGACAATAAGTCTGCTAATTAATATTCCTGGTTCTTTATACTTAGGTAGGTTAGAATCAAAAAAATGTTTAAAAAAAACAAAATAAATGAGAACATGAGTAAGCAACTCAGATTCTGATTGTGTAATTATCAGTTCGTTTCAAAATGCATAAGAACAGGACTAAATTTAATCGGAAAGTGGTTTGTGTCAAAACTAACAAGTTCCAATGCACCATTTGAGTTAAGATATACAATTTAACCCGTGTCAAAAAACACAAGATCCATATAATGTGAAAACTAACATATTCCATTTTAACTATTATCAAAACTCAGATTATCCGTATTTCAGCGTCAAACTTTAAATGTTTCAAACTTAAACTTCAAAAAACAAAAAAGCATTAAAGAATATCGATAACAACTAAAATCTTAACTTTCGACGGTAGTTTTGAAATTATCAGCCTCAATTCCGTAAGAAAAATGCATTTTGAACCCTTTTCCGATTTTTTCGCTTTCTGAAACATTTGAGTTTTGAATATAGTTTACTCGTATGAAAAATAATGTTAATATATTTAATATTTACGATGAGAAATCATACCGGAAATCGAAAAACTCGTATCCAGCAACTGTCATTAGGTAGGTAGGTAGTAATAATTACCGGTAGAATTTTGAAAATGATTTTGCAAATTCGTAATTTTATGACGGAAAACGGTATTGCAGGTTACGTAATTGGGGCTATAGTATCGCGGGGTCCTGTATACAATGCAATATACATTTATGCACTGTTTCGAACCAAAAGCAAAACGGGACTGCCGCAAAATAACCTCAAAATGACGAAATAAATAATATTGTACATTGTTCGGGGGTAAAAACGGGGTTCGTTCCGCGGCTGTGGACCGTAACGAGGGGAATTTTTTTTGTCGTTTGATCGAACGCGCCCCACGCCGCGAAATAATAATAGTAGTACAATATCGACGGCGGCGTCGGCGGCGGCGGCGGCGGAAATCGCGAGTTTCACGGCAACTCGGCGACGCACACGGCGGCGGCGCGCGTACACACAAATATTATACGGTTTTCAACAACGTTTTCGCATCTAACGGTGGTGCGACGCGCGTGCGCAACAGTCGGCGGCTGGAAAACATCGTCGCGGTCGTCGACGTCGACCGCCGCGGGTGGGGTGGCCCTTATAGATTTTGCCCTGGACGATAGCTCGCTAACTATACGGCGAACGAGAGCGCGCGCGCGAGCGCTCGCTACCGACCGTCCGTTCACCGCCGACGCCACCCGTTAACATTCCCGCAAAGCTTTTTCTTTCTGCTACCGCCACCGTGTCGGTGTGTTAGGAGCAGTGGGGGATGCGTGTTTGCGTCGTCGTCGTCGGCCGTCGCCGCCGCCACAGGGGTTGACGACGAGGATTTTGGCGGCGCGCTTTTGCGGATCACGCGCGTTTCGCCGGCGCGGCGATAGTAGCGCCGGCGACGGACACAGCATCACCTGCACCACAGTCGGAACCGACCGAACTTTTGCGTCCGGTGGCAGTGGCGGCGGCACTTCCGACTCGAAGGGCAGCACGATATGGACTTCCGAGTGTGCTCGCGGTTCGTACTCGGGTGAAAAAATGGAAATGGAAAATCTCGAAATGGAAAAGAAAAAAAATATTCGCTGTTTTCCGAGGTATTTATCTATATATTATACTATACGTACATTATATCTTTGGTCCCGAAGAAGGACTCAAGTTGATATTGGACAGTGGCGTGCGCAGGGGACGAGAGATGGAGGGTTATATTACCCTCCTAGCTTACAATGAATATAAAAATTTTTTTAGTATTTAAATCTCACGAAGTGTATATATTTCAGCTTAGTTACACGGAAAATCTTGATTTATTGAATATAATTTGGCTTTTTTGGATCCGGCTTTTGTTATCGGGTTAAGAATACGTTTCTACAATTTATTTGTGATCGTTATTATTTACTAATATTTTCCCCTCCCAAACAAAATTCTTGGGCATGCCTTTGATATTCTATAGTTTACAATACAACAATTATTACATTCTAAAAAGACATATAGGTACTTATAATTTAGGCAGAAAAATAAAGAGGAAAGAAAACCAATATAATTCGCACGATGAGTGGCCCACTATTGTAGATGAGAAGTTGGAAAGATAAGATATAGAGGGAATTTAATGTATATTTGTACGAAACGATTAATCGTTGCTAACTAAAAATGATTCTGAATTGAGTTCTGTTATAAAAGTACATGTTTTGAAAGACCGTAATATTTACTATTTTCGTCAAAAATTAAGATATTAAAATTCTTATAAAAAAAAATTCTACATAACGCTCAATACACTCAATTTTTTTTTTACTTCAAAGTGCGACTTATAATAATTCTCTTGTTAAATCCCCGAGCATTTCTGTTTGGTCTAACAACACAGTGTCTACCGAATAAAAATTAGACAAAAAATTCGCAAAATTAAGATGTCTAAAAATTGCTCAAAATTGACACAACTGTTATAAAAATTTTACTATGTCTAGAAAAAGCAAATATAAATGTTCTGTCTCGAATTTTAAGTCTCTAGGAATATGTTTAATTGAATTACAACACATAAACAAAATTGCAAAATAATAAACGTATTATTTTCGTAAATTTCCTTTGTTTTTTCAGTTATTGTGAAAACCGCTTAGAAAATCGAAAAATGACCTCCTTTAAGTCTTAACTAAATAAAATTTCTTTTCAGAAAATGTACTGCACTTGAAAATCGGAGCTTGATTTCTAGTAGACACTTTGTACACAGTAAAAAAAAAAAATAATAAAAATAAACCTCATTGTAAAACTAATACACTCCTAAATACATTTCTAAAATACTAACAATTGACAAGTCCTTCTTGCCTATAGTCAAATAATTTTATCCCATGCGTGCACCATCAAAGTGTAATTGAATATTTATACGGTTCATTCCGTAAAAAGACGGACATACTTCGCACGTGGGTGGGCCACTTTGGTAAAAAGATTATTGATCCCAAAGTGAGTAGAGATACGCCTAATGGGTACACTTATTATGTTGACAAATATTAATTTTTTCAACCGTCCTAAATACTAATGATAATAATATATAAATACTGATAGCCTGTTGTGTGCAATACAGACAAACCGTTTTATAGGAGTCGTGTATAGGCAACTACTTGTTTTGATCCGTGAAGTTGTCGAAAAACCGATTCTATTATAAATAACACGCATCTGAAGACACCTACATCCCACATTAATAAGTTATTAATGTAATAACCATTTACATTTTACACATATAGGGGTAGATAGGCCCACTAGGATTTTCCCAATGGGTTGCTACTTATATTGACGTGAATGGGCCGATGAAAATTACTGCTATAACCTATTTTTATAATAAAAATGATATATACGGACTCTATTTACAATTATTATTTTATCAACCTGTTTATTTATAATATTAATAATTATTAAATTGTAATAAATCAGCCTAAACATTTTATTTTCTAATTATAATTGATAGTAAATAAGGTTCAAAAAATTCTATGTTATTAAAAAGTCGTGCTTTAAATTTATAGTTATTTTTTAATTTATTCAGTATTTTCGGGTTATTACAGTGGTTATTCAGTCTTATTGGTAATAGTAAACATTGAGTTCTAATATCCAATACTAACGGGATATAAACAATTAGGCCGAACAAAATTGCTGAAAACGTGCAAATTGTCGATTTTGTCCATTTCTCTAGCACCATCTCTAATTATAATAGCCTTTTGTGTAGATACAGACCGTTTCATAGGAGTCATGTATAGGCAATTTCTTATTTTAATTCGTGAAGTTATCGAAAAACTGATTTTATTATAAATAACGCGCATCTAGAGTAAGACGCACTCACATTAATAAGTTATTTATGTAATAACTAATAACCCTCTACTAAAAAATATCATATTGGTTTCTATTCTATCAATTAAATAACGACGGCTAACCGTGTTCGCAACGTACTTACCTAAATGTTGGTGTTTCATTAATCGAAATATACAAAACAAAATATCATAATTAACAATAGTAATATTATGTGAATTGAAGATAAGAGTATTTTTTAACAAATTCAAAATATGATTAACTATTATTATTGATTTTTGGTAAATAAATCTATAAAACAATACATTAATAGTTTACCTATAATTAAAAAAAAGGTGTTATAAAAAAACACATAGTTGTTCAATATTGAGATTTTTAGATTCCGAGTGCGGCGAGGAGTGTTTTCTTCGTTGGAAAAATTGAATTGCAGTATTAACCGATACATAAAAAAAATTAAAAATAAAGAAACCACCATTACTATAAATTTCCCATGTTTCTTTTATGTTTTTCCAAATTATTAAGACAATCAAGAGGAAAACATCAAAAAATGACCACTCCGATAAACCAAAAAAAAAAAAAAAAACTGTTTTCTTTCACAAATGATTCAACACTTGATAATATCGGTTTTACAAATTTGCTATTAATTTATCCTATACCTATTCATGTGCCTAATCATAAATATAACATTTTAAATGGGTGCATTTTTAACCATAATTCAATAACATTTATTTTACAAATTATTACGAATAACTATGGAAAACATTAAAAAGAAAAATATTGCTAATTCAATTATTCAAATTCAATTAGTTTATACGATATAATTTAAATGCTGGTTCACCCCTACACATTTTATAATCTAAAAACTCCAACTTTTATCTATAAGTATAATATCGTACAATTGAAAAATAATTATATTTTATTGTTTTGCCATGAACGTAAACAGGATGCTCAGGGGTGCTAGATCACGGTCGTAGTGGCGCCGAACTGTAACTCTTTTTAGATGTGGCAATGAACATTAATTTATACCCACTTACCTCTACACGGTATTACATCTAAATTGCGCGAAGCCCCCCCCACAACACTTATCAGTTTCTTAAACTACAAAATATTATTTTCAAAAAGTTATAATATTTACTAAATAATGTTTACATTTTGGCATTATTTAATATTTTAATAGATAAATAAATTCTATAAATACTAGTAGGTATTTTAATTTTTAGTTAGCATAGACATTATTTATATATGATCATCAGAAACTGAAATTAACATTTGACAAAGACACTGATTTAGTTATTTATATTTTCATCTACGTCGTATCATATTTTGTCGCATTTTCAATCTAGTTTGTTAGTTATTCGTTTTTTGATTTTCTAAGTAATTTTTTTAATACTTGAGCAATACTACTGCCCTCCCCCCCCAAAAAAGGAAGGAATAACGGGAGAAATTACTAAATTAATTAACTAAAATTTTATTAGTTTTAATTTTCTTTTCTTGTTGAAATTCAGTTAAAAATATTCGTTGAGACTTGAAATTTTAACAGAAAACTTATATTTGCTTTTTCCAGTCGTACTAATTTTTCAAAATATTTGAGCCATTTTTGAACTATTTATAGAAATTTTAATTTTACGAGGTTTGTACAAAATGTTTTTTTGATAGGTAGGTACTCTGTAGATAAATTGGTCAAACTAAACAGAAATGCTTGACAATTTGAAAGGAGGTTCAACTTATAATGAATTCATCGAAGTACTTATAATGCTAAAAAAAAAAATCGTAAATAATACCATCTTTCAAAATATATACAACCGAACTTCACTCCGAATCATTTTTCGTAAGTTCATGTTCATCGTTTGTTACAGGTTTAAGTTAAATAATTTTATGTATCTCGCCGTCCCAACTTTAACATCTAGTGGCAGCACACGAACCCAACATCAGCTCTTTTATTTTCTAAATGTATACAAAATTATATTCTTGTACTATATAAAAATAATATAATCTTGGAGATAATCAAAAATAGTTTAATAATAAGAACACTGTCGTGTATATGTTTTCGCTCTGTAATCTGTATAGCCTACGTACAACACTGCATGAACTAGCTGCAGCCGCCAAACCTAGTATATTGGTCTAATATAAAAAATCACATAAAATGGGCATCATAACAAAAGACATCAAAAGACAGATAAAATATTAGTTTTTTTTTTTTTTTTTAATATTGACCCTAACCTACAATAGCTTAATAGGATATAAAATAGTCTAAAAAAATATGCAGTATAAAATTAAATATTGTGTAGCTCGGAATTCCTCTATGTTGTTAAAAAAATATGTTCTTTTAGAAGAGCACTAAAGTAACAGTGGCCCCAGCTAGGGAGCAAAGCATTTAAATACGCCTGACCGGAATGCAAGTTTTTGATGAATTTTGTTCTTTTCGAGTCAAGGAAAATTCATATATTTGGCTCTAGAGTAAAAAAGTAGTAATATGTATTTTGTTGTAAATTAATTTAAAAAATTGCTCAACCACTGAGAATCGTTCTTCGTTAGTAATGATTTATTGTATAAATAACTTAATGTATCCTAGTTTTCCAAATTCCCACCTATGACAGGACAGTGAAACATCAATTAGCAGTACCAGCTCTTCGGTTTTTATCGAAATTCGGTTAAAAATAATCGTAAGGATCTGAAATTTTCACAAAATACTGGACATTCCTAGATGTGGTGAAATGTTCAAATTTGTTTTAGTTATATTTTGGTATTCGTAATTTTCGAGTTTTTTTTTGTATTTATTCGTTTTATGTGGATTAACTTTTCTACTAGAAATCTTGCTCTGATTTTCAAGTGTAACATCAATAAGCATTAAATTCCTCTCTTAATCCTACCTTCTCAACTTCTCACCTTCAATAGTAGCCCGCCCATCGTGCGAATTATGTCCTACTTATATTTTAGAAATAGTTGCAAAACTTGATTAAACTTTAGCTGAAAACTAAAGATTAAAAGGTTTTCAAAGATATAATTGTTGGGCAAATGTGAAACAAAACAATACGACTGCTTGAAATCACGTTTTATATGCAATAGTCGTCATAATACCACCACGTCATGTTCAAACATCACTATTTTATTCATGGTTTTTTAAATTTCTTTAATTCATTTTTTAATTTTAGTAATAATAATTTATTTAATTATACTATTTAATATTTTAATAAAGTTTTACAACTATTTCTAAACAATTATGCTTATCATTGTTTCATTTTGTGGATATAGTTCCGTAATGCTAAATTTCTGTATCCATTTCGTAAAAAGTTATCCATATTATTTAATTACGCGATATGTAAAAAATTAAGTTCCGGTTCGTGAAATGAATGAAATTTTCATTAATTTTACTAAACGGATCAGAACGTCAAATAGATATACATCGTATTATAAATTATAAATCTTGAAAAAATAATCTTACTTCAAAAATATTATAATTTTCCCCGCGTTCAGAGTGACAATAATAATCGGCTCATAACTAGGTCATTAGATATGCAGTGAAACACCTGAATTTTTTATATTCCTCGAGCTATTCTGAAAATAAAAAAAAAAATAAATATATTATTATTTCATATAGGTAAAGTAAGTATAGGCTTAGTTAACATAATAAAGCCCCCCACAAAAAATAGATAATAATACAAATATAATATTTTAACCCAGGTAATATATAGTGATGGGGTGTCTGCGGTAAATAACCTACTCATATTCACTCTGTGTTTCTACAAACGCATTCACATATATATATATATATAAAAAGACCAAAATGATGACGTTGGGTAGTTTACAACCATCCATGCGTTGTCGTTTTATAATTTATACATACAATAGTATTTTAGTGACATAACATGGTAAACATTTTCTGAAGATCACATAAAATTGCAGTTGAAGAATTAAAAATATTTAAGTATTAGTAATCATGATGGTTCATTCCTATAATATTTGCTTTTTTATGGCTTCAAATTACATCTAGTCAAATAATTATATGGAAATTGATGTCATGTTGAACTCATTGTGTTCAAAAATGAAATTTGAAACTGTTTTTTGTTTATTTCTATAGTTTATACAAAAAAATAATAATAATAATAACAATAATTGTCTACTTTGTTTTTACGTAAGTCAATTACCAAGATTAACTCCCCCCCCCAATAAGATTTTAAAATAATTTCGCCTTTATATTATATTAGATAGAAAGTTTTAAGTACCTTATACCTAGGATCTTTTATATAAAAGAATGATGTATTTCAGACGTATGTGAATCATATAGGATTACGTGTGTTTAAATTAAGTTGGGAGGAGTAAATTGTTTAATTTGAGTAAAGTGAAGTATTTTTTTTTAAGTTGAATTGAAAATACTTTTAAACTTATCCATTATATATTTTTCTATAGACATATAAAATTGGTAAATAAATTGGAAGGAGGCTTATTTTCTAAGAAGTAGGGGCTTGTTTTTCATTAGCCTAGGGTTGTCTTTTATATAAATATGACCCTGAGTCTACCCGTCTTACGAAGTATGTCTGACTTTTTCTTTTTTATATTTCTCGTTTTAAAAGTTGAAAATAGTGGTTGTTATTTTGTATACCGTAATATATTTATTGTCTGCAGGGCATTGTTTGACAGTTATGCGTCTATGCTAACGACATTTTAAATGGAAATATATGATATTTTTTTATAGGATTATCAATATAACGATAGATACTTATTATGTCGGCTTTGTGCACTCCACTACTGCCCTCCTGTCAAAGAAAACGACAAACTTAAAAATATAATATCTTATCAACGAGTCGACGGAAATTAAAAATGTCATCACTAAAATGTATTTTAAGTAAAACGTCCTCGTCTTTAATACATGCTGTTATTTAAAAATCAAAATTGCGTAGTGGTTTCACTCCCAAAAATAAGGATGACAAAAAAATAACGCTAATGTAAAAGAGTTGCTCGTTTCTTAAATGTTCTAAAAAAAAAAAATTCCGAAAATATTAAATACTTTCTGAGATCATGAGTGTCTTACGTTATGTTGATCTCTTTGTATATATATTATTGCCAATAAACGACTAACTTAATAATTTTACAATTAAATAAAACCTATCATATTAGGTATGCTTAATTTATCGGTTTAACCTTTCCAATGGTATTTACTATTCAGATAGTCTAGACTCTAATCTTAAATGCCCGAATTCGAGTAGAACTCTTATTTTGAAAAGGGTTCAGAATTTGTATTTTTAACAAATATAGGTATAAACGTATAGTTGTTTCCGTAATAAATAGGGATATTCGTTTTTTCTCTATTTTCACTATTTTTATTAAACAATTGTATTAATGTTTTATCAGTACCGGCCCGATAGATTGCGGGGCCCATATACATTTATTAATTTTATTTTCTAACGGACATACTTTATTTCAGTATAATTTTATAAACTAGGTCTTGCACTCTTATTAGAAATCTAAATTTGCATTTACCTATACATAAACTAATAAAATCAAATTTGTATTTTTTATTGGCCACAAAATGGGTAGATGCCTACTTAGGTACAAATATTTTATTGATTAATATTTGTATTATTTATAATTGGTACCATCTTGATTTTCGTCGATAACAACCCGTGTCCTAAGAAAATCACACGGCACATAAGTCGAAATTTGCTTACTATTGGGACAATATTATTATGATTATTTATAGATAAAGTTATATTCGGAATATATAATTTGTGCGACCGCACCGCTTACCACCCCTCCCCATAGGGCCAACACTGTGTTTTATGTATTAGTTATATTATTTTTATTATTATTGATAATTTTACTTTAAATCGTTGATGTATTTTTGTGCGCGATACATACGTTACACGTATTATCGCGTTGCGTGCGGAATATAACAATGAATTATAAATCAGACCGATGAGAAATATTATGACCCATAAACCTACTAAACCAACTGTATCGGGTACAGTGGCGTACAAAAAGGGGAGGTTAAGGGTTGTATCCGCCCCTTTATTGGCTTAAAACACAACAACTATGAGTGTGTATTAAGTAATTTTATCTTAAATTTATATACTTCAACTAAGTTATAGGAAAAAGAAATATCTTGATTTATTGATTATAAATTCACTTTTGTGGATCCGGCTTTTAAATTCTCATTGTCGGGTTAAGTATAATAGAAGAAGATTCTATTATGTATTATTATTAATTACATCCCCTTCCATTGAAAACTCTTGGATACACTACTGGTTATAGTAACGAACCATCATAGTTACTAATACTTAAATATTTTTAATTTTTCAACTGCAATTTTAGGTGATGTCCCGAAAATGTTTACCATGTCAAATCACTGATATTATATTGTTTGTATAAATTATAAAACGACAATGCATACAACGAAAACTGTCATGCAGTATAGTAGTGTGCATATAGGTACTACTACATTGACCACATTTTAGTTTGTGTAGTTGGATATACTTGTATAATTTTTTAAATATAACTGAAATGAATTTACTCGTGTTGTTTTTTTTTTTTAACAAAAACCTACTAATTATCGTGTATTGTTTATTCTATACTGCGAGTATGTAAATTCCACCACCTCCTCTTTATGACATTTTTAAAACATTTGTACAAACACTACATGTACGATACATATCTATGTACCGTATACGTAGTGTTTGATATTGATTTCAGTTTAATATTGAGAGTTGTCCGATCTATACTTTATAATATAGTGATTATAATAATTTTATATTAAATTAATTAATAATATATAGTACAGACTTCAAAGTTCAAAGAAAAGTTTATTTATGTGAAAATATTGATTTTAAACTTCGATGATAAATATTTTAACTAATTCAAGATACTTGTAATCGTTGTGAATGTAACAATGAGTCTCAAAATGTCTTTATGATTCTATTGTTGGGTTTAAGAAACGGACAAATGTAGAATATTTTCAGAAAAACAAAGTAAGCACACAACAAATATTTTTGATGTCTTGAACGATAATTTACGGTACCGGGTAATGACATTCCTAGATGAAATGTAATAAATAAGTTAGATTTATTTTTTTCGTGCAACAATTTAAATTCTGTGTACAACATAACTATACAAACCTAGCACAAGCAGAGTAGGAACCAAATTTAGGAGAAATGGGGAGAATTAGATTTATCCAAGCCACCCGATGAAATACGTACCAAACAAATTATTCTCACTACATTAGATATTAGGGTTTTAATTTAATCGCAAAAAAACTACATAAAATATTTTAATATTATGCATATAAAATAGTTTTATAAGAATAGTTCAGTTAAAAATAATTGTAAAATTACTTTTAACTTTTGTATTAACAATTTGTTATTGAACATTTTCAATTTTAGTTGTACCTACCTAATAATAAATCTAAGAAATAAAATTAACGTAATATTCACAATTAACGGTTTTAATTGATGGTTAATGTATTTTAGATTTTGAACGTAGTGCAAAATGTATTGGTTTTACAAAGATGTTTATTTATTTATTTATTTTTTTTATATCTGCGCAACTTTTCTACCAGAAGACTTACTCGAATATCTACGAGTAGCACCTTTTCTGAAAGAAAATTGGCATAGGAAGGTACTTTAAGGAACTTAAAAAAACGGGAAAATTTACGAAATACGATAAATATAATTTACGATTTTTTTCTTCTGTGGGCAACTTTTTTACCAGCAATTTTACTCCTACTTTTATTGATAGCAATGTTTCTGAATGGAAATTTTACTGGGGAGGCATTTTAAAGAGGACGTTTTCTCAGTTTTCTCATCAAATTTGAAAAACTGGAAAAAAATAGAGCTAATACTGAGAATGAGAGCAGCCACTGTTGTAGGTGTGAAGTTAGAAAGGTAGGATACATAAGGTTATTTCATATATATCTGTAAGCAACGATAAACCATTGCTTAATGAAAGATGATTCCAAACACAGTTCGGTAATACATAATTTTTAAGATTTTGTTTAAATTTGATTTCTAAACGCTTATTTAAAAAAAAAAAGTCATCAGATGATTTTGGAAATTTTACCACGTTCAGGAAAGTCCAATATAAGTATTATAACCTAGTTTCAAGTCTTTGCGTGTAATTATAACCGAATTACACAAAAAAACTCCCAAAAATTAAAATTCATTAAAAGATTAAAAGTGGCTCAAAAGTTTTGACAATGATACCGTAAGAAAGATTATCAAAAAGACAACAAAAAAAGGTATTTTGTAGTTTTTCAATTAAATCAATTTTTCTGATAGAAAACGTCGTCCGTGTTTTTTAAAATAATGAAATCATAAAATTGTACGTTTTCCTACGTTTTCTCTTACTAAGTGCTTTTATTTCAAAAATAGCATATAAAATCAAAAAATGACATGTTAAAGGTACCATTTAGATAACTTGAGCTTTCAGAAAAGTTGCTACACGTAAAAATCGGAACAAGTTTACTAGGAAAAGACGTGTCCATAGACTAGAAGAAAAAAAAATAATAATCTTAGTAAAACCAATAGCTTCCTCGCTACACTCGGTATCTAAAACGGGAAATTATAAAAGAAATTTAGGTATAGTTAAAATATATTACGGCCTTCTTTTTATCTTTAAACAACTTTAGACTTCAACAGAAATCTTCCTCTGATTATCAAGTGTAGTAAAAATTCATTTTTTAAATTTTTTTCAGGCGTTTTTATAATAAATGGGGAAAATCTGGAAAAAACGTAGGAAAAATAGGAATATTTAAGAAATGTATTATTTTCAATTTTGTGTTTTGTTGTAATTCAGTTAAAAATATTCGCGGAGAGTTGAAATTTGGACGAAAAAAATATTATATTTACAAACGATTTTAACTGTTTTTGAACTACTTATAGACATTTAAATTTTTTGATGTTTCTATGTAATTTTTATTTGGTAGGTACTCTGTGAATAAAATTGTTAAATTAAACAGAAATTTATGAAAATTTAACAGGAGAATAAAAGACGTACTTTGTAGCATAAAAAAAAAAAAATTGTATAGGAGTTTTAATTTTAATGACAATCATAATTATTACGATCTTTCAAAACATATATAATCAAGCTCCGCTCAGAATCATTTTTCGTTATCAACGATTAATTGTTGCGTACAGATATAAAATATACCTATAAATTATATTCTTATCTATATGCTATCTTCTCAATTTCTCACCTACATAAATAGCCAACACAGGCCCGGATTTATAACTAGGTTACCTTAGCTATAGCTGGTGTGCTACGACTTCAGGGAGCGCCGTGACTGGCAAAACTCTTGATTTTTTTTACCTTCCCAACTTCTCACATATAACAGTGACCCCACCCATCATTCGTAGTAAGTCAGTCTTTTTTTGTCTACTTCTGCATTCGGTTTATCGTATTAAATACGGTTCTTCTAAATTTTCATTTTATTTATTAATTCAGTACTTTATTTTTTAAGTACTTATAAAATACTTAAATTTCAGAGCTTTGCACCCCTGAATTTTAGTAAAATTACGCCTATGACACTCGAATCCAATTATTGGTCCTACCTATTACCTTTTTCTGCTCGACATAATATTAAATGACATCGCCACCGACCTCTTTATACGTCTAAAACCATTCCGTGTCCACTGTCATAAGTCCTAGTTTTATGAATAATATTTGCAATTTGCAAAAAAATTATTGCCAAAGAATTATCGTGCACGTCACTAAAAATTTGTCGGAAATGCATGTTTTTGTTTTAGTACTAGTGTATTACAGTATTTTCACTATATTTTATATATTCTAGTGATTACGACTACTGAATAACTGAGATAGGTAGGTACTCCATAATATTATACACGTTACCCGCCTTTATAGTGTATACCTATCTTACATCATTAATTTGATACACGAATTTTATCAAACATTATTCTTAAAATATCTAATCAGTGAATTTCACACAAATACCTAACGTATACAATTATTGTACCTTTTTTATCTGCAGTATATACAATTCATAACAGATTAGAACATCGAAAACACGATATATGTAAATGGTGGGCGTCATCTAAACCTGATTGGCGGGAGAATACTTTCTTGGCGGGGGTCAACTAGACCATTGCCGTTTTTTTATGACATTAGTAAAAACATTCATAATCATTTACTTGTCACATTGATGTCATTGTTTCGATTTACTATGGTGTATTATAGGTCATCGCAGTAATATTTATTTTATGTATCTCATCAATGTTGAATAATAAACATCAATATAATGTTACTCATAAATAATTAAGATACTATTTTTACGGGGTCGCGGGAGTACATATCGTTTTCTAAGGAGCAATATATAGGCAATTTCTAATTTCGTTGTCGACGCCCGATATTCTTGTGTTAGACGTAAACGATCAGTAGTATGAGTGCGTTTCAATGAGTGTATCGCCACCCTCCGTATCCTCATTGTAATAGTTGGTTTCGTTATCGTACATTAATCTAACAACTATATAGCATCGCTGAAATGTGAATTGGTAATGTTTTTTTTTGGAATACAAATTCAACAAAACGGCAATATGTAATAATATAAATTCACATTTGCTGGAAAAACTCTTGGTAAATTCAAAAAATGACCTCACTATAGTACCCCCCTAGTGAAATTTCCTTTTAGAAACTTTGCTATCAATATAAGTTGCAGCAAAATTGGTGGTAGAAAAAGTTTGCACAAAAAAAAAAAAGGCCCTAATATATTTTAACTTATACCTACATTTCTTATATTTTTCCATTTTCCCGCCGTATTTTTTTTTCAGTTTTTTAAATTTAATGAGATAATTGAAAAATGACCTTTCTAAATTACCACCCCAGTCAGATTTTCTTTCATAAATTTTATCATTGTAAATCGGAGGAAAATTTCTGGTAAAAAAGTTCCACTCAAAATCTAAAAGTACGTTTTTTATGTAAGATTACGATTTAACCATAGAATACGAAATCATGTATTAAAATTCGTAGATAACTATTATTGCGTAGATAGTACACGACACCGCTACCAAAGTATATTATATTATTAAAAATGGCGCAACCAGGGATTTCAGATGTTTGAACACCCGCCTCCCCTCTATCTGTGTTTAAGTATTATAAATTTATCGAATTTATACGAATATGTAGCCATGTGATTCCCCTTCAAAAATTCCTAGTTTCGCTACTAATTATTTTTGAATAAATAATGAAAACTTAGGGTTTAAATATTAACTTAGATATATTAAAATGTGCAAAACATGTCCTTAAAGCATGAAAATCATCTAAATTCTTCTGGTTTTATTATTTCTGGAATAAACGATTTTAAATCGCAAACATTTTATTCATATTTAATGACATATTATTATTATTAATTATAATTTATTGAAGATAATATTGTCCAACAGGCAATTATCATTTTTAACAATGTTATCAAATATGAATTAGTAATATTAAAAATGACGATCGCTATTGTTTAGCAAAATAATATATAATAATAATATGTGCGCAGCTATAACAAAATATGAGTAGCGGGGCGATGAATTTACTCGTATTAACGGTGCATTGTTCGTCAAACATTATTGATAAGATATTATGCATTTCGTTTTTGTTTGCTATATTACACTGAAAAATGACGCGATTCGACGTTTCAGGATGTCGATGTGGATTCGATAACAGTGCCAAGGGGTGAATAATCGACATGACGGGTCGACAGATACGCCGTTTGCTGTACGGGCTTTTAGTCTTGGCGTTATTCGTCATTGTTTTGCACAATGGTCGTACCGCGAATTGGCTGGCCAAGGACGGACGTTTTTCGGAACGGCCCCACCTGCAAGCCGACGAGGTCCGAACGGATTACAACGACCAACAGGTAAGCTGTGTACGGTTATAATATTTTATAGAACTATTAAAACATTAACAAACACGTATTAGGTCGTAGGAGAAGGTTTCGGGGTAGAGTGGCCAACCTAAGATGTTCGATGACATTTTTTTTACACTTTTTTAATCGAAAAATGAAGCAATTATAATGTCTTAAATGTAAAATTTTTTTTTTTTTCGAAATTTTGTTTGATTTTGTAAATGTTAGGTATAAAAATAAAACTATAACAACTAACATCATTGCAGAGTCTAGCCACATCGGCAATATTGACATCGTTGTTTTAAAAGTTCATTGGAATGTCAGACAACTCTGCAGCTACAAAACTGTATGCAGACTTGGCCATCTAAATTATATTCATTGAACTCTCACCCTCCTCTACCCCCAAAATAAAATTCGTAACTTTGACACAATCAACACACATAATTTAATAAAACGCTATACACATAATATGTGCTGTATCTATCTTACAAATATACAATATAGCAAATCTGTATTCAATAAGGATGACTTAAAAATAAGCGCGTTATCTATGCAACTAAGTCGGATTTGTTTTTTAATTTTAATTTTTAAGCGAGCATTTTTAAATTGTGATTTTTCACACATTCATACCTCGAATATGATATTGGTTCACATTTTAAATTATTTAAATTATTTCAATTACAGGACGAGTCCAAAAATAAAAGACAATGTTAATAAGACTAGTACTAAATCTAAACTAAAATTAAAGTTAAATAATACTGGCTAAGAGAAGAAGCTAATGGTAAAGAATGGGATGTAGTACACATTAACCGATTAATAGGGGATATTTGTCTAAAAAATCAACCAAAGAGAAAAAAATATTAAAAAAGACAAATGACCGAGTAACGCTAAAGGGGACTCTGAAGGAAGTTTGGATTAAGAGACTAATAGCAGCATCTCTATTAACTGTAAGGATATTGGAAAGAAAAGAGTTTGTACGCTGCATGTCTGCGGTCGGCGAGATTAAAGAATTACATTAAAATATTATAATGACTATGCGATCCTCGGACGAGACATGGAAATTTATATCATTCTTATATTATTTACCATATAGCACTGCGCTTTTTTGTTTCCATTTTTCAAATGACATACTTTAACATATGGATAGACATTATTCCCGGCTAGCCTTAAAAAAAAACCTTAGAAAGCACATCATTATAATCGAATTACCATATAATGAGCGACCCCATCATTAAAAATATATGATGAGTATATTATTATTATGTAATTTTTTTCCAAACATAAAAATTACACACGTTTTTAAACCCTACGCCGATTATATGAGCATTTCATTTAGATAGGTACGTATAACGTATTTATTTTCTAATGACAGAATTATTTCTCTGTTTCACATTTGTATAATATTAAATATTATAAATTTTATCGTTTTAAATAAAATATTATGATTAGTCGATAACAATTAAAACCAATGATAAATCGAGTTAATTATATTACACTATCTTATTCGTTTGTGTAACCTGTGTGGTTTATTTGCAATAATCTTAAAATATGTTTAAAAATATATTTTAAAATATTAGTTAAAACTAAAAAAATTATTTCAAACGAAAATAAACTTATAATAAAAATTGTGATTACAGAGCCCACAATACTTGGAGTTACCAGTGGTATCTATGACACCTGATTTGTTAATGATGGAACCAGATAATCCTAAATCACAGTTGCCGTGGTATTTTAAAGGTAACCTGTAATAACAGTATTTAAATATTTTTGGCATTCAATATGCAAGTTGAATTATAGCGTAAACTTCGTATAACATTGTAATATTGTGTATATATCCAATGGCGGCTATTCTCAAAAACATAAGTGTTGCTGAGAATATTTATGAGGGCCCAACTTCATACCTTATACATAATATATAATTTATACTTAGTTTAGGGAACTAGAAAACAAAAAACCTGGAGACAAATCAACCTTACCGTGTTATAAACTTAATTAGGTACTACACTAAACCGTATTTTGCTATCAACCCACCCCCAAAAGTAATTTTGTATGTGTTTTTGAAGCGACACTTGAATCTCTGCATAGGAATAGTCACCACTAGTATTTAGCGGCTACATATTACATGCGGTATAAATTGTAAATTTTAGATTCTGAAAGTAGTGAGGAACGAGGGATGTATTGGTTTTACTACAATCTGTCTGTAAACAACTTTTCAACCAAAAATCTTGCTCCAATCAAAAACTTTACAGAAATTGTCTTGTTTAATTTTCGATCTAATTAGTGCATCAAAGAGATCATTTTTTTGATTTCACTTGTAATTTTCTTAATAAATGGGACAAACTGAGAATTTTTATTGATTCTGGATTACTTTGAAGAAAAAAGGAAACATAAGACTAAAAATAGTCTACTCAGAATCATTTTTCATTAGCAATGGTTGACCGTTGCGTACATATAAAAATTTAATTACTCTTTATTCTATCGCTTCAAACGTTCCTCCTAAAAGAGTAATGCACCCATCATCAGTATATCGTATATCAGCCTTATTTTTTTTTTCTATAAATTAATCGCCATATTAATTATAATTATTGTTTATTACAGACGGTATGCTGAGGCCAACAAGAGCCCAAAAAGATCCGAAGACCGGACAGAAAACCACGCGAGTGTGGCCCAAAGAACAAAAACACAGTGATCGTGTTGAGGATCAACTCATGTTCGTGCCACCCAATTACCAATATAATAACGAGCCGATGAAGAAAATCTTACTCTACAACGGCCTTAGCAATTGGATGGTAGATGACGGTCAGAGCATATTTACTACTAAACAGTGTCCGGTAAATAGATGCACGATAACTTCGAAAAAATCGGAAGCCCCGGACGTGGACGCAATTTTATTCCGCGATCATTTCTCGCACCCCGGTCACCGAAAAACCCACCACCAAGTGAGATCGACAATTCGATTTAATAACGAGCATAGGGATCAAGTAGCGTATTTAAGATTTCGCTAAGGAGGGATGACAATTGATATTATAATTGAATTTAGAAATTATGTCATAATAGTGTATTGCATGTGTGCCTAGGCCAAACAAAACAAAATTAACATCCGTGAGCAATTCTCCCCCCCCCATATATTTTATTGTATAGAACTTTACAAAACAATAAATAACCAAATACTATATAATAATGTAATACAAAACTATAGAGTATAGGTACTATACTAGAATAATTATTATATTACTTCAAAAAAAAAAATCATATTAAAAATTTTAATTAATCGTAATAATGATAGGGATGAAAGTTAAAAGTTGAAATCCCAAAAAGGTAAGTCCTTGTTACTATATCGTTTTTACCCTCCTACCGCAAAATTATGTTTAGGTTAAATTCATATTAAAATCAACCCAACTTTCACCATTTCAATCTGCCTACAAAACAACTCGAATTTCCGAGTTTTAACTCATTTAGTCTAGACTCCAGAGGGAGCCGCTAAAAAAGTCTTAAAGTATAATACACTCATATATATATATATATATTGTATATATATACAAATCGAATGATTAATTTTTAATTTATTTATTTTAGTAAGTAATTTATATTTCAATTTTCCATACTATTATGATTGAAATCAAATAATTAAATCATCAGTAATTATTATTAGTCTATAATTATTATTTATGTATATTCAACTAGCCTCCTTTCCATATTATAGGTAGTCCGAATGAGTTTTGTTTTAAACAATAAGAAAATGTATACAATGTTCCGGTTTTTATTTTATATTTGTGATATAAGTTCCAACGTATTTTTGATTTTTATGGTTAAAAATTTAAGATATTTGTATAAAAAAATAAAAATAAAACGGTCTTACAATATTATTATAAATAATAAAGACTGAAGAAATGTCAAGGGTAAAATATAAATCTTCTTTAATATCCTACCTTAAATCCACCACTATTACCCGAGTGCATATCCTATGTGAAAGTTTATAATATACGGTTACAAGTTTTATAACTAGGGCTTATGATTTCACGTGTACCTAAATACACGAATACACGTGTAATTATGAAACCCGTGTATCGATCCGTGTATTTAATAATACATGTGTATTAAACATTTAATAATAGTCATGTACAATATGTATGTTCGAGTACTTTACTCCAAAATTTAGTTTTAAAAAAAAAGTTCTGGGACGGGTGGGCCACTGTTTTAGGTATTATTAAATACACAGAAATTATCAAAGACACGGACATTATCAAATACGTGTGTATTATTAAACTGATAGTATTAAATACACGGATTAATGCACGTGTATTTAAATACCCGTAGGAAGTCGTAAGCTCTATTTAACTCATCAATGATTTATAAATATGATCGTAAAATAAATAAATTTCCCATAATAATATGGGATTTATCGAGGGTTTTATTAAAATGTCAATAAATTCAATATGCACATAACATTATTGTTATATTACAGGTGTGGATTTTGTATTTTCTCGAGTCACCGTATCACACGGAACTCATAACTTACAACGACGTGTTCAACTGGACCGCGACGTACAGACACGACAGCGACATCGTCACCCCTTACGAACGATGGGCGTACTACGATCCGTCGGTAACCCAAGTCGAACAACTTAACCGAAATTACGCGTTCAACAAAACGAAAAAAGTCGCGTGGTTCGTGTCGAACTGTGGTGCGAAAAACGGGAGATTGCAGTACGCCAGAGAGCTGGCCAAATACATACAAGTGGACGTGTACGGCGTATGTGGACATTTCAAATGTCCCAGGTCGGACAAGTGTTTCGAAATGTTAGACCAAGATTACAAATTCTATTTAGCCTTCGAGAACTCGAATTGCATCGATTACGTGACCGAAAAGTTTTTCGTAAACGGACTACAGTGAGTATACTACTATGCGATAATAATCTACATTGGTGATATTAGCAGTGGCGTAGACGAGAATTTTAAGTAGGAAGGGGGGGAGTACTCAATAAGTTTTCACTTGAATTAAGGGCAAATGTAAATAGTATTTTAAGGGTTGCCTCTCAAATAAAAAGTTTAGAAAAACGTTTACATCTATGAAATACTTTAAACAAAATTTGGGAAAAAAAAAATTAATAACGAAATGAGAATAATGTAATATATGGAAGCGCGTAAAACGTTGGAAAATATTTTGTCGGAAACGTATTTTGTTGGAAAATAAATTTTACCTAACAACGATAACATGCAGTCATGGAGTGTTTATGATGAATTATATTGAACAGTTCCGACAAAATACTTTCTGATAAATTATTATTTCGAAAATATACTGTTCCAAAGAATTATTTTTCCAAAAACAAACTTTCCGACAAAATACGTTTCCAAACAACCCATTTATGACAAAATATTTTCCAACAAATTATAGCCCTCCTAATATGTTTAATGTCTTGGCGTATATTATAATTATACTTTTTAAATCACCTCTTAACCGTTGCATACATAGAGTTATACTTTTTTATCATTAACACTAATATCAGATTAACCGCTTATAAGTTATAATAGCTTAAAATTTAGACCGAAGGAGTAGGTAAGGGCTATAGATAAGCAATTACAGCAAATAAAACAATCAATGAAAGTAGCAGAAGAAGAATACATAGATGGATAAGTGGAGTGACGAGAAAAGATAATGTAAGAGATAAGTTCTTAAGAGACAACTTAGGCGTGTCTTCGATAGTAGAAAAAATGAGCAAAAATAGGCTAAGATGGTTTGGGGCATATCATAGAAAGAGAGGAATCAGAAGCAGTAAGAATTGTAACGAAAAAAATATACGTAGGAGGAATGAGGGGTTTCGGAAGACTGAAAAAGAGACGGTTGGTTAGACCGACGATTGGGATATCGGGTCAAGTGAAAGTTTATTAGGGTGGAGGCGGCCAACCTCAAATTGTTGGAAAGACGGCGAAGGAGAAAAAAAATAAGGTAGGCGTTCCGCCTACGAAAATAGGGGTGACAAAAATAATGGCAATGCAATATTTTAGAGCCGCTTGTTTCTTAAATGAATGAACGATCCACCTAAAAGAATCACCTTAAGCCTTATAAATGCTATAAAATCCCAACCCTGGCAATCATGGTTCACGAAAAACTAGCAGTTAGTAACGATGATACCTTGACACGCTTAACTTTAGGCACAACGTGTTGCCGATCGTGATGGGCGGACGGCGCGAGGATTACCAGCGGATCGCGCCCGAGCGGTCGTACGTACACGTGGACGACTACGAATCACCCAAACGGCTGGCTGAGTACCTGCATCGGTTGGACGCGGACGACAATCTGTACAACGAGTACTTCCGGTGGAAAGGCACCGGCGAGTTTATCGACACCAAATTTTTCTGCCGGCTGTGCGCGATGCTCCATGACGACGGCGACGTAGACGGCGCGCCTACCAAACACTACCGGAACGTCAACGACTGGTGGCGCGGCCCGGGCGTGTGCAACAACACCATGCCGTGGCGGAGGTTCATTGAGACGTCCATTGTGGAGAACGGTGATGTGTCGTCCAACGTCATCCAACCGATCGGAGAGCGAAGCAACACCGGTGAATAACGTTTGCCTCCGGCTGCGGCCGTGACGCTGGACTTAATTACCGGCCACCACCGCCGCCGCCGCCGTCTCACCGGACGTCCGGGAAATAAGACGACAACCTTCAACTTTTGGCGACGACCCGACAGAGACGTGGCGCGAACCCCGGCCACTCGAGTGACGGTAGCCGTCACACAGCCGTCGACGCCACAACAGCCGCGGCGTCCGAAATGGCCGCGCACGCCTGAGCCGCCACCCATACCGCACGTACGCATGTCGTGTGCCTCGCGGAGACGTCGCAGAGGGCGCCGGAAGAACCTACGCGATGAGAGGCCGCCGTCGACGTCGTCAAAATGTTGACCAACACGCTTATTGTGTTATACCATAAAATTACTATTTTGACGCGCCGTAAATCATGTTATACAATAATGTAATATTTTCCAATCCATCATTCCCCCATCCTTCTGCCACTCAACAATAATAAATAATAACGACACTATAACAAGCCTAACAAAGGTTAGATCGCGACCCCGGCCGGATGTGTATGATATATATAACTTTTTCCATTCTCTAAAACGATCTCAATTTTTGTGTTTTTTCTCTGTATAACAATAATAATAATAATTGTATTCGATGAAAAACGATAAATACTATTGATTTCTGCCGAAGAAATAACTTCCAAATGTACAAAAATCAAACGGATATCCAAACAATGAGCATTCGACGTTTAAACAATTTATCATTTTCGTCTGTTGAAAACCCGTTTAATTAAATGTAAGTATACGAGTAGGTATGTAAAAAATAACACAATATATATTATTTAACTCCAATCGTAAGACGTAATAAACTTTAAGAACTCCAATGCATTTTTCTTTATTTTTCTTGAGTGTCATATATAACGTTATAATTGTCTTCCACTAAAATAATATGTAATATTTGTACACGCTATTACCTATAATAGTATTATTTTAAACAATCCGTCATAATAAGTCAAAAGTCGTGATGATAATATATCGACTGAATTTTTAGACTTAATATTTATCCGACACAAACTGTTTGAAAAAAATATATCGCTTTAATATAATAGAATTCCTGCAGCAATACCGACCCGTTTATCGTACCTATATACTAGTAATACATTATTGCGTTGGACGTGTGCTTTTTTCTTTTTTCACGAAAATACAATTTTTCATAGAATTTTTCGGTTAGATATAACTACTAACGATTTTTTTGTACCTCAAAAGACGCGGATGTTTCGTCGGACGAATACTTAATTTGAAAAAAAAGTCTCTTTAATTTCCAAAAATTTAAAGAAAAACTGACTAAAAATGTCGATAAGTATACCTATATTACAGATACATTGACTTTATTTTATTGTTGATTTATGTGTGTTACCTCGCCGACACGACTGTTAACCCTAAAATAACATAACAAGTTTCGAAAGTTTCACTCAGCGTCGTTTTTTGACCACTGCTTTGATTTATCTTTGCTTCCTTCAGTATGTTTACATATATATACTTTATTAACCTATATATCTTATACCATCCGAAATTTCCACCTAGAACAGTAGCCTACGACTACCCACGGTGTGAAGTATGTCTGGCTTATCATTATTATTTATTATATAGTATTATTATTATTGTTGTTATTATTATTGCACAAATTATTGTTTTATACCTCCTGTGATAATAAAGTGATATATTTTTTTTTTTATTCACGATACATTAAGCGCAAATATATTATTAGTATGATACAGTAATAGTGATGTGTGCAAAATATTTCGTGTGTGCTTATTGTATGTTATAATATTACGACCCTGTAAAAACTATAAATTAATTATAATATGATAAATGAAAAAATGACCTAATTTTTAAGCCTTGTTTTAGGACAAAAAATAAATAAATAACGTAATTTAGGACGTACATTTTGATATTTATGTTAAAATTAGAGTTTTATTATAAATAACAAAATTAAATCAAGATAATATTTCTAATAATTGTACAACTGCTTTTTTCTAAAAAAAAACGGTTGCACCGTTACCGATTTCATTATTTTAAATTTATACGCATTAAGTTTTCTAACAGAAATTGCTCTAATCGAAAAACGACGAGAAACCTTTTTGAATGCATTTTTAATTTATAATTTGAGAGTAAGAAAGTCGTTTTCTTTATAGTTTTTTTTAATAATTGAGCAAAACAGAAAAAAAAACCGTAAAAAGAACATAGAATAGAATAATGGTTATATTAATTAAAATTTTTTTTTTTTGTTAAAATTCAGTTAAAAATATTTGTAAAGACCCGAAATTGGTACAGATAACTTATATTTTATATTTGCCTTGCAATATGTAGTAAAATTTTAAAAACATTTGAATGATTTTTAAACAGATTATTTTCAATTTGCTTATTTATGTTTGCTAATTATTGTACGTAATTTTTATTTGGTATGCACTCTATGGATATAATTGTTACACCAAACAAAAATGCTTGAAAATTCAACTGGTGATTCATTATAAGTCATACGAAGTGGAAAAAAAAATAAGTGCTATAGAGTAAAAAAACGTAGAAAGAACAGGAAAATTTACAAAAATAATGCTTTTATATTTTCAATTTAGTTTTTTGTTCCGATTCAGTTAAAAATATTCTCTTAAAGTTTTGTTATTTGTGTTCAAACTATAATTTAAACATTCAACCTAAATACCATAATTTACGTTCTAAGTAACGTAATTTCGCTATATTGTCGGTTAATGAGATCAATACTGTATTGATTGAAATCGTTTGCTATGGCTGTCAATCGGTTTTTTGATTAAAACTAAAATTATAATCACATATTAATTATGATTACTAATCTGCAGTAATTTAATATATGTTAAAAAATAATTAATCTCGTATATAATATTGATTTATATAATTTTAATACCAAAAAATGTACATTGTGTATATAATATTATTATTATTATTATACTTTTAGGGGGGGTTCTTATAAGGATAATGTAATTTTCGTTTTGACACCCGTTTTAGAATAAATTTAAAATTTATTCTAAAAATATTTTTAAAATAAACGTTTAGTTCTACTTGAGCTTCCTAGGAAAATACTTATGTCCCCCTGTAACGAGGTAAAAGTTCCCATTTAACAAGGCCGTTTTCTTTCTTTTTTTGTTTCAACCGTCTGCAGTTAGCGGTCTGTTTAACAAAATACTTCACTCACTGCTGCATTTTATAAAGCCTTAGACCTTATGTATTATAAATAATATTTAGAATCAAAAGTCAATGTATTTTAAACGGAAAACTGTACCTCATTATTGGAAAACAAAATAATTGTCTTAAGAATCTCGAGTTGAGCCCAATTTTTTTAAGGCATACATTTAATTATATTATGCCTCTTTGTAAATATACATTATTGTAATTAAGTTCGTAAAAATAAAATATTGTAAGTATTGAGTTTATGTTCTAAATATACATTTTTTTTTTTTTTTTTTTTGTATAGCCTTATAATATCATGTATTGCATTTTATTATAAATATATGAAAATATAAATATGTGTGATAGGCAATGATTTTCAACCATTACAAAACCGGTTTTCTTTCCGTTACGGATATTGATTCGCGGTCATTACAGATTTAATTTTGTATAATTGTTTTAATTAATAATGCATTAAGACGGTGATAACGACGTTATAAGTAATTAATATATTATGCTATAATTAAATCAAAATTTGCGTAATAAACAAAATATGTTGTACTTATAATCCTCTCCCTCGGAAATCCACCACGAAACTCTATTCTAAAATATGATTCGTATAGCGACAATATCAACATAATGTAAGACGTTCATTATTTCGGAAAACACTAACTTTTTATATTTTTTTTTTTTAAACCACAAACATGAACCGCTTATTTCGTAAATTAACAGTGTTACATTACCATTATTTATTGCCACCCTTGTTTTTGGGGTTGAAAATATTAACCTCGTTTTGATTTTCAAATAGCAATCTATTTTAGAAATTACTTAAATATAGACGAAATTAGAGTTTAACTACATTTTGGCGTAGACATTTTTAGTTTACTTCAAGCCGTTGACGAGATAATACACTTATAGATTTATCGTTTTGTAGGTTGTCATTTGAAAATTGTCAAATAAAACGTGGTATTTGTTCCACCTATCATGAACATAAGGGTAACAAAAAATAAATATATTACGTAGGGTCTTACGTTATATTGATCATCCTGTATGATGACTAGGATTAGGATGTTTATGCGCTTAAAATCTGCGAAAAAGGGTTTAAATCGTAAAAAGCACTTAAAAATATTTAAAAATCAAACGTTTTAAAGTCCTTCTTTTAACGGCTCGAACCCTATTAAATACAATTTTTTAAAACTTACAAGTGATTAACATAATGGTTTTTTTTTTTAATAACACGCACACATTTATTTGAAAAAAAAACTTTGTAATAATCATTTTTGTAGTGTTAAAAATCATTTTTAATAAGTTAGAACCATTAGAGAGGGGGACTTTTAAACCCCTCTACCAATATTGCTCTTTTAATTATTTTTAAGTGATTTTTAGGATTTTTTTTAAAGTTTTTAAGCGTTTTTTATGGACTTTAAGCATATATAAATCCGTTCCCTAATGATGACACAGGCATTAAAGTACGAAGTTGACAACTCAATACAAATGCATATAGCTATTATAGGTACTTATATGATTGCAAATGTTTTTATTTTTTTTGACAAAAGGAGTATATAATATTACGATACTGGAAAATAATTGCATGGCCTACAAACCTGTATCCAAATCAAAATTCAACAACTATAATTTACGTAGAAAACCGTCTTTGAAAAACTCTTCAAAATAGTATAACGGTAACAGAATTATATGGGAATAAACGGATGAATAAAATAATTTAACGTATTCAAAAAACACGTATTTGAACCGCATTTTATTTTTTTTTTTTTTAATGTATACCTACACGAACAAAGTAGAAATTTTTAAGAAATCCTAAAGTTCATGTATATATAAATGTATATATGTGACCTTTATTATTAAAAAAGGTAAGTACCAAATGCATTATTATTAATTTATGCTATAATAAACCTTATAAAATGTCATGTAAACCCGAAAAACAAGAACGATATTAAAATCATAAATAAAATAATAAATGTCATGATAAACAGCGTTGGATCGATGTAGGGGTAAACGAAAATTGAGGTAATTGGGAACGACGTTAATTTAAAATCAAGTCGCGGAAATGTGCAATACTCATATTATACCAATGTGTACATCATTTCTCCAGTACATATTTCGATAACCAAACTGACAATATATTGAAGCAGATATTCAAGTCATATATGTATGACTTTTTAAGAACCTATACATAGGTACTTAAAAATAATCAAAGCTGAGCATTAACTAGTAAAAAAGTAAAGTTAATTTTAACTGTTGACAATTTGAGATAACTGTTAACCCCGTTTTTTATTTTGTTTGCATTAACTTTAACATAATACATAACGAGTTAAATTTAAATTACGTCGCGTCAATTTAGTTTCGGGGTTTTTTTTTTTTTTATTTACACAACGTTCAATTTACAATCTACACACTATTTAAATAAGTATTGTTTAAATTATAATTTTCGTTGGGTTTTTTCTACTCAATAATGTGTATGCGAGTTAAAAAGACATCCTAGGATAATGGAGTCGGGTACAGCCACTTTTATACGCAATTTAATGTATAAGCAACTTATAAGCAACGATAAACCATTACTAACGAAAAAACGATTCTGAGCGGAGTTCAGTTAATATAATATTATAGTGATGCTTTGAAAACAATGCATAATGCCATATTGTGGTAAAATAATTAAATAGATGCTATATATTTTCTTTAATGTATCGATTTCCCATTTGTCCTAAGTTTTCCCCAGTTTTCCATAGTTTTTTTTTCACATGGGAAAACTCTTGAGAGAATCTAAAAATGACCTCTCTAAACTACCTCCCCACACTGATTTATTTTCGGAAAAGGTGCTACACTTAAAAACTAGAGCAAGATCTCTCGTAGAAAAATTGTTCACAGAAAAAAAAATAAATACCTTTGTAAAACCATGCTTCCATTTGCTTCACTCAATGTCTACAACTTAAAACAAGTAGATATAATTTGATACTCCTAAAGTAATCTCCTCGTGTTTAATAGCAATCCTTATAAAAACAATTCTAAGTTGGACATTTTTGTTATGATAACAACAAATTGTAAAAAAAAATATAACCTTGCTAAATTTAAAAAAATTAACTATAAATGTTCAAATTAAGTTGTTTACTCTTTTTCGATTAACATAATTGAGTTAATATTATTCATTAATTTACCCTGTCTTGAGAATAACATAGGGTATATAGATATATAGTCTTGAGAATAACATTATATATCTATACACTATTATACCTATTTATGTTTTAATTTTTATTTCTGTTAATATTATACATAGGTAAGAATTATTATTAAGTATAATATTAAGTATAATATATTAATTAAGTATTTTTATTGCCGCGGATAATAATTGAAAACGCAAATCGTTGAATATTGATCGTAATTGTCTCTGACAGACGAACGGACGGACTGTCGCCATGATAACATAATATAAGGTTCCGTCAGACCAGGGAGAGGGATACGGAGGATAGATCCCCCCATGAGCCGTATTTATTTAGTATATTTTCGTGTTAAATTATACAAATTGGAATTTCAAATGCAAATTTTTAGAACTATTATGAAATTTAAAAATTATAAATGATTAATTGTATCGGTAAGTACCAAACTATTCATAGTTTATAATTATACTAGATAAGCAATATCATTAATAGTTTATGTCAAAATAAATGGTAAATTTCACTTTAAGCTTTACATACTATACGCGTTCGAACGTGATTAGGACGTCACGATTTTAATGAAAAAACTTCCCGAGTCCGGGTTATGAATTATTTAATATTGATGAGGATCGGGAGGTCGTGTGAGGCTCACCTGTCACGGGATTGCCATGAAGATTTTTTTTGATATGCCCCATCCCCCTCGAAACATTTTCAATTACGCCACTCGTGCGTCAGGCCGTACCTGACTTAGCATGTTGTTGCGCACATCAAGTATTTTAAACTTTACATTGTAGTACGAAAAGCATTCTATCGTCAACACGGTTAAACACTACAGAATTACAGAATATTATAGTATTATCACCACGCCGTTTTGAGAACCAATCATACGCGAGACAATATTGAACAGTGCGCGGCGGTGAACTTCGAGGAAGGGCCGGCTGGCTCGCGTCCAAAACGACGGACGCAAATAAACGCTACGCGAGTAGAGATGGTAAGTCGGTGTGGGGCCAATCCCGAGGTTCTTTCGAAAATACGGAAAACGAGACGAAATCCCGCGAACCGGCCGGCAGTAGTCAACGTGTGCAAAATAATTAAAAACGTACGAGTCGTACGCGTGCATGGAATAATATTATAAATTTACCGTAAACCGCGGCAGTTTTGATTTTGTTATTACGATAGCTATACAAGTCGGTACAGGTATACGCACCGTGGCCGGCGACGACGTTTTCAGTGTTTCAATCCGGGACGGCCAGCATTCGCGTCGAACGATTATCGCGACGGCACTCGCACTTTGTTGGTTTTATTTCGCGTACAACGATCGACGGGTTCGCCGTACAAACAAACGGATAATAGGCAACCTCTTAACACGGTAAAAGACAAAAAAAAAAAACAAAATGGGAAAACACTACGGAGCATTAGACTGTTGCGCGCGCACGGACGAAACGTCAACAACGTGTCCGTCGCCGAATTCGCGAGTGCCGCGGCGAATGTTGTGGCCGTCATGAGCGGGGGGGGGACGCCGAACAACCGATGAGCGATGGAGCGCCATCGATGAATCGTCGCTGGAGGGAGAAGAAACGAATAGGGTGCGGTACCTACCTCGGAACACGGGCTACGGGCCCGCGGCCAAAACGACGGACGCAGACAGCTCGATCGCGGGTAGACGGGGCCCGTCGTCGGTCAAGACGCGAGGGCCGATCCGCGGAAATCGGTAAATATAATAGCAGCACACCCGCCAGAGACTGCAGGATTCCGCGATACAGTCGGCCGTCTGTAAAGCCGCTGTCAAAACAAAAGGAGCAAAATGAGAATTCAAACATTCTCATTTTCGTTTTCTCAAACGAAAACAGTCGTGACGTCGATTTTTCAATATAAATAATGACGAAGGGGACCTTTCTCACCAACATAAACATTAGATTTTTAAACGGAATTTACAAGATAACCGACCGGCGACCACGATTGGACGGACAGACCCCCACGCGACTACGAACGTTAAAAAAAGGCACGTGCCTGCTTAAGGGTTAAAAAGAATATATTCTAAAGCTGACGATATTTTTTAGATATCAAATAAAACTTGGTTAAAAACAATTAAAAAAATTGGTTTACTCCTTTGTGTAAATAATTGTTAAGTACCTCTAACTATTTCTCATTTTGATTTTATATTCAGTCGCGTATTATTTGTTCGCCTTTGTTGTTCTATTGATGGTGATTTTTAGATTCTGAGTGTATCGAAGAATATATTGGTTTTATAAAGAAGTTTATTTTTTTTTTTTTATAACTGTGTACAAAAATTCTACTAGAAACCTTACTCCGGATTATCAAGTATTACATCTTTTCTGATAGGGAATTTCCTTGGGGTGGTACCTGCTATAGGAAGGTCATTGTTTTTGATTTTCCGAGGAGTTTTCCCAATAAATGGGAAAAACATGGTTAAAACCGGGAAAAATCGCAAGTAAAAAGGGAATATAGGTACAATATTAAATAAATATTATTAAAGAAAATATATAATACAAATGTAATTATTTTACCATAATGTAACATATTATATATTGTTGACAAAGCAACACTATTAACCGAACTCTGCTCAGAATCGTTATTCGTTAACAATGGTTAATCGTTGCGTACCGATATATATATATATATATATTAAATCACCCATCTAATACCTTCCCAACTTCTCACCTACAACAGTAGCCCACTCACGTGCGAAGTATATCTGTATTTTTAAATCGAAATTTACGTAATTCCACACACTCTACGAGCTTGGTTTTTTTTTTTTCATTCCTATTTATTTATTTGTTGCACATAATATATGTATATAATAGTTTATACAGTATACATATACATTGAAATTTTCCATTAAATTATATAGTACCCCATGTCCTTTATTACCATTCCGCATCTTGGAGTGCGACAGTTGTACGTGGAAAATTGGTTAAATAGAATGTCGAGTAATTTAATTTAGTGCGCAACTACAAATTATTGCTAACGAACACCTTTTCTGAGCGAAGTTAGGTTAAAGGTTAAACGGATTATTTCGGAATACCGCGGTTATTACGGTTTTCGTCAACATTTAAACTAAACAAAAAAAAAAAAAATCCTCGCTACGAATTTTCGACATTTTTCTAGTGTCATAAGAACAACCCGTAATGAATCTTGTGGTGTAGAATTTTCAACTAGGTATAGAATTTATAATACCCGGAACCACACCCTTAAAATTGATGATCGGATCAAAATTTCTGATAGAAAAGTCGTTTACTGCAGATAGAAAATTAAAAAAAAAAAAAAACACAAAAATCCACTACCTATACGCTTTAAAAACGAATTTACAATCGTTTATGTACTGTATAATATTATAGTTCTTGAACGAGTTGATATTTACGAAATTTGCCGGGACAACAATAATTATATAGCAGCGAATTCTGTGGAGTAATGGAATGGGCGTGGCCGCGGAGACTAAAGTCTCGTAACCGCCACTAAAATTGTGATCGGGTACATGATTTCTACATGATTATGTTAAATGTATACATGAAACTGCGCTACGAAGTCCCAGGAATCATACACTCGGTATTTTATTAACGGACACTGTCCCCTAAGTAATATTCTAACACACCGCATAAAACGGTCGAGTTGGATAGCTACCCGCATAATGTAATGATAGCGAAATAAATAACATTACGTGTCCGCGGGAACAATCTCACGGAATATTATATTTTACGACTTTACGCAAGTCTACCTGTACGCTGTAGACGACCGATATGACGCCCGCGCACGAAAACCACTCCAACAACGGCGCCGATGCTGATTTATATAAAATATTACAAGTACCCGTACCTTCCAACCATACTTACGTCCTATACGTATTACACCTACGTATACTGTAATGCATTATGCATTATTTTGTTCGTTCTATACAGGAGACTTTGAACAACGCCGCCAATCATCGCGACAAGAGTGCCCAAGAATACACGAGCTTGTTTACACCACTTCAAACTTCAACAAAATATAATATACAGAATGATCAATGACGACTCATCTCACTCTCGGAAAGTATTTTTCTGATTTTTTTCTTTTTGTAAAATTTAAGAATCAAACAGCTCTAAAGACCAAAATGTTACCTATCTACTGTAGTAATCTGGGATTGCTTCTATTCTTCGACGGTTCTCCTAAACGGACGCCCTATGTACTTTTATACTCATTTATAATCGGTTTATAATTGGTAGTTATTAGCTTGTTCCCGGGATCGGCTGTTGTAAGACACAGCCATCCTTGGTAAAGGCAACATGACTAGCAAGACGTAGGGGGGGAACCGCTTTTGGTTTTCCACCGCCTGCTCTCTCAAAGATCCTATTAGATCCATGTTGGACGGCGCCCCTTGAAATTAGCAGTATATATACAACCCGCCGTTCCAGTGTAAGATTAGACTTGGACAAGACTTTGACTATTTAGTCAGACTTAGTTTGTTTAAAAGACGGAACGACGTTGGACTCGTTCTCTTGTATGTTCGATCCACGGACTAGTAAGTCTGAGTTTCAGGAATAAATTTGGAAAATTCATTTGTAAATAGGTTTTTTTTTTTTTCATTTGTGCTAAAAATTAAATTTACCAAATACAATAGATAATAGTAGTAGTACTTAGTAAAAATTCAAGTAATATATTCTTTTATTATTAATCCAAATTAATTTAATTTAAGCTATACTTAAGTTTAATTTTTGTTACTTTTGAACTAGATAGTTGATTAAGTGGAATTATTTTTTTCATTAGTTCGTAACTTAAATCCTATACAAAGTTGTTTGTTTACTTGAAAGTTTATTAGATTGATCAATTTATTTATTTTGATTTTTGACCATCCTTGTGCAGAATATCAGAATAATATTTTATTGATGATGCAGAGCATACAAAAAACATCTAGATAATTGTACCACCCAGTGGTATCAAAATTTAACAAATTATTTCATTCAGAAATATATTTAATAATAATAATAATTTAAATATCAATAAAAATAATTATTACACTAATATTACAAGAAAAAAGTACTACAGTAAAAATTAATACTAATATTAGCATGTATATATATATATATATATAAAAAAAAAAATAAACATTAATATCAAGTTAAATAAGCTAATAAAGTTAAACAGACAAAAAAAAAACACAATAAAATTATTAAGCTTTTTTAAATTTATTATTGAAGACCATATTTTGCTCATTTTATTAACTATTGCAACAGGTTTCTGTACTTATTATAAAATTATATAATATTACAATCAAAAGGGTACTTATTTTTAATTAGATAAAGTTTCGCTATGTGCCTAATTGACACTAACAGACCATAAATATTATTCCAAATTTTTATTTTTTACCAACATGTTTTGTGTTTGTAGGATATATGACTATAGTTTTCTTCATATAATTACTAAATAAATTAACTACACTATCGGCTAAAAGAGTTTACCCCCAAAACTTCATTCCAGCATATTGTATTAATTAATATATCAAGATGTTTAAAATTAACCCGCCATGTTGTATAGTTTTGTGTACATTCCGATTTAGATAGATTATAATCTTTAACAGAGTTTGCAATTATTATAATGAAATGGCCAGTAATGCTAAAATTTAGAATACATAAATTAATTAAACAAACATCAATAGCTTTTAGAAATAGATAAACAATGTATAATTTGGATTTTTTATACATTTTAGTAGAAATATTAATACATTAATAAAAACCAAACTCATTTAAATTATTTATATAATTTGTTACAGATAAGTTGCTGGAATAAAGATCAATATTTAAGCCACCTCAAATAATATGATAATTATTATTTAAATTTACACTAAGACATTCAAATAAACTATTTAAAAATAAAATAATATAATTATTAAAGGTATATAGATAAACCAGTTACAATATAATTTATTGAATTAAAAGTGAAAGATATTTTAAGTGAGTTGAAACTATCAATTACAGAAATATTTACATTTAAGTATCTTACATATTAATAGAAATACAAACACCATCAGCTTTATTTAAATTACTGAAAGTACAAAAAAAAATATATATATATATTTTTATACCTACCATTAATTTCAAAACCATCATTGTCAATCAACCAAATTTCACTCAAAATAATAATATAAAAACAGTTACCTAGTTCATAAAAATTACATTTAAACTTCTAATATTAAGTGTAAACATTTATAATTAATACTTAATCAATATTATCAATAAGCCAGTATTTACATTATTTATATAATTAATAATTTGTTTGTTGTTATAATTCATTAAAATAGATAAATAAATAAATAAAGCAGAACATTTTCAAGAGTATTTAATTACACTTAAAAATAGAAAAAAGTTTTTAATTTAAACAAAAGTAAAAATGTAATAATAACATACATAATATAATAGGTACTTTACCTACAATTTATATACAAGATATATTCAGAGAAAAAAAAGGTCACTATCTTAAACATGTCAGTACAACTACATGTATGTCACACGACAGAACATTACAAGCCATTCTTGAAACCTATGATAATGTAATAGATACGTTGGATCATGTTAGAAAAACCAAAAGTTCGGGATGACCATTAAGTTAGACATATGCATGGTTGATTACTTATTATCAAAACGATTTGTATTTACTGCATTATAATTTCAAAAATTATTTAATGGTCTGGCACCATTAAATATTTTGTTACAAACATCAGATTTGAATCTTTTAGCAGCCGTTAACAATGCAAATGAATCAAAATAAACTGAGCTATTGATATATACAAAGATCTAACACTTTTTCTCCATTAAAATAATAAATGAAATAAAAAAAAATTTAAAAAAAATATACCTTGTGATGCATTTGTAGAAGTTTGTAGTTTTCAATATATTCTTAGATATAGATAGTTTGAAATGTCAATACTTAAAATTTTGTCCAATTCACAAAATGTTTTAAGAAACTGGAATGTTACCTAGATTGTTCCATGAAAAAATGTAGTGTTATAACAATACTGAAACAGACAATAGTGAAGAAGAAATAGTTCTACTAATATAGATTTCAATCAACATAATTAAATCATACAAGTATACGGGTAATATGAAAAATGTGTGCAGGGTACGACACTAATTTGGTACAGTATTTTTAGTACTGAATACAGCGCTAAAAATTGAACCGATGCTTCCAGTTTCTAGCCCAATTATTGAGTTTTCGCAAAACTTAAAATTGTCAAGCCAAAAATAAGGATAACAATAACAAAAAATAAATTAGAAGACCTTTTAATAATAAGTTGTAAAAGGAATATTTCAGAAGTTATTGACCATGACAATATATTGAAATGATTTATAGAAGAAAGTTTAATACTTATTAAATATTTGGTATAAAAAAGCACTAATATTTATTATAACTGTTATGATTATAAAATTGATATGGTAATATTAACATTGTTATTAATATAATTAAGAGACAAGTTTATTATTTTTGTCTTGTGTAAAATACACTAACTAGGTAATAAAATAAATTGAAATTATTATCATAATAAACAATGGACATTAACAGTATCTCATTTTTAGAAAGAAAATGTTATGGCCCAACATTGAATTCATTATTCTTAATTATAACTAATAATATTATATTATATTATATTAATAAAAGAATGACCCATAATTTCATAAAGAGAAATTTGCTAGAGTTGGCATCATGGCATGGTAGGTATTTATACAATGTGTAAAGTTACTCGCGTCAAGCACATTGGGTTTTAATTATTTTTACAAAAAAAAAAATCAAACAAATTAAAAAACCTAATATACAGTGAAACCTCCACTAACAGACACCTCCCAATAGTGGACACCTGTCAATAGCGGACGTTTTTTGGGGAACGAGGACATTTTCACTACTTTTCAATGGGAGAACCTCCGAATAGCGGACATTATTTTAATCTTTATTTGAAAATAATACGTATTCGTATGTACTCTCGGAAAAAGAACGATTGACTGTGCTATTGTGCTGTAATATGATAGGTGAGTTTGAATGTCCTCTCGTCATAGGTAAGGCAAAACGACCGCAAACTTTCAAAAAATTAGAAGTTAATAAATTCCCCGTTGACTGGTGTTGGAATAAAAAGGCCTGTATAAAGACACAGATTATGACAGACTGGCTTATGAAATTTGATAAAAAAAATGATAAAAAGTCAAAGAAAAGTACTACTTTTTGTCGACAATGCAGCTCCTCATCCCCATCTTAAACTGCAAATGTCGAGCTAGTCTTTCTTCTCCCAAATATGATGTATCACTGCCAACCTCTGGACCAAAGCATAATCCAACAATTTAAAAAGCTCTATCGTAAGCAACTGTTACAAAAAGCTGTTGCTGATTTGGATGCTGGAGACTCTGGTGCTATAAATATTTTGGACGCTGTGTATTGGGTGGCTTCTGCTCAAGCCCAAGTCAAGCCTGAAACTGTAAAAAAATGCTTCTTGCGATGTAGTTTCAGTCACCAAGACGATGAACAATTAGGACAAACAATTGATACCGGAGAACAATCTGTAATAGATGAAGAACTTTTAGCTCTCATCACACTGATTGACAGCAGTGTTGAAGTAGAGACATATTTTAAATTAGACAAACTGGTGTCCACTCACGACACCAATCTAACAAACATCGATGATCCTGATGAGTCTGATGAGCCCAAAAGTGAGGATGCAGACGAGACTGAAGAAGCAGAAACTTCAAAATATCAAGTTATTAGTTTACAGAATGCTTTGTCTGCTGTAAAGAACGTAATTCATTTTATTTTATCAAGAGGTAAAGAACAGTTCTATTTTTACTTCTGCTGTAACATAAGCGAATAATATTACTACTGAGATTGCACAGGGACGGTTTAATTATAAACAGACAAAGCTCACAGATTTTTTCAAATAAAAATAATTTAAAAATATATGTACATAATTTTGATTGTACAAATATACTTTAAATAATAATTTGTATAAATATAAAAATGGAATAATTTACAATAAATAATAAGTAATAACATTATACATACATACATACCTACATACATAGTACATTATTATACAAATTCATTTCAAAAATGTATTCCCTCTGAATAACGGACAAAATTTTCGTGACCAAGAGTGTCCGCTATTCAGAGGTTTCACTGTATATATAAAATAATTGAAATATACAAATTATACATTTATAAATAAACAAAAAAAGTATTATTTTTTGGGAGCCTTTTTTTTAGTATGAGTTGAGATATGTCTATTTAAGTTACCTACTATAGAATATGATTTATTACAAAAATCACACTTGAAAGTTTTCTGATTGAAGTGAGTGAACTTATGAGCAGTTAAATTGCCCTTTATAGAAAACGATACAGTACAAATATCACATTTGAAGGGTTTTTGTCCTGTGTGTTTCATCATGTGAACAGCTATTTGGTCCTTTTTAAAAAATGATTTTTTACAAATATCACACTTGTAAAGTTTCTCACTAGTATGTATTGAATAATGGGAAAGTAAATTGCTATTTGTTTTAAATGTCATCGTACAAACTTTGCACGTGTAAGAATACTGATCTGAATGAGTTAACTTATGAACAGTTAAATTGCTACTATGTGCAAATGATTTATTACATAAATTGCATTTAAAAGGTTTTTTGCCTGTGTGTACCAACTTATGAGTAGATAAATTGCTACTTGTAGAGAATAATTTATGACAGATTTCACATTTGTTAGTATTCTGTTTGTAATGAATTAACTTATGAGCATTTAAAAATTTCCGGGAAGAATATGAACTCTTACATATATTACACTTAAAAGACATATCACAATCGAAATCTTCTTCATGGTTAACAACGGTGTCTTGTTTTTTTTCCATATTGCGTACTAAAAGTAAACTTTTATAATTTTGAATCAATTTATGTTTTTAATGTCCGTATTTGATTGCTCTTCTATAGTTTAGGAGTTATAAATATATCTGAAAAATATATAATATACGTTAATTAATAATTTAATTTAAAAAAATATATTATAATCAAGTGAAGCTTGTATGCCGCAATATATTTGAGGCCTGGTAGGGCTAAGCGCTCTATGTGTAAAACCATTGTTTTTAAAAAATCAAAAAGAATAAAAGTTATCAATAAAAGTTCAATTTAGATTCTGAGTGAAGCGAGGAATGTATTGATTTTGCAATAACGTTTATTTATTTTTTCATTTTTTCTTTATACTGTATACATAATTTTTCCTGAATATCTTGATTCAATCAAAATATGACAAGAGACCTTTTTTGTTGAATTTTGGCTTTAGATGGTATTTTAGAAATATAATTTTTAGAAATTTTCATTAATATTTGAGAATGATGAGGAAAACCTAGTTATTAAGGTTAAAAAAGATTTTAATCTCTGACAATACAGCAATCCTGTTGACGATAAATCTTGAAGCTGCAACATGACTGGGCGGTGTGGTGAAAATAATCAGAGCTACAGATAAAGATAAAGACTATAATAGCCTACTGCCTACTGGCATTTGCTACTACATTCCAAGGTGGAGAGATCAAGAGTTTGAACTATTTATAGAGTCAAGTAACTATTAATTATGAAATTAAAGCGCCAAGAATACAAGGAATATAAGTGACATTTTTTTGATTCAAGAAAATCAAGTTTAAAGTTATTTGTATTTAATACCATTATTATAGTATATTGTCATATTACAACTGTTCTTGTGTTCAAACGGTAAAAAATGATTAAACACTTGGCAATTAAGATACATAAGTGTGTTTATTAGGGTAGCCCTTCGTCATATAAGTGATTTTTTTTTATAACATTTTTTTCAGTCTTACCCCCTAAATTGGTTCAAATATGTATATAAATAAAGTATACAAAATTTCATATCAATAGATTAAGTTTAACCCGTGGCCCCCAGCCATCAAATTTGTCTCAATTGTTATATTAGGATCAAAAAATGCCAATGCTGCTGTTTCAGGTGCTAAATACCACAAATGTCCACATAGTTTTCTTAAAGTTNACAAATTGTACGGATTGATTCTTCTTCATAATTTTTTAATTTAAATTGTTTACGGAACATAAATATTTTTAATGAATATATGGCCTTGGACATCCAACGAGCATGATGCATTGCACCAGGACATTGAAAAGATATGCCACGAGTAGGGGCACCACCAAGAAATATCACAGCTAATTCCAATAATTCTCTGTAATCGTCTCTGTTATGATATTTGCGTAATTGGTCCATATAAAAAAATAACATAACATTAGTTACATCATTTAATATTCCACTGACAATTATATCTTCTATTCTGGTGTTATAATTATTAACATTAAGTTTTGGCCAAAATTGTTTATAAATTTGAATATCTGGACCAGATGTAACTTCAAAATTTACTTCAAATGCAGATCTAAGTATAATTTCGTAAATGTGATGCCTGCAAGGAAAGTATAAAATATCACGTTCTAATAGCTGTTCCAAAATTATACATACTCCTTTTAGACGACCTGTATTCGAAGCCTTTATATCACAACATAAAGCTTGTATATTATCAATAAGGCCCCATTCTTCAAGTGCTTTAAACACTGCTTCCGCTTAATTTTGACCAGTTCTGGATATAAGCTTAGGAACACTTAACAACTTTTCAGAGTTTTTAAAAAAAACAATTACTGGTAAACGATCAACAAGCTCTTTTCCTGTTAAATCTTGGAGCAGCTTACCATCCCAATGAAAAAAAAGTACACGTAATGCCTGTCTTTTTGAAGGTAATTTACTACCAATGATTTGATTGTAANGAAAACTATGTGGACATTTGTGGTATTTAGCACCTGAAACAGCAGCATTGGCATTTTTTGATCCTAATATAACAATTGAGACAAAAATTAAATTGGTCGATGCTATAAAATTAAATAATTTAACTTCCGAAATCAATAAACGAGTCATTGTGTCGCTAAATGAAGTAGATCAATTCATGAAGAAAAAAATAAATGATATTATTTATAAAGAATCTACTTCATTTTTTTCGCAATTTGGAATAGCAACATCATTCTTGGAGCAACATCCATCAATGTGGGATAAAAATGAAGATTTTCAAAAAGGCCTTGAAATTGTNTAAATAATTTAACTTCTGAAATCAATAAACGAGTCATTGTGTCGCTAAATGAAGTAGCTCAATTCATGAAGAAAGAAATAAATGATTTTATTTATAAAGAATCTACTTCATTTTTTTCGCAATTTGGAATAGCAACATCCATCAATGTGGGATAAAAATGAAGATTTTCAAAAAGGCCTTGAAATTGTAAATACATTTCGTGTTACAAACGATACGGCAGAAAGAGGGGTAAAGCTCATGGAGGAGTATAATATGGTCTTAACAAAAAATGAAGATCAAAAACAATACGTGCTTCAAGTTGTCGAAGATTATCGCCGTAAATACCCGAACAGTTTAAAAAGCACAGTTATAAAACCATTATAATTATTTTTATTTATATACTTTAAAATATAAATGTCATTTTGTAATAATATTATTTAGTTGTTACGTTTTTCAAAAGCTTGCATGTTTCATTGTTTCATAATCAGTTATACTAATAAATATTACGTTAATCAAAAAACTATATAACAACTATATAACTATATAGAACAAAAGTTATAGACAATTTAATTTGCTATAAATAATGTCAGAAATTTATTTTTGTAAGAAATGATAACAACGAGATAGCAGTCAATCAATTAAAAAAAACTGTTACTTGAACAGAACCATATATTTGAACTTTGAGGGCTGGGGGGCACGGGTTAAACTTAATCTATCAATATGAAATTTTGTATACTTCATTTATATACATATTTGAATCAATTTAGGGGGTAAGACTGAAAAAAATCCAATATCAAAAAATAACGGCCACCCTAGTGTTTATAGCTGTTTAGGACCCTTGCACCTATTTACTTCTAATATGTTATGACATTTTCATTTGAAGACTACTTTAGTGAGATCTAGTATTTGTTACTAAATCAAAGAGCATGGTGAATAATTTTTTTTATATTTCTTTGCCACACAATAAAATGGAATATTTTTAGTTCAGCTCTTAACTCAGATTTTTTAAAATTGTCACTTATATCCCTTCTGTTCTGGACTCCTTGAATATAATCTAAGTTATTTCTAAATGTTAAAATTAAACCATAAGTGTAATATTCATAAAATACAAATTTAAATGGCCTTCTGTTTAGTAGATATTAATAAATTACAAGAATACAGATGTATTTGTATTATATATACATATGTATTTTATTTTACTATGATTCATTTTTATTTTATTTTATAGAGCATATTATCTATACTTTAAATACATATTATAGTACATATTTCATAATTTGTTTGCTATAAGTCTTAAACACAAATTATAAGATTAAATTATCTATCATAAAATAGTACACACAAACAATCAATTGTTAAATACATAATATAATACTTACTTTATTTGTGTTGCTTTATTTTTATCATTATGTTCATATGTTGTAGTGTTGGTAATATTTTCTCTTTTTATTGTTCTATTCAGATTTTGTTCATCAAATCTAAAATAACAAAAAGTAAATGTATATTTTAGAAAAAATTTAATTTTCAAATAATAATATCTATAATAAATAATAAAGTAAAAACAAAATTATTAAATAGTTAATACTCGTTAATAAATATATAAATAAATAATTAAATAAATAAATAAATAAATAAATATGCATCGCCTGAAGTATTATGATATGTGTATTGTACGACGAATTTTGAAATAAACATTCATCAGGTAAAATCACAAAGTCAAAAAGTTAAACGCGACTAAATATGAAGAAATAAATGAAGGGATACATGGAGAAAAATGTATACAAAATGATCATTTTACATAGAAATAATTTATTTTAATAGGAGAAATTTTTTAAAATAAGTTATTATTAGACAAAGATATGTTAAGAAACAAATTATTTGATTATTAATTATTATCTAAAATGTATTGATAAGAAAATCATTTATTTATTTATACAATAATTTCTAATAGATTAACCTATTCATAACAATTTTTGTTAATCATACATAAAATAACAAATGAAACAATGTATATTTCTGAAAATTGTTCAACTAAATTATAACTATTATAGTCGAACAAATAGGTAAATAGTACATATTTATTTATTATACATATTTAAGAGTGAGCCCTTTTATAAACACAATTAGGTATATTCCAAAAAAAAATAATAATAATAAATTACATAAATATGTTAAGGATACAATTTACTATTAACTTAAGGAGGGGTCCAAATTGGCTAACTGCATTAATGTATAGATTGATTCATTGGTTAATTAACTGGTAGAGCATCTAGAAATGTGAAATAGTGTTAAGGTAGGTTGGTCATGAAGAAACTCCGATAATAAAACTTTATAAATTAACATAAGAATTTTTTGTTCGCATTAAAAGTCAATGATCTACTAGTATACTATTATATTAAGTATCTACTAGTTAAGATTAAGCTAAAGTGGGATAGATGCGCAATCATATTTCGCTTAGAGTATCTTCAAAAAAAATGCAGCAAATTTAAAAAATGTATGTTGGACTCTTTCTAAGTGATTTGATACCGAAAAGTTATATGGATACCAGATAACGGATCCATAACCCAAGATTGGGCGTACCTACCAGTGTACAAAATAATGTTTTAATAGATGTTTAAAACTGAAAATCTATAGACAGTCTCATTATCAAGCCTAAAACTTTTAATGATTTACAACATGATTTATTAAGTATGATTGAGGCATTTAGTAAATCTGAAACCAAGATTGTTTATAATATCACACTTACAAATTAAAAATGAACAAAAACATAAGACCAGAGAATAGGAGGCGAATATTAAGAACATTATTATTTTTTACTTATTAATATTACGTGACAGGGCAATTAAATTAAATCACTATGTAAGTTTATCTAGGTCTGTAAGCAAATTTAAACAGTCATTGGGTGAATTGTTTTTCAAAAATATTTAGATATCATTAACAAAACACAGGAACCAATTCATTTAGAAAAAAAAAATTTCAAATAAATATTTAAAAAATGTGTATGTGTTACATATATTTATTTCTTCATAATAATTTATTATTACATATAAATTATTGATTTTTAAAAAAAAATATAATATAAGAATCAATAGAAAACCATTTATAAATAAAAAAAATTTAAGCTAACATAATAATTAGATTTAAACGTTTTTACCATATTCACTTGTATTATCGACTGTTAAAGACTATTCAATGTATGCACCATAAACTATATTGTTCAGGAGAGCCCAAAAACCACATAAGTATGAATACATTGTACTTACTATTATTTTTTGATGGACGAATGGACGAATGAACGAATGAACTATACCAAATATTTATAATTATATAGCGTATTGCTTATTTCACTTTTAGTGTTGCTTACAACCCAAGTATTTACACCGATTAACAATTTTTGTCACTTACAAAAACACTTAAACATCGATAAAATAAATTCTACTCAATAGATAGATACACTTCAAGACAGAAAATGCTGTAGTTCACAGCGTACACGACAAATGGCGTCTCACGAGACACCAAAGCACTACGCATATGCGCACTTGGACATGGAAATCAGGGATATTATTGTACTTTTTGTACGTTGGTACTATTTACATAGTACAATAATATTGTATTAACTCTTCAACAAATAACGCAACGTCTTTAACAATATAATTTCGACTTTATTTATTACAATTTTAATTTTACAAAAATAAAAATAAAAGTAAAATAAATAAAACCGTAAGACAGCGCAGAACGACCATCACGAACGGACACAAACGGACTCGCCCATAATAAACTACATAAGTATGACAGCAAAAATTCTATATTCATCGTGTTAACATATATTTTTTCCAACCGTCTACATTTGTGACGTCAGCTTTTCGGCTCATCCTATTGGTTGTAATATTTACATTCAAATTATCGTGTAATAACCTTAATAAAGGCGGTTAACCACGTCTTGCCTTAAAAAAATAATTTAATGTTACATTTGAATTTCCGATTTATTTATTTATTTATTGTTATTTAATGATACTGCTGAACACTAAAAATAAACTAAAAAAATTTGTATCTTATAGTTATTTATGTCCATTCTTTTTATCTGTGTACCTATTCATTACGAATCATGACAAATAAACATAGGTAATTAATTAATTAATCCATATGGATAATTACCTGCATTTGTTTATTTATAAAATATATATACACATATTATATTAACTTAAATGCTTGTGTGTATATTCAAATTGTTATAGGAGTAAAAAGTATTGTTATAGTAAGTATCCTTTTAATTAGTAGTTATAGGAATAAAAAAGAAAGGAGTTGAAGGACTTTTTTATATTGAGCAACTTTCAAAACACTTCCCTAAGCAGAAACATAAATTAAAATTATAGTAATCATTTATTGTAAATCACAATTAATGTTTTTGTATTTTGTATTGTGATAACAGTAACCAAAAAGCCTACGTCACACGCGGCGTATCACAAAGTTGCTGACATACCTTATTAATTTATTATGGACTCACCCGTCACCAACCACCGGCCACCGCCATAACATCATCGACCACGCTCAGACGCCACTAATGATGCTGACCGAAACGCCATCTAGCGGAATTAATAATTGTATGCGCATTATTATTATTAATTCATTAGTAATATGGTAACTATAAATTAAATTAATTAATACTAAACTTAACTTATCAATCTGCTCTCCTAATATTTCATCTATTTAATTTTGGTTTGCTCACTTTGGACAAGCTTAGATCCAGGTCCAATATAACAGGTAAGTGTTGACTTTTTGGGAATTCTTTAAGTATCTGACGACTTGCTTTTAGGGGAATTTACAATGATCTGTTGTGACAAAACATAAATCAGGAAAAGTGGTTGAGTCCCATCTACCTGATTTAAATATATCTCCTTGTTTTGCATCATATAGTAGATGAAGGTGGTTTAGTTCAGCCCAGTTATTGAAGTTTTCTCCTTCTGACCGTCCTCACTGCTGTAGCCTCATTCTGTGCTGTATGAATTTAAGTCCCCAATATAGACTGCTGGGTGGTCGGCTTGTTGTAGCACAAACATAATCCAGTCTTCCGACGGCGGTTTGTATATCTTAAAATTTTTAGTATTTATAGTATTTATATATTATTAATATTTATAAAATCGAGAAAATTCATGTACGCTAATCATATAGGCCTAGTAGCCAAAGATAACTTATTTGAACTAAAAGACACCTTGAAAGAGGACTTAAAAATTTTACAAAACTTTTTTTTAAACTGGTACTCATCCTTAATGCAAATAAAACTACAGCTGTGACTTATCATCTAAACAACCATGTAGCATAAAGAGAACTCCAGCTAAAAATCGGTGAAATCAATATTTCTAACATAGAGTGTTCTAAATACCTAGGTGTCTAACTCGACAGTATGTTAACTTTCAAACAACATCAAAATTCAACAAAACACAAAATAAAACCACGAAAGAACATTATCGCTAAATTAGCTGGGTCTAGCTGGAGCTGTAATGCAAACACGTTGAGAACTTCAGCACTATCCTTAGTGTTTAGTGTAGCTGAATACTGCGCGCCAGTATGGATGAGGAGCATTCACTGCAAAAAAATTGACGTTTAACTAAATGTGGTCATAAGAACAATTACAGGGACAGTCAAAAGCACTCCAACCAAATGGCTACCTGTTCTTTCACATATTTACCCCCCAGAAGTTAGGAGACAAAGAGCTTCCCAAAGTACCATCAATAAAATTAAAAGGAACAATGACCTGCCAATTTATAACGATACACCATCCAACTAAACACCTTAAATCCAGACACTCCATATGGAAAGAAGCCAAGACCGAATTTGATCCACAGGTTGAATGGAAAAGGACATGGCTAGAGTCTGATGTATGAAATTCATCTCTGATCGAAGATCCAACAGCAAAAATACCCGGTTTTGATTTACCATGTAGCCTGAAGACCACCTTAAATCACATCAGAACCAAACAAGGAACATGAAATTACCTACTACACAAATGGGGAATGGCAGAATTCTATTTATGTGGATATGGACAAGTGCAAACTGTCAGGCACATAGTAAATGAGTGTCCAATAACAAAATACACAGGAGGTTTTAAGGAAATTCACTCAGCCAGTAATGATGCCATCAAGTGGATTGAAAATTTAAATGTGTGCCTGTTACCCAATTCAAGCTTAAATGGAGAGAGAAAGAGAAGAACCATAAGTTACCAATTTTGTTACCAAATTTATTTATTTTTATTTGTTTCAATAAATATTTATTTATTATTTTGTTTATTTTACTGTAATCTTTTATTTTTACTAATCTCAGTTTTAATATTTCACTAGTTTACTAGTCCTATTCTTTATTAACTGTTGTTAAATTATGTCTTAACTATTTATGTCGTATGCTAATATAATATTACTAGTATTTTTATAAATATTTATAAAATAATGGGTAAACACTGCTCAACAAAAGGATGTGAGACTACAGCAAGACAAGGAACACAAATTCACTAATATTGTTAAATTTTAGAAAGAAATCAAACTGAGGAAGTACTTTAGTCAGGTAAGTTTTTGATTTTCTCAGGGGTTTCTCAATAAATGAAAAAAGACTTAAGAAAACAGAAAAAATTATACATTTTATGATCTAGATTACCAAAAAATGAAGAACTTCGGTCAAAATGGATCACATCAATTTGTGACAATGATGCAACATTTAATATAACCAAGGCTATATACGTTTGTGAACTGCATTTTAGAAATGAAGATTTCCATATACCTTTTACTAGCATTAATATAACTGTGCAATTAAAACAAAATGCAATACCATCTACGTTTAATAAAAATAGTAGGTTAAAGTAATTAATAAATAATAAACAAAAACATTACAATATTTAAAATACAAAGTCTTGATGGTTTATTGCATTACAGATCCTTTACCATTATTAACACCATAAAATGATTCCAAATTGGTCACGGTTGTTTCACTGAATAACACAGCTCAACAATTGGATCATGTAAATTTTGAAGACAATAGAAATACACCAACTTATTCAAAAAGTGTCACAAATTATGATGATTCAAATTCTCTTGAAAAAGGTGTTTTATTGACAGATAAAGATACATTGATGACTACACCGAGTTCAATGTGCCCATTCTTATATTACAAATATGGTAGGTAGGTAGAAAGGTCATAGTATTAGTAATAACTATTATTTATTACTTACAGAAATCGAAAAGTCTATTGGGGAGATTTTGAAACAACGGATGATATTGACACTCTAAAAGTTAATTAAAATACTGGAATGCATTACAAAATCTTAATAGAACAAAGAAAAATAATTAGTTATTGCGCCTAGTAAATGAAAATTTATTGAAGAAAATCAAAGCTCTCAATGATTTGATTAATCATCTAAAAAATGAGAAGAATATTATTTCTGACAATTGTTTTTCGGTTATTAATGTTAATGAATTTACATGTTTCATGTTGTGGAATTAAGATTTAGATTGTTTGGAAATTAAATTATGAAAATTGGTGTTTACAATTTTAAATATTGACGTTGCATTTTGACTGTATCTCCCCCACCTATAAAATATATTAGGAAAATTTATTTGTTGTCGAGAGTGAACTTGTCATGAAGCAACTTAATATGACTTCCAGTCAGAAAATTACACCTGAATTGCGTACATTTGCAGTAACTCTTCATTTTTATTCATCTGCAGCCTATAATTATGAGAGAAATTTGTTTAATAAAACTTTGCCACATTCCAGTACAATGCGAAAATGGTATACTACCGTTGATGGTACTCCAGGTTTTACTGAGAAAAGTTTGAAAGCTGTTGAACTTAAAGTCAATGAAATGAAGAAAAAATGATTTGTGTGATGATTATAGATAAAATTAGTATAAGAGAGGATGTTCATTTTAATGGCACTCGATTACAAGGCTTCATAAATTTTGGTCAAGGATACGAAGATTGTGATAGTTTACCCTTAGTTAAAGAGGCATTAGTATTTTAAATTGTTGCTCTAAATTCTAACTGGAAAATTTCTCTTGGATACTTTTTGAAAAATAGTTTAAATATTGTAAACATAAACAATTTAATTAAATAGGTATTTATATACCTATATATAAAGTAATCCCATAAATTCTTAATAATATACAACTCCATCAGTAATAAACATTAATAATAATTAATAAATTAATAAATACAAATTTATTTAAATTGATATTTAAGTATACATTTTTTTTCCAGTTTAATAGTTACCAAAAGTGCAATAAGTACATATTTTGTCCATTAAATTGTTAGACAATTTAAAAAATATTAAAATCTGTAAGTTTATATTAATCAGTATATTGACTAATTATAGGTGCAACGAGCCCAAATATTTGGGCTTATTATTTTAAGGAAGATTAAGCCCCCAAATTATAGGTTTAGAAAAACGTTTTTTAAGTATCTATTTATTTTATGGAGATTTGATTTGAGGGCCCCTTCATCCTTATTGGCGTCAATGATTATTATAATATTACAAAAACTTATATTTTTTTAATATTCAAGTCAAAAACAATAATTTAATTAAATCTAAACACTATGTAGCTATAGTAAAATAGACATATTTCACAATTTTAAGTTTTAAATTAAATAAATAAATAGTTTTATACATCAAACTCCAACAATTAAAACAGTTAGTATGCATTAACCTAATTCACATTCCGGTTAATCCAAAATACATTTAATGAGATTTAAAAATTCTATTTTATTTATCAAATATAATATAATGTTAATTAAAAAACTAAATATAAAATAAATAATAATGGTAACCATTTCACATAATGGATAAAATGTGTGTACTTTCCATAGGCATATAAAAACAGCTTACACATTCCATTCAAAGTTCATGCAATAGATAACCTATTTCATGAAAATGTACATTACACTAATATACGCCATGTAGATGTGACATTTATATACAACAATTAACAGTTGTCTAAACAGAACAATGTAATAACACATTGTATGTATGCATATTAGCTGTATTTAAACTGTAGGTATGGATTAGTACACTTTCAACAGTAAAAACTTAAATTTTATTTCATTCTTATAGCATTAAATCTAAAAATAAATTAGTGTTTATTCATATATGATCAATATTAATTTTTGGTTTATTTTTAATTGAGACATTTATTGAGAGTGAAAGAAACTTATTATTTTTATTGGTTCATTAAAATGTTCACAGCAATTAAATGCTTACAATAATCCAAAACTAAAAAAAATTGTACAACTTTTTACACTTACTTAAACATATAAAATAAAACATGACTATTAATCAAATTCGCCAATTACTATATGGAATGTTTATTTTGGTTTTATTTATCATTTTTCTTTATTGTATTCTTATAAACAATTGGCTAGTAATGAATAAGACATACTCGGAACAATTATGGTATAAGAAACATGAAGCAGTAATTTCGTTGGATGATATTGAACAGGTATGTAAATAATAATTTATGACTAATTTATTGGATAGTTAATTAAAATAGTTACTAATAAAATTATAATTAATACTTGAAGCTAAAGTTTAATTATGAACATTATAATATAAATATTGTATACCTGTCAGTTACCACCTATATGAAATAAATTAATTAATAAATGTCTAGCAGATACAATATTACTAATAAATTAAAAAAATAATATACAGGATTTCCCACAAAGATATACCCATTGTAGTATCCCCAGAGATAATAAAGATATTCAAATTCTGTTTTTATTTTTTTTATATTTTACTCATATGGACTACAAATATTTATATTGCAATTAATTGTTTATTTAATTTTTCAATTCATGTTTTTGAATACATTTTCAAAGTTCAAAGAAAAATACGTATAATTATGCAGCAAGCTGTAATTGTATTCGCTAACTGATTATTATTATTACGATTAATTGACTGTACACTTCTTTTCTCTAAACTTGAAAAATGATTAAAAATCACGAATTTAATGAAAATAGAATGTTAATAGATCAAAATGTTTAGAAAAATAAACTCTATAAAATGGTTGGCTATCTTCAAATTTTTCAAAAATAATAAAATAAAAAGTTATATTTTTAAGTTTTTTTATGAAAACATAAAAATGAATTGTATTATAAATATTTGTAGTCATTATCCTTGTAAATAATATTAAAAAAACAAGAATATTAGATTATCTTTGTTATGTAAGGAGATATTACAATGGGTATATCTTCGTTGGATATCTGTATTTATAGAGTGATTCAAAATTTATGATACAGCCATTTTATGATGCACATTTTAAAAGTAGAGAAAAATGTAAAACATAAAAGTTTTTCTATTTATAAACATACATTCTTTTTAGATTCTGAGTGGAGCGAGGAATATATTGGGTTTGCAATGATGTTTATTTTTATTTTATTTTTCTTCTGTAGACAACTTTTCTACCAGCAATTTTGTTCCGATTTACAATGATAGTGCTTTTTCTGAAAGAAAATCTGACTAGACTGGTACTTTAAGAAAGTAATTTTTTGATTTTCTAAGAATTTTCCAATAAATGGTTAGGTTTAAATTGTGTTCAACTACTCTCTCCTTACATAAAATAAAAAGTGTAATATCTCCTAAAGTTAAAATTTACAAATTATTTTAGATATTTAAAAATTGAATAACTTTTGTATTATATATTTTTTATCTATTTTGAATATGTACTTAATAAATTTGCAATAACATACATTTTGAATTAATCTGTGTACATACATTTTGAATTAATCTGTGTACATACAAAAAATATACAAGTAGACAACTATTACGGACGGAACCTTTTTTTGGCCAGTGTAACTTTTCGGCAATTCTGTAATAACTGTTTTTGGCTAGTACACCATTTTGGTTACCAATATAAGATTTTTAAATTATTCCAACTGTTCCCAAGTTTTAAATGTAAGATTGTATTATTATATTAATCATCAAATAACACGTTGCACAGATTGTATAGATTTAAACTTTACCGTTTGCGATAACATTATCAGTTTTCTAAAATATTATATCTACTTGTACGTATATACGGAATTTTTTTATCTGTTACTATTGTAACCTATTTATAAATTACTTTGGAACATAGCAGCGAATGGTATACTCATATTCAGTGTGTGCCTATACGTCTTACAAGTTATAACACTTAATATTATGGCAAAATGTATTGAAAGTAATCGCAGTAAACGAATATTAGTATTCGAAAATTTAAAACCAGATATTAAATTGGTAGCATAAAAATGTTGAACTATAATATTACTTGATAAGTAAATGATTTGATATGGTACAAATGCTCAGCAAATGTGATTTATCTACTAATTGTAAAAAAAATAATTCTTTCAAAACGAGATCGACACTAAAATCATCCACGATTCACTGTTTGGCCGCTCTTATTATACAATCACATATTCCAAAGTCAATGAGCAAATTTAAGAGAGTTAAATTTGTTTAGTGTATGATACTTATCAAATTAAATATTATATTACATCATTTTGTATAGAACCCACCAACATTAGAATCGCCAGATATAAACGTAACACCGATTCCCGTGATTAATTGGAACAAAATGGCCAAGTCACGTTTACCGTGGTATTTCCAAGGTAAATATCAGTTACGTATACTTCCGGTAAAATAAAAAAATAACAATACGATAAACTTTTCAAAGTCTTGTTAAAGATTATTATTCATTTGTTACATTTATTAATATTTGATTTTTATTAGATGGCACAAAGGTACCAAATAATATAGAACCGAAACATAAGACTGGACCTAGAACTTCAAGAATATGGCCTGAAGAACAAAATAATACTGATCGCATAGAGGAACAGCTTATGTTCGTTCCTCATAACTATCAATATGAAAATAGTCCAATGAAAAAAATTTTAATAAACAACAGTTTTAATGGATGTATGATAAATGAAGGACAGACTGAATTTATTTCAAACGATTGTCCGGTGGATAGATGCTTTATTACAAAGAACATATTAGAAGCTGAAAATATGGATGCGATTATTTTCAACGGAAAATACTCTAAACCAAGTCACAATAAGACTAGTAAACAAGTAAGATAACATGTTTAAATAATAATTACATCATATAAGTAATATTTATAGGCTATAGGTAGGTACTTGCCTACTTACTTGAAATAACAGTTTATCAAGAATGTTGGATATTGAATAATATTTCTAAATATTAAAACAATTGATCTCGACAGGTATGGATTTTACTAATCACAGAGCCGGCATACAAATCGACATTAAATGTGGATCAAGACGTGATTAATTGGACTGCTGCATACAGACACGACAGTGATATTTACATACCCTACGGCCGATGGGCTTATTACAATCCATCAGTGACTCAAATCGAACAGTTAGATCGGAATTACGCTAGCGCAAAAAAGAAAAAAGTAGCGATAATTGTTTCAAATTGCAGTGATGCGAATAAAGATAGAGTGGAATATGTCGGAGAGTTGAAAAACTATATAACTGTAGATGTATACGGTGAATGCGGCGAATTTAATAAAACGGTCACATTAGATGAGTTTTTAAAAATATTAGATCGGGACTACAAATTTTATTTGGCTTTCGAAAACGCAAATTGTGTCGATTATATCACGGATACATTTTTTGTCAACGGCCTTCAGTGAGTTAATTACATTTTTTATAATTATAAAATTATTAAAGGTAGGAAGTTGATGAATAATGAATGATGACCTACAAAATCACCAGAAGATACCGAAAAAAAAGTGTTTTTGTGACCTATTGACCTATATTAACTAAAAAAAAATAAAATAAAACGAAATAAAATATAATGTCTGTAAAAGTTTCTGTAGTAGGACACCCGAACACCTGTACGGTGTACATTTAATTTTACCAAAAACCTTCCTTCATGTAAATAATCAAAAGAATATGTTTTAAAAATGTAAATATTCTCTTTGAAATATCAAAATAATAAATAAAAATCACCAATAATGTGCCATAGAAATAAAAAATAAATAAAGTTTAAAAAAAAATAGCGTTTATAATCTTTTTTTTACCACTAAGTACAATTGATAATGAACCTCTTGTCAGATTTTCAAGCATTTCTATTTTGTCCGGTAATTTTATTCACAGAGTAGGTACCTACCAAATAAAAATTACGTAAACACTCACAAAATTTAAATGTCTATAAATAGCCGAAAAATGGCTTAAATCTTTTAAACATTTGACCACGTCTAGAAGGCTAACGTATAATGCGAGAATGCGTGCACTCGCGCTTCCTCGCTTCGCATTTACTTTCGGCCAATGTGTAACACACATTGTGTATACTGCCGGCACAAAACAACGCAAAAGTCATTAACATCCCATCTCTAATTATCGAACGTATTGATTAACGGTAAACACTCGTGGTGGTTTCGTTATAATACAGGTACAACACGTTGCCGGTTGTAATGGGCGGACGGCCGGAGGACTACCAGCGGATTGCGCCCGAGCGGTCGTACGTACACGTCGATGACTTCGAGTCGCCCGCGCGGCTTGCCGAGTACCTGCACCGGTTGGACGCGGACGACGACCTGTACAACGAGTACTTCCGGTGGAAGGGGACCGGCGAATTTATCGATACGAAGTTCTACTGTCGGCTGTGCGCCATGCTGCACGACGTCGACGCCCCGACCAAACACTACCGGAATGTCGACGACTGGTGGCGAGGCCCGGGAGTGTGCGGCGATCGCAAAACCGAGTGGCGGCGTGCCGAGGGGCTGTCGGCGGGAGGCCGCGTAGCAAATGACGATCACGAATAAGCTCCGTTTGAATCGTCTTCTCTACCCCGGGCTCGACTGCGGGTATTTAATATAAAAGCCGAGTCCTGCATAAAACGTATAATCAATAAACCGAGCTAATAAACCATGTGACCACCTGGCCGAAATATATTATACGTTTCACGATTAAATAACGATACATTAATACGCACAGTTGTTGTATGAGTTTTCAACGAGGGGGGAATATAACCCCTATCACCCCCCCCCTGTCCGACGTATTCGGCGTGTCACTGATTAAACGTGGGTACTTTGAATAAGTTAATACAATAGTGAACTCTATTCCGAACAACCTTCCTGAATGCCTCAACAATGAACGTCCAAAAATCCTCAACAAGCTAAACTTCTTTATCGGATCGATTAAACTTTATATATTTAACCTCTCATTGTATATTTTATTATTTATATTGTACTTAAATATGGCAACATATAACCTCTCTGATAGTTTTGTAAACGAGACTTTTATTTTTTATTGGAAAAAGTTAAAAAATATATTCAAATGTATTTATTTATATTCCGATTTTTCTCAACGTATTTCAATAGTTTTTAATATATTATATACACATGTATATTTTTTAAAATTAAAACCAAATGCGTGTTGCGTGGTAAATAATATAAACAAATATGTTAATGTACGGTCTAAAAATAAATAACTCCTGATAAATGATAATACAATTTAGCCAATAGTATCAAATACCTAACATTGGCTGGTATATCTAAGGTGAACAAGAATTAATAATTTCTCATCAGCGTTGTTCGCAGTCAGTTATAACTTAAAATATTTATAGTTGCTTATTTCACTAATTTTTGTTATCGATCAAAATATAAGGAAAAGCTACCTAGCTGTAATCGGGGTTATTTTTCGGAAAAAATAATCAAGTAATTTAAAAATAAAATACAAAAAAAAACGTATTCACAGTATGTATTCGAATACTTTACAAGACTGCTATCTAATTTGGGCAACGACCATCACAGTAGACAGTAGTAACATTCATAAAAAAAAGAATTAGTCCAACACGCATGTTAAAATGATGAATAGAAAAAAAAAATGTTAGATAGGAAAGTAAAACTACTAATATTATTGTAACGTGTTATTTGATAGATACATTAGTTATTAGTAGCCTATATTTAGGTATTCTATATAAATGTCTGTGCGTAAATAATAATCTTTCTTTGAAATGTTAGTAAAATAAAATTTTGACTGAAATTAATTATTTAAAATTTGGTTCTTTTAAAAATATTAAATTATTTTTAGTTAAAATTATTGTAATCATCGACGTGTTTATCCCATTTTAGTTAGAAGCAGAAACTTTTTTTAAATAAATTAAATTAAAAAAGCGGTCCTTGTTAGTTTATTGTACCTACACTATATAAATATACACATAAGTTTCCCCACTCCTTCAACTATCTTAGCAGTTGTCTAAACATACTATTGTGTCAAATTTATTTTTATTTTTTTTATTCATTTTGGAACCAAACATTGTTATTTGAACAGTGGTTGGTAGATAACTAAACATTTTTTGTCAATGCATATAGAACTTAAAAACTGAAACTATTATTCATTCTAAAAATACTGTATGTTATTAAATTGAGATTTCTATCACCTAAAAAATATTATACTAACAATAAATGCAATGATAAAAAATATTATTGTTTTTGACGTTTTTGTACTTACAAATATAATTTTATAATTTTAAAAATAATATATAACACAAAAAAAAAAAACGAAAAGCTCCTAATAAAGATTATAAAAAGGAATATTGCAAAGTTAAAGATGCGTTATTTGCTAATTATTATAATATGTATCATTATTTTCTATAGTATTCTGGTGATGTGGTATTGTTTATTTATCGACAAACAAAATTTGAAACAAAACTTTTATGATCAGAAATCGAAGACTCAAATTAATTACAATGAACAGGTAGATTATAAATTATTATAATTATAATACTTTAATTATATTACTGTTAATTATATAGTCTCATATAAATTAGTGCAATTTACATTTTCTATAGTATACAAAATTAACTAGATAGGTCTACTTATACTATATCTAAGTCACTTATTAGATCAATGATCATTATCAGGGCTGTGAATTTAATGTATTTGGATGGATTTTTTTGCTATGTTGTAAAGAAAATGGATTCAACCAGAATTTGTTTTGGCTTATATATAGTTAAAATATAGAATCTTATTTTGAATGGGTTTGCATATTTAACAAGTTAGAGCATATAAATGTATGTTTCCGTGATTTTTCGTATAAAGGGGATTGGAAGCGATGATTCTTTGTCTTATACGAGTGATAAATAGGGATTTAGACGTGTTTTATTTCTAACGGACAGATTGATCTAGTAAAACGATAAGAATTCTGGAAACAGATTTGAACTTGTCGTGAAATTTATTGGAGATCGGCTTTCCCACTCTTTTGATTTTAATTTCTCAAAAAATTGAAATATTCAATTTTTTTAATTACTCTTTTATTAGTATGGCTTTTTTTTAGAATTTAAGGAGATAAATTTAAGAAGTGGAAAAGTCGATCTCAAGTAGACTTCACGACAAATTCAAATCTATTTCTAGAATTCTTATCGCTCATCTAGATCAATCGGTACGTTGGAATTAGAACACGTCTAAATTCCTACATCTCACGTGTATAAGACAGAAACTCGTCGCTTCCAATCCCCTTAACGCATTTTTTTCTTGATATTTATAGTTTTTTAGTCAATTGTGTTTACATTAGTCTAAATATTTTCGTTTATTATAATATCTTTAATAGTTAGTGAAAATATTTTATTTTTAGTCAGGTAGATAAAAAAAATCAGGATTGTTCTGACATTTACAAAATATATCTACCTACGATATAAATTCGTTATCTTTTATACATTTATTAGAAACATAAATGAATACCTACTATATAATAATAACTTAGTCACGCATTTTTCAATTTAATAGTTTAAATACCTATAGCTCAAAGGATATGTATAATTTATAATTTATTTTGTCCAATATTTCTTTTTTTTCAGTTGTGAAAAAAACTACTGATTTTTTTTTTATGTAATGAAAGCAGTATTATTAATATAGACAGTACATATTTAAGCATATTTTTGAATTTTTCAGTGTACATTTTAAAGCACAAATGCATGCACGTTCAACACTTTTTTTAATTTCCTGGTTATTATGATTTTTCTTTTTATCAAATTAAAAAAAAAGTAATACAGTATAGTTTTATATTCAATTACAGAACCAAGAATATTATCTAGAACCAGAAATTTTACCTTTGACACCCACCCTAATTACAATGAACAGGAACGAAATTCCCAAGACAAATTTACCATGGTACTTCAAGGGTAATCATAAGCAATATATGTATATATACATATAAAGTATATTTTTATATAATAACTATAAGTATAACAATAAAATAAATATGAAATATATCTAAATAATAAAAACAAATGTGGTATTAATAGATGGTATGTATTGTGGTGATATGGTATTCAGCTTTTTTCACTTTTAGTGTACTATTTTCTGAATACCTCATGAATTTTTTAAATCGATACAAGTCCTAAATACACGCTAAGATTTTTCTTTTATGTAGGTACAATATATTTTTTATAAGTATGTTATTGTTATATTTTCGATTATTAACCTCTAAAACACTTTTGTAGTTTTTTTTTTTTAAACTAAAAATAAGTACATATATAACAATAATCTTTATTAACGAAAATAAAATTCCAATTAAATTTTATATACATGGTTTATAATACGAAATATTTATAGCTATAATAGGTATATAATAATTTACAACAATTCAAATAAATCAAAATTATCAAAAAAAAATACTACTGTATAATATATACCTTACTTCATTTAATATACTCAGTAAATATATTATTTCATAAAAAAACAAAATCAGTTATTTGTCAAATATAAACCAAACATTTATCACACCAACAGTTGGTATTTCATCAATCGATATTATTTAATGTGTCAACATTATATGATGTATTTTTTATTGGTCAGATGGTACAATAAGACCAACTAGAGCTAGAATTTTGCCAAAATCCAATGTCCGAACATCACAAGTATGGCCTGAAGAACAAATAGATAGTGATCGAGTGGAAGATCAACTAATGTTCATTCCACCGCGTTATCAATATGACAATGCGCCAATAAAAACAATTTTACTGTATAACAATTGGAATAATTGGAAGGTTAGTGTCGGACAAGGTGGATTTGTTCCAAATAATTGTCCAGTGAACAGATGTGTGATTACTACAAACCGATCAGAAGCTTCAAACGTAGATGCAATCATATTCCGTAATGAATTTTCCCATCCAGGTCACAAAAATACAGATAAACAAGTAAGAATAAAATTTGTTTATCGTGTTATGGGTCGTGTAGGAGAATTAGGCATTGTAAATAATGCACTGCAATATACTGCAATATTGGTCAAAATTAGTCGAAAATTTTTTAAATTACATTACTGTCTACAATTAGAGGATGTACATCGCATTGCTTATATATTTATCTCTGGACAAATTAAAACAAAAATTACCTATAACCAAGTACAAGTCGATAATTTTTTACAATAATATATTGCTTATAGTAAATTAATAGTGGGCACAATTTTCGACAAGAATTCCGAATAAACAGTGCACTCGATGGTATTATTAACTTTATAAACCACAAGAGCAGACACACATTAAAACTATCATCCACTCATCCACCTGTTTCCAAATGTGATTTGGAAAATGAAATAATATTTATAAAACCACGAATCACCATGTGGTGTTAGAGATAAATATATTTATTTATAAATTTTACATTATTTTTCAATGTTTAAAATACAAGAATATTAAAGTTTTAGATTTTTGCATTGTGCTCATCATTGAGACGTTTCTAACAATAACCGATTCTCTGCTCGGTCTATATAGTTAGCGTATTTACAGATCTTATCCGAGTTCGGCGCAAGCCGAAACGTAATCTAGTTGGTTTATAGAGGTTTTAGAAAACATAATCTACTTGTTGGTCCAAATGCGATAATGTTTCAAATTGAGTGTAAACCTAGAATGAAAAGCCACCACGAGTTTAGATAGAGTAGATGGTTGATGGAAAAACTTAACCTATAACTTATAATGAACCTGCTGGTTCAAACTTGATAATATTCCAAGGAAGTCAAGTGCCAACCCTAAAACCTAGGCCCTAGTCAACAAAGAACTACGACGGGTCGCTTCATACCGCTTGGACCGAATTCGGATAGGGGTCTGTAAATACGGGTCCGGTAAACAACATTAACATCATATTTTACACTATAATATTACGAAGAATAAAACATTATTTAAATGCACATTTCTAAAAAAATTATAACAATATCTTGTAATTTAGGTGTGGATTATGTTAGTCACAGAGTCGGCATATTACATGAAATTCGACGTGGACCAAAGCATAGTTTACTGGACTGCGACATATCGACACGACAGCGATATTGTCGTGCCGTACGGCCGATGGGCGTATTACAATCCGTCGATAACTCAAATCGGACATTTAACCCGAAATTATGCGAAAAATAAAACCAAAAAAGTGGCGATGATCGTTTCAAATTGCCACACGGATAACGACAGATTGGAATACGCCAACGAGTTGAGCAAATACATATCCGTGGATATTTACGGTAAATGCGGACAATTCAAAACGATTAAAACGAACCGAATAGATCGTTTTATTGAAATGTTGGATCGGGATTACAAATTTTATTTGGCTTTCGAAAACTCAAATTGTATTGACTATGTGACCGGGCAGTTTTTCGTCAAAGGACTACAGTAAGTTCGATATAATGGTTAACGTTACGCGGTATAATACACTCGAAAAAAAGTAATGGTAATTAAAACTCCATGTCTCCTGTGAAAACATGGAATTAGTATAAAAATGGGTACATAGAAAGTGTGTTTAAAGTTGAAACCGCCAAAAGTCACATCATTGATACTTCCACCAGACATATACAATTTTATTCCCTGGCTTCATTCGAGGTGGTCTGTAGGGATGTACAAAGCTAAAAAATACCTTCCTCCCGTAAAAATATAGTTTTAGGTTCATATAGAAATTAAATTAAATTGTATTACTTCAATTTGCCTATAAAAAAAACTAATTACCGAGTTTGAGCTCATTTGGTCCAGAGAGAGTAGTTAAAATTGTTCAAATGTACCAGGAAAAAAATTATATATATTATATATGTATAATAGACACAATATAACAGTGCAATAGTCTCCATTTTCGGGGAAATTCGACAAAAAAAAAAACAAAAAAAAAAAGCACATATAATAGTAAAACCAATAGATTGCCGGCTCGTTCAGAATGTAAAATTCACAAAATGTATGCTAAATGAAGGTTTAGATTTCAATTTATTTAAGTAATTTTGAGTGCCCCGCGTCTTGCGTCCCACGAATGCTAGCAAATCCGTTTCCAGTTGACATTTCCGTATACAATCGTGTCTACAATATAGATTGAATTTTTTTCCGTTTGTCGTATACAGGTATGGCATGTTGCCAATCGTGATGGGCGGACGGCAAGAGGATTACGAGCGAATCGCGCCGGAGAAATCGTACGTGCACGTCGGCAACTTTGAGTCGCCTGCGCGGCTTGCCGAGTACCTGCACCGGTTGGACGCGGACGACGGTCTGTACAACGAATATTTCCGGTGGAAGGGCACCGGCGAATTTATCGACACGAAGTTCTTCTGTCGGCTGTGCGCCATGCTACACGACGACGGCGTCCGGGCCAGGGGCCACCGGAACTTCAGCGACTGGTGGAGCGGACCAGGCGTGTGTGAACAGTCGGTACGGCCGTGGACGATGGCCGTGGACGATGCGGAAGACGGAGAAGATGACGAAGTATCGTCGTCACAGCTGGATTCGTCGGCCGGCGACGACACGGACAACGATACGGACGACGAAAACGCCGATTAGCGTCCGACGAGGCAGCCACAACAACCGCCGATCAGTGCACAGGGTAGCCCCGGGTGCCTATCGCGGGACACCGCTGCCTCGCAGTCGGCATCCAGAGGACGGCACCAGGCAGTTTCAACACCCGGCAAAAATAAACCTTATGAACCGACAAAAACATAACACACTGAACTCTAACCACTGTTATCGGAACGGCTTCTCTACAAATTATAATATTATATTATAGATACGAAAGAATGCATGGGATTTTATATTTTTATAATAGACATTATATTATTACTGTTCATATAAATTTTCAAATTTAAACACGTTTAGATTACTCAAAAGCCGTAGATAGTCACTAACCAATTAAACAATTACTTTAAAAACAATTTAAAATGACTTTCACTTAACAATTGTTTTTAATTCTTAATAACATAACTAGTTAGATTTAATGCAATTATCTAATCTAACGCGTTAAAAATAAAAAGTAACTAGTTATTTTGTAATCGTATAAGAAATAGAAAAAAATAGCACAAATATTTATGTTAATGTTGAATTAAGGTCATTAATGTACATAATATATATTAACTACAATAATCTATAAAAAAAAAAATAATTATTTATTTTATGTAATAATAAGCTGCCCGTGTAATAAAAAAAAGTTATTAGATAAATTATTATTATTATTATTTCTATTACCATAGATACCCGCACAGCACAAAGATTATAGTATAAAAATTAAAAACTGTTTTTGTTTTTTGGCTGTGTTACCAACATAACCCATAAATCAACAAAAATAGTTATTTTAAAATTTTAGTAAATGGTATTCAATTGGGGGTGAATTTTAATAGCTATAAACCTCTGGACAACATGGAACAACTTCCCAAAATTACACGGCAATCGGATGAATGGTATAATAATAATATGCCTGATATATGTATATATGAAAGATACATCCACGCCATTGCTGACTATTTCCCCATCTAAATGTAGAGACTTAGGTATAGCATGAGAAGGCATATTGTAAGATATCAATTTCCGAAAATATTTAGGAACAGCCCTAATATTATGTTCTAAACGATGCATACAATCATTAAATACTAATTTTAATTGCTATTTATATTATGATCTGAATTTTGAAAAACTAACATAATTTTAATGGTTTTTATTCTTTAATTACTTTTAATAAATAGAATATGATTTTTTTTTCCAAACTAAAGATTTAAGTTCCTTAGTAAACCAGTATGGAAATTTATAATGTCTACAAAACGATTGAGCTGGAACAAAATTAGATAAAGCACTAAATAATGCATCCTAAAAAAAGAGAGCTGCTGTCTCCATATTTAAATTATCAAAAGTATTAAACCAATTAAAAGAATTAATTTTACTATAATCGCCTTTATTATAACTATAGACTGAATGATGACTTGCAAAGAATTAAGGTTATTATTATTATATTTTTTTATCATTAGAATACAGTATAGAATATAAAGTATTAAGAGAAATAACAAAAATAACCTATACCTTTAAGATAAACTTGTGGTGGTGTAAAAATTTACAGTATGCATATATGCATATGATTAAATTAAATTACACAGCTTAATAAATAATAAAAGTAAACAAATTTTTAAAATAGACTGTAATACCAAATTATTAACTCTTAGATGCAAGTATTAATGTATTATCATTAATAATATTTTTTTTAACATTAATCAGTAAGAGTTAATATTAGGAGGATCCAGATAATTTATGAACTTTTAACCAAAACTTGTTTTAGTTTATTACACTTTAATATTAAACAATCTTTCTTTCCTTATGGGCATCTTTCTGTTTAATAAAGAGAAACTAGATTTGTTTTAGACAAAGGCATTATTGCATATTTTTTTTTTTTTTGAGCAATTCAAGTTAATACTTCAAATTATCTAGGTTCCAGGTTTATTAAATTATGAAAAAAAAATAACTTGTAATTTTTATTTTAACTGAAGTTACTTATTTTCACTAACTTCTACCTAAGGTAGAATTTAAGAAAATTTTAGAAAATAACATCTATTCTATTCTAATTTTCTTAATCGTTTTTTTACAGTAACTTAGCTACTCGAGTACTTGAAGAAAATTAAGAACTTGTCCAGCTTTGCTAAAAAACCAAGTTCCAAAACTTCAGAAGATATCGGTTTGTATTATAGCTCCACTACTCAGGTTTGTTATCTCTCCGCCACCCATATACATATAAAATAATGAGTTTATTCAATAATATAATGTTAATTAAAAATATTTGGACTTTTTTTAAACAGTATATAAATAATATTAATAAAAAATTAGTTTATATAATGACATAATGTTAAAAAATGTATGTACATGTTCAAGCTTTCCGTGATTCTTAAAATTCTACTATATCTTTTAAAATCGTTTTAAACAGATCACCATTATTTTTAATTTTGATCGCCACATTAATTTTGCCATGTAAGAGTAAAAAATATTTCTCTACGTTTTTTATTGTCCTTTTTGGGGCATTAATATTGGACACTTGTGTTAATAAATCTTTTAAATTCGTATAAAAAATATATATAAAATAATAATGAACAATACTCGAATAACGACAAACAAAAACGTACTGTGATGTTTGATCGGTATATCGGTTTGATTGTTATTTTTTTAACAACCCATCATAATATGTGATACTATGACCTAATTGTACGTTTTTTTTGTCGAATCATTAGATTGTTTTATGTTTATTGTATTTATCGATGTATTTATTATTATGAAAGGCGGGGAGATAACAAACCTGAGAGGCGGGACTCTTCAAAATACTATAGGTCCAGTGGTTCCTAACCTATTTAAGACTATGGACTAGTCAGAAAACTTACGATAGGTCATGTATCACCTAGATTTATTAATTTACTTTATTTTTTACTCGTCATATCGATTTTAAAAATTCATGATTTCAACCTATCGATACATGGGTTAAATTCGATATTAACTCGTGGTTTTCGATTTCAATAACCAGGTATTGAGTTTATCACTAATAATGATTATTATCCCACTATGACCATTATTTCATATACATATTTGTTTTAGAAAATAATTAGGTAGTTTAGCGGACCACCTATTTCAGGCCCGAAATGGTTTCACATCCGAGAATTAACATTTTATTTTTAATCCGTGGAATCCATCGTTACGGACTCGTTAAAGTATTACAAGGGTTATTATGATAAAAACTAAATAGGTACAAATGGCCAGACGCGTAAGTATAGGTTATTTATGGGGGAGGGGAGGAGAAGATGGTTCTAATAATCAATTTATTTGGAATACAAGTGCATTAGTTAGTAAAAAAAAAAATTGATTCCAGTAATATTTTCAAAATTGATATTGAGGAGAGGTGTTAAATTCCCGAAATGTATAGGGGGGGTACCCTATAAATTATAACTAAAATGACCGGGAAGGTACTTTCGTTAACATGTGACTTAAAATATGATCCGCAAAACTCTGACGCGATCGTATTGTGTTATTGTTGACAAAGCAACACGTATCAACTGAATTGAGCTCAGAATCCTTTTTTCGTTAGTAATGGTTTATCATTGCTTACAGATATACATTAAATTCCTGTCTGTGTCCTAACTTCCAGACTTTCCACCAAAAACAGTGACTGCGCCCGCGTGAAAGGTATGGTAAAAAAATTACAATCATGTGCATTTCCATGACAACAATGATTGTTTAAAAAAGATTAATATAAGAAAAACGTCATAATTATAACAAAAAATACATAAAAACGGTTACCAATGACAACCTAATTTTTAATCTTTCAATCTTCTTACCAAATGTACTTTACTATTAATTTTTAAACATAGAATACATTTACAAACATACACACATAATCATAAAACTAAATTTAAATAAAAATATAAATACGCTTGTTCCTCCATATGTGATTTGGAAATAAAAGTTGCTTAAACCGCATAATTTTTCTTTGTAAAAAGTTGGAAATAAATGTTAGTTAATTCACTAATTATAACTGTTTTTTATATTATAGTATATAATAAGGAAAATTAATTTCTAGAATATTGTATTTATTTACTTTTTCACAATTCCTTTTTTTTATTTTATTTATATAACTATTCTTGTTAATGTTTGTTGTATTTGTTTAAATAGGTAGTAATAAGTATTTATTAATTATTGTAATTACTTAATTTAACTATTTTAAGATCTCAATATCTTCAGTGCAAGTAATAGCTTAAGGAAAATGTCCTTTTCTTAAGTCTTGCAAAAATATTAATAATTTCTAAATTTTTTAATAAACATTTGTTTATTTTATGTTCGTACAAATACGAACAGGTTTACATTGAAGTATAGATGGCGTTAAATTAGCTCATGTATGAATCTCCCTTACTACACCTTTCGCGGACATCAAGTGACCCGTTGGTCGGTGGAAAACAACAAACGTCTTGTTTTCAGTCCTTTCATTCGTGGCGTTCCTGCCAAAATTTACCGAATCACTGAATCAGTCAGTTGTTTTGTTTTTTTTTTTTTTATTAGTATAATATTCAATATTTATAAGCGGTGAATGACCTTGTTTAAAAAATGATAAGAACCATTTTTGGAAAGCCGGCCACTATTAATATAATATATTAACATACCACACACAAAATGAAATACTGTTCGACATGGTTTCGGATAACAAATCGGGGTTTATTTTGGAATGATTTTTTCCATTCGCTTTGTCTGGAGTCAAACAAAAACCATATTACAACTAAATACAGTAGTATTCAATATTCAAATATTATAAATTTTAAAATACATTAAACTCTAGAGTCTAGATAATTAGATTATCCAGATTTTCTTCTTTAAACTACAGAAATTAAATTTTCGGTCCAACGTGCAGCGACCAGCATTATATATCTTATCACTATTCGTCCTTATCATTTTCGAACAACTGTACCCATTCTACTACACCACGGTTTAAATCGTATACCACATTGACAAAATAGATAACAGACGTGATAACGATTTTGGTAAGAGATTAGACACCGAGATAAAAGATGCGGTTCATTTTAAACACAGACATTTTTCCTTAATGTTATTAAATTGACTATTTTTGATTATTGAATTTTTAGTTTTCTTTAATATTATTCGTGTAGAATTTTAATTTTGCTAATTTATGTATACATTAAAATTAATTAATATCATGTGTTAATTCATTAATTGCAATATTACGTGAGTATAATAAATTACTATGTCATGTACCTATATAAAATGTATATATTACATTCAAAATGTATTTAACACTTTTAGATAAGTTATTATGGAAGCTAGATTTACAACCTTCCAAACAATTAGTGCTAAGGCATGCCCTATTTACCTTAAATTGAAGTACCAACAAACTAAGCGAAGACAAGAAACTTTAGAAATACAAAAACAGTAAGTTATAAAATGTTGTTGAATATTATTATACATTTTAATACATTAGACTAAAATACTGTTATATTAAATAAACAGTAGTTTGAATGCAATTGGTAATCAGATAAATTAAGTTTGTGGGATATTTAGTCGTTTTTAATGCTTTACGAATAACAAAATAAAATATTGCTCCAATAGTGGCTTAGAAAAATTATAGATTTATTATAAAAGTATAAACAAACTGATGGGTGTATCAGCCTTCAAAAACCTCTTAAAACATAATTCTGAGTTCTGTATTTAAACCTATTTTAATAATTTATATAAACAAGCAAAACCAAATTTTTTCATATTTGTGTTATTCATATTTTACAAAATATTACTATTGTGATTTAATTTGGCATATAAATATATAATTACATAATCTACGGGCAATCGTCAAATCCTGCAAATGCATCTGGTAAATCGCAAAAACATAATAAATTACATTTAAAACTTATTTAAAATTTACAATATTATCTAGTATATAAATTATAATGAGGTACATATATTAATAAATATTTTATTAATCTGGTTATTTTTAAATTGATTCTGATTTATAAATACTTGTGATCATTTTGGAAGGCTCAGTGGGCATGTTCCCTACCAGTGTTACTTTTAGCCCTCTCATGAATGAGAAATCATTAAATTGTAGTGGGAAAAATAAATTTAGTAAACCTTTTTTAAATCCTGCTATTAGAAAAAAATATCCAGCCATATTACTCATGACATGCCCAAACCTCATCTGGATTAATATCAATTTATTTAAAATATTTTGCAATTAAAATTATTTGACTTACCTATATATTATTCTCATTCAAAAATAATAAAACAAAATGAAATTATAAAATTTAAGAAATTATTAAAATGCAGAATGGATGATTCAAAATAAAGGACAAAGGTGTTGTACTGTTGTTATCAAGAAAAATGTGCAAGTTGGGCAAGAGCCCAGTTGATAATGTTTATGAAAACCGGTCAAAAATTCAAAATTGATCACTCTGGTCACACTATTTATATATTTCTTAGGTATATTCCATAGACATATAAATGAGTATGATATATTCTAAGATTATGGTATTTGAATAAAACATTGATAACATTTTTGTATTACTGACATTGTTTACTGATATTATATTTAGATCGGGAATTTCACAATCCTAAAAATATTAAATAAGAATTGGTTATTGGTCGAGTTATTATTTATTTTGTCGGTATTTTATACAGCTGAGTTGTGAGGACTGACGAGTGATGACTTAACTCATTAGTTCATGAGTACCTTAGCAGCTGATGTTCTGATGAGTGTAGCGTGTTAAAGTTAATAGTGTTTACTTATTTTGTCTAATATATTGTTTAATAGTTATATTATTTTCTTTCCTACGGGGACTTCATTAAAATGGTCACTGCGATGATGTTAAAAACCTATTTGGAGATTATTAATAAACTCGATGGTATTGTATTTATGTAAGTTTAATTAATCATTGTAAAAAAATTGTATTTTATTTCTTAAACTAGTTTCAAATTCGGTCAACAATTAAACTAAATCAAACAATTTACGTATTTGTTTAGTATTTTAAATACTAAATTAACTTGTTTTTTCAATAGCTTTCTGAATAAAATTGTATCCTGTACATTGTAATCCGCTTTTATTAATCTTAATTTTAAACCGAGTTAATGACTGATAACCAACTAGGATTGGTCATTCGGTTAAGTTGATTTTTTAACTACATTTAAAAATGAAAGTTTAGAATGGTAAGAATTGATTTACACAGCTATACTTCTTCTATGTATAATAATTGACATTGATGTGTATGTACTAGAAAAGTTTAAAATATTACAATATGAACAAATTCAAAAATATAAGAACCATTCCCTAATGAAATAATAAAAAAAACAATTTCACTTTCATGTTAGCTAAACATTTGCAATTTGGGTATAGTAACGTTAACACAGAACCACCACGACTATCGGTTAACCGGTGGGGGGGGAAATAAAAAACAATACTATATTTATTTGGAGAAGAACGCTATAAGTATAAAATATAACTCAATTTATTATTTACCCATATGATCCAAGCATAATTGTATTGCATATGTATTGTTTTAATTTAATAATTTTTTTTGTTATAGAAAGCGCAATTGTCAAGTAAATGAAAGAAGACATTTGAAAAATAATGCACATAGTCATTCTATGGTATGTAATTTATTTTATGTTAAGTATACTCTACATTATTTAATTTTTAGGACTTGTACTTTTTGTTTAATTCAGTTCTGGTTCTATAGGGGTCAATTTTTGAATCTCATAATTACTATGTTATATACCTACGACAAATCATGTTTGTCATATGAAAACAGAAAAGATACATGATAAAATGTTGAGATTGTTTGAATGATACAACATTATTAATTTTACACAATTTATTGTCATATGAGATTTGAAGATTGGTTTTTATTATTTTCTGATTATTTTACTAGATTCTGGTTCAATTATAATTTTTGAGATATTTTAATTTGCTGTTTCGGTTCTCAATATTTGAATGATTTTTTGGTTCTAGACCAATTCTTTTTAGTTTTAGTTTCTGTAATACAGTCCCTGTTTAGTTTAATGGTACACAACATGTGTTAAAATTTTTAGAACTGTATATATAATAAGTAAAACGAGCCTAATTTTGATTTTAGAGTAAAAGAACCTATTATGAAATTTATAGAGAATATTATTTTTGAGAGAATGTAGGATTTTTGTAGTATTCAAAATATGTAGCCCAATATAATAGACACAAAAACCTTTTATTTTTTTGTTTTTTAAATAACTTACTTTTTTAATAGTTTATAATTCAAAAGACCTATGACATTCCCTCAAAAATATTGTTTTCTATACATTTCATAATAGGTACTTTTAATCAAAATCAAGCTATAGTTTTACTTATTCTATGTAAGCATTGTTTTTATATGTTACCCAGTAGTTGGACTGAAACTGCAGTAATCCAGGGGGTATAACGTCATCTTAATAAATATTATTTCATATGTGTATCGAGATATACTTCATAACAGGGCCGGATTTAGGATTTAGCTGCCCCGTGCAAAAAAATATCCCCCCTCCCTTTGAGTTTTATTTTTTTTGCTTAACAAATGATGTTTACATACATAAATAGGATAAATTTAGAAGCAAGTATTTATAATAATTTAAGTAAGAAAAACCTATAATATTTTATTATGATTTTTTTAATCAATATTTATAAAATAACATAAAGTTATGGAAAACATAGTATAACTACGATAATTAAGAGTAAAGTATGATGTATGATAACAAAACTTATCATATGCTAAAATACGGTAACCAGGTTTACATACTTCAGATTATAATATGTAAACAAAATTCCTGTAAATACCATATTAATATTTTCTATTATTTTGTGAATTATATTGTCAATAATACTTACAGTTAATTGCTCTCTTCTGAGCTATTTGAAACAAAACATAATATTTAGATTTAATCTATAAAAAAAAATACATATATAATAATCAATTATTAAATATTTTGAAAAAAATTAAGGTGTTAACATAGAATTTGATAATTGCATTATATTTTAATTGTAATTAATTATATTATCTATTAGGTCGTTTAAAAAAAAAAAATTAATTTTCATTTATTTTAGGAAATTGATTGGAAAAAAAATGAAACAATTGTGCCTAATCTTGAATCATATGAGCTTGCTACATCCATGATGAATTCAGAATGGATGCTTGAAAAACCTGAAGATATTGAAAATTGGATAGCTGTGTTGTGTCCAGAAGGAAAACGTTGTTGTGTTATCGCTCAAGATGTAAGATAATAGTAAATTAATGTTTGAAAGAAGAGTAATTGAATATATTTTCGCTTTTAGAACAAAACCAAATCAGTTAACAAATATGGAACTTCGCTCTTTCATTTTCCGTCATTGTTTCCTTATGGATGTCATTTACCAAATAATTGCCCATCACATCGCAAACGTACTGTTTTAGATTGTATATATAATTTCAAGATAAAAAAATTTTATATTTTGGATATCATTGAGTGGATGGGAGTTCCATATACAGATTTTGATGTATATATTTACATTGTATTCATAATATTATATATGTTAATATATATATTAAAAAAAAAATTTGTTTTGATTTTAGGCTGAATTTAGATTTTACTTTATACAAAGTAAACTTAGTGAAATTCCAGGTATCAATGAAAAGTCATTAAAAAATACTTATCCATTTGAAGTATGATCTATTACATGAATATTATATGGTAAAACCACTTTTATAATAAAACATTTTTATTTCAGCTAGCACCACGAATGAGAACTAGTGAACTGTATATACATCTTATGGAAAAAAATCAGTATTTTCACGATCATGTTGAATTAGATGGTATTAACTTTTACTATCCAGAAAGTATGTATACACCTGGTGATTCGCCATTGATGCTTTGGCTAAAGATATTCATGATACCTGAAATCTTACATAAACCTATTAATGATCAATTGGAACAGTTGTATAGACCATCCAATTACGTTAACATATTTGAATATATTCAAAACACAAAAAAGAAAAGTAGGAAAAACCGAAGGAAGAAAAGTACTTCTTCTAGCTGTGATACAATGGAAGTAGACAGTATGATTGAGGTTGGTAGATTAAATAATTGAATTGACATTGTTTAAAATAAGTCTTTAATTTATAAACAAATAAATACTTTAGTACAACCATAATATTATTATTTAATACAATAGGTTAAAATAAAGTGAAGATAAATGACAGCAAATTGAAAAAATCGTAGCTAGAACATTATATTTTTTTCAATCATTCCAATTTCATATCTTCAATGAAAAAAATAACTACTAATTCTTTTAAAAAAATTACTTACTAAAATTATTTTGTCATCATGGTGTATAGTCATCAAATGTAGCATCTTTTCTGAAACCTTTTCCCTATTGGTACTTTAAGGAGGTCATTTTTTGAATTTTCAATCAGTTTTCATAATAATTGAGAACAAATTTGGGAAAATTTTCAAAAAATAATGCTTTTATTAATTTCAATTTTGTTATTTTGATGTAATTCAGTTAAAAATATTCTAGGGACTTGAAATTTGGTTAGGAAATTTTTATTTGCCTTTTCTAGACTTGGTAAGGTTTTTAAAACATTTGAGCCATTTTTGAGCTGTTTATAGAAATTTTAATTTTGCGAGTTTTTTTTTATGTAATTTTTATTTGGTAGGTACTCTGTGGATAAAATAGACCACACAGAAATGTTTGAAAATTTAACAGTAGGCTATTTATAATAAGTTGTACTTTGTGGTCAACAAGAAAAATTTAAGTTTTTTGTGTATTTTTTTTTTCAAATTTTGATTAAAATCTTAAATATTACTACCTTTTAAAACATGTATAACCTAATTCCACTCAGAATCGTTTTTCGTTAGCAATGATTAATTGTTGCGTACAAATAAATATTAAATTCACTTCTACGTCCTACTTTTCAAACTTCTCATCTATAATAATAGCCCACCTATTGTGGTCCAATGTATGTTTATATTTTTAATTTATACTTCGATTATTAATTAATAATTATTATATATTATGGTAAGTGGTTTGGTCACTATATAGACATATTTTGTTTTCTGTGTATGTCTTACATGTAATATATTAAACAAAGGCATTCAATATTTCTATGATTCTGACTGATTGAGTTTTGTGGTAATGGGCTATAATACATTTTATAAAGAAGAATATTTACTGTGAATCCTTTGAATGAATTTTTTATTAAAATATATACATTGTATATAACTGAATTTTTCTTATTTTTGATCATCAATAATTTTCTAAGAAACGAAAATATTAAAAAAAAAAAAAAAAAATGAATTGATTCAAAGTGAATACTCGTAATACTTACATTATAGTATTTATTTAAAAAATAATTATCAGATATATCAAAATAAAAATATTAAATTAATATAATGGTTTACCCTAAACAGAAGGCTACAGGTATAATATATCTTTCATGCTCCACCATTCTTAGTTAAGGTATTGTCTCAAATTAACTATATTATAATCGAGTGTCACTGAATTGTTTATAGCCTTGTTAAGCTAGACATCATAACTTTTAATTCAAATTTATGACAAATTTGATTTAAATAGGTGGAACCAGAAAAAGATCCTGCCATTGGAAATGACATGTGTATGGAAAACTGAAAACAATTTCATTGTAGAACTGAAGAATTAAATAATACTATTGAAATACTATTGAAGAATTAATACTTTATTGTATTCGTGTTAACATGTAATACATATATTATTCAATTTCAAAAACTATTTTATTTAACTATCTATTTTGTTGTCATTATATACTTACATGTTAAATATTTTAACGTTGTAAAAACCATATAACAATTCATGGAAAAGAACACTAATAATGTGTAATGATATGTTCCATAAAAAATTTAAAGTACCTAACTAAAAAATATACAGTTCGTAAATGTAATCTGGTTTTATTTTTATTTCGTGCTCAGCCATAAGTAGATCTATTTGTAGCCCTGTGGGGTTTTTGATTTATTCAGATAGTTAAAAAGATTTTCAGTTTTACTATGAATTATTTATGAGATTTTAGTGCAAGTGTAAAATGGTTAAAGAATGAAAATATTAAAAAAAAGACTTTTAGTATGGTTTCACATTGTGTTGATGATTTACTACTAAAAGATTTACATAATATTTTATTATCATTGTACAAATGTCAATATTTCAATTTTTTAAGATTGAAATTTACGTTTGTAATTTTTATTAGCATTATAATATACTCCAATCATATTAATTGCTAGTCTTCTGAAGAAGCTATCGTGAATTTATTACACAAATTATTGTTTTCTATTCAAACTAGATTAACTAAAATAACAACCAAATACCGATAAAAAGGAATAAATTGGTAATTAGGTACCTAAATAATTTATTTGGAGTCAAATTCTAATCGGGAAAAAATTGTTTTTAGTTAAAGACCTTTTTTTTTTTTCAGGAAAGATTTCCAATAAACAATAACATTCTGTATTAATATTATGTAGGAAAGATACATATCAGGGAAATGGGTATTTCACTAAAATATATTTTTTAGAACTGATATCAATCGGGACAGTATTTCATTGGAAAATATTGTTTAGATTATTAGGTAGGTTTAACACACGATGATACAATGACACATTTTCTCGGTAAGTGTCAAGTATTGAATGGTTTGTGGTTTAAAATGTGTAAAAATACATACTTAATGTTATCTATATGGTTTATGAATTGTGCAGAATTATTAGAAAATTGTATGTTTTGTTACAATGGTTTTTTTACCCGTGCGTATGTCCGTATATTTTAAATGAGATGGGATAACAGTGATATGATATCTGTTTGTTCTGAACCGTCTATTATTATTATAATATTATCGTTATCGAAATATTTTTATATTTTTCAACACAATACTGTTTCTCACAAATACAGGACAGTATTAACTGTTCTCCACATTTATGTTGTCCATATAATTATAAGATTCATGAAAGTATCTAGTACAAAATATTGTTCAATGAAATTATTATTCCATATTTCTATGCAAATAACACTTCCAAATATTAATATTTTGGTGATTATTTTGCAGGTGTATATAGTTCTCCCCCCCAACTAATATGTGTGATTTGAATTGAAACACCATTAAGAAAAAGGAATCATCAGCACGTTTTATTTGTAAGGAATATTTTTTACACAAAACGATTCTTGAAGAAAATTGTGTTCTACCGATATAAAACAACCAGCATGTGATTCATGTGGAAACGGGCCCATGAACCTGGTTTTTATTTCTACTGTGAAATAGTTACAACTACATTTGCACCCTTTTTTTTCATCAGCGTTTCAAAACCCTTAGAAGTTCAGTTGGGTTTTACCAATCAACGGATATCCGTCTCTAAAGTACATATAACTCACGGCGGCAGGGGGAGGTGTCATCCCACATGAACCTTTTTTAATGCATTTGTTTGAAGTTTGTGATTTGTTTCGGTCTTCTCGGAAGAAAAAAAAAAAGGTACCTAGTGCATAGTTGGTTTTAATTTTTAGTTATATTAATATTATTATCATACATATAAAATATATTAAGTAGGTACTATAATAATAGTAATTATCTATAGACAATGAGTAAATATTATAAAAAAAAAAAGGAACTAATAGACTACTATAGTATTTCAGTCCATTATATTCCGATATCTATGTTATATAAACGCGATCATCGACATATTAATATATTATCAGTAGTATGTATAGTTCTGGAGATTTTAGCTGTGCTATTATAAAACTTTTATATTCATGCGAATGCCTAATCGCTTAAATATTTTCAAATTTTCAATAGTTTCATATTTTAGATTCAGAGTGGAGCGAAGTAGCATATGGTTTTAAAAAGATGTTTATTAATTTTTTTTGTTCTATGGAATTATTTTGTTCCTTCTACCAGAGATCTTGCTCCGATTTGCATGTGTTAGCATCTTTTCTGAAAGGAAATCAGTGTGGGGAGATACTTAGGGGAGGTCATTTTTGGATTTTCTCACCAAATCTGTAACGACCATTAATTTATTTTATAAATATATAAATAAAAATACTATACAAATCTTACAATTTAAGTATATGTGTATGGGCGATAATCGAATCGGTGCTGTGGTTATAGTGTAATCGGTGGTCCGGTGGTAGCGCGATTTCGCGCGAACATAGAGACCGTTTTAGGTACCTAGGTAATAAAATCTTCAATCTGCGCACCCGGTTAATAAAACTTGAGTGCCGACAGTGGCGTATTTGAGGGGACGATAGGTGGATCGCTCCCTCCTTGGAACTTTTCGGCTGTGGTTTGTTTTTAATCGCGGCTATAGGCTATTGGCAATAAAATAATATAGTATATTTCTAACCGTGTTATTTTATTGTTTCTTGGGTATTCTTATCAGCGTTGCCAAAAAGTACCTAGTGATAATGATATAACTAGGGCATTTTTTTTTTTTTGTCTATAATACCTACAATAAAGGTATATCGATGCGGATGTCAAAACAGTAACCATCATAGATCGGTTTGTAGGAGAAAAAAGATTAACATTGCTTTAAAATGGTTGTAAATATGTTTGTGTTGTTCAAGCCCGTATCCAGGGGGGGTTCAAACACCCCCCGAAATTTTTATAGTAGGTATATATTTATAATATAACAAAGACTATGTATAATTTATTTCATTAAAAATATTTTAACCCCCCCCCCCCCCCGAAAATTGATCCTGAATACGTGCCTGGTGTTGTTCGATATGAATGTATAATGTATACAGATTATGTATATCATGTCACGGCCGTTGCGGGTAAACGCCGAAATCGTGCAAATCTCAGAAACGCTCGGGCAAAACGCGAAATGTCCGCGATACTTGGGCCAAACGCCAAATTTCGGCTTTTTTCCGGACAAATCTATAATAGCAGTGACCATAACATCATATGGGCAAAACTGTGTAACGTCCATAAATTTCGATTTTTCACATTTACGAGATTTGCCGAAATCGGCTTTTGATCGTAACATATATATTATATATATTCATCATTTTTTTTTTTTATGTATTATAATTTATATATTTATAAACTATTATTTTTTATTGCCGATGAGAGGAATTATGAAAAAACAATATGATAACTGTTGCTTTTTTCGTGGGGAGGGGACGTGGAAACCCCTCGCGATATTTTTTGGTACATTACAATTTTTAAATCGCCCCCTTCTCGGTTGAGCTCCGGATACGCCACTGGGTGCCGGCCATCTGAAATAACATGACGTACAGCAGACAGTACCTATTGACGTATATTTACTTATTACGTAATTGTCTACGTATTTACGATAACACAATCGTGCCGTCGATTCTATTATAATCTAACCGACGGTATTCAATTCATACTTTTATAGGTACAATGGCTTTATAGTGTTGGTACCTACCTACCTATTATTAAGTCGTACGCATTAGGTTTTATTTTTATTTCGTTCGTAATCGGAAAAAATTGGAATTTATGTTTTATCGCAAAAAATGCGTTCACGCCGTGACGTGTACGTAGGTACACATGTATGAAAAAAAAATATGGGCGGGTGTATACCTACTTGCGTTATTTTTATTTGCCGTAAGTAAAGTTGCACGTTATAAAAAAAAAATAATAATAGCTATTGCCTATTCCATATAATATGCAACTGCGCGCAAAATTTTCCTGTACGCATTGTTTTCCGCGCGGCTGGCGATTAAAATACATTATACCTAGGTAACCGAGTGGCTAGGTAACAAAGATACAAAAAAAAAATAAAATAAATTATAATAATTATAATATTATTACGAATAACCAGTACGGAGTGGGTAGGTACAAACCCGGTTGTGCATATCAAGCAAAAATACGTGGAATTGCCGACACTATTACGAACACAGTATTCCCAGTCGGAAAAATCGTAAATGTCTATCGTTCAACGTTAACACCGAAACAAATACTCTTACTTTTATCTGTTTTGTGAATAATTAAACGCGGATTCGTACCTCTATCGTTTTACGGTAATGTGTTGGTGAGATACTTTCCGCTGTTTGGGAATCTGTGAACGGACCGACGGAACCTAACACCACACGCACACAAGTGCACAACCGCTATAACAATGTGTACATCTGCAATCAGCCGGTCGGCGTAAAACGTCCACTTAGATAATGTTATTATACTTATGAGTTTGGTCGTAATAACCGAGCAGAGCGGTTTTTTTTTCGACAAAATATTGTCCGGATATCTGAACGACTTCCGATCGAATAGCTTTTCCGCGAGAAAAACGTGCGTCTGATGGCCTCCCGTTGAATCTTTTTTCCTGCGAGCATAAACCCCGCGGTAATAGACGCTCGTTATAATTATAGATTCCGAGTGTACCGAGATTTGTATTTTGTTTCTCGGAAGACATTTTTCCGAAAACGCATATTACAGGTTCGGCAAATCGGCAGGTCTCTAAAATGGGCTGGATAATTTGAAAAAAAATTGTCAAGGGAAATTGAATTTTTGGACTAGAGAAAAAAAAAAAAAAAACGTTCTACCTATTTGGTGTTCCGTCTTATTTAATACCTCCAGAAAAAACCTAAATTTATAATTTAATAAATGTGCTTATTGAATTTTGTATTAAAAACACAATTATACGGTTTTGTAATGATAAACCAAGTATACCGAATACATCGTAAACAGATATTACGATGTGTTTACGAATACTTGGTGTGACTATTAAATAACGAGACTGCTCGCCTAGAGGGCGCCCTAGATGGGTAGTGAAAAAAACGAGTAATGCGTTGGGTATCTAGATATCTTATCTATGCACGTACCAAAACACGTTTTCGTCACTATTATAGTATTTGTGCAGTAGCGGTTTGAAACGAACGTGTTTTTTTCTCGTGCCGAAAACCATGTGTAACGAAAAACATGAGCAACGGATAAACGTA